ATCGCACGTTTACCCTTGGAACGTATAAAGGGGTTGATTGCGAAAAGGCGACACAATTCTGCGACTCAATTGATGAGAGGAGCCCAAGCTCAAGTTGCGCCCCGGCACGGCCAGTTTATTGGGTTAAAGTACAAGGGCAGCAAAACTAACAGGATTGAGATGCGCACACGAGACCAATTTTGGACGTCGGTTTTACTTTTTGGGGACTTTAGAGGGTGAGACTCCGGTACTGACGGGGTGATTTATTGCACGCTGGCTACTACCCTAAAAGGATGAAAACTGTTAGTTTACACCGAAGCTGCAATATGTGAGAAAATTAAAACAGACTCACGATTCTCATTAAATAAAAGCTTAATTTCGCTCAATTTTCCCATTTTTGTTTTTAAAAGCATTTACAAGGTTCAAACTTTGGGGAGGGGGTGAAAATGAAAAATAAAAGGATATTAAAAGGAAAATAAATCCGAGTGCAATTTTAAGACTAAAATCATTCACCAAGCGCCAAAATACTTATAATATAAACATTCATTATCACGTCAAGTTAATACTTATATCATGAAATAAGTATTACGTTTTTCTACAATTATAAGCAGGTTTGATATTTACTTAAACAAACATTAAATAAATGTAATAAAAACATTTAATTATTTATATTATTGATATAATACATATCTGCATATCCCTTGAGAAATCAATAAAAAACAAAATTAATTATAAAAATGTATTTAAAAGTTCAAAAGATTGAGAAATTATTTATTTTGCAAATGCATTGTAAAAGAATGATTAGTGCAATCACAGCAGTAAATTAATAAAGTTTTAATTAAGTTGAAAAATATCACAACGGAAATAAATAATTATATTTTTATTTTTCTTTGCTTCTCGTTAAATATATTTGTTTTTACGTTTTTAGTGTTTTTACAACATATTTTTGTATACATATGTTTTTATTTATAAATGATTATGCTCCTCTATTATTTCTAATTTCTAGAAAGTCATATTTTTTTAACTTACAACATTGATTATTGAAAAGCAGAAAAAATTGGAACCATTGCATTATTTAATTATTTGCTGTTTACTTAAATGCAAATTTGTCTAATAACGTGAAGAATAATATGCGCTTATTACGTAAAACTATTACAAAAAAAACTTGATTCATTGTCGGTAATAAGACACGCCACCGGCACGCCACGGCAAATTAGCTTCATTTTCACTTTCAACGAACGCGGCATTCTTTCCACGAAAAACTGCTACTAGCTCGGCATAACCGCCACGCCAATATAGTCTGGTTCAGCGACCCCATTTGGGGTAGGTAAGGGGGTGGCAGCAGACACTAGAGTGTAGGCGAGAGTTAAGTAAGCGTGCAAATGGCCTCGAGACCACCCTGCTGTCTTTTTCCAATCTCGGCGTGTGCGAAACTCCCTGGAGAGGAGATCGACCTGCCGCCAAATCGACCGACCCCCGTCATTGAAAGGTGACGCAATTTTTGATTCCGTGTGCAGAAAATGTTACGAACGCGTGCCCAGTTATTATTGGAACGGGCAGGGTGCAACAGGTCACAGAAAATGTGACCTACATTATCCTGTGAAGAGCGCGTCACGTAATCACAGCAGCCCTTCAGAGTCCTTTCCAATGAAAATTATCTCAAGAGTAATGAAAGAGGAGTTATTTTGGTCGATTGGTTTGATTTTTATATTATTAAGAAAATATGGTAAAGTAGTGCTTCACAAGTGAAGTGCCTTTTTGATTAACTTTGAACCTTCTCTGCAATAGCACAGCAAACAAACAGGCAGAACCTCTCATTGATCACATTTTTTCTACGAAATCGTAATAATTCTCGATGACGTCAGCCAGTCGCATTAAAGATCAAAACTCAATCACCCGAGTTGTGCAGTTACGACTCGAGTGAAACGAAGGAGGATGGAGAGCGACGAGCAAATATACACTCGTTTTTTTTTTTTTTTTTACTTGCGCCGCCTTTTTATAGGAGAGCATCTTTCTGACTTTTAATTTCTATTTTCATTGGAGCTGGGACTGCTGGGAGGCGCGTGCAAAAAAATTATTACACATGCCGGAATGCTCCAGTTGCGCAATCAAGCTGACGGGTGTACGTAATCTGAAGTTATAACGCCGCTTCCTCCTTGGCGCATGCAAATGAGAAGCTCTTCTTAATGGTTCTGGTCATGCGAATCTGAAACTTGGCCCTTGTCAGGAGTAATTAGCAGATTTAGATTCGCTGCGTGCCGAACGCCTAGCGTTCTGTCAATGATTTTGGCACCGGCCTAGAATAATTTTCGCTCCTTATCTCCAAGGGCCATCACGTCGTAAAAACAAAACTCATAGACGCAATTTAAATTTTTGGTCTCACCCGCTAGAACTTCATGTATTTTCTTTGTGCTGTACGGCAATCAAATTAGGGCGGCGACTCGTGAAATGAAAGAGTAAAATTCATTCTTTTCAAGAGGGTTGACTGAATAAGCATACTTGTGAGCCCTCCTTTGTTATGTTACGCCCTGTATTTCTGAATTTCTAATTACTGTGCTCGAGCCGACTTTTAAAAAAGCGTTCTTCTGATGACTGACTGGTTACAATTTTAAAACTAATTTTAAAGAGTTACATGGCAAAGCCCAACTATTTTTCGCTATTTTCTTACGTAATATATTATATAGGCGCGGGTCAACCCAAAATGCAATACATTTGTAAAACACGTGAGTAATTAGTTTTGAAAATTTTTTTTATTGTAATTATCTTTTCACAAATAAATTAATAAGTGTTTCCTCTAGATTTTTTTAACAGTACAACTGCTGGACGTTTTAAAAATAATTTCATTAAAAGTTTTGTCATTTGCTATTTTGTTTTGTACTGAATGCATAATGAATGAATAATGAATGATTGACAGTTGCTGACAGGACTTCATTTTTCCAATCAAATAACGTCAAAAAGGACATGGTATAAAAAGACATCCTGGTGAATAAAATCCACGATGAGAATTTTAAATTTAAACAAAATTTCAATTATTTAACACTCATGGTATACAGAAATCACGTTAGGGATGTTGAATGCCATGTTATAAATTTTATATTAGCACAGAAAACAGCAACAGTGCATTTTTTATAAAAATTGGAAAGCACATGTTCACTCTGGATAATTGTAACTCTCAAACGCAAACATATTTTTCATGTCAAAAATTATTATTATTATTATTATTTTTGGGAGGGGGGGGGGGGAATAATAAGAAGGTTCTTAATCTTTAATGGATTTCTTGAGGACATTTTACTATACTAAAGTATTTAGAGAGATTCAATATAAAGTGGGTTTCTATTTCTGATCTGATCTCTTAAATTATGCTTAACGCCATGAGTTTCATTGTAACTTTTGAGTCTATAAAGAGATTATTTATGTCTCTTTAAACAGCAGAACTTCAGAAATGATGAGAACTACCAACTCTCATCAAAAGTGTTTCTCTGAACACTTCTCCAATTTAGTAAATAATTTGAATTAGCTCTCAACGGCTTCCTCTGATTTCGCCGAGGGATAAAAGCGTTCATCGCTGCCTTGTCATCCGACTGGTGCTGCGTGAAGAAGGTACGCGCGAATTTGCTCGCTGCAAAGCGAACCGATTATGAGCGGCTAAAAGTTTGCCACTGGCTGCGAGACAATGAAAAACACGCGCGCCTTTAGAAACAAAAAGGCAAAAAGTTCTTTCCTAGCTTCACGTCTCGCCTGGAGTTGACGAGATGAATGGCCTGGTGATAAATTTGAACCCCCAGCCTGAGCCGAAGGGCCAGGCGGAAGAGATGCAGTACTTATATACATCATCGGCGCCAGGCAATTTTTCATTTTACTCGCCTGCCTCATATAATCCGAAATCAGATACTTGTTATGCTCCTCTTTTCAATTTATCTCCCTGGTGTCGAATGTATATTATGCAGATGTGAAAATCCCTTCTTTCATGCCGGAGAAGTCGATTTGTGGACTTTATTTGTGTGTATCTATCCGATGGGGATTGAATTAAAAAAGTTTCTGTTTTCATTCAAGCATGTTAGAAAAAAGTTATGTGGAGGCGCAACATAATTTGGCGTTAATGCAGGTTGAGGGCTGAGGGCCAATTTATTTGCCCGCTACCGTCTTTTCCGCTCCAAAGAAAATAACCTCCAAAAGTTTAGTGATAAATTTTGAGGCAAAAAAGTATCCAAAAGACTACTTAATAGATATGAGATCTCGCATTTCAGCACAAAAGTGCCGACTGGATTAACGGGCTAAGCATTTGCATCCCATGGATTCTTCACTTGAGCAATAAGAATTGGCGCCAGGCCAACATTTTCCTTCACTTTCAGGAAGTGGATTTTCGCCAAATTCATAACTTTTGGGAAATGAAGCATTTTTGCGGAACTATTGATAATTACTGAAAATTGCAGAGCTGACCCGCAGACGTGGAATACGTGACTGGTCGCAAAGTTGAGCTCGAAAGCAAGGAAATTTTATGTGGAATGGTCGCTGTTTTTGCTGCTTTAGACGCTTGGCATGGTTGGCAGAGCGTTGAGAGTGAATTTTCAAAATTACAGCTTGGGAGTGCGCTGTGCGACCGCATATTAATTTGAGAGCTAAGTTCCAGACCATTTACATTACAGTTTTGTTACGTAACGATGAGTTTCAAATAATTTGTGGTTAAATAGTATAGTAGCAAAGTAACACAACTTAATCCGCCAGATTTAATGGATAGAAAACAAAATTAGGTTTTCTCGTGTGTAAATAACAAATATAATGAAATACATGTAAATAATATATAAATTTATTTAGTCTAATGTTTATAATTTGCAAAATTATAAGGACCACAAGGATTCTGTATTATTTACATCTTGCCTTCCGACATTTGTTTTTGTTACGTATCTCAACTTTTGAAAGAATTATTAATTTTTAATATTTAATTTTATTATTTGGAAAAACTTTTTCTTTGTAAACAACCCTCTCTGTTATAATATTTTTTATCAAAAATAAATTCTTACCTGTTGGTAGACGAAGGGGTGCGAAAGGGCCAACCACCTTTCGGCGGCCATGACGAGCGCCACCACCCCGGAACCGAGGCCGAAGACGCGCATCATGAGTCGGGCGACGCAGTAGCCCTGGGTGGCGGTCAGGTGCGGTGGCAGGTACAGTTGGGCGTGCATCAGCACCAACATGCCCAACAGGGCGACCAGGTCGTTTCCCGCCAGGCACCGCAGCATCAGGTGGTGCTTGCTGGTGTTGCGTCCCCAGCCTGGGCGCTTTTTCTCTCGGGACAGAATCACCAGAGCTGCGCCGTTGCCCACCTGCGGCACCAATGAGAAAAATGGGGTAAGAGGCCACGGTCGGACACCCACGCGGGTTGTTTTGAAAACAAAAACACTTTAATTATTTCACTCCAGAGTACACACGTGGGGGTGAAAGTTGGTACCACATCCGCCAGATTTTGTTTCTGATATTCCTATATTTTGAAGAAACACCCTTACTTGCCATGTTGAAAAATTTCTAAATTTCAAACTTTTGCAAAAATTTATTAGATAATTGAAGAAGCGTCAATGTTCACATCACTTAATTCAATTATTCAATAAACAAATCAGAAAAAACCTTCAACTCCTCAGCATTCACCCAAAAATATGTAATGTCCTATTCAAGATTTTCTTTTAGCTTTTTTCAGTATCATATTGACTACAAAAATTATTAAATACCAGCAAATAAAACTGGCGTCGTTTTTATCAATACAGAGGAACCCTAAATGAAAATGACATAAAATGTGCTGCATTATGCACCACCAATAAAGGGCACAGACCAACAAAGATTTGTCATCCAGACCGCAACAAAAAATATTTTAATATTGAGTAAGAAATATTATTAATTAAATATTATTCATTTTTTCAAACTAAATATCATAAAAATCAATTGACAGTAAGAGTTAATCAGGGTTCTCTTGTTATTAATAGTGAGCTGGGGTTTTTAAGCACTGATCACACTGATGGTTGTGTGTTGCTGCGCTCATGCGTTATCTAAACATGAGACTCTTGCACCATTTTGGGCTTAAATATCAAAGGTAAGATATATTTCGTATTCCTTTGAACCAAATAATGAACACCTGCAACATCATTCAAAATTATATCGATTTTTAGGTTCATTAAACAATGTTTTTGGTATTGTCGGGTATTGTGAGGACTTGAATATTTCAATCAAGTCACGCGTTTCTCCGGCACTGAAAGTTTTAGTTTAAAATAATGTTTATTGGTAAATCACGCAGTATTGAATATAATATTTACTTTTAAAGTTTACAGACCAAATGTAAATAAGATCTGCTTGGAAATTTTCGAATTAGAAATCAGCAAATCAAACTTTATGGGTAAGCAAAAGTTCTCATCTCTCAGACAGACGAACAAACAGTATAGTTTAACGATCTGAAGCTGCGGGTGTTGAAGAGATATGTATACAACTACAGATTCGAGAATCAGTGCTAGGGTCGGCTGTAATTCTCAGCAGGTTGTGCCTTTTGCTCATATCTCTCGGCCAGAGCTTTTTCATTAGAAGAGACTTCAAAGCGGCGACACTGACACGGTTTGTCTCTTTCTCTATGTGGCCCCGTGGTGGTGTGCACAACACAAAATTGCGCTACGATTTCCTTGCTTGCTGACCTGCACACTCGCTATATTTGGTCGTGAGCACCGTATGTAATTTTCCGGACGTACGCCGGTCAGCGCAGAAATCCAATTCCGCAGGCGGAGGCAGCAGAAGCACGATGAGCAAAATTGAATTTGCGCTCTTTCGCCCAAATGTGTGTGCGCGAGTCTGCATATCTATGCCTTGGGTTAAATGATTGTAATGATCGACCGCTGAGCGAAAGGAGAAAAAACATCATGATTAGTCAGAACTTCACAATTTTCCGCCATGATCCACCAAAAGTCACTCGGGAAAAAGATAATCGATCCCCGAGTAGTGCAAACAGCCGTAGTGAGTTTTTTGCTAACGGAGTGTTTATTAGGGTGGTGGCGTCTCTCGCCACGTTGATTAAGGGAGGACTCATTTGCGAGACAAAAAGAAATTAACGAGCTTCAGTCAGGATGAATTTTCAAAGGCGCAAAAAAAACTAATCCACAGCACTCGCAGCCTCTATCACAAGATTATTGACGTTCATTTTTTGTGACACGCACTCTCGTATTGATTGAGGCATAATCAAGTTGGATCTTTTCAAAATTTCAAGCTCAACAATGGTTGATTGAGTGGCGTATTTTTTGCGCGAGAAGACGAGCTTCGGAGCTTCATATAAAATTCTCAGTGTTAATAAAAAAGAGAGTGAAGCATCAAAGGGAACTGTGAATTTACTGATACTGAAATATAAAAAGCCCTTTACACATTTAAGTGCTGCAACAGAGCTTTTCAAAACACTGTGTGGCCGGTTTTAAGCACTACACTAAAAAGAATGAGAATAGTTAATAATTTACAATAAAGTCCATACTCATTACACTCATATTTATCTGCTTTTTCTTCTCAAGCTGCATTTTAATAAAAAAAAAACATTATAAAGCTGAATTGTGATTGTGATATTAGCCAGTAACATGATAAATAAATAATATTTCCACCAGCATTTCACAATTTTAAGAGGATAATGAATATTTGGTATGGTAAAAATTTGTGGCGAAATCTTTGTTGTTTTGAAACTTACCTCATTGAAATCTAAATTATGCTATATCCATGCAAATGAATTTAAATAAAAAGTTGCCCTCCATTGAACTGATGGACAAACTTCTTGGAATTAAAAAAGTAAAAAAAAAAATCAAAGGCTCAACTCGGCTCAACCTATTAAAAGTAATTGTGGTGATTTTTCATTAAAAAAAAAAAATAATAATTTATTTAAATTGATAGGTAACACCTAAACATCATGGCTTTTTAAATTTAATGATTTTTTTTGCAAGTGGACACCTTCAGCGCTGACAGTGAATTTTTATATTTTTGCTACATTCAACTTATGCAGTTAAAATTTCCAAATTTACTTTGAAATGAAATATTGCACAATAATGCAGAACTAGTTGATCTATTTTCTGGTAAACGCAAAGCACGAATAAGTGCAATTAACTGATAGGATCTTTCTATTGGGGTCAAATGAAGTGACACACGTCCAACGATACCGCGCTGTTAAGTGCCAATATACAGAGACTAAACTCCCCAGATGCGAAACTTGCTCATTCGATTTGCTTTTCGTCAAACTAGCCCTTGCCAAGCTCAGACGTGCAACTTTGCCAGGCAAAAATATTTATTTAAAAACGATGGGCACCAAAATTCTACTTGGATGGAAAAGTTATATATCGAATTCAAGGGGAACTTTGAGGACCAACTCACCACTCCAAGTACGTAGCTGGCTGTGATCACGGCCTGCATGGCCACCCCCAGATGCCTCCTTGGGGTGGCTGACGGTGCCACAGATGCAAACTCGGTCGTATTTTCAAGCTGCTCAAAGAAACTGGTGGCGTTCAGTGTCCAGCGGACTTCCGTGGACACTTTGGACAAAACCGAGCCGACCATTTTGAGTGTAAATTCCTGAAACACAAATGTTACACACAAAATCAGTGAGCTAAAATTTGCTTCCAATTAAAAAAGATGAAAAATTTCGCTCGGTGTGTGTCAAAAGGCCTGCTTGTGAATTTGAGCGTCAGCTGCTCTTTTTCCCAACTCTCCTCTTTTGATATTCTCAGGTATAATTTATAATTTTTTTTTAATTTGCAACTATAATTTTCTCACAAGTAACCAAAATCTGCTACTTTTGTTCTTAACGATGAATAGTTCATAATAAATCACAAATCACCGAGAATAAGTAGGAGAAATAAGAAACTTAAGAAAATAATTGAATTTATGTTTCAGTCCCAGTGTGATGTGAAGTACATGCACACCAAATGAAGCCTTTTTTAAATAATATGACATATGATGTATGCTTTAAAAAATTCTAATTGCAATTTTACACAAGCTGCATAATTACAATATTTACAATATGTATATTATTTTTGGCCAATTAAAATTCAATTTTTATTTGAGAAATATATTATTAAATTTATCCACACAATATTTTATTTTTAAACAAAGCAAAATATTTCTTTCAGTAAAAAAAAATGTTTTCAAACTTTCAAATATAGTGCAAAAGATTAATAATATTGATGTTGCCTGTGGTCACATTTATTCAGACTGACAATGAAACTTGGGTAGTAGGAAATTAGCACTTTTTGCATACTGCTACGTTTCCAGCTAGAAGTATCAATTCAAGTTCATTGTTTTTGGAAATCGATGTTTTTCAGAAAAATTTTTTCCATTTCGAGGTATTGATATAGTAAAAACAAGTGAATCAAAATTTTAACATTTTGCATTTTATAAAAATGTATGAAGCAAAGTGGCTACTGCGAAAATAAATACACAAAAGCATGAATATTTACTGAAAGAAAAAAATTATAAATTATATTTAAGCTGCTTGAAATGAGACATGTTCTTAATAGTAAATAAAAAGTTTGTCTAGTGGAAAATTATTTTAAAATTTGTTGAAAATTTGAAAAACATTGAACATTGTGATTTTAGAGGCATTTAAATCGCCCTTTTTATATGTTTATCCTTGAAAGAACATTCATACTACCTATTTTTTTCTTCAATTTACTAAAATGCGTGTTGCGAAGCTCAGCTGGCGTGAGACAAGTTTCGCGAGAGTGACAAAAGGCAGCTGCTACTTCAAATCGCTGATTTGCACTAGACCGTCTTTTGCATAGTTGGCAATTCAAAGTTTTTTTCTGGAGTAAGAAAAACATATACGCATCTGCACGACTCTTCGTGCATTTTCGCAAGGTTGTTTTTGTAAATAAAACAATTTACGATTTTTCTCTAAACAGGGTTAACAAGATTTATGCAAATCAAGAATGGTCCTGCATTGTCCACACAAAGGCGAGGTAATTAACTAAATTGTGTGCCACGTTAGCGGTAAATTTGCCAAAGCGACACGTGAGTTATTACGCGTCTAATGAGACAACTAGCATTGCAAATTGCTAGTCCCGCGGGGAGCAAACGACCCGGCAACGCTCTTAGAATTTCCTATCCAAGGCGCACGCGGCTGGAACGGAAAATCGGAAAAGCGTGAAAAGCGAATTACGCCTGTCTGCCGAAGTTAAAGGCTGAAATGAATGACAAACTAAATTTCTGTGCCATCTGCCACGAAAATTGAAATCCCTTTTGCTATGATACATATAAAATATGTCCGATTCAGAGCGAATATATCGATTTTTAAATAAAAAAAAGTCGCAATCGCGGTGTTTTGCAGCTTTTCCGTTCCTTATTTTTTATCTCGCTTCGCAAGCAAATTCTTTTCTCTTTGTCAAGCAGAAAAGCGTACGGTGTATAAATGATGCACAAATAATAGCGCTTCCTAAGGAGATTTCCTGCTTCGCCTCACGCGAAAGGAAGTACGAGTTTAACTAACCGTACGTGCGGATTGATTTTAAGTGGGCATTAAACTAATAAAGAAGAAGAAAGCAATTTAATAGAGGGACGAACAACAATGTATCTCTTTATGGTTCGGCCCCACACCTGAGCTTTGTGTGCTGGGGATGCAAATTATATTAATGTTTTGGTATCCAAATAATAGAGCGATAAATTCTTACTTAAATTTATTAACGGCAGTGGGAAATGTTATGTTTATTGTTTGTGATTTAGTTAATTGTTTTGACGGTCTGCTACTAAATAGTACGTGCGACATGCTTTCTATATATTAATTTGAAAAAAACTTTCTAATAAAATTTTATTACGAAATAAAATATTTCTTTCTTTTTTTGCAAGTTATAACTGTGATTTGATTTGTATACAAAAGCATAATTAATTTAATACAAATTTAATTTTCATTTTTTTCTGACGGGCCTAGAATTTGTCTATTTTGAAAAGATCAAAATCAAGAGCAAGTTGGCAGTTGGAATATCATATATTATTTTTATTTTCAGATTAAAAACCTATTTTTTTTATTGAACTCTGAAATGACTCATCATTCAATTTTTATTCATCAATTTTAAAATAACAAAAATTTATTAAAACTAAATAATTCTGCAATAATTAAAGTCCTCTTGATAAAAAAAATTATGTTATGATGCACCCAAAATAATGGAGATAAAATTGCTGCTGTTGCTACTGGTGATAGATTATTAAAATAATTAAAATTCTTGATTTATTGTCTAACTTAATTATCCACACTTTCCGAGCTAGTTCTAATGAGTATTATTTACAACCTGCAGTTGAGCAGCTTTTGACCAACTTTTTGAAATAGCACAATACTTGCTATAAAACTTATGCTCTAATTTATTTGATCACTGCCACAGCAGCATTATTTAATCGAAGACAAGAAATACGAAGTATCAACAGGCTAACGCTCGCTGCAGTCACAGATTTGACCCAAATCCAGCGAACTGAGCACGTCCTTCGCTTAATCGCCGCGCTCTATCACACTCCCATATGCACTCGGAATCAACATTTTTTTTTATTCAAACTACATTTTAGACTATTTGAACGTTGACATTGTCAACTAAACCGGTTCCCGCGAAAGGTATTTGCGTATATTTGGGGGGAGGGGAGAGATTGCGAAATTCAATCTGTCAGATTCGCAAGACCCGCTCTTCCTGAGAACTCTTGATGAAATTGAATGGGCGCTGAGTGCTGGCTGCATTTTCAGCTGCGCACAAAAAACGTGAGCCTGGAGCAGTGAATGCATTTTTTCACTCTCGTACATCTGTGGCCAAGACTTTAATCTATGTTTATGTTTTTTGTTGTGGGTCGTGGCGTCTCACATGAATTTTTCTCTCGATAGTGTTCCGAGATGTCTCGCTTTGTTTACCAAAATCCAAACTGAATCTCGCCCCTGTTTAATCGGCACTAATTAAATAAATGTTATAATTTGGAGGAAATCTTATCAGAATTTTCTGACATTGTAAGTAGCACACAATTCTTAACTCGGATAATATAATCCTGACTGAATTTCCATTTTTGCGCTGCAGCGATGGAAATAAATTTTTCCGCGGTGTGCTACAATTTGCGAAAACCCTCACGTATTGGAAATAAAATATTCTTTTATGATGATGTTTGGCGCATAAAGTACCCTGTGAGCGTTATTTATTTTCATTTTGCCGCTAAAGCTTTAGTTCGTGACTCCCATTTTCGTCTCCTGCCGATTCACATACACAAAAATTTATGTCAGAGGGTCTGATTTTTAAACAACCGAGGATTTTTGATCAAAACGCCGGACATCGCATTTAACACGTCGATTAATATTTAACACACCAGCTGGCAGATTTTGTGCCGCAGTGAAATTTGATTCGCGTCTAGGTTTTTTTTTATAGTGTTAGAGAAGGCATAAAAAATTGCTGACGGCCTTTCGTTAGGTAATTTACACATAGTACTAGAATTAGATAGTAAGTTCGGACGCAAACAACAGGTGGGCCTAAGATGCTACTTTCTAATTTTTCCGAGTAATCATTTTCAAAAAGCGAAAACTCACCTACATGTCTCTAGGTCCAGAATCCGCTGTGGAGGCGGCGGTCAAAGGGTCGGACAGTCACTCGGAGGCGGCCGCACCGAAACTGAGCGTGCCCGCGCTCCGGAGGCGGCACCGAAGGCCTCCGCTCGCGCCTTTTCTGGAGAGGGGAGACTTCAAACAGAGGTGAATGCTCATCAGAAGCGCCATGCGTACGCGCATTCGGTCTCCGCTTTACATAAATTATTATATAGCTGCGGCATGTGTGCGATTCGCTGGGGCGCGTACAGTAATTTTTGGAAAACCACTTTCCGCTGAGCTAGGGATGCGAAAATTGCGAATGTTGCTTCACGCCTGGTGCTCAATATCTAAGAGAAAGAGCTGCTGACACGTACGCAGATCTGTGAATTATTTAAAGCCACATTTCAAACACGGCAAAAGAGGTCATAAGTGGAAAATTTTGGACGATTTTTACCTTTCTGCTTTTCACCAAAACAGCTGCTGAAACAAAAACAGTTTGTTAACTAGGTTTTGCCTGTTTATCAATTTGTCAGGATCCTCTCGGGTGCCCAACTTTTATAAAAAAGTTGGTTATTAAAAAGAAAATTTCTTAATAGAATTCCCTTATAATGTTAACTGTTATAATTTAAATGAAAATAATTTAATGACAATGGTATTTTTATGAAAGCTATAGGCCTTTATCTGAACTAAAGCGAATCCTAAATATAAATATGGTAAAATGTGTTAAATTAGAAATTTATGTTGCATTCTTTCAAAGTAATCTTGATTGATTAAGAAATCCAATAAAATGCATACAAGCTGCACTGCGACATGGCAAACGCCCTTGAACCTGAATTACAATACATGGAAACGGCTGCCCTTTGGGTCACATCACACTGCACGCATTAGTAAGCTAAGAGAAAAACAAGCTGCTGGCAAGTCAATATAATGTGCAAGAGCAACAAATTTGAGTGCTATTTTATGAAAATATTTCGAGCAAATAATATTATTTTTTTAATTACATTTCCCATGAGAGAAAATCTTTCAACTCCAAGTTTAAATCTACCTGACCTGACCTTATACCTTTTGCGGTTTGGAACAAAGTTTCGCTGTCTTTTTGTTTATGTGATTTTCTGATATAAACATGCCTTAATTAAACTTTGTTATTTCCTCTCTGAATTAATAAAACACCTTTTTGACATAAAATTTCTCAGAAAACGTTATTTGTGCTTCAAAACTTTTTCACCAATTTTCACGAAAAAAAACTTTTTAACTTGTATCAAATGAAACAAAATGAGGTTCATTAGTCATTACTAAGGATTCTTTCTTTTGTATATTTCTTACATTTTCGTGTATTTTTCTGAGAAGTTTTAAGTGGGCTTAATTAATATTCCATTTCGTTATAAACGCCTTCATTCATTTACCCTTTTTTTTTAAATTGAGCCTCAATTCATGCTTATTCTGTTTCAAATAATAAAATTCAAAGCAACGGAAAGAATTTATTTTTATTCAACGCGGAGCTCATCTCTTTTCCACTTTTTGCTGCGCAAGTCAACGGGGTACTCAATCGACTTTCGGTTCGGTGTGCGCTCCTTGCAAAGATAAAAAGCGGAAGCGCGTTTGTGCGCTGGGAGGAAATTGCACGGCTTGTGTGCTAGGAGGGGGATGCGGTTGAAGCAACTGAAATGACACACGGAGATATAAAAATGAGACAAAAATAACGAATGAGTATAGAAAAACGTGAAAATGTAAAAATGCGCCTAAACTGGCCAAAACAAGGATAACAGTTTAAATTTTTCAAATTTCCTCCTTCAAATAAGCAAAAGTAATTTTTTGGGAGCAGTTAAGTCATTTAAAAAGCAATTTTCTAAAACAATTGTTCCAGGAATAAATTTGGTAACAGTTTAATCTTGCTAGTATATTTTTTTATGCTGAAATATTTAAAACGCATTTTTTTAAGTCTTATTCTGAACATAAAATAAATTGGGTCGGATTCAGTTTTTTGTCATAAACTTCAGGCCATTTTTCCGACACGCACACTAGCAGCCTTCCGGTCTGTTAGAACTCGGCTAAAATTTTCATGCCAGCCTAGCTCTCGCCGTCATCATGCAGAGGTGTGCTCTCTTTCATCCACTCGCAAATTTCGTGTGCCTCATGCTTTTAGTGGGCCTTTTTATGGGCCTGGTCAACCTAAAAAAGGATTTGCGACGTCAGGGGACTATTTTGGTAGAAATAAGTAAGCGGCTGGAGCGAGCGGAGGCGGTTATGGTGCAGAGACAACGAGTGGAGGCCGCGTTCAAAATGCCGAAAAATGACCGCGACATAATGGAAGGCGGGATCGAGGGCCGGGTTAGCAGGCTCGAAGCCCGCAGCCAAAAGGCCCACGAGCTTTTACTTGGCTTCGTCTACTCTAGGGCTCCACCAGGTCAGAGATATTTAATCAATTTTTTACAATTTTATATTTTTCAAAATAAACAAATTTTTCAGCTGTGCGCCACTTTTATATTTACCCGAGTGATTTAGGTGAAATATATAATTTTAATAAAAAATTATATCGATTAAATATCATTAAACTATTGTATACATAGTTGAAGAACTGACTACTCTAGATCAGGATAGTCCTCAACTTGCAATGCACATACGGAAAAATTTGTTTGCCTACCCACCGGTTCACATTCTGCAAAATATGCTTCCGCCAAAGGACATGTCAAGAGGCAACGGCCAAGTTTTACGACATATTTTCAAAGATATGGTGATTTCTGCATATCATTTTTGAAATTTAATAAGACATTACTAAAAATTCCCTCACAAAACAAGTTCATTTGTTGCTTTAATTGATTTCAAATTGCACTTCCTAAAATAAAAATAAATTATTAAATAATTACTCTTTCCGATTTGATAATTTTTTTATCCAACAGAAACACGGATTTTTCGTTGAATGTGGTGCTCTCGACGGGCTTTCCTTGTCAAACACATTTTATCTGGAGCGTCTACTTGGTTGGACGGGTGTGCTTATTGAGCCAGAACCGCAGAATTTCTATGAAGTTCTGAGGAAAAAAAGGAATGTCCTATCCATTCCGACGTGCCTCAGCAGGTCAAAGAGACCACAGCTCGTGAAATTTTCATTTTTCTAAATAAAAAAAAAATATATATTTTTTTCAAAAAGGTCCCATTCACGTTTGGATGGTACGCATATGCAAAAATCGATACTCAGTCGCCGATCAGCGAAAACACAAATAACGTTCTGTGTGTTCCTTTCTACTCTATTTTGAGGGCCATCAATCGCACAAACATTGATTTGTTTAGCTTGGATATTGAAGGGCACGAGTTGGACGTGTTAAGGACCATACCATGGGATAAAGTGGACATAAAGGTAATTATTTATTACATTTTTGATGAGTTCATACATTTTGATGGACAAACTTTATTCTTATTTCTATTTACGTTTTTGCTATTATTTGATTGATTAAAAAAAAACTTTAAACAGCATAATTTCAACGCAGCATAGCCTTTGCAATTTTTCAATATTCTTTAATACTTTAAAATAATTAATTATAAAAAATATCAAATCTAAATGGCTTTGGCAATATTTCTGCTTGATAATTTCATTATTTTACAATATTTTTCATCTTACAAATAAAACAAAATTTAATTACCAGTTATAATGTTATAAAAGAAAACCAGAGAAAAAAATTTTTCCGACTCTTGTTTTACAATTTGTCAATTTTCCTGTCATTATTAATTTTCAGGTTTTAATTGTTGAATTCGCAAACATCGAGGAAGGAAAGGACGCACTGGCCGCTTTTATGAAACGACAAGGCTACGCGATTTTTCCCAGTTCTCGCCAGGAAGAAAGTGTTGGCGGGTGGGCGCAAGAAGATTACATTTTTGTGAAAAAGGACGCCGGTCTGAATGAGGAGTAGCCTAAAAAAGAATGCACGCAAAATTAATTGCCACTAATATGGATTCACGACGCGCGCACGACATAACACAACCAAAAAATCGGAATTTATCAGCCTGCTAACAACGCACTTTGCTACCGGTGGCGCATGGCTGTTGCGCGGGTTGCGCGCCGCTCAGTTTTTATGGCGATTGCTCAGCGCGTGATTCTTTTGATAGTAACGCTGCGGCGACTGTGCGTTTTTGTTACTGTCCATTAATTTTGTACGTTGCCCTGCGAGTAGATTTTTTATCTTTAAGTGCAAAAATAAAAAATTTGTTCCCTCCACTTCAGCTGAAAAGTGTTGAAACCATTTAAAAATATTCTTTATTTTTAGTTAATTCAAAATTAATAGACAAAATGTAACCGCGCCGTTGAAAGTTGAAAGTGTTTTTATAACCTTGAAAAAAAAAACAGTTTGTTACTTTAAACTTCGCTGTACTATCTAATTTTGGTACATTTATTTTATTTTATTTTTGAAGAAAACTAGTGGGTTTTAATCTGAGATAAGCGCTGAAGAAGCACGCGTGATTTTGAATTTATAATAACATTACAAATCAGAATGCAAGCAGAGGCTTCTCATAGTGACAAATGAAAAATTAAATCTGAATCTTGAGAAAGTTATTGCTCTCAGTACATATAAAAATTTATAACTTCTTATAATTGATTATAATTTAGCGTTTTAATTAAATTTTTTAATATATTGAAGGCGGATAAAAGATTTTGAGGGGAAAATACAAACCCAGAGAGGTGTAGAAAAATAAACTTAATTGAGTTCTGTCCAGCTCATAAACATTCTTTAATGGATACCCCTGGACAGGTGGACTTTTGAAAGATTTTCTAGTGGGAAGTGTGAATTATCTGGGATACGAAATGTCCAGCTATCTCGCACCACTATGGTTTGCGTTTTGCGTAGACGCAGTGATGCAGGAAGAACAGTTCTTTACTTTTATGAGGCGGCAAAAAATTTCTGTGTGCTTTCACCGCTTTTCATGCCGCCAGTGAGAGGTGAGAGATTGCAAAAGCCAAAAAGGTTTTCAGAGCTGTACGTTTTTTCTGGCTTTTCCTTTTAACAAAAGATTTTCACGCCGATTTTTACAGTTTCCCACCTCTTCTTTTAAGAAAAACATTCAAATGGACTGAAATATTTAAAAATACATTTTAATTTTGAGTGAAATTAATGGAACAATAAAATTCCACTTACAAAAATAATTTTTGATAAATTGAATTCAAGATTGAAAAGTTTTTCTCAAAGTTTTTTTTATTGAGAAACTGAATTTCAATTTAAAGAAGAAAGTCCGAAAGTTAATGTTGTTTTTTTTTCAAGATAACGTTATCCTTGATAAATTTATGAGTGCCGCGGTGGCTCGTTCCTTACCTTCAGGCTTCTGTATTTTGTGGCCGCATTGCATGTCGCAGTATTTTGTGAATGCGGGCAATGACGAAGACACTGAAGTGTAGGACGTGGGTCATTTCCGCTGTTCTTGCATTATTGATACCTTTTTGGTGGATAGTTATAATGCAGCTTCATCTCAGCATGCTGGGGACCAAAGTTGGTGAACTGTACTCCGAAATCCAGGACACGCATACATTTGTGCGCGAGTTTATTTCCGCCTTTAAGAATTCCGATATTGTGGATTTAGGTAATTTCTATGAAGTTTTAAAATACCTAAATCATTAATAAAAAAATATTTTCAGAAATTAGGGAATACTACACGTACCCTGAATCACAAGGTTGGTTTATTACACTTCAAAGATTTATTTATTTTTTAATTCAACATAAATTAATTTTTGAACGAAAAGTAAATCGTTTAAATAAGCTATCTCAAGAGGACGAGAAATTAATTGAGCATATAAGGAAGAATCTTTTGATTCCACCAAAAGTTAATGGATCTCTGCCAATTAAAGACACCTCAAAAGGTCAATCGGCAAAAATTTTAGAACACTTCAAAAACAAAGTGCGTAAACGTTAAGTGTAGAAAATAATCTATTTAAGCTACTCTTAAAAAAAAATTTAGACTGGGGGATATTTTATTGAATGCGGAGCAATGGATGGCTATATGTTATCCAATACTCGTCTGCTGGAAACACAAAACAACTGGACTGGTCTTTTGATTGAAGCCGACCCCAAAAACTTTGCAGCGCTAAAAAAATCTGACCGAAATTGTACTCTCCTACCTACATGTTTAAGTCTAAAGAAACACCCAATGATGGTGAAAAATAAAATTTAAATTAGCAGTGAACTGAGTGACAATTCAATTCAGGTAAATTTCTCATCGCACACCGCTTGGTCCAAAATCACCTCCGAGGAGCCTGGTTTCAAAGTGCACTGCATGCCTCTATTTTCAATTTTGAAGGCATTGAATAGACCGACCATTGATTTCTTTAGTCTGGACATTGAGGGCAACGAGTTGGACGTATTGAGGACCCTTCCTTTTGACGAAGTTGATATCAAGGTATTAGTTTTTTCTCGTGTCACCTATGTACCGTTCTAATTTCATGTCGACCCATGCAGACCTTCGCTATCGAACATTCGAATATAAAAGAGGGTCGGGAGCACCTGTTAGAGTTCATGCTCAAGCAGGGGTATTACCAATTACCCTCGACCGAAAAGGAAAGAGGTTACAATAAATGGGCGCAAGAAGATTATATTTTCATAAAGAAGTAGCATTCAAACGGTTAAGTAAGAGATTTTTAGAAAATTGAGCTAATTTCAAAGATATTGGTATAGGATGGAGCTTTCTATAGCTTTTTTACTTTTTTATATTTCAGTCGTTGTGAGCTTGCGCCTCGATGAGGGTTATCTTTGAGAGCAATGTGAGTGCATCAAAAACAAAGACAACAAAGTTGTTATCATAAGATGATAAAGGATGCAATTGGATTGACATAAATTAATATTTTGAGAAAAAATTTAACGATTTTATAATGCTAGAATAAAAATTTATTAATGATGCTACAAACTTTGGCTGAAGGTTTATGAAAGCAATTTTTTTTTAATCAAATTAATTTTCCTAGTGTTTGGAATTAAAATTTTGGACGGATAAAATTAAAATAAAAAACGCTTAAAAAAAAGGAAAATTTCCTGCTCTTATAATTTCATAATCCTGAATAAGAATTTGACAGGTTCTTGTATTATTCTACCCTTTAGAGAGAATAATTATGAGCTTACAATTAGATATTTATTAATTTTCATTCGACTTCACTTAAAATGAAATAAATTTTCCAGTGTATAATTTTGCTGATGTGTTATTTAATTTATTAAGTCTCTTGTGTTTTCCCTCTATTAATCATGGCAATTAGTGATTTAAATAGTTTTCATGTAAGTTCAAAATCTTTATTATATTTATTTTTTAAATGAGTTTCAACATTTTACTACACAGAGGCAGCTGTGGTCTTTGAAAATTACATCTGAATTTTGCTTTTTTTTATTTGGAAGCGGACAGCGGTAGGTCTTGATGACCTGTGAAATGTACTACGGGTTCTCCCTCACGACACCACAAATAATTATCTGTTTCTTTTTATCAACATCACACGATAAGCAAGCTTACTTTGTCGATACCATTAGCTCAAATTAACGAAGACCACATGGCGCGGTTGCAGCACGTGGTGCATCGCATGCTCACTGCTGGCATATTAAAAATGTACGCGACGATGCGCCTCTGACTTGCACAATGCGATGCCTTGATGGTTAGTGACGGCGGACGGGTGTGCGTTTCACATTTATTATTGTCGAGTTCGCCGTGCCTGCTGCGTTTCTCTGTCATAGTTGTGCGGCGCAGTAAACTTGTTTTATTTTCCAATGTTAAATTAATAATCAATCGGACGCAGCTGTGTGACCTTACTCGGAAGAATTTCAAGAGGCTCTGTACTTTGATCATCTTATCTCACGTGTGAATAACCAGATTTCGATCAGTCTTCGCCCAGCTCTGATTCTAATTAGTCCGCCATGGGACTTTTGCTCTTTGGCGCCTTGGCCGTGGGCCTATTTGTGGCCTGTAGGCTCAGCGCCAAAATCAACTATGTGACCAGATTCACATATTTTGTGATATTCTCGTGTCTTGCGGGAACGATTTTCATCCCGCTTATGTTCTTCAAGCCAAGAGATTCTCGGAACGGATTGTAAGGATATACAATTTTTTTATTTTAAAAAAAATAAAGATATACAAAAAATTCTTTAGACTTCCAGCAGCTTTCCTACTATTTTGGATGCGAGTCATTGGAACTACTTACGAAGTGAAAGGGAAAGAGAATATTGTTAAAAATACAGGAGCAGTGGTTTTGATGAACCACCAAAGTGTTCTGGATCTCAATGGTATTTTATGATTAATCGTGGAAAAAATAAATGCTAAAACCAGCTAAAACATAAAAAAAAATCTTTAGTTTTAGGCTGCATCTGGCCACACACTCCAAATGGCTGCGTTATTTCTAAAAGGGAAGTTTTCTGGCTTTGGCCTTTTGGACTAGGGGCTTGGCTCTGGGGCACCGTCTTCATCAATAAACTGAACCCAGAAACGTCGCAGAAAGACCTTAACAAGGCTGGATCACACATTGCCACAAGCAAAGCTCGCATTTGCATGTTCCCAGAAGGAACAAGACACAGAGGACCAGATCTTCTACCTTTTAAGAAGGGCGCATTCCACCTTGCCCTGAATGCCCAGTGCCCAATTCAGCCAATTGTTATTAACAACTACCACTTTTTAGACGACAAAACTTGGAGATTTGAATCAGGTAATATTTTGTTTAAATGAAAAGTTTGAATGGCAATGATTAAACAAATGAAATTTAAAACATTAAGGGCACACGATCATTCAAGTCTTGCCAGCCATCGAAACAAAAGGAATGGGAAAAGAGGACTTGCCGGCCTTAATTGATAAGGCTCACAAGGTCATGAATGAAGGTTTCAAGAAACTTAACGAAAAAACGACATGGTAATCTAAAGGAGTGACTTCTATGAGAAATAAGCCTGCAGGAATGTTGAAAGTGGTAAACAATTTTGTACACATTGTTCTGCAATTCAATCTCTCCTGGATTATTTGTGTTCCTTTCCATAAAATAAACAAAGAAACTCCGTAAACGTACAAAAAATATATTCATTTTCCCTTTGCACATGAGCTTAATTGTAGATTTGCACAATTAAATTTAATCTGCATTAATCTGCAGACCTTCCGTTTGTGTATTGCTAATTAATATCATTACCAATATTATTCGAATTTGATTCCTTGAGCAAGAGGCAGTTCCTTGGAATAGTTGATGGTGATGGTCGATCGGCGCATGTACTGCTTCCATGAATCGGTGCCAGATTCGCGACCACCTCCTGTGTGCTTTTCACCTCCAAAAGCACCTCCGATTTCGGCACCATTGGTCGGAATGTTGACATTGATAATACCACAGTCGGAACCTTTCGGCCCAATCCACTATAAATTTTCAAAAAAAAAAAAAAAAAAAAATTTAAAATTTAAAAAAAGTCTTGTATAAGACATACCTTGAAAATTCGGCCCAGGTCCTTGGTGAAGATGCTAGAGGAAAGTCCTTGCTTGACCTCATTGTTCCACTTGATGGCCTCGTCCATATTGGAACACTTCAGCACATAGACAATGGGGGCAAAGGTCTCATCGTGTACAATGGGTGCATCGTGAGGCAAGCCAGTGACAATAGTTGGCTCCACAAAATTGCCAGGCCTATCCACCACCTAAAAAAAAATCCCTCACAATTTTGAATACAATTTTCCGAAACACAAACCTTTCCTCCAAACTCAATCTTTCCTCCCAACTTGACAACCTCAGCAATTGCTTTTTTGAACTGCTCGACTCCCACTTTGCTGTGCATGGGGCCGTAGAGAATTCCGCTGTCGAGGGGATCGCCAACTCTGTTGATTATTTGCTCATAGCCCTTCTTCAGACGGGCCAAAACCTCATCATACACCTTTCGAAAAATTCAATTATTTTGCTACTCATTCTTAGTGAATTGTTTTATTACCTTCTCGTGCAAAATAAGTCTCCTGGTCGTTGTGCACCTTTGGCCAGCTGTTCCAGCACATGCAAAAATAATGGCACGAGCGACCATGTCAAGGTCAGCATCCTCTGCGACCAGAAGCGCATTGTTGCCACCAAGCTCCAAAAGGTGCTTGCCAAATCTATTTTGCACCTCAAGCGCAACCTAATTAAAATATAAGGATTGAAAAACCAACTTTTGATGAGTTTAAATTTACTTTATGGCCAATTTTGGTGCTGCCTGTGAAAGAGACCAAAGGTACGCGTTCATCCTTGGACATGGCAATGCCAACGTCGGCTCCACCAGTGCACAAGGAGCACACAGCACCTGGAATGTTGTTCCTTTCCAGAACTTCAGCGACAACTTTTGTTGTGGCCACAGATACCAGAGGTGTTGTTTCCGCACCCTTCCACAGAAGAACATCTCCGCAGACCTGAGGATTTTATTTATAAAAAATAAATTTACTAACTATTTTTACCATAGCAATGGCACTATTCCAGCCGTAAACAGCAATAGGGAAGTTGAAGGCTGAAATGACTCCAACGATTCCAAGAGGGTTCCACTGCTCGAGGAGAGCGTGACCTGGACGCTCTGATGGCAAAACACGACCTTCCAGCATTCTCGAGAGTCCAACAGCGTAGTCGCAGATGTCGACATACTCCTGGACTTCGCCAATTCCCTCAGGCAAAATTTTCCCTGAAATTTTTGTAAATTTTTTAGCGAATTAAATATAATAATTCATTTTGATACTAACCCATTTCTAGAGAGACAAGTTGTCCCAAAGGCTGCAATTTCGCTCTCAAGGCATCTCCAATTTGTCTAACGATTTCTCCCCTTTTGGGTGCAGGAATGTCAACCCAAGTCTGCCAAGCTTCTTGGGCCGATTTGACACACCGCTCGTAATCCTCGACAGAACCTTGTTGCACCTCGGCAATTGGCCGTCCGTTTGCTGGGCAAATTGACGTCACAGTCTGAAATGTTAACATTTTAATTACAGTTTATATTTTCAAGATCATAATTTTTATTTCATACCGTTCCAGAGGCCTTCCATTTTCCATCATACACACCGACGTTGACCTTGTCCAGTCCCAATTCTTTCAGAAAAGAATACTTGGGCTCGTCAATGAGATATGAAGTGGACATTGCTCTAAAATAAAATTGAAAATTTCTTATCGCTGCTGTGGACCTAAGGCGTAACAGTGCCGATGCCATTTATTCGTCTATAAACCAAACCAACAACGAAAAATAAAGCGTGACAAAAACTCAAATGTGTACAGTGCAAAACAAAAAATGAAAACAACACACCCTAAGGAGAGGCTACGCGCAAACTCACCGAGAAGACGAAGAGGTCAATCATACGCTGATCACACGCCTAATCTCAAGAAGTTAATCCGTCCTTTCGGTGCACACTTGTCAAGGTCGAATAATTATCCAACTTAGCCGGGTTGCTATCGCGACGAATTTACTTACGTGAAGTTAGCCTTTTCGTAGAGGCTAACTTCACTTACAGCTGTTTTTTTACTTTGATGTGGTTGGTTCCTTAGCTCGGAGCGGTTTAATTTCAAAAGTTTTCCCCTTTTTGCGGCACGTGGCCACGGGTATTATACTTAACACATGCACCACCGAAAAAATAATGATAATGAACCCAACTCTATCTAAAACTGGTGCGATGACAATAAAATTAAGTGATTGGAGGGTTTTCCGGATATTGAATATGTAGCATGAGATAATTTTCATAATTTTAAAAGAAATTTAAATAGTGTATTCCAATAAATTTTCAATTTTTTTTTTTATTTTTGATTTGAGAATTAAAAAAGTACAGCTCAGCCGATTTTTTTACAATTTCAGGTTTTTAAGATTCACTTTGCGATTTACTGACATATATTATGTTGAAAATTTCCAAAATCACATATTGCATCCACTTTTCTTTATTTACTTGCAATATTGGCATCCATCTAGAGCTCTCTGCTAAAATAATTATTTTCTTCTAACAAAAATGTGTAATAAATAAATAATTATGCACTTATTGAATAAACATGCGACAACAGACTTTGGCACAAAAAGGGTCATGCACTTGTAGCACCAAATTGAAAAGTGTACAAATATAATGCTTTCAACTTGAAAAGGGCTATAGCAAGGTAGTAAGCATATATACAATCTCACTCGGTGGAATCTGAAATAAGCTTTTACGTGATGAATTTTTGGATAAATCGAATTGTTCTTAAAATTCCGGAAAAAATTAAAGTCAAAGAGTATTTATATAAAATTTCCACCGCAATCAAAATCGTTTTGAAACAGCCTTTACAAACAAATTTCCATCCTTATTTATATGACCACAGACTTCAAATTTATTTTCTTCAACAAGAATAATTTAACTTTCAACGACATTGATTCGTGCCTATTTAATTGCACTTGTGCCTGGATAATAGTAAAGGACTGCCGAGGCAGGCATTTGCCACCTGGATGCCCTCATTTCAATCAACTGCATCAGAGTTTTGCGCACCCCAGGAATAGAAGTGTCCACAAAGGCGTCGCGAAGAGCAGACATCAACTTTGGCATTCGCTGCTTCATTTCGGAGTCGAGGTCACGTCCGATCGAGGTCAAAACGTAAAAGAGGCACTCAGTCTAAAAAATATAAAAATGTTTTCAAAGTTTCACTGATTGAAAACACGACATTTTTCAGACTATTTATATTAATTTAAATTAAAAGTTATTAAAAATTTGTATTTAAAACAAAAAACTAGTACCTCTCCCAATGAGTTTATGGCTGGAGGTTTCAAGCAGACAAAACATGAGTCGTACAGGAGCCCCAGAAGGTGCATTTCCGGAGAAATGCCTTGTGGTTTTGTTCGCAATTGTAACTGCCGTCTTTTTAACTGAAAATATAAAATCAAATTTTTGAACAATTTCGATTGAAACTATATGCTAGAGTTTTTTTTTCAAAATAAAGGTGCCTCTATTAAGGAATCTGGTTTGACTCAAATGACTCAATGATATAAAAAGTGAATATTGACTTATTGATAGGATCGCATTTTGTGAGCATATTTGTTATATTATATCACATAAATGCAATGGAAAAAATAGGTGTGTATTTATTTTATTTAACTCTTAAATGATATTAGAATAACTGAAAGAGGCGATCGTCTACTTTTCCTTATCCCTAATTTAAACTTTACCTGGCAGTACATTTCGTTGAGGAAAGTCATGTAAGCGACCCAACGAGGGCAGCTCGGCGCAGGAGCTCCCTGAAGAAGGACGGCCGTCGAAGCAGAAAGTCGAAGGTGGCGATCGCGCTCGTGGTACCACTGCGTGCAAGTGTTAAGCAGCGTTTCCAAAAAGGTCTCCTGCTTTTCTTTCTGCAGTAATAATAAATTTAGTTTTAAAAGTGTGTTACAAAAATTTATATAATTCGTCAAACCTCAATTACTGATATGCAGAACTTTGCAGCAGGCGCCGCGTATCTAGCGCTTTCTATCACTCTCTGCAAAACCTGGCGGACTAGAGACATCAAACTGCGAGAGGACAACTGATTTGGGTCTGGAAAAAACGGAAGGGGGGTTTTAATTATTCAATATTTCCGTCATGGATGTCAAGATAAATACAAAAAAAATATCGGTTAAGCTCGAGGAAAACTGTGCGACTTTTTAGCGTCATAGGCATTTTTAATTAGGTTAGGTGATTTCATAAACAAATAGAAAACACCAAATTGGAGCTTTTTGAGGATTTCAGCTGTTTTGAATGGCAAATTTTTACTAATTTTTTTACCTCCTTATTCATGTAATATAGCATCAATTTTTAATTGAAAAATAATCACCTGTGACCGCCCTCTCTATAAGGACAAGGGCCTCCCCAGGGAAAATTCCCAGTTCCGGGGCCTGGGGTGAAATTCCTGGCTCTCTATTTTTTATGCTGTCTGCAGCGCCCATGCTCTTAGACCGCTGCAGCCCGCCCGGGGTCACAGTGGGCTTTTTCATAATGCCCTTCAGAGGCATTTGTCTTGCTTCCTCGTGGAAGTGCACCCGAGACTGCAATTTTAAATTGAAAATAAATTACCAAGGCAAAATTAGATAATTTATTTACTGAAGAGGTGGAGAGCATGTTTCCTAAAGACATGGACTGCTGGATGTCGCCAGCATTTGGCTGCTGGCCCCTGTTCTTGTTGTTTGCTACCTTCAGCTGGTTGTTCCTGGAGTTGATGGTAAACTCCTTTGCGTGCACATTCAGCCGACTGGATGGCTGATCACAATTTGCGCCTTGCTCCAATCCGAAGTGACGGATGTTCGCTCTTGTGCCTGAGTAAGAAAAATCTAATTTACAAAAAAAGATTAAAAGTGTCAATTAAAAATAATTTTGGTCACAATAAATTCATAAAATTAATTTCTTCTGATTAAAAACGTGTATAGCCTGTCATTGAAAAATAAATTGAAATTCCAGGATATAATTTGATATTTTTTTATAAGACAGCGAGTTAGGAGAGTAAAAAACAATTATGTGGCTCATCACACCTTTTATGGAATGCACTTGAGAAGATTTGGAGCCACGGTTTTCACTGTTTTACAGTTATGATAATATTTTTGCGGTGAGCCCAGAAATTAAAAAAGAGAGAGCGCTTTTACCTTTAAAAAGCGACTATAGAAAATTTTTAAGTACAAATTGAATTTGAATATAAAGAAAACTATGAAAACCTATCACGTGTTTGTCAAACCGCCCTTCATACTCTTAATATGTGAGCGATATGAAATCGCTTTTGCATCGTGACAAGCCGCTCAATAAATTCTTATTCAATTTTAGGTCGTCAGCACTTTTATGTCAACCGTAAGCACGCCAGTATTGCGCGTCAAACTTTTGAAACGAAATGTCAGTCCTTTAAAAATAAATATTTCACTTTTTTTTTAATTTACGTCAATTAATGTAAATTTTACAAAATAGATCTGTTGCCCAAAAACATTTACTAAAAATATATTATAGAGTTTAAGTTAAAAAAAGAAATGTATACAAAATCTATAAAAAATTTATAAATTTAAATTTTTTGTGATTTTGTTTTATTTTAAAAGACTAAGTCAAGAGGCTAATTCTTATAAAAAAAAAAAAAAAAAACATTTTTGGCTCTTCTTGCCATTGCCCATTATAGGCTAAATATTTGAATATATATTTTTTTTTAATTTGTTATCGCTTACTGGGTGGTCTGTAGATTTCCAGAGATGGCTTGTTGGCCGCCCTGCTGGCTGCTGCGGCCACGGCCGCCTGGTGTTGCTGTTGGACAGTGGCCCCGTTGTGTCTGCTGTTGGAGCGGCGCGAGAACTGCGAAAAATAAGTCGCGCGGTCACTCACACTCTCTCGTCAGACTCCGTGTGTGTGTTTAGTTGTTAGTTTGATTCGTCAGTCGATCGCCGGCTGTAAGGTTAGCGCGCGACTCTTGATAAATAAATTTACTTTTTTCAAGCCACGACTATACCGCCGCGCGCTTGACCCCTCCCTATGCTGGAAATGCACTGTGCTGGCAGTTCTTGCAATTGCAGCACTTGATTGATTTCATTTATAATGTATAAAAGCTATACAATATGAAATCCAGCGTTTTTAGTTAACACGCAGACTTTGAAATAAAAAAAAAAACCAATCAATCAGAAAACAAACAGTAAAATTTGTATGCTGTGAATATAAAAACACAGCTTTCCTATCCTATAGTGGCCATTTTCAAATTTATGGTTAGGGACATATAATTTTTTTGAGGAATCTTTAATTTGCAAATTGTTTCAGTAAATTTTTTAATGCCTAGAAAATTGAGTCGTCTGTGTGGTTATAATAAACTCATGAGGTTTCACGATAGATTATAATGGCTCATTTTAAATATTTTAAGCATCTCGTTTTTATGGGTGGTTAAAAATGTTTTAGAAAGGCCATTGTTAGCATGCGGCGTTTTACTAATTCAACCATTACAAAATTTATCCAAAGAAGATGAGGGGGACATAAGGATGCCGCCGTGAATTCCATTTGAAATTCACGCCGCGTGCAGCGGAATAGCAGTTCCTTTTAAAGACATCCCTTCCTCTTTGCAGCTTGGACAATAATTGGGATTAACTGCCTCTTAGAACTGTGCAATTTTGTCAAACTAAAAAGGGCCTCCTTCCAATTAAAGAATTTTACTGTCCTTCTTTAACTTTTTACAAACAAGCAAAATTTCACATATTTATTTTGAGCGTTATTCTGCTGGATAAATATGGTGTTGTCGTCAGGCGGATATATGCAAAAATCAATACCATGTGACAAAAGATGAGGTTGGGAATTATAAAGTCAAAGAAATCCCTCTGGCAATGATTCTATACTTGTGGGAGAGAAAAAGTGCTGTAATTTGATATTAGGATAAGAAGACAGGCCTGCCGAGCGCTTATTTTTGCATAATCTGGTGCCGTGTCCAAGTTTGTGCGCCTGGCAAAAGCTATATCACATCCATAATCTTTAACCCGAAGCAGAAAAGTGTCTGCCGCTGAAACTCAGTTGATTGGCTTCTGTATGTGCACTTCCAGTTTTTTATATATTATTCTTAGAACAACACCTCAAGTCTGCTTTTCTGCTCATTGAAAAACGTAAGACGAAAAATTAATTTTAAAATATTCTAAATTGATTAACAATAATAAACGCATGTGATCAAAATAAAGCAAAAATATTTTTAAGCTTCAAGCGTAAATTCTGCAAACGCCTGTCAATATAAAAAAAGGAAAGAATGGGTCAAGAAGATACTGTGTCTTTGCCCGTTCTTTTAAAAAAAAGGACTGACCTGCACAAAACTGCGCTCCCTGGCAAAGTCGACCTTGTTGCTCCGTTTCAGGTCGAGGGCGAGGGCCTTGCGGTTTTGCGTCGGAGTCGTGATGGCCGTCGAAATTGAGGTGGCCGAGCTCGAGGTGGTCACTGCGTTCGACATTACTGTTGCGGGCTTCGGATTCGAATTCGCCAAGTCGCAGGGGGAGGCCCTTTCCTCTGCGAGCAAAAGCAAAACCGTGTAAACACAAAAGGAGCGGCTTAGTCGAAAAATTCAGGTAGGTTGCAGTATGCGAATCAAAAGAGCACTTATCGCGCCCATGAAAATTCCAAACGAAATATTTACCAGAGAAGCGTTTAAAAACGGGAATTTTAATCAATTGCAATTGCAAAAAATATTTATATTTTTAACGTACAATGTTTTTAATAAAAATTTTGTTGCATTCAAACTTAATTCTGAAATTATTTAATATTTGCTTTTTTAGCTCTTAAATAAAATGAAGAATTCGTTAAATTTTATTTCAAGAATTTTTCCGTCACATACATAACATATAATTATGTACTGTGTGGTGTTGCAGAGACCGCCTATAGAGAGTGTATAATTTGACGTCATGTGACTTTTATTTAATTGTGTATGTACTTGTAATGCATCCTTTAGCAAGTCCTCACATTGAGCCGGCTCTCGCACCCCAATTTATCAATCTCTTCTCACACAGCGCACCGCGACAGACTACGTTACGCACAAATGCTTTTTACGTTGATCTTTTATTGAACATAATATTAAGTGCACTAATATCAGACTTAAAAAAATGAAAATAAAAAAATAATAAGAAGATTTTTTTATACATTCATCTTACCTGATTATTCGTGTTCGTTTTCAGTTCGTTCGTTCACTGAAACAAATAGAGATGTTACAGAAGGTGTGCGCGATAAGAAAATATATAACAAAGGATCGGACGGTTTGTCTTTTTCTACCTCGTCTCTTGGAAAGGTTAACATGCTGACAAAGATAAGGAAATGTGCAAATATTTTCTCAAGTATTGAAGAATGCATAAAAGTGTCTTTTATGAAAAAATTAAGAACTTTTAAAATTAAAAAATTAGCAATTATCTGCTAAATACAAACTATTTTTACATTTAATTATTGCTAATATTTTTAAAATTAAAATGTTTATTTTTATGCTAATATTAAGCAGAAAAACTTAAGTCCTCTGGTCAACTGTACAAGTAAAAATCTCGTTCTGGGCCAAAATGCGTGTGTGTTGTGCGTGCGATGAGTTAGAGGCAGCATGCTCTTGTATGGAAAGCTATTTTTGGAGCCCACGTAAATACCACATCGCTCGTGATTCGCACTGAAAACACCCTGTTTTCCTACGCAAATGACAAAAGTGCAGGTTCTCACTCACCTTTTTGAAGTGTGAGATCAAAATTATAAATTATCCGAGCCAGCCGGCGCGTGGCTGAGAATTCTGCAGGAAAGATCGTCCGCCTTCAACTCTCAACCCGAGGCCCGCACCCGCCATCAAGCTAGGCCACCAGCAGAACACGCGAATTACGCGCCACCCGTGGCCAAAAGAGCAATACAAAAAGGGGGCGTGGCGTGTGTTCCTGCTGATTTCGCCGCATAACATTTTTACAATTTCAGCTTACGAAATTTCAGCTCGGCTGAGGGCGAATTGTAATTCGGCCGGAAAATGAGCTCCAGCAGTGAAATATCGCTGCTTAATTTTTATTACTTCAATTCCATATACGGACCAAATGAAGGAGAGGTGAGGATATGTACATATAATAATATGTTCAATAAAATTTTTGTTTAAATTTCATAATTTAAAATTCAAAATTAATTATTTCCATTGTAGGAGGAGAAGAAAGTATTGTATTACTATCCATCAGAGACGGACATAGAGACGCAAATTAAAAATGTTGGCTTATCAGAGGCTATAATTAAGTTTACAGAGTATGTTCATTTCAAATATTTGCTTATGGATCTTTTGAATATTAACGAACTTTAATTTTATCAATTTTCTAGGACATTCAACCCAAGTAAGCCTTGCGAGTCTTTGCACACACAGAAGACACGACAAGTTATGCACCAAGCCGAACCAGGATTTTGGAGTGTAATGGTAAGTAAAGATAAAAAAGAAATATTTAAAAAAAAAATTAATTCCATAATTTTTGTCAGACACTCTCAGTGCCTACACTAGTTAAATCAAAAGACGGCCAAGATTACACAGAGTATCAAACTGACGACATCAACGATGCCGTGTACCTTGCAGTTTTGAAACAGTGCCACCTCATGTTCCAACTTTTCAATGGCCACCTTAGTAATTTGGCCAGCAACCCCTCGCAAATCAAAGTATTGTTAGACCAGTTTTATTCAAGGGTAATTTTTCATTTCTTTAAAAATTGTAAAACATTATTTTTTAATTGAGAAAAATATAAAATCAAAATTAAATTGATTTTAAATTTAGCTGCTACCAACTCTCAAACTTCAGCACTCTGATTTGCTGGACATTTTTGCTGGAATGCAGTTTTTGCCTTTGGACGCAAATACGTTTTTGCACGTTCAGTGTTTGGTGAACAAGATCGAAGCTAGTTTTCCCAGTGCCCAACACAGCGCTGTTTTCTTCAATGACCAGTTGGTTTGGTAAGAATTTTCCGAATTTTTCAAATTTGAAGTGAATTTAATTTCTTTTTAGGAGTGGGATTGATCCCCTTGATATGCAACTTATATTCCACTATCTAGTCACATCCTTACTACCCAATTTTCTTGAAACGGAAATTGAACCCAATCGACCCAGAGTTGTTGGACGGTATGCTTAAGTTAGAAGTGAAAACAAAATTTTATTGGAAACTTTAGGTATGTAACTGGCCCCAACGTAACTCCAAAGGACGACATATCCAACAGCTCAATACCAAGGCTCTTCCTAACAAATGGACAAATAGTCTATTTAATTGTCTATAAGGCTATGAACGCAACTATTTGCCTTCTCCTTGATAGTAACAATATTGTTTTTGTTTTTAAATATATTCTCATTCCACTTTTTATTATATCAGGTTACAGTGTCCCAACTCCAGAATTTTTCCGTCGTCTGGACGGTTTCCTTAGCTCAAGACTGTCTCAAATATCAGAAGAGCTGGCTGCGAGTTGTTCCAAAAGTGCCACTCAGTCTCCAGCAGGTGCAACTCTGCTAAACAACCTTGGTCCTGATTCGCCAAAATTTATTTATTACAACACATTGAACAGAGCCACCAAGAGCACCATTCATCTTGATGGTCGAAAATGTGGCCTCGTGTCAGTCAGCCAAGAATTAATTAAGTTGCTTGCTGACGTCCACAGTGACAAAGAAAAGTAAAATAATATTTAACATTTTTTTACAATTCTTGTACCTATTTACTTCCAGGTTGAAGTCATGTAGTGAAATAATATTAAAAACAAGAAATGATAGCTGGGTTGCGGGAAAATTTGCCAATCTGAGAGAATTTTATGTTGTGCTCAACACAAAAAATGCCAATTTAATTGAAATAAGTGGTAAGACTTTGGAATTTCAGCATTAAAGAGGACTGAATCTTATCAATTTTTCAGATGAGGTGAAGAGGTTGTGTGATTTGCATCTCAGGTGCATTTTCTTTACTGACTGACACATGAACAAACCAAGCCTGATTGCTTTCACCCAAGGCAAGACATATTGCGAGTTTGCTACCTGCAACATTCCTTACTTTCAACTTAATGTTTCGTAATTTTAATATATATTAAAAAAATTGTTATATTCGTTCCGAGATATTTGGGTTTTCTTGACTGAAGACTATTTTGAAATTAAGTGATAAATGTAACATTATTTATTCAACAGTCATTGCATTCATCAATGAGAAGTCGTTGAATGGGCTACCATTGAATTTTGTTTTACTTTGCTTTAACATTTGCCAATTGTAGCAAAATTTTAGCCCAATTTTATTATCATCCCTCCAAAATCACAAATCTGATGACCATTGAATTGAAGTTTATTCCCAAAGAGTGAGGTCAATTTTTTGTGGCATGTTCATTCTTTTTATACAGCAGTGGATCATCATTTTTATGATACATTTACATTACAGCCTACTACTAACAAAAGGGCAAACGAAAATAGCCTGCCAGGTAATAACGTGACTCATAAAATTTTCAGAAAACTGGCAGGCGATTTTCATAATGCAATCCTTGGTCTCTCAGAAAGGTTAGGTTCACTCATAAATGTCTTCTTTGTCGGCCACGTATCGGACAATGTCTGCAGGCCTCAGAAGTCTTTCCGCATCACCATCGGGGATTTCAAAACCTAGCAAATTTACAAACATAATTTAATTTTAAAGAGAATTAAAAAAAGCAAAAAACTAACCAAATTCATCCTCCATGGCCATGATGATTTCAACGTGGTCTAATGAGTCCAACCCAAGGTCATTTAAAAAATGTGTTTCCAGGGAAAGCTAAAAAGGAAATTTATGTTTTTATATTATTCTGAAAATCTGTAGGAAATAGATTATTTAATATATACATCAATTATTTAATAAAGGAAAGTTAGATTTCTAGATACCTTGGCTAATGTTCCTTGTTTTGTTCAATTTTTAAAGTATTATTTAAAAAATTTATTCTTTACAGAAGTTTTTTTTTCAACCTTCGTATTTTCAGAGAGCTTTATTAAAAGCATTAGCCAAAGTTTTTCTCGGTTTTCATTTGAGCCATGACGAGACAGCCATCCATACCTTTTCTGGCTGAATTTTATCATAGAGTTTAAGCACAAGGAGAACTCTGTCGCGAATCATCGCTAAATCCAGAGGCGGTTTGTCGCTGTACCGACGGATGGACTGTCCAGTCAGGCTCAATCTAGAGACCTGTAACAAGACGAAAGGAAAATGTGAGCACCTTTTCTGCGTGCACCTTGTCGAAGTCTTTGCACACACGCAAAACGCGCTCCTTGATCTCATCAACTGTGGGTTTCACTCCAGGGTTGGAGGACATCCACCTTTGGATGACCGAGGACACGACATTCTTCTGCTAAGGTTCATATCAGCTATCAGCATTTGTTTAAAAATGGGACAAAAAGCTAAAAAATAAAAAATTGCTTGATACCACCCACCAGACGGAGGCCAAAACAGTGATAAAAATTTCAGTTATATGACTTAATTAATTAAAAATTATTAAATGATCATATGATTTTTGAAATTCCCTTATAAAATTTGTTCAATGTCATACTAAGGCGGTCGCAAATTTAAATTAACAGCAACAGCAATCAAGCCGGGTGCCAAGGGGCAGGTTGAAAATTATTCCGCACCTCATTTCTGGATGTAAGGAGAGCTGCAGACGGTATGGCTCCGCACAGTTTCGTGTGGATACCCTTCTGCTGCAGACCGACAAGGGTGGCCCTCGGAAGGGTGACCCGCAGGAGGCACGAACTGATTGAAAGAGCACCACGAACTCCCTGGACCAACGCAGCCATCTTTTCAGTCTCTCTTGGATTTCGGCAACCCTCAATGCCTTGCGCAGTGCAATGCCGAGCCGAGCAGGGCGCTGAAGGCGCAGAAATTTTTCATTGGAAGTAGAAGATTCGAAATTCAGCGAATTGAGTGATTTTTGTTTAGCAAAAAACCAAAAAGAAAAAAGATTGTTTATAAGGTTTTTATATAATCTAATTAATACATTTAGATGATGGATGTGGTGATTAAATATGTAGGGCCACTTTTTTTTATCACAAATTCTTACGTAATGGCACTGGCACATTAGCATTAGCACATCGTAATGGGCCAATTTTTCCTACCTAAAAATTCAAATTTCGCGCTATTTTGAAATGTTTGCGCTCATTTCTTGCTTGCAGCATGCCAGAAAATAATTTCGGTGCGGTGTTGTGTATGTACTAGCTTCCTAGTGATTTACATGCCGATCGTTTATAGACCTTTATTATTTAACAAACCGTGTGTAAAGACGTAAACATAATAGAATTTTAAATTGTGAAGTAAGTTGATTACTATTTTGTCCCCAAACTTAGTTAAAGCAGAAATTCTTGAGAATTTTCTCCACAATATAATAATATCAATCTAAACTGGTGCCGGCATTTTGCAGTGCGTCTCAAGATTGTTTTTACATAGTAAATGGATAATTATTTTTTTTGATGAATTCAAGGTTTGCTGTCCAACATGGCATTTTATGCCCAAAAGGACCCTCGAATGAGACGCTTTGACCAAGCAGCGGCAACCGAATCCAAAAAGGAGGAAGAAAAACCCAAAGCGATTCTCGAAGATTATCTGCTGGACGACGAAGCTCCGCCAAAACCCAAAGGCCCCAAAACACCGCCACACCCTGCACCCGCAGCAGCACCAGTGGTTGCAGGTGCATGGCCAGGAGCAGGAGCACCTGCAAACACTGACTTATCAAAGGTCCCACCACCCCAGGGTGCTCCAATTCCAGTAAAAAGCTTCACCCACCTGTCTGAATTATCAAATCTAACTCAAACTTCATTCCCTAGGGCGCAGCTGGATATCCAGGGTATCCTCCTAACTATGCCCAGCCAGGGCAGCCGTACCCTTACAACAATTACTACAATCAGTATGACTACTCGCAGCAACAGCAGCAATACCCTGGCTACAACTACTACCAAGGCTATCCTCCGCCTGGCTGGGGAGCTCCGCCTCCAGGAATGCCACCTACAGCCGTTCCTCCGCCAGCTATGCCTGATCTGACAAAGCCCCCTCCTATTGTTGCACCTGTGGGAAGTAAAACAGTGAGCCAACGGGGGCTGAGTCCTGCCAGAGACGAGAGAGACAAAGGTAGGGTGAGAGACGACAGGGACAAAGGAAGGGAGAGAGACGACCGGGATAAGGGAAGGGAAAGAGACGACCGAGAAAAAGGGCGAGAGCGAGAAAGGATAAGAGAAAGGTCAAGGGAGAGAGTTCGAGATACTCGAGACCGATCCAGGGAGCGCCAGCGAGAGCGAGAAAGTGACCGATATAGAGGTCGGGAAAGAGAACGTTCTCGTGAACGTGAAAGGTCAAGGGACTTTTCTCGAGAAAGGGATTCGGGAAGAGATAGAATTCACAAGGAGAGAGGACATTCCAGAGGCAGGGAGAGGTCAAGAGACCACTCAGTGGACAGATCCAGAGACAAAACTGAGGAAAGGTCAAGAGAAAGCTCAGGTGAGCGACCACTGGAGCAAGGCAAAGAAAGGAAAAGGAGTAAGGTTGATTTAGGATTATTTGAATTTGATGTACTAAATAAATACTGTTTTAGCAGAGGATTCTGAATCCCCAGAGAGTGTGGAGAGACTCACTGAAAGTGTCACTATTCAAAGAGACAAGTACGTGAAGCAATTCGAGATGTTCAAGAAGGAACTTTTCATACTTAAAAAACAGCAGAAAGACTTGGCAGGTGAAAAGGACAGTGATTACATGCTGGAGGAAAATATAAAGCTGCAGGTAAAATATTTATTTAGCTTATACGTCACAAAGATTATTTTATGAAAATTTAGGATGAGGTAAAGAAGCAACTGAAAAGCATAGGTGAGCTGGTTGGAAAACTTGACTTGGTTCTTGCATCGAACAAAAAGAAAAAGAAGAAGTCAAAAGATGATAGGAGCCAAAGTGACAGCAAGGTATTTTACTCTTTGAGTAATTATAAAGCACAGATTAAATTGCTGTTTTGCTGGTAGGAGCGGAGGAAGTCTGGCAGGCCAGCATCTAGAACAGAATCCAGTGATGATGATAATTTACCGAAATCAGAGAAGTTGAAAGAGATCGAAAGAAGACCCAAGTTCAACCTTAAATTCTTTGATCCAGAAGAATATTGGTGCAGAGTCTGCAATATATTCCCTGACAATGCCAAGGAATATCTGCATCATCTACACTCTCAGGAGCACAAGCATGCCATGGCTGTATAACTCTTTTTTTTAACTAAAACAATCAAAGATACATTTTATCATTCCCGTTTCAGGAAATAAACTTGATAGAAGCGGCATGGCACGACCACAATCCTGAAAAGCCACGGGGAGAAATTGAAGGAGCACCTGAGAAACGAGTACCTATCAGAGGTAGTCACTGAATAAAAATAAGTGTGGAAGTTTTAAAAAAAATGTATTCAACAACAGGTCTTCAGTTCCTTATCGCAGCCACAGCCTGGTATTGCAAACTGTGCCACAAGTGGATGGGAGACTTGCACTGCACCTCTCTGCATCTCAAATCTGATAAGCACATAAACAATGTTGAGGTAAAATATGCTCAGGTTGTATTAAGCACTCAATCTGATGGTTTTTCTGTCAGGCGTACTTTGAAGATGATCCAGAATGGGAGACAACTTGGCGCAAAGACCGTGAAAAGGCCCTTAAGCAGGCAATGCAAGACGCAAAGTCAAAGAAATTGAAACCAACTGAAGCAGAAGATGTTTCAACTTCATCAAAATTCACTCCACGTTCCGAAAATAGTCCGAAGCTGGACGAAGAAAATGCAAAAAGCGTGAGAGTTGCAATGCGTAACCACGGAAAAGGAGGTTTACCTCCTATGGGACCTGCCATTGCGCCAAATCATCCTCTTAGCCACCCAATTAGCAAGCCAAGTTCATTCTGGGAGACTGTCAATCCAGGCAGGAAAGACGTTGAAAAAAAGGAGGTAGAAAAATCTCGCGGAAAGGAAGTAGTTGAAGACGACAAGAGGAAAAAGAGGAGGAGCCGAAGTGCGTCACAAGAATCTACAGAAGGTAATAAAATACTAACTTTGTTTAGAGTCTTTTTTGCAATTTTAATAAATTAAACGCTTGCATTTATTGTAATTTATACAAATTATTTATTTATAGACCGACGCCGATTCAGCAGAGGTCATCGTAGCCGCAGTCGGTCAGGAGAACGTCGCAAGGATAGACGCAGCCGTAGTAGAGACCGCAGAAGAAAACGCTCTCGGAGTGGTTCAACACCCCCACGACGAGAGCTTAAAAAGTGGGTTGACATACCTTCGTCTCCTCCTCCGTACATAGTGAGAAAAACTGAGGAAAAGGACAAATTTGACAAGCTTAAGAAGAAGCCGGCTCCTGTTGTAGCCAAAGAGCTGCCCAAAAGCAAGTTTGGTTTCATCGGTAAAATGCCAGTGCTCAAGGCCAAGAAAAAGGCGGAAAGTGAGGCGCAGTCCTCATTAGTGAGTGGTGACCCTTATGAGTACTATGCTTACAATGCCTACATGGCTTCAAACCAGACGGAAGAAGCCATTGATGAGAGTAGCTGCGTAGACATGGAGGTCGATAATGGAGATGAGAGTGTCACAAATGGAGCTGGCGAAGCTACCCCTAAAGGTAATTTTTAAAATAAATTAATCCACTCGGGTGCCATTAGCAAAAAAAAAATAAAAAAAAAACTATCAAAATAATCCCTTGCCCCATGAGCTATCTCAACAAAAACTTTTTTCAGACGTATAACCCCCTACCCAAACCTGTAAGCTCAGGTATGCCAAACTTGTTATAAACCTTTGTGCTGTTCCCCCTGGTCCACTCGTAGTTGATTTATTACTTGATTAAATAATTAATTGTAATTATTTGATTTAAGTTGCATCTGGCAAAAATTCAGAAGAACTGGATGAAATGGCCCTGCTCGGCATTGATCCTGAGGACATCATGGCTCAGGTTTTGTAATCATTGTCCATTCTTTGACTATTTCATTTCATTTTTGGACTCTGCTTGTGCGTTGAGGTGCATGTGAAATTCTTGATTTGGAAGCATTTTTATTAAATAAATTTAGCACACAACATCACTAATATAATGTGATTGAGTTCATTTATGACCAGCGGGTGATCGATTTTCAATGAGACAACCTTAATTTTGGTCAACTGCGTTTAATCATCATTCTCCATAATTGTGGAGACTTCTACACAGAAGTCCCAATGATTATTGTAGGTCCAAAAGCATTCTGGAAACGCTTTTGTGTGAGCCGGGTAAAAATATTTTCTTACCAAAATGGGGTCGATTTCACAATGAAAAATCCAAATATTTTGCTTTCGGAATTTGTTTGCACCTACTAATATTTTTACCCTGACACAACATTTTACTTGCACATTTTAGTCTCTTAAGCAGAAACATCCAGCAAATCAACATGAACTTTGCTTGATTGATTGTTTGTTTTATTTTTTATAAACATTCGATCTTCTCTGAAACCACAGCTCGTTCTCAACGTTGGGGCGCACAATTAATTGAATTATTCTCAGGATTGTTTAATTTTGTGTCATATTAAGGAACAAAAAATTTAAATCGGGATATTATTAAGTCCAAAATTTTAACTATCACATAGACTCTGTCTAATGTGTCTGAGCTTAGAGGGCAGAGGTGACGATTCTCTCCCTCTGACTAGACAGTACACAGGAATACAGCTGCCTAACAACTAAGATCACTACACAATGCGTTTATTGTTTTGGGGGCTCATTCTCCCCCCGAGTTCCATGATTTGGCCTTGTGATGCCGAAAAATGCCCTTCAGGAACGTCTGCTCTCAAATGACACACCAGCAAAAATGCCGCAAACTGCGAATAAATATTCAAAAATTGCTCACATGCTTTAGGTTGTCATACCTTGAGCCCCATTTTGAATAAAACTTTTTAACATAAAATTGGTGATTCCATTTCGATGGAATTTAATTTTTGGACTGAATTGTTGGTGTTCAATTCAAATAGGTGAAGCTGGTGCGCATTTTGACCAAGACTTAAATTTTGAGTCGATTGATAATTGCATTTTCTCATGTATTTTAGTCCTCAAATCCTACAATTGTTTGTTACAAAGAGAGAAAGCACGTGGGTGCGCTTGTGAAAATTCGATGCGAGCTTCTGGCTGGCTGATTGCCTTCAAGATTTTATCTGCTACACACTGTGTGCAATTAAAAAAGTGACGAGCGAGGCGCTCTGGCCAGCAGAACAACAACAGCGCACACATTAATTTATTTTACACATTACACGATAAAAATTAGGGGCCTGAGTGAAAACTGCGAGGTGGAAATTGATAATAGCAAAGCCTGTGAAAATATTGATGGACACACACCATGTACTTCTGCAACATTGATTATATAATATAAAAGAAAATAAATTGAATGAGCGAATTTGATGACGGAAAAATTAAAATAAAAATTTGATATTTTTCCACTCAATTTTCTCTCTTATAAGGCCCCCTACGATTGATACATATGGATATGAGAGATTTGATGGTTTCCACATACCTAATTATAGTTATTTGTTTATTGCTACATGTCACTTATGATTCTTATGAGTGAGAAGTTTGCCCTAGCTCGCGTCAAACACTTAACAGTTTTGGTACTTTTTTATTGTAATATCCCGTTTAAATTTAGACCGCGCCTTTTGTGTTCTTTACATATTCTTTTTGCAATACATTTATATAATTATATGTGTGTGTGTGTATGTTAATCTCTGAGTAACTGTCGCGCACGTGAAAGAGAGTCACTGCTCGGTTTGCACTTAGTCCAGTGTCCAATTGACTGCAGGTTTTGAGACGAATCGTGGCTCCTCTCACATTGACTCCATTTGCTCGGTCAGTTCTAGTAAAGGGCTCTCACTCACTGGCTGCATGGGGCTTGAACTCAGACCCAGCGGCTGCCATGCTAAGCTCCCAGGTACATACGGTGCAGATAACTGGAATTGAATAACGAATTTAAAAATTAAGCAAATTTTTGAAGATAGTTTCGGTAGTATACCTAATTTCTATTTTGTAATTTAATATGAAAATGAGGGAAAATGTATTATATTTTAGGACAAACAACAACCCCCACTCAGGGTGGCTAAAGAAACGAAAACTTTGAAAAATGTTTATATTAATTTGAAAAAAAAAAGATTTTTTTATAGTACCTGATGCCAGGTGGAATAAGACGCTCCCGGGGGACCAACAATGGGGTTGTCGGGGTCGCCGAGGGAGCAGGCGGCTGCCAATCCAGGCAATGCGAGCCACGACTCGTCCTCGCCAAGGTTTTCGGCAGGCAGCGGTGGCACCACTTGTTGTTGCTGGGCCATCTTGTACGAGGCCTGGCGCACCATGTGCCGTCTGAGCGAGGCCTCCGTGGTGGGGGCGGCCGACTGGCGTTGCAGAATCTGCCTCTTCTGCAGCAGTCTGTGCTGCAGCAACTGTTGCTGCAGGGCCGGCGGCCGCGGCAGGGCGGCCTCCTCAAGGGCCTCGGGCAGACTGATCCGCTTGGGCAAAGGCGGCCGTTCGTGTTGGTACTGCGAGTGCTGCAGTTGTCGCTGCATCTGGGCGTCCGGGGCCAAGTTGCAGTTCAGCGTCTGGTGGCGCAACACCCTGTGCTCCATCCGCAGTTGGTTGAGCTCCAGTTCGCCGTGCGCCCGGGCTGAGTCCAGCAGACGCTGGCCAAAGGTTTGCGTTGGAGCCATGCTCAAGCACCCCTGAAGTCATTTGATTTAAAAATCAAGTACTGTCTACAAACAAATACTTCAAAAAAATAAAGTCTAATTGAGGCGAAAAGGGTCAATTTTGGTAATATATTTTTTTTTACCAATTTTGATTCAAAAAGTACAAAATTCAAACAATTTTTTATAACAGAGCATATAAAGTCGTAGGGTATGAAAAAATTTCAGAGTTAAATTAAACAGGAGAGTCTACATATATCATCAGTCAATAATATGGAGAAATATAATGATGAGCAATGAAATGATACCAAAAATTTATTCCCTTTACTTAAAAAAAATCTTTTTTTATATCCCAAGAAAAATTAAATATATTTGTTAAAGAGATTTTATTGTAATTATTTAAAATATATAAAATGGTATCGTAGATTTAATATTGATAACAAGAATTAAAGAAATAAAATTTTTTCTAACCAGTGATAAAATAACAAAAATTACATTTCAAAATTTGCTAATTCATTATTTTAAAATAATGAATTATGGCTATTAAATTTTCAGTCCTAAATTTCAACGGTGTACGTGATAGAATTGGTGACGGATTGAATCTCAAAATAGAGTCAAATGAATGTACAAGGAGGTTATAGAGGTTGAATATACAGAAATAGTAAAAAAAAGTGAATAAGTAGTTACATCGCTCAAGTTGTGGAAATCAAATGCATGGAATGAAATTTCCAAAAGTAGCTTCTTTTTCTCATGCAAATGAAAAACCACCCGATTTTATATTAAATCATCTGAGAAGTAGGATCATGGTGTGGATTTGATGTCTCAAAATAAACGAAAATGGTTGTTTCTCGATTGTCCTCAACTGACGCTTTATCTTATTTTCCGTCATAAATTTAAAATACATAAACGTTTTCTTGGTATAATCGCAGGTAAATTGGACGATTTTGAGCATCGGAGAAAAATCCAATGATTACGATTTTTATATAATTAAGGAGAATCACAAAAATTAAAATTCATCAAAATGTAGATTTGAACACAGAAAATGCCACAATTTACTTTCAATTTTAAGTGGCAATTCGCACTGAGAATTGAAAACAAAAACTTTAGTACAAACAAAGTTGTATGATGGCGTTCCGTAACTGAACCACGCCAAATTTTTTACGAAGAAAAAGTTTGCTATCAATACCAAGCTCAAAGGGCTAGCCAATTTTTACGTTAGCAAAAAAATATTTATGATTTGGAAAAATTATCAAAAAATTCACGAAAAAAATTTCATTTCATTTTAATCGAATTAATTTACCTGCGCAACAAGTCCGTCGGAGGCCCTCCGTCCTTCCCTGAAGTCCACCGGCGACCTGGTGGCCGTGCGTCCAGCACCGATAGGGTTGTGTCTGAGCAGGACACGTCCGACGGGGGCAATGGCGCTGACACTGGCGCCGTGGTGGGTGGGGGTGGTCGGAGAGGTGCAGGAGGGCAGACTGGCGGCCAGTTCAGTGTCCAGGGCGCACTCCAGACTGTCGAAGGGCGAAAACGAGGTGGAGGCCTGCGAGGCGCCCGAGTCAGAGCTCAGGTGGTGCGAGAGGCCAACGTTGGGCACTGAGGACAACTCGGCGAGGGGCGCGTCCGTCTCAGGGTCCGTTTCCACACCCTCGTCCGTCGAACTGTGGGTGCTACTGGAGAAAGTGGGCGCCGGGGGAGCGCGTTGCATGAAACCGCGGGCCGGGGGCGACGCGATGCTGTCCAGTTTGCGCATCGCCTGCTCCGCAATGCTGCTCGGCCGCCGACGCTGCGTCTCCAGTGACGGTGGCGAGGGAGCGTTCGGAGCCGCTGAAGAAGGGGCGCCGGTCCGGTGCTGGCGAACTCGCTCCAGAAGCAGGTAGTAGATGGCCGCGTGGTGGTCATAACTGCTATTATTCAGAGACTGCAATTGGAGATGTAATTTAATTAGTAAAGATCAAACAAACGCAAGTGTAGAAAATTTGAAAATACTTATTAAAGATAATAATGTATTGATATCTGAAATAGATCAAAACAAACAAATTTAATCGCCAAAATTTTAATCCTTTAATTAATACAAATTTTAAAAAATACTGAAAATGAAGATTCAAAATATTATTGAATTAAAAAAAAAAATAAAATAGTTTATTTATTTTTTTTTAAATATTTTTATATTCATTACCTTTTTTTTATAAAATTAAACAAATTAATCTGCTCAGATATATTTTATCAATCATCATACATAACAGTTTGTTCCGTTCCTACAGCAACATTTTCTAAGAAACACTCACCTCTTTAGTTTTGGCGGCGTCGATCCCGAGGCTCTGCATAAGTCTCAAGATCTGCTCGTTTGGTTCTCCCGAGGGTGGGTTCGAGCTGGGCAGCAACCGGGGCGGTCCTTCCGCCACCATCCACCGGTGCCTCTTCACCTGTTCCACTGTGAACCGCTTTTCTGGCGCCAGCACCAGCATTTTGCGGATCAGTGACTCGCATTCTGCAACACGACGAGCACGCCGAGTGAATAAAAAAAGAAAGAAAGAATGGATAAACGCGCCGTCAATATTCACAATTTCATCAGCGATGGCGCCGGCACAAAAGCCGTTTCGCCGTTAAATCTGGTAAAAGGGTTTCATGCCCTAATGGCTTCACTTTTTTGCCGGCGCTCACAAATTTCCCCCAATCTCTCTGCGGACACGCAGCTAATATAATATATCTCTGCAGCAAGGGTCGCAGTTGTTGATCGGAAATTACTTGTTTGCGGAAAAAGTTATTTGAACTTATCATCAACAATTAATGTGTCACCAATTAATTTTCTGCAACACTATTATGTTGATGATGAAATTTAAATTTTCAACATTTTTATTTTCTACCTGGAGATATTTAGCTTATATCTTTTAATATTCCTACCGATTCATTCAAATTAGGAATTAGGAACTAGTTATTTTTATTAACTCCCTTATAATTTTTTTACGCACTTCAGATTTTTGAAAGTGAAATTTAATTGGAAACTAAATTCATTAAGCAAGTAAATTTTGCAGTTTTATAACAAGGGATTTCAGAATAAAGATGTTTAGAAAAATCTATTCGCATGCTTCTGTTTTGGACTAGTAAGGGGTTCCCTCAATCTGCTCGCTCTACTTTATTGTTGTGCTGATTTTACAAGAAAAGCTCTCGGATGTTTCAATTTGCGCAAAAGCAGATTCGCTTTGCTCCATTTTTTCAGTGTTTGTCGGCACGTTTCTTTTGCATCGATTTCGATTCGCGAGACTGGAATTCGCAATCCGATGAATGTCGCGCGTGTGAAGAAAACCGTGTTCCTTTGTGCGGAGAGTGAAAAGAAGAAATAGTGTTTCTCTTTTGATGTGCTTGCGGAACGAAGTCGCTCTTGTCACATAATCCAATCGCGCACCAACCCCCGAGACCGCCGTACTGAGAATGGTGTGTACGTATGTTCCGCAGTCCTGTGAGCCACTTACCCACCGTCACTTCAGAAATCAATATCCATCCTAGCCTTATCGAGAAACTCGCTTGTTATTCTTCATTTCTCACGTTGGAAGGAAATTGAAATTACGAAAAAAATTGTGGGTGGCTCAGGTAATGTTTTACTTTTTTATATAAGAAACTCGTCTGAAAGGGTTTCTGCTCTCCCTTCCCCGCAAATACTTCTAGAGGTTTTTTAAAAGACGACAAAGGGCCCTTTGCATTTTTTATTTATGCAGGCTGTATGTACCTGTACTTCAATCAAAACGTGTATTCAAGGGGGAGCGCGCCAGAAGTTTTTTTTTTACAAATCCTTCCCAGACGAGCTTTTGACTCACTAAATAATGAGCGGACTGACGTGGTAGATTTCTTTTCTAAACTATTTCCTGGAAATAAAAACGTAGAATCATACAGAAAAAAACCCACAATAAAATAAAAGTGTATGGTTTTGACAATATTAAATTTTATTATAAATATAGTTTTCTATGTTTTTAATAAAAAAAAAAAATCACAAACAATGCGTAAAATTGTGTTAACTATTTTTTATGTATATTTTTTTATGTTATATTTTTATAATTTGGCTCACATTAAATTTGGACACTTAAAAAGTAATTTTATGCTATCCTGACCAAATTTTTCATCATTCTTTAGAAAGTTAATAAAAACCAATAACATTTGACTTCTATTGCGGCATACTAATGGAAAGTTGGCTACCGCTTGGAAAATTTTGGTAGATAATAATTATCCCTTCCATTTTTGTACATAAAATTTCCCAGCCATTTTACGGACTATGGAATTTCAATTTTCTGAAGCTGTTAAATCCTTTTAAGATATAATTGAAACTATAATAAGACTGATTTATGTTTAATAAATCCCTTTATATTCAGTTAGCCTTTGAAAAAGTTTGGTAAAGTCAAATTTGCAAGAATGATATGGTCCAAAAGTATGTGAGAGTGATTCTCTCGGCCCGTTTCACCTCTCCTATTATTAAGCAAGTTGAAGGGGTGTGCATGCGTATCCATAATAAAAAATTAATATTTTCGAGTGCGTTCACTGGAGGGTGTCTAATTTTGAGTGGCGTATTCGAATGACGTCACGAAACGCGCCGCTTTTCACCAAGAAAGGGCGGCGAATAACGAGCGCGCCACAAAACACGGTCGAGTTATGGGGGGTTGCTTCGGGGGAGCAAGACGCGGTAGGGTGGCTCTCTGACGCAGGCACCCGCGCCCCGTGACGTCATTCGGACTCGCAATCGCCCTTTGCAACTCGGCGGCAGCCAGGCAGTTCGCCAACAACCACTTCACGCTCATTATTGGCCCCAGCGAGTCAACTCAATTTGCCAAAAACACGCAGCCACCGACGCCACAAACGCGTTTCATTCGATATTTCTTTTGACGCGCGTTCGCATACAAAATATTGTCAAAAAGCGTCAGATATATTTATTTCAAATTCATAAAAAACCATTCAGCATAAAAAATTTGAGCATAAATTTTCATTTCTTCACATGGAAAAAGTTTTTGATTTGAAAAATACAAATGAAATTTTTGTCTCTTCATAGTGTGTAGAAACTTTGCGATTTCTCGATGAGTTATGCTTTCTCGTTTTCTGCTTGTGTTTAGTTTACAAAAAACGTCTCTTTTATTTTGACTGATATGATTTACATATTTTTAAATTACATCAATTTTTAAAAAATAATAATTTGCTAAATAACAATAACCTAATTTATTTGCTAAAAATTAGAACTTTCTAAAAATTTGTTTCACTACTAGATTTTGTACTGTATAATTGTTTAAACTTTCTTACCTGAGCTCATGAAGTATGGAATTCTAAACCGTCCTGACAAAACTCGGTCCCTGAGTGACTGAAGGGTGGGCCCATCAAAAGGCAGAGCCCCGCACACCAAAACGTATAAAACTACGCCCAGGCTCTGAGGACAAAGGAATAATTTTCATTTTTCTTCAAAACTCCTCTTCTATTGAAAAAAGAAAACTCACCCAAATATCGATTTCCGGTCCTGTGTACTTCTTGCCTTCGAAGACCTCAGGCGCTGCGTAAGGGGGTGAACCGCACCACGTGGCCAGCTGACCAGTGGGAGAGAAGTAGTTGCTGAAGCCAAAGTCGGCGATTTTGATATTCATGTTGGCATCCAACAAGAGGTTTTCCGCCTGCAACCATTTGAATATTTCATCAGGCTCTCTTTTCTCCATGCATACAGATTATAACAAGAGAAAAAGAAAATTGCTTGGTAAAAAAAGGAAAAAAAGATAGGAATATTTATTTATTTCAAAAAATAAAGTTCACTGTAAAATTTATGGTTTTCTAAATTCCTTGTAAATATTTTGCATTTTCTTTCTCATGAAATTTGCAAGTTTTGGCCCAATTCTATAAAATTCATGCACCAGGAATTATCCAAAAAAATTTCCCTTGTCATTAAATTCTAAAATCCCTTCAATTTTTAACTCGTTAAAGCCTTTTGCCTTTTTGTTAAAATCAAGGACTTATTGGTATACAAGAAGACATGTTTTCAATAAACTTTTATATATTTGAGAATAAAATTGAGGAGCAGAGATTGAAAGCAGGCGGCGCATGTCCATCTGTCCGTAGTATGTACATAAACGTGCATGTATGCGAAGTGAAGCGCGGTGGTTGCCTCCTTGGCACAACGATCTCTCTCTCATTGACGTCATTCAAGATTTTGTGCCTCGAAGTGAGCGTAAACAATGCAAATACCTGGTCTGATAAAAAAGACCATGCCATGCTTTCCTCAAATCTACGCCCCGATCTAGACAACAAAAATTACGCCAAGCCCTAAACGGCGGCCACAAATAATTCAGCAATTTATTGATTCCCCGGCAGGGAGGATGCTTTTTACGACCGTACTAACGGCACGCAAGGCGCCACACGATTACGAAGAAAAAAGGTACATCTTAGAACTCGTTGAAAATGAGAATTTAGAGCAGCTACGAGATTTTGAATTAATATAGAAACTTATAGAATTATAGGATTGAATAAATTATAGCTCTTAATTTTAAGAATAACTGTTATTATTGAATTAATACCATGTCTTCCCCGAAATTTGATAAAAAAAAAAAAACTGTTGGCCGTGTTTTGAAATTAATTCATGGGATAACGTGGGATTTTCCCTAAAATTCAACAGAATTCCATTCGGAAAACCCCTTTGTCTTTATCAGTAAAGGAATGAAATCATCAAACGCCTGCATAGCCGCGGATATGCAACCCGCTCAACATTTGAGGCTGGCCGCGGGTCGTTGAGCTCATGCAGCGTGAAAGGTCATCAAACACCGTCTTTTCCTTCTAAGTGAATGCGGTTTTCGGAACACCAAACAGGAGGAAAGAAAGGTTTTTCCCGATTCCGGATCTTACCTTGAGATCTCGGTGAACCACGTGTCTGTTGTGGCAATACTCCACTGCAGACAGAATCTGCCAAAATTTACGTCTCGCTTCTCTCTCCGGCATTCTTCCATGCCTGGCTATATATTCTGCAAAAACAGAAATGACACAAAATTAATCATGCAGTCTAATTGAATAAAAGATAGAAGGCATTAAAAGACAAGAGATAGAACTAGATGGATAGATAAATTATTAGCTCCATTTTTTTTAACAAAATATAAAACAATATAATGTGCTATTTTAATTTTTTCTGTTGGCAATAAAATTTAAAAACAACTCTCCTGGGAAAAATAAAAAAATTGTACCCCTTAAAATTTTTCAATGTTAAACAAATTTTTTAAATATTGATATTATATCCTTCTGCAATTTTAGTTTCATATTATAAAAGAAAGGATTGCTGCGTTTGCCAAAAAGTTTTTGAAATTTGTTGTTCTAATTCATTCAGTTGATTTCTTTTTTTTTTTTTTTGTCTTTGTCAATAACAAATTTATGTTTATTTAATAAGTATTTTTGATTACTAAAAAAAAATGTTTGTAATTTTTAGAAAGAAACTTCAACGCTGCTGGTCATTTAGGTGCTGATGAACTTTCTCTCTAAAGAATTACAAAGCGATGATATTTTTAAAGAATTCCACGACAAGCCATTTCTTTTGATGTGAGATGAACGTTTTGCAGAACACCTGCTCTGTTTTGATAGGTGCTCAACTAAGGAAAAGCAAAACATTATCGGCGCAAAGCATTTCATTTCAAGGCTTCAGGCGTGTCTCTATATATTGACACGCCGACTTGAAAGTCTTCCAAGACAAAATTCTGCACCACACGCCGGTTGCGTGCGGAAACAGAGAGACACACACCGAACGAGAAATAGCTTAATGAGTGTAATCACTGACGCACTTTTTCTCAAAATAAAACACGGGAAGCCATTTATAACTGAGCTGGAAGATTTTCAGCTCAACGATGACGTCATTCGAATTGGCCAAATTGCCATGAATACCTATATAGCTTGTTCTGGAAAGGTAATTCTAATTTTGTATTTTTCATTTTTAATTCGACTTGTTTTAAGAAGAATAAACAACAAAAACAATAATAATAATATTAATTGCGTAAAATTAGCAGATGAAGATGAGCAGATTCTAGACAATTGACTGTATAGAATTTAAAAACATTACAATTTTAATCTTAACAAAAACAATTAACTTTTTGAGGAAAACAGAAATTTCCAAGTTTTTCTGTTAAAAAATCCCAATTTTAAACCTGTCTATAATAACAAAAAGATCATGAAACAAAACAAAAATAAACTTCAATTAATTTAAAATTCCGCTTACAAAAAAATTAGTATCATTGTAAACTTTTGAATATTCCGTTAATCACGTTCATGCAAATAGCGGGGTATTTGAAAAGCCGTGTGAAAATTTTCTCAGAGCGAAAGTTGAACGACCGTCAAGGGACCACTGGTAATGCTCTCATCAGTCTGGGGGGCCGGGTTGTATAAAATAATATTGCTGGTGCAAATAAGCACCAGATGAGCGCAGCTCTCATAGTTTTTTTTGGCCATGGGCAATTAGCAAACAAATTTATCATCAAATCTCGGTTAGGGCAATGAATTCACACGCGCGGCAGACGTACGAGGAGAGAAAAGCGCATAAAAGAGGCCAAAATCGATCTGACGCGGTGACGTCACCAACCAACTTGCGTCAGCGATTTACTTACTCTCCGTACTTGCATGCAGTATGCCGCTCTTTATGATCTTTATTACTATTACCGACTTTTCTATCTGACGGGCACTTACTTCTAAAGATTCGACTGTGAGAGATGATGAGATGTGCAATTTGGCTGTTGGAATTTACACGCATAGGCGTGGGAGCTGAGGAAGAAACTTTCCGGCAAGAACTTGCCAATTAATCAGGATTAATCAACTCGCATCAGCTCAAAGACGAGTAGGAAAAACTTCAATACGTAATTAATTGGAACAAAATTAATTTCTTCATTCATGTCGTATTTTCAATAAACATTTTCAAATGTAATTAAATGATTGGTTTCTAAAATTTACTATAAATCAATTAAATTAAGTGTAATTAATGAGAATGAAATATCACGGCTTTTTATAAAACCTTTTCCCAAAGATTTAGAAAATTTGGAAATTAAGCTAAATCTTTGATTTTGTTGGGTTGATTAGAGGTTGATTTACTTTGATTATCATTATTTTCAATTTTTGGACACACTTAAATAAAAATATATATAGTGTTAAATATATTGAGATATGAAATCTCTAGGAAAAACGGTAAAAAATATAAGGCGGAAATCCTGCCTTATCAAATTCGTAATATTCATCGGGATTTACCCAAAACGTTTGACGTTTGAATATTTGGAAATTTGTATCAGATTATTTCCTGTCCAATTTAATTTTTGAATAAATAAATTACATTTTCATATTCTTCTAGGAAAAAGTCTATATTTTTGTCATCAATTTATAGTAACAAAAAACAAATGTACATCAAGTGAATTAATTTTAAAGAATTACATGCGTAACTGGATCGACAAAACAAATGCGTTTGAAATATCTGGTTTGATAATTTCGCTTCAAATTTTTCCAGAATGTCTAATCTTTTCTAACAGGGAATATAAATATCACTGCGTTTTTGCAATTCCAAATAGAAGGTTACGAGAGGCATGTGCGTCATTGAAAACATATAATATTAACTTCCTGTTATGATTTTATCATAATCACTTTCTATCAAAATAAATAATACCTAGCATGTGTGTAACCAATTGCAGTGACACATCTTTTTTAACAATTTGGCAAACTCGTCACTTTCTCTGGTGCAAGTAAAATTGCAAGCAATATATCATAATACACAAAGATCAGCAGTCATGGCTTCTCACAATAAAATCCCACTCGTGAAAACGCCGAAGAATGACAATAATATATTATACTTTTTTTATACTCACCAAAGATTTCTCCCTGACTTGCATATTCAGAGACTATGTAAATCATATTCTTGGTCTCCATCACCTGCGAATCAAAACAATAATATTTCTCTCAGAAAAGTGTTTCAAAATTGGAAATAAAAACGAAAATGGGAATTTTTAATTAGTTCCCAAAAATCTTTATTTTTGGATAATCTGCTGAAATTGTATAAAAATTGAAAATATAAAAATGTGTCACGACCCACGGCATTTGTTTGAATGCCAGGCTTTGTCTCCACTCTCATTACACGAAAGTTGACCTTTGCAGCCGTTTGGTGCCTTGGGTGCCGCAGAACCATTTTATAAATTTGCTCAAAAGAGAGACGCCCGCGCTTTTCCGACGGCAAACATAATTTTCCACATTTAGGCAGGTCAAAGGTCACGCGCGGTGTAGGCTGCACCTGACTCTTGAAAAGGTCAGATCAGGCAGCACAGGAGCAATCAAGTGGGGCCGTCGTGATTAAGCCTAGGCACGCCATGTGTGACGTAAAAGCGATTTCGCACGATAAGGCAGCGCGCGCGGAGACGGCTCGACTCCGCGGCGATTACACAGGCATAGAAAGACACGCTATTCCTGGCCTCTCTCACTCGCTGTGATCAATAATATCGGAAATAATGTGCAGAGTCGTTCAATATGAATATGAAACCAAAATCAGACCACCATAACCTCAGAATGTTAACACGACAGAAGTGTAATAAAATTTTTTTAAGAAAGGTCTGGAGATATTTCATGAATAAGACTTCAATGATATTGCACCTTTGTTGAAAAAAATTGAATTTGTTACTTTACACATAACTGAAAGTTAATAATTTTTTGTAATTTTTGATGAAACTGAATTTTGAATTTGACATTCATTTACAAAATTTTTGAAAGATTTGTTTCACAGCTAAAATTTAAAATTTAAAGGAAGACAAAATAACGTTAAAAACTGTCATAATATTTTAGATTTTCATTGGCTTATTAATACTTAATTACGTAAAATCTTGTATCATTGCTGCAAGTTTTTTTTTAATTTTTAATTATACAGAGTGCGCAAGACAAATGTGTGCGATATAGAAATCACAGTCTGCGCTCATGTTTCACGCCAATTAATTCGCTGGAAGCGCATGTGACGCAAAAAAAGCAATCAGCGCCGCACATGGAACTGCCTGGGCTGTCACGAGGAACAAGCATATGGCACAGCTCCTTCACACTCGCGTGGATACATAGCAAATCAAAGGCGAAAAATTATTTCGGAGATGATTCATCTCTCGCACCAGGTCCATCTGCCGCGAGAGAAAAAATAAATGGCGCGGCTCGCAAATCATCGCATAATGATGAACGCAGTTCGAACCAGTTAAAATCGATTTTTCGATACGCTTTGGCGCGCCATTACATGCAATTCCGTTTTAGAGTAAAAAGAAGATAATAGATGCTTGCCTGGAAGAGCTTGATGATGTGTGGATGGTCGAGTTGTTTCATGATGGCCACTTCTCGATACACCTTCTGCAGATTGCTAGCGTCCAATTGTGTTTTGTCGATTATCTTGATAGCCACCTGTCAATTAAAAAGAACAAGAGGTTAATTACTTTATGCTTGAAATTAATACAAATCAAATTTATCATCAATATTAATAATTAAAAATCGGTTGATTAATTTTTCTTGAAAACGGCATTTCTTGAGTGTATTTATGGTTAAACGATAAAATCCTGTTGTGTGTTTCAAAAACACTAATCCACTCTTAAATCCCATCATTTGAGAAAGGCTTTTTATCAATTGATGATTTCCTAACAATGCAAGAGAATTAATCGATTTAAGGAAAATATTATTCACTAATTCATTAATTTGTGAATTTTGAATCATTTTTGCTCTAAATTTTCCTGTAATTTAATGAGAAGTTGTGCGCGTTTCTCAGGGCTTTCATCGAGAAAAAGTGTAATTTCCGTTCGCACAGCTGCAAACGATGGTGCGCGGCTGAAAAATGTCGCACGTCAGGTTATTCGCGCGCAACTAGAGCCGCTTAGATGAGTTTTTGAGGCGAGAGAGATGTTTTCGAGTGCGTCAGGCGACTCGAAATAGCCCCGAGTCGCGATCTCTCTAGCCCTCGCAAATATACAGCAAAATCTCTTTCTGCGTGTGCGAGTGAGCGAGAGAGAGCGAGACGCCCACGCTCCTCTAATGGCAAATCAAAGACCCCTAGCAATTCGCAATAGAGGTTGTTGCTGTGGTGCCTGCGTGCGTCACTATCTGCAGCTTGCGCGAGTGTGTTTGGTAACTGACCAAAAGCCACCCTCCAGCTTTTGACGTCAAAATTTCATTGGCCGCGCTGCCAATCTGTTCTGCAAATGTCAAAGGCGATTGCTCAACTATAAAATAAGCAAGCAATTGGCCGACAAGGATTATTTATTGAGAGCGTGTTCCATTTTGCACAGAGAATTCTCGGCACTACGGAAGCCGGTCCGACCACTTCCCTTTTCGATGGCAATGAGGATCCGCGTAAATCAATCGTAAATCCACGTCATATTTTTTATTTTAAACCATAATTAATTTTATTTTAAATCCACAAAAGGGAAAAAAATTGTGTTAAGAGAATAAAGAGACGAAAAAATTATTTACTAGCATTAAGAATTTAAAATGGGAAAATCGTTAATCAGAATTTATAAATGAATTTCAAATTCTACCGCTTTCAATAAATTCATGCAATATGTACCCGATACGGAGTTTCCTGAAACCTGGAACTGTTTTAAATAATATTTATGTTTGAAAATAGAAAATACGAGGTAACACAAGTTTTTTCATTCAGCAATATTTGTCAAGACGTATGATAAATTAATTTCATTTTCTCTTTTCAACAAATCATTATGAACAATATCTAATTGTTAACATTTATTGAACAAAAATCTGCATTAAAAAAACACTTGAGGCTTGTTGGCTATTTTTTTTTATAAATTGCTGAATTTAAATATTCTCCTAAATCTGGCGCAGTTTTTTAAAATCTTCAGAAGCGAATATCTGATGAACTGGTAAAAACAGCTCAAAAATTAAAACAATATTTAAAATTATTTATTATGCACTGTTAAATAAGTTTTCAAAAAAGTCAACTATGGAAGACTAAAAAAAAAAAATAATGATATAGCTGTTTGTAAAGCAATTTTTAACTTATCGACAGTAAGGAACCTTTTATGATCACAATCTTTTGATAAATGTGCCACCTTTTGAATTTGAAGTTCAATTCCACTGGAACAATTTCAGTCTATTTTTACTCCATAGAGATAATTTAATTTCTTTTTCTCAGTCCGATTGCGGGAAAAATAGCGAACAGTTGGTATAATATTTGCTTTATGCTTGTTTTGTGCAAAAAGCCGCTGCTCTCGCGCTCTGCCCGCTTATATCTTATCTGTGTGAGATGGTCAGGTTGCATGAACGCGCGGCGTGCTACGGCTGCAGCTGCTGTTGATGCAAAACACTCTCGCGGCCGCCGGGTTCAATGTCAAATCGCGAGTCCAGGCCTAAAATTAAAACACGCCGCGCGTCCATTCGGTACAAATTTATCCCCGTCGGGCTGCGTGGGAGGCGCGACCAAATTAATTCCGACCCGCTGGGAAATTTATGAAACCGCGCAAAAAAAATGTGCAAAAATAGAAAACGTATGGTTTGATCGTGGCAGGACGTTTGAAAATGAGCAGCACACTGCTTGGAATTCCTGCAAATTGACTCGTTCACACTGTTTATCCTATTAGGCTATTAGCGATCTACGATTTGTACACTGAGAGTAGTCCTTCTCTTTCTCTCTTGCGGCTTGTGCAAACCATCAAGCGGTACAAAAAATACGAGTCATCAATTTTGGGCTCAGGTTTTTCTACGATTTATTTGACATTGGCAAATATTATTCCTTTACTCGCTGCGATACGATAAATTCCTAACTGAAAAGTTTGCAACAAAAAAATCATGTTCCTAAAACATTGATTCATTTTTAAATTTGATAAGGAACAATAATGTCGATTTTCATCATAATTTACATTTTACTATTACCCACTATTACCGTAATTAATTTTTCAAATCACCATAAAAAAACGTTTTAGTCGTAAAATACTATCACGATATTTTTCTTTCTTAAATTTTAATCGTTTTTGCAAGTAAAAAAGTCAATTGAAATTAAAAATGTAAAAAGTATTATAATTTAATTATTATAATTTAAATTAGGGATAACCTTTTTTTGGGAAATAAGAATCCCTTTTTCTATATTTTTCCCATAAAATCCGCTCTTTCAATTTAACTTTCATCCATTTAGATTTAGTGAAACAATTAAAAGAATAAAATCCCATGATTATCTGAAAAGAGGCTTCAATTGGGAAAGTTAATGGCAAAAAGTAGAACACAGATTTTTAGTTTTATGTTCAAACACTTCACAACCAAAGTTGATTTATGTTTGATTAATTAATTAAAACAAATTTTTAAACAAAAAGACTAAAATTTCGTTACTTTTACATTCATTACACAGAGTGGAAGAATCTTAAAATGAAAGAGCAGATTATATAAAAAAAAAGAGCAGAAACAAGAGTTTCTTATTTCTCAAATAAAATAATACATAAATTGTATGAAATTTGTAACATGAATGAACGTTTCATGGCGTTTTGCTGTTTCACTTTAGAAACGGATTCTAGAGCTTTTTTTCTGCAAGGGAGCTTTTTAAAAATTATAGAAAGCATTTAAAAAATAGCGGATGTTGCTCCTTTTTAAAGTGGTCTCTTATCAATCGGTCGCGCGAGAACGCGTATGTATGAAACATATTTGTTCACATGTGTTGTATGTATACGTGAGTCGTGCCGCGCACTCAGTGACGTTCGTGTTACTTTTCTAATGAGTAAACAAGGCCCGTGTTCTCGTTATATTTGCCGAGAGGTGCAGTATATTTGTAAATGCGCGAGACAAGTAGCGATCTGCTTTTTCCGCGGCCCTGCCAAGAAGGCAAACAAAAAGCAGTGCTCTTTTTAGCGTGTGTTTGCGCCAGAATTATATTTTATTATGTATAACATTTATGGGTGGGTGCATCAAGATTATCAGATGATTGTCTCTTGTCGAAAAACTAGGTTAAGACGGCAATAATCTGATGGAAAATCTAGACCGCGAATATCAAGGTGCGTAAACGCATTTTATCAGAGTCGCTAGAAAATACACCCGTGTCAACGGTTGACGTTAATTTAGTGAATGATACAAGTGTGCGTCAAACTTTGGGGAATAACCTGAAAGCGAATTAAATTTTTACAAATTATTCGCGGAAGTGAGAGTTTGTGATATATGATCATTTAATTAACATAAATAACAATGTTAAAACAGTATTTCATGAAATTTATTTATTTTTACCTTTTTATTTAAATACGTTGTTTTTAAAAGTTTTATATATTTTTAAATTTGTTTAAATTTGGGACACCGTCTTGTTCAGCTGCTGCATGGTGGGAGCCAAAAATTTAGCGAAAAATTTATGATTAGCTCCGTCCGCTCTGACGAATAGCGGACAGCCGGTGGCAAATTTTTTGTTTGACGTCAGTCAGTCACTCAGCCGCGGAGACTCGTCCTCTCTTATTAATATTCGCCGCGCTCGGTCTGAACTTTCAATGCAATTATATCTTGCGTTTTATTGCAGCTTTGAGAAATCCTTAAATAGAGGCCTCCTGTTTCGTTTATGGCTGCAAGACGCATAAAAAAAGCCAAAGTAAGCATAGACTCTTCAGTTTGCTTTGTATGATGAACAAGAAAGTGCTTAAACGCATGATTGGCGTTCAATTTCCGATTCTAGTGCGTTGGCTAGAAGGTCGTCCGGCCTAGAGTTAACTGTGTAATTATTATTATCGTCAACGTGCTTTTACCTCAGCGTGTTGAGTTTATTTATGGATTCTCGTTAACAAGAAAAACGGCTCAAGAATGAGTTATTTTAAATCGCCTTCAACTTTCCAAGATGGGTTGGTAAAGTTTATTGAACCTTAAATCCGTAAATAAAATAAATATATGAAGATAAAATTTTTCTATTCGTTTAGGTTAGTTCAAATTATTGATAAGGATTTTATGTCACCACAATATAAAGGATTATCTGTTAACAAAATATTCCCAAATAAAATAAATAGCGATTTCTTTTTTTAAATTGCCATCGATTGCTCAGGAATGAGTTTTTCATCTTTTTTCCTCTCACAGTTAGGGGGAAAGAGTAAAAAAGGATAGTTTAGTTTTCTCATTCGTAAATATGGTTTAACTCTCACGACAAAAAAATTGTAATTGATTGTCGGGTCAAATTTCTAGAATAAATCTGACAGTAAGAGTGAGGAGCGGGATGCATATTATCAGAGCGCAGGGTCAATGGCAAATAATTTAATGCTCATTAGAATGGCCTCAAAAGCAACGTGAGCGCGGATGAACAGCGTTGCGACAACACCGGTATATGATTGTGTCTCTCCAGTGTAGCGTGGAGTATTTTTAGGTATACGTCGGCAGGAAAGCGTGGCTGTCGCGGGCCAGAAAACTCACTTAAAACGCGAGTGAGAGAGTGGCTCGTTTTTTCAACTCAAGAGACTGATTTATTTCATGCCACCAAATCCACTTCGCTTCATTATTCAAATGCACACAATTAAAACGTGCGACTCCCACGAGCTTGTCCCTAGAGGAAGAAACGCGCCCCAGCTTTAGGAGGTCGGACGTGGAAAGCGCTTGCGAGTTGCACGAAATTGAAATTTATGGTTCACACCGTCGCCTAAAAAAAAAGAAAGAAACTTCACGACCAGCAACTAACGAAATGAAGTACGTTGACGTCACTTCCCACAATTGCCGAGAGTGCAGCAATTAATTCAATTGAAATTTGCAGAGAGCTTCTGTTAAGGCGAATTTTTCGTCATACTTTTGCTTGTTTGGTTCGTTAAAAATGAGATTACGTTGTTTGTTTATCAACAGTGGCATTTGGTAGACATGATGGACGAGAGCAAATTCAAGGTGCGAAAGCACTTAAAAAATAAATATGTGCATTATGCAAATCGCCAGCCGCGCGACGCCCGTCATTCTTTTGACTCGCGCAATTTGTACTGGTAGGAATAATTTGTTTGACGATTTTCACGGTTTTCTAAATTTCACTAAGTCTGAGAAAGTCCTAAGTTAGACCAAAAATTAAAAAATAAATTAAAGAAATTACAAGAAATAATTTTAATTTGGTTTTGAAGTTGAATTTTGTTGATAAACGAAAAGCCTGTGCAATAATGTATGTAAAAAATTATCCCTTTTTTTCTTGTCAATCAAGAGAGACAAATTAATGCACTGCATGACTGCAGTGGAAAATATTGATCCTTCTTTCTACGAGTGCAACTTCATTGATTCCAAAAATAATGAAAACCAGCGTGTTGTCCACTAATGAAATCAAAGATATCATTTTAATTCAAAAAAATTCAAAAAAAATTGTACTAAATATTACTAGATTAATTACCCTGAGGAAATTTTTTTTTAAGAAAAATACAAGCTAACTAATTAAATTGATGGAATTTTTAGTAAATGTGAACGTTTATTTACATTAAGTAAACCTGCTGGTGTTAGGAAAAACCACGATGGTGCATTGTAGAGAAAAGAGTGGTTGAAAAAACAAACCTCAGTCTTAGTGATCCGGTGTCTAGCCAACTTGACGACGGCAAAGTTTCCCTTGCCGATGGTGCGCTCGATGTCGTAGAAACCGACCCTGATGGGGGTGCCTTTGTGAGCGTCCGCAGCCATGACCATTTCTTGTTGCTGCAGACGGCGGGTCGCGCAGAGCGGTGCCTCCTCTCTCTCAGGTTAGGCCGGTGCAGGTCGGCCGCTGGCCGTCACTTCATTCTGCTGGCCCGCGCACAACTACTCTGATCTAACTCAAGTTGACGCACGAATGACGTCACTCGGTGCTCAATACTCGGCGCAGCGACTCGCTGCCGCACGCGACTCGGCGCTGCCACCTGCCGGCGGCTCGCCCAACACTTTTCTGCGGGGGCTCCTCCCGTTCGCCAAGAGAGCACCGATTGTGTCGGAGAACAGGCACTGTGGCTAATCCTATATCTTTTAGCGACGAGCTCTTTTCTGATCAATGGGGGTGCCTAATTATTGATTTTATAATTTCAGCAGGACCTCCATTTTGGTGCTCAATAAACTTTTTGCTGGAAACTGGAAAAACTAAAATAAGGGGAAGTTTATTTTCAAAATGATATTTTATCATTTTAAATGCAATAGAAATATTTTATGAAACAAAATATTATGCTAAGGATTTATTTTCTCTGCTAATTTGATGAAGGAAATAATACTTTCAACAAAACTTAAAAAATTAGGGTAAAATTAAAATATATACATTGTTATTTATTATTTATAATTAATTTTATCTCTTGATGATTTAAAATTTGATTTTTTTTAAACATTATTAACATTAGCAGTATAGCACAGCTTGGATATTATTATTTAAAATTATAACCAGAAATTTAAGCTAGTCTGTTTCCTGTTCTTCAAAATTTATGGCGACTCTAGACCATTAATCTTTCTGAAATTGGATAATGAAGAGTGTTTACCCACGATGACTAACTAATTGTCCCACTCGTGCTTAAAAAAGTCAACTATTTGGCACGCTTTTGTGCTTTCAAACTCTTTGCCGTGCTCAAAATTAAGACGGCGGACTTGTGAATGCTCGTCGGCAACAGGCGGCGATTTCATTCAAGTCTTCTTTCTGTTGCTGCCTGTGTTGTTGGCGATCGGCTAAAATTAGCGGGCAAACAGTATCCGGCGGTGCCGAATTCTTAGTTGGCCCGCAGCACCCCTCAGCAGATGTCATTTTGCAAGAGAAGGAGGGCCGAAAAAAAAGGACAGTCGCAACTGAGGATGGTAAAAAAATATTTAATTGAGTTGTTGCCAAGCAAAAGCATGGGCGAAGAAATGAGAATGGCGATTTCAGTGGTGCGCCAATCTAAATAGTTCAGCACCTAAATAAAAAGAATTAAAGAATAGATAATTCAAGCCATTCACGGTGTTACATCAATAAAATATGTTACTTCAAACTCAATAGTCGATTAATTTTTTTAACAAAATATTATTTATTTATATGCAAAAAAATGCAAATTGAATTATGCTGCTAAATAATCAGGCATCCATCGATTATTGAACTTATTAGAGTTTAATTTGATGAATTCTTCAATTATTTTCGCAGTCAAATATTTTTTGCATTAATTTCTCATTAATCTATGAAATGTAAAAATTTTCACTCCTCGCAGTTCTCGCCAAAAATTCAATCTTCCATACAAATCAATTCCGCATAAAATTTTTATGGTTCTAAAGGTTTCAAATATACATAAAGGAGTTGAACACAAAAAGGGGGTCGCTCTATATTAATGAAAATATTTTGGAGCTGGCACAATTACAAACAGCAAAAGCACTATTAATAGCGCCTCTCCCGAGATATAACTCTCAAACAATATCCTCTTCTCGTGTCCCTGCTTTTTTATTTTGTGCTCTCCGCGCACAGCACCTGGTCCAATAAATTAAGAATGCGTGCGCGTGTGACTGTGCGGTGGTGCAAAATAAGAGAAACACCCTTGAGAAGAGATGATGAGCGGCAAAATGAGCAGCAAATACGTCCAAGGGAGCGCAGGCGCGCGTTTCGCTGTTCGCGGCCGCTGAATCGCCCCATCAAACTTTGTCGCGCCATTCATTTTGCACCTCGGATAGTGTGTAAGCCTCTTAATCACTCACAAGTTTTCTCTTGAAATTATAAAAGTTTGATTTATTTTCAAAAGTGAGTCTTTATCAGGATGAAAATGTCAAGTCAACTCTTGATGTTTGTTGCAATTATTTTGGCAAACAGTGAGTATTAGCCATATTTTATTTTATCTTTTTTAACATTTGATTTAAACGATTTGTACTTTAGTAAGACGAAAAATTGTGTCCGCCGGTTTCATAATTCACTCCCTTTCACACTTTCGTTTAAATTATATTTTTCCCCTAAAATTAAATTTTCAGATGATATTTATAATTTATAATTTATAGAATAAATTATACTTTTCTTTGTAATTGTATTTATTGCAACAAATATTATTATTTGCAAAAAAAAGTAATAATGTATTATCTTTTGTCAAATTATGAAAAAAATATCTTAAACGCTTGCTGAGTGCAAAACGTATTAGCATGCAACATTTGCTCCCATATATATATTTTTATCCCATTTGCACGCTCCTCTGATTTTTCTGCGAAAAAAGAAGTTGCGGGCACATTCAGTAATGCCCTGTAATTTAATTAGGACGTAAAATAGGGGCTGGTTGCTCAATATGTGCTGACATTTGCTCCGGCAAAGGTTCTGCAAAGTGTTGACACTTCGTTGAGGAAGGATTTCACTTTTTTGGCTTCACACCTCTCATGCTATACCGATGGAATGCTCGAAACATTTTACGGTCCCCCAAATATCCAAATCGTAAAATATGGAACGATAATATACATATATGTATAGGCCATAAGCCATAAATAAAGTTTTATAATAAAATTATTAATTTTTTTGAAGAACTAACAAAAAATTTAAATAAAGCGCAATGATCACTGTTGTTTGGTTCAGAACAAAGTTCATATAATATATATAGATGTCAGAGATTAAAGTTCACAAGATTTACATAGATCAATTTGCATTCTATGTTTATCCCAGTCACAATTAATTTATAATAGCTAGAATCTTTTCCAGGGATTTTTTTAATTGAATTTAATAAAATTCATCAACTCGTATCGCCTTTATGTAAGCTCTTCCTATAAAAATATGCTTCTTGGCTATTTTCTACACGTATTACAACACTATTAACTTCAAAATTTCATCTTGAAATACATTTTTATGTAATATCTTTTTTTAACAATTTTGCTTTTTCTCAGGATGCTTGGGATTGCGGGACGTGCGTGTGATTGTCCCTACGGCTGTGATGTCTGGACACGGCGCCAAGCTCATTTGCGTGTTTGACTTGCAAGGAGAGAGCCTTTATGCAATTAAATGGTACCGCGGACAGCGAGAAATATATCGCTTCATGCCGCGGGAATCTCCGTCGCAGACTTCCTTCCCGATTTCCGGCATTGAAATAGACGTATTTTTATAATAAAACTTAAAAAAAAAACTTTTCGATTTAAATAAAAAAATTCCAGATTTCTAAATCAGATGCAAATAACCTCAAGATTAAATCAATACACGCAGATCTGTCCGGAAATTTTACGTGCGAAGTCACAGCGGACGATTCATTCAGCTCTGTCTCCGTTACCCAAGCCATCTTGGTAGTAGGTAAATATGACCGTTTCTTCTTTGTGTGTGTGATACTTGCAATTAATTCCCTTCTGCAATAATGTATCAAAAGAGGATTAGAGCTACAAAAGAGCTTTGGAGTTGGAGTTAGTTGGTCAATGCCAACAGCTCGTGTTTTCAATAGGTGATATTTATATCATACTGAGACCTCCCCTGTGTGTAACATTGGAAGTTTGTTTTTTGAAACGTGATACAATGTGCTCATTCCGAGACCTCTATTTCAAGAAATGCCGGACAGGGCGCCAATAATCACAGTGGAAAAGAAGCGCTCCGAAAACAGTGGGCAGATTATCACTGCCAATTGCACCAACATCCACTCTCGGCCGCCCGGAAAACTCAATCTTTTCATCAACGAAGAGCCAGTAAGCTAATTTTTTTTTTAATTATAAAAATATTTTTGTAAATTTTAAATTTAGGTTGATGAAACTGATCTGGAGAGGTTCATGGTTCCAGATGGAAAGTCGCAGCTCGAGGTTGCGAGCCTGACAAAAATTATAACAGAGGAGCAGCTTGAAGACATGAGCTTCAGTTTACGACTTAAGTGCGTGAGCAGCGTTTTTACATTCAAACGGATGACAGAAGTTCTTTTAATTGAGCAAAGACTGCGGTCAGAATCTATTTTGGCACCCACAGAGTCGAGTTCTCCTTCAAACTTTACAAGAGGTAAAGAATTTAATTAAGACCTTGTGTTATTAATTGAGGTTTAGACTCTTAATCCTTTTCAGATATTGCGTCGGTACTCTGGTTTTTTACTATACTCTTTGTTCTGAGGTGAATTTATATAGAGTTTATTTAGGAGTTTCATTGTTCAAAAGCTGGAATTATATTTTTAAAAAAATTCTAAAATATTGTGATAAGAATAAAAATGTGAATAAATGTTGGAAAGTAGACAAAAATGTGGTTGAGAGAATGTGCATATTTTTGCTGCTTAATTGTTACATTTTTTGTAAAAATCTACTTTTAAATTAAACAGAATTACATAATCCGGCCAGTTCACTCATCATGATATTGCATGAAACAGTGGATTCAATTTTTGATTCGAGTGTGTTATGTGGTGTGATAAATAAAAGTACTTTGAGATTTCTCATTTTAAATATACATATATTTTGAAGCTAAAAAGCCAATTTGTGAGCACATGCATAATTTCAAATCGACCTTATTGTTATAAATATAATAATAATAATAGCTCTGAATCCCCCAGGGATCTCGTAGTTCACTTGTATATCAGAATAAAATTGCCATAGAAACGTTTTAATTTTAAAAAATCAGCACAATAAATTATGCTCTTTTAATAGCAAAGAGGTACGTTCGCAATAAGCTAGGCTTTTGATTACCACAAAAAACAATTATTATTTAATAAATATTACTTCCCGAAGCAAAATATTTTGGCCTCATTTTAAAACTAGTTGCGCGTTTACATAGTGTGCAACACTGAAATTGCAATAATTCAGGTGGCCAATTTCGTAAGTAAAAAGTGATGAAATGATTTCCGAAGTTTCGTACAAAAACGCTTAGCAGATGAAATCATTTTTACAGGCACAAAAAAGTTTTGAAGTAAAAAAGGTGGTAAACATTAATCAGAACAATTTAAAAAAAAACTCATCGCAAGTCAAAATAGGCCACCTTGATTAAATATTTAATATCATTATATGATTTGGCTTTGCTTACGAGTACACGGTCTTTTCCACCCATTCCTCAAGTGTAAATGCAGCTGTGTTGGTATTGTCAGGATCCCTTTCCTTGAACATGTCTGGAGTAAGAAAAAAATTAAGACCTACGTCAAGAAATAAACCAAAATTTGTTTTTACCAATCATTGATCTGAGGCGCACAGCGCAAGCGATGAAGTCGTCGAACGAGATTCTGCCCTCCTTTGTGCCATATCGGTGCATGAGAATGTTCAGGATGTGATTGTTGAGACGGTAACCAGCAGAGTTCAAAACCTGGCGCAGCTCAAAAGCACTCAACGACCCGGTTCTTTCCTTGTCGTAAAGTTTGAAGACTGACTGGAAAATAATTTATTAAATTAAAATTCATATAAAATGTGGGCATTAATGAATGAATTTACCCTCCAGTTTCGGACGTCCATCCACAAAATCTTGAACTCCTCCAGTCCGAGCTTGCCAGAGCGGTCGACGTCCATCATTGCCACCATACTGCGGCAAGTTTCCTTCGAGAATCCCTCAAATTGAGGCTCTGTTTGATTAATTGCACAATTAATTTCCAACTTCAACAAATTTAATCACAGGAACAGTGACTGGTTAGATTGGCATGTGCATGTGCAAGCAGATGAGTAAAAGCAGGATTAGAGAAAAAAGCAAAGTCACAAAACCAAATTAAATTCAAACGGCTGATTTTGGGGCCAGAAAGGCGCAGCAACCACATGTAGAACTGTAAAATAATTCTACAATCTAATAGAGAGCGTAATTTTTCACATTTTTATTAGCTTTTTTAAAGGGGTCAAATTCAATTTTCATTTGGGGTAATAACAGCTTTGTGCGTCCCAAGATCTTATCAAACAAAAGGGAACATATAGAAAAAATAAACTATTTAAACACTCTCACAAATCAAGGAAAAGCTTTGGTGTAAAAGTCCTTTATTTATAATGCGCTTTTAATCCGAGTTTACTCTGCACTTAGAATCAAAAGCTTTAAGTTAATAAGTTGGAAGGCTTCAGTTTAATAAGCAACCCCATCAAAACGGCTTCGGTTGACGCAAAAAAAAACCCAGAGACTTCTTTAGCCAAGCCTCTTTCTTACCAAACATTTGTCCAAGTGGCGTATCTTTGCACACGACTCCGCATAAGAGAGACATAATTGATCCGAGGAAGGAGTCCGAGGGTTGCATTGGAAGTGTTGGGGCGCCTTGTGGGAAGTCTGTTTACACATACACAGTCACATACAAAAAAACGTCAGAGATTTTGAGAAATAAATGCTTTAGCCGCGTCTTAGTTAAAGCTGTGAAAGCTTACGGAGTGTCAAATTTTATAAAATAAAACAAACACAAAAAAGCTTAACAGAAAAACAAAAATGAATTCAGTAAAATAAAAAATAAAATAAATAGGTTTTAGGCTGCTAGTCTAAATGCGACTGAATTACTTCATGAAAAAATAAACTTATATGATGCAAATATATATATGCAGATGAGTTAAACACCTGTTACTCTTTTTTCAATGGCGAGCAGTCACATTAACTCTTTTTATCTTGAAGGAATCAAATCTTTTGTTACGAGAGCAATTTCAAATTTAACAAGCTATAAGAAGTGCATTTATGTCTTACCGTCTTTCATGGCAAAATCTAAAAGTTGCTTCAATTCCATCCAGTCAACCTCCATGTCCTCCCCAGCAAGTTTTTTGAAGAACTCTTTGATCTTGTTGTTTGACTCTTCATCCTCCTCATTTTTGAGTTCAGGATCGTCTTTGACCTGTTAAATATCAAATAATGAAAGAAAAATTCATCCAAACCTAAATAAAACTTACTCTGGTATCTATTTCACCCAACCCAACTTCTTCGTCATTTTCCCTGTAAATAAAAATTGATTAGTTTCAGTGGACAAACTCTGAAATAATTCCTTACTCCATGTTATTCATGTGTTCAGAGAACACTCGAAGAAGGAATTCTCCTTCTTCGTTAGCATCAAATGTGGAAGGTACAATGCAATAAGTGCCAGGGGGCAGCTTGAACCTTTCAGAAACCTCTCGCAGGTTGATGAATGACTTAGACCTTGCGACAGAGGCATTGTACTTGAAGAAATCAAGGGGAAGAGGCTTCGGTTGATTTTCCGGGTTGTCAAGCTGGATTTAATTACTTAAAATTAAAAGTGATAAATGGAAATAACAAAGTAACTTGCCTTGTAAAGGGCAAAGCCAATGGTTAGGCACTCTGCACCCATCTTTCTCTGCGACCTCCTGTTTTTCTGCATCAAAGCAACTATGACTGTACACATGGACTCGTCATCGTCCTCATCGGGATCTTCTAGTGTGATGATGTATTGGGGGTTGTGCCAGAATGTCTCTATAAATTTGATTTATTCAAAACATGAATTAAATAAACTAATGAGCTTACCAATAAAATTACGGCAACCGCCAGCAGTGATGCCTCTGACCCACTCGCCCTCGAACACGCTCATTTCCCACTTCTTGCCATCTCCAATTTCGTCCTCAGTTAAGGAATCAGGATTCAAGTTGCAGATCTCAAGACGTGAGAAATATTTGGTGAAGTCTCTGTACGACATCCAGAATTCACCATCGTCATCAAAAGTCAATCCAATTTCCTCCTTTTCGTTCTGGGGAATAAAGCGCCACTCCGCAGATCTTCAAAAATTAATTTTTTTTTTTAAATACTCAGAGAATAAAATGTTTATTACTTATCGGACCAAGCACCGTTCCACTCTGCCTCATTTCCCCAAGGATTCCTCAACCTGATGAGAGGAATTTTGCCAGACATGGTTGGCGTTGTGATGTCCACGTACTTGACGCGGGTGATACTGTATGCATGACCTTTGACAAGGCCCTCGGGCGTCCGTGCCTCCAACACACTAGGATCAGGCTAAAAAAATCACTTTTTTATATACGAAATTCAATGACATAAAAATTGTTATACCTCGATGGAAGCGCCCATCAGAGACGACCGTTCAAAGGCCTTCAGCAGAATCTTGTAAAGATTCGGATCAGGGTTCTGCAGGTCGTGCCACTCGGTGACTCCACCAGTGAAGTCCTCCATGGCCTCACAAGTAGTTCCACCTTTAAGGGCCTCATAAGAACCATGCAGCCTAAATGAATAGTAAATAAGTTATTTTTGATTGAAATTAAAATGCCTTACTTAGCATAAGCCTTCTCCAAAAGGGCGCTCCAAAACTCATTTTGCTGGGAAGACCTGAGGAACACCAGCTGGCCATTATAGGTTGGAAGTCGGTCATCCACTACAACATCTACCCAACGTCCATACTGCCAAAATCTATGGAAACAATCAATGACAAAATTCCTTCCAATTGAAAAAAATCTTACCTAAAATGGAATATGCCTGCATATTGGTCGGTAAAACTCTGGTCATGAGGAACCACCTGGCAGAAAAGTGAATTGTGAAGGGTCAAGTTGGCCACTGCAGCCAACAACCAGCAGTCGCCTGATGATATTAAAATAAAAAATTATTCAATTTATTTTTTTTTAGATTTTTGAAAAAAACCTAACCTAATTCTCCTTGCTGGATGTCAAATCTAGAATAACCTTCAACAAACAACCTTGGATCGGACGTGATTTCCTTGAAATTGATTGAATTAACTTTTGATTAGGAATTTAATTTAACACTATAAATACCGTTGGACGGAGCCATTCAAAGGAACGTGGTGGTCGTCTGCTGAAGAAAATTGACGTATCTGTGCAGGGAAACTCGGGATCCTCGAATAAGGCGCCACTTGCCAAACAATCGTCACGCAATTTGATGAAATCTTGGACAGTGCCTCTGTTGCGAATACCAGATCCTTTGTCTCCCAACTGAAAAATAAAATTAATTTGATAAAATATTAAGAACATAAATTTAATAAAGAATCTTTATATCTTTAATTAAAATAATCACATAAATTTAATTTATCTTCCATTGTAAAAAAATATTAATTAGAGTAGTCATGAGACATGAATTTTGTTTATTTTTGCTAAAAAGTATAAAATTTTTTTATTTTTAATCGCTCTTAAAACTATTCTGTTAAATTGAAAGTAATATATTTGAGGATTCAAAGTTCCTGCAACTTTCGCCCTTTTGATCTTTAGTGCTGGGGGTTTAAATTTAAGTTGGGCGCAAAAGGAGCCATTAAATGTGCTAATGGCGGAGCTGAACTTTTCAAGTTGACATTCAGCAGGGCGGTAGCTAACAATGAGGGTGGCATTAAACACCTGCAGAAATAAGCATTCAGAATTTTCGGGAGAAATAATCTAAATCAGCGCGTCAGACAAAATCGTGCACTCTAGAATTCATCACAAAATAATAATGATAATTATATCACCTCAGGTTGCGAGTCAAAGAGATTCGCGTGCCAAGCGTTTTACTACGCTGCACCCATAAAAAAGGCCAATTCCACGCATCACACCCACACTTCTCCAGATGAGTTTTGGGCCTAATTGTGCGGTGGATTTCCAAGATATTTTCCTCTCTAGTCATTCACATAAAATTTATGGTATTTCCAAAGCCTTTATATGTTTAAATGATCTAAGAATAATTGAATTGTTGAGAGAGATGAAAAAATTTATAAAAAAGGAAATTTAAAAATAAATATTATCCACCCATTTAAATGGCATAAGACTTATGAATGTAAAAAATTTAATTTTTATTTAATGAAAGCTTTCAGATCCTTGAAAGGAAAAATTAATGTAAATTTAATTCTCGCTTGTATGGGAAGTGAATCAGAGTTGATTGAGATGCACCTGATGTTCGAACGGTTTTATTTCATATTGCAAATTGCTTACTGCTCGTAAACAGGTTGAGCTCCAATTGCGGCAATAATAATCACGGTCTTGCAAACTGACTCAAAAGAAAATTATCTCGCACCGACAAAGGCAAACAATAGATAGAGATAAATAACAGTAATCCTTTTGCTGCCTTTAACTAAGAAATATATAAATATGATTTAATTTTTTTGCGATATTCTAAATGCTTTTTACTCGCGAAATACAAATTAATATTAATGGCAGAGCGCAGACGACTGCATGGCGTGAAAAGCGGAAAGATGAGCCGGCAGGCTGGCGGAGAGGAGGAAAGAAATTGCATACGCCAGGCTTTATTATGGAATCCCAAATGGGAACTGTGGCGTTCGCTAAAAGGCCCACGCCCTCTTTGTAAAGTAATTCCCAGCGATTCATTTCTTTGGGTGGCAGCAAAAGAATGGTAAAGGAGTAAAAAGTGTAAGAGAGGCCACTGATATGCCATCGCACACGAAAGGAGACGGTGATCTTTGCCAACGAGAATTTCGCCATCATGTGCTAAATCTCACACTTAACCTAAAATTCAGATGAAAACTCAAAAGAACTAAAAATTATTTTTACTTTCAATAAAGAAACTGGGTAAAAATAAATGAAATCTTGGAATTTGCTAAAGTTGCAATAATTACGTTTCTTAAAAATTTAGCATTCCATTTGCATATATTTATTATTGTTTTTTTAATTGGAATAATTAAATTAAGAAAATATATTTTATATAATAGTTCATATATAGTTAATACAATTTCAAATTATATTTCCGACATCATAAAAGATAAATAATAATAATTACTTTATGAAATAAAATCTTAAATAAAATTTCAAATTTAATTGCAAAAAAGGAACAATGCAACTTTGAATTTTGCTCCGCCCGAAAAAAAATTTTGCACACGCCAGCAGAAGCAGCTGCGGCGTCTGGAGAGAAATAAATGATTTAGCAAATGGGATGCGCACCACTTTGAGGTTGTGAAGCGTCGGCAGGACCCTGTTGATGTCGGCCACCTTTCGCACGTACTTGTTGAAGATGGCGGCCAACGGGTCCTGGCCGTTGAGCAGGGCTTGGAGCCCTTCTTGGGCCATTCTCGCGCGTCCCTTTTTGACTCGGCCTCACTGACGGAAGGACTGACACAACCAGCGGTCGGTGCCGCTCTGGTGACCGGTGACGTCACCTCCCCTCCCCACTCTGCTCCTCCGACCTGACTGAGTCAGTCAGTGTCGGTGCTCACCTTTACTTTACTGCGTGCGCATCCAACTTTTGACGAAAAACTTGTTTTCGCATGGGCAAGGTCAACAATTTTAAGCGGACAACCAACGATTTCTTGATTGGAGCTATGCTTTTTCAAGCTGGAGAAAAAAAATGTTGAAATAAATCATATCATAGGTTTTCTAAAGAGGTTCCAAAGTGTTTTGTAACACATTTTTTTTTTTAACAAATTATAGATGATAGAGTCATGTAATATGCGGATAATATCATATTGTGCTGAATAATTCTAAATAATAAACTGAATGCAGAATTAAATTTTATGATTGTTTATTTTATTCCTTTAAAAACTGATAAATATGGATGACAAAAATATGAAAATTAAATAGTTTAAATAATAGTTTGATAAAAAGTTTTATAATTTAAAATCTTCAAATATGTTAAAATAATGAAATTAAAATTAATATAAAAATGTCTGTGAATTATGTACAATTTGAAGGAATCCAATGCATACAATTTTAAGATTTACTATTTTAATTTAATTATAATTTATAAGTTCTTTAAATCTGTCTTTTACTGATTTTTTTTTAAATCATATTGATCCAGAAGTCTATGGTAGCCTGAGTTTACTATTATAGTGAGTTGCTAAATAAAATTTAAATGATAAATGCAGATTTTTAGTACAATTTTAAAATTAAGCTTTATCATCATTGATGAAAATAAGTTCATTTGTTTAATATTTTCATGACGGCTAAATAAGCTCAAAGAGTGTCGATGTTGCCAACAATGCTCCTGCCAGAAGATTGGCAAGACCCGATTGTTAGAAGCATTAAATTTCTATGAATACAAAAATACAATCCACAATCTGACATCCATATGATCAGGACAGATAATCAATATTTTTTTCATAAAAAAAAACTTCTGACAAGTAGATATTTTCAGTTTTGTTTGTTGTTTGTCAGTCGATTTTATATCAGATGTTGTGTGTTTGTATCTGAATAGACGAATAGAGAACAAATAAAGGAATAAAGGAAATGTTGGTGATATATTGAATGAACTTAACGTGGTGTACTTTGTTTTTTTAAAGATTAGTTCAATTATTGGTATAATTTTAATCTGGTGTGGAAGACAATTTAATTTTGCGTGTCTTTAATGAGAAAAGATCAGAGAAAGATACAATTTATTATTTTTTGGCATTAATTACAAGAAAATTACCCTTAACCAGATGTTTCTGACTTATTTTAAAAGCTTAAAAATTAATTATCAAAAATTTACAAATACTGCAAACCAAGAAACATCTATGAGATACAAATATATTTATTCTATTTCATTTTTATGCACAAGCAATATTAAATAGAAATAATTTATATTCCTTTATAAATTCAATTATTCAATTAATTTTTCAGGCTATAAAGAAGCAACTCAGTCTTTACTATGTTTGCTTTTTCTTCGGAGCTGAATTTTCTCGGCACCGTTTTTTTCTTGCAGGGCCACAAAGAAGTGCATTCGAATGCAATCTCGGACTTGACCTTGCAGCGAGGGCTAGGCCACTGCGATTATTATTCTCCAACACTCCCATCCATTTATGTTAAAGTCCTATGAGGTCCCAACTGTTCTCCGCTTTTTTAATTGGGTGAAGCAAAATGCATCACATGGCCTGGCGCACAAACAAAATTCTTCTCAAGGCTAGCAGCGAACACAAAAAACTCGGCTCTGCTATTATAGTCAGAGCGCTGCAGTTGTCCTCTGGTTTTAAAAACCACAAGAAGAGACAGGACCCGCGGCGTTAAAGTTTATGTAAATATTTGCTCACATTAAAATAAACAAAGAACCTATTTTAATAAATAAAACATATAAATTACATCATATAAATATATAAAATAATTATATTTAGTCATTGCACAATAAAATGCAGCTATGCAGTAGAAAGAGAAAGAAACGGAATCGGAAAATCGATTGCTAAGGGTGCGTGTTTGGAAGCAACAGAAAAGTGCTTCGGTTCTGTTGCGTGAGAATAATTGTTTAGAATACGGTATTTAAATAGAAAAAAAGGGGGTGCGTATACTCAATTCGTTTCTCAAATTCGTTTGTAAAGTAAAATTTTGTAAAAAAAAAAATGACAAATTTGATAAAGGAAATTTAAAAAAAAAATTCTATTTATTTCTCACCCTGTGCCCTCGATTGTGTCTGCGAGCGGTGGAGTTTGCGACCGCGTCCTTGACGGCCGTTTCGACGGCCTCCATGGTGAAGCCCAGCACCGTGAGGGCGCCTTCCTTGGCCGCCTCGCTCCACGAAGTCCATTTGAACGCACTCGCCTCGCTGAAGTGCGTTTTCGTGCACTCGGCTTCCTCGACCATCGCGAATTTGGATTTTTGGTTTTAGGCCGAAAAAGGAATTGCACTCGCGCGAAACGTCAACAACTTTACTCGTTTCTCCTCATCATATGGGCGTGCAACCTTTTTTTTATGACAGCTCTGCGGAGGCGCATGCCCATTCCGAGGGGTGCAAAAGGGTGTGTTCCTGCTGCAGGCAGAGGCGGAAGGGGGGAAGCGGCGGGAAATGGAGCATAAATGCATTGGCCGCGTGGCGTCTGTGCTCCATAAAACTCGTGGCGCACCTCGCCTTGACCGACTTTGTTTTAGTATGACTATAATTTTTAAATTTTCCGGATCCTCTTTTGTAATGCCTCATAAATTTAGTTAGTTCATTCCGACAGTTTTCTCAGTAGAAGTCATTAATCTTTAGTGAACGTTTTAGGAATAAATTGGCAAATATAATTGAACATAAATCCTTTTTGTTATTATATAGATTCTACTTATTTCATCTGTTTTTTTTCTGCTCGTTTACTATACGAATACGATTTATCAGACAGAAGGTTTTTGTATTTATTCTTCCTAACATTTCCTCGACCGAAAAGAACGATCCATCTGAACTAAACACAAAAATAGAATCTCAAGCATCTTTTCCAATGTCTATCTCGGTCGTGCGTGTCAATTTATAGAACTTACGCAACATTATAGGCGCGCATTCATTTTTCGCATAGACGGACGCCGCTGAGTGAAAACGACTTGTTTATTTCCTTCCTCCAGCCAAAAGGCAATTTTATAAATTTAGGCTTTTTTAGATTTTAAAGTTGGTCTCGTCAAGTCTCGTTATCAAAATTTTATAAAAATAAAATTCAATGAAATAATTTTAATTTTTAAATAAAACTTTTTAATTTTTTTTTTTAATTATTTTCCTATGGTGGAAATGGTTTTTCTTACTTATTTTAGTACTCCATAAAATTGAATACTTTTTATCTCTGTTTCTGAAATCCAATACTGTTCAATGTTTCTCCACTGTACCCTTTTGTTCTAAGGGCAAAAGGTGCAAATAACTTTTGCAAAAATCATTATCATTACAAAAGTGGAGCTAATTTCGACAGATTTTAATTAGTCCCACTTTTAAATAGTCTTTGCCAGTTGTTTACACAGTTATATATGTTCTTTTAAAAAGCTTTTACACGACGAGAATTCTTTTGCGCCGGTGTGATTCACACTAGATTAGACTTCGTGCGCAACGGCGAATAATACACCTGTGTGTTATTTGCAGGGAACTGTCTGTCTGCATAAGGCGCAGAGGACAAAAGATAAGCTCTGTGAATGCTATTCAACTGCCAAAGGAGCATAAAAAAGCGGAAAAATATATTTTTAATAATTACTCGTATCAGCTTTTACTGAAAAGAGTGAATGGTTGTGATGACGGAATAATAAAATATTTATCTTCGTCCATCCGCAGCAAATTAAAATTGTTTTAGCACCCTCTTGTTTGTATAAACCGCGCGCGCGAAACGGAAGGGTTAAATCTTTTTTGGTTTCTCTTGATCTTACACTAGACCGCCGAGGAAACAGTCCCAGTTTTTATTTTGTTTTTTCTATTTTTGGACGCCACATGCTGTCAAGGAAAATTTTGGTCAACATGCATGTCGAATCCTTATAGTCTGCCACCCGTTTTTTGCAAGTAGAATTGTTTAAAAAATTACATCGATGCGTGTCTGTGTCAAAATGTCAACAATAATTAAGGGCAATTATTTTCAAAATATTGATGCGCGAAACTAATTTAAATTAGTTTTCTTGCACAATTAGAGATTTAGTTCCAGTCTAAATAATGCAAAATAAATTATTTTTCAGTTAAAAATAGTGCATAAAGTTTCCTTACATTGAAAGCGTCCTTGCCAGGATGGAAAACGTCTCCAAATCCGGTCAATCCTCCCTTGAGCAACCTGTTCTTGAGGTGGTAACTTCCCTTTGTCCAGGGCGTACCGCCAGAGCCTCCCTCGCCCTGGCCGCCACTGTTGACCAAATTTTTGAAGGCACCCCGCAGATTTCCAAGGTTGCCAGGTAAGCGAAATGACCCCCTGGACAGCACTTGACGTCAAACCCAAAAGCGATAAGAAAATAATAAAAGAATACCCTGAGTCAGGCATCTGAAATCCGAATTGCCTGAAGCCCTCGTTGAGCAGGCCTGGCAAGTTGTCCCCATCCATACGGATGGGGAAGCTGTTGAACAGGGAGGACATGCCGACCGACTGACTGGGCTAACCACCGTAGCTTCTGTCAAGTGAGAAGCACACCTGGAGCGGTGCCAGGACAGCCGGAGGGGTGCCTGTCTAAATTTACACTGACAAAAAGTGAGGAAGCGCCACCCAGTATCGCGCGCGCCGTGTTATAAACAACCTAAATGGCTTTGCCTCAACGTCAAACCGAGTGTGCGTCCTCCCTAACCAAGAACAGGACCTATTTACTCCCACTGATAACAAATAATAGCGCGAGCTAAACTGCATGTTTACGTTCACTTGAGATATGAAAAATTGGCGAAATATTCCTGTCCCAATAAATTTTCGAGTAAACATCTGGTGATATTTTAAAAAGGGAAATTGAATTTCAAAGCCATAATTAATCAAATACCAAATCCAGTTAATTGCATTCTTACAATCTTGAAATGCCATCAAAATCATGGAGTAACAAAACATATCTTCACTGCTCAATCATACTTCATATAGAAACAAACACAACTCTCTGCATATTTCAGTCACATCACCTCTCTGTTCACTTCACTAATGGAAGAAGATCTTCCACTCCTCTGTAATAGGTACTGCTGGTTTCCTGATGACAAGCAGGTGTTTGTTGGGGCTGAATGTTGATTCCAATTCTTGCTCTCCCAAGCCTAAACAAAATTTAATTTGTAATTAAATATCAAACACATGACGGTATTAAATACTTGGCGATTTCAAGACTATCCTGCTGGGTGCTTTCTTGATGCCCATTACGATGATACGTTCCAGCCATGATTTGGTGACGAAGTTTCCATTTTTATCCCCCAGCCTGTTAAAAATCAATAAATCAGCTATTTCTATTATATGTTTTGATAAATATTACTTTGAAACCATTGTGGTTCCATCGTAGAAATAATTGAGGCTTGTAAACTGTCCATTCTGATAATCAAAGCTCTCGCCGTCATCAATGTATAGAGATCCAGTAGCAAGACCCTGCAATCAAAATTTAGTTTGGATTTTAAAATCTCAAGGAAGATTATTAATAATTACATCAGCATTGAGAGCCACTTGGAGTGTGTAGGGATCATCCTTGGTCAAAGCTGACGATCTACGAACACGCATTTTCTTTGGAATGATAGTTCCTCCACGTTGATAGACTGGGATCTGTCAAAAGTTAATTAATATTAAATAAAATAATAATAGTAATAATAAAAACAAGCGAGATCTACCTTTTCTTTAGGTACTTGGACAGTTTTTGTACCATGACCAGAGAACAATTCAAGGGCATCCAGGTCATACCACAAATCCTTCTCTCCAGGGAAATAGACAGACACGTCTGTTGCTCCTGATTGGGTGACGGGATGAATCAAAAGCTCATTTCCTGTAGATCAAAAGTCAATTTATCCTGCCAAATATTTTAATGAAGTCGAGAGTGTACCAAGCATAAATTCATCTTCAATCGTAAATGTTGCTTTTTCCTTTGGATAGTTGTACCAAATGGGTCTCATGATTGGAAGGCCACCTGTCTCATGTTGGCGGAAGAGTGTGTACCAGTATGGAAGGAGCTCGTAGCGCTTTCTGACAGCTGATCGCACCAAGAGGGTTGTTTCTTGGTCGTAAACCCAAGGTTCACGTCGCTTAGTGTCAATGTGAGCGTGGCCTCGCATGAATGGCAGAAAAGCACCAGCCTAACAGCATAAATCATTTACATGTGTAAAATTAGCAAAATTTTCTTTTACCTGGTACCAACGGTAAAACAATTCAGAATCGGGGTTTTTAAAAAAGCCACCAATGTCAGCGCCACAGAAAGGCATACCAGCTAGAGAAATGGACAAGCACATTGGGATGGAAGCCTTCAAGTGGTCCCATTCAGCCATGTTGTCTCCGGTCCAGACAGAAGCAAATCGTTGTGAGCCGACAAAGAAAGAACGAGTTAAGATGAATGGCCTCAGCTTTCCTTGAGATCTCTTCAGCAACCCATCGTAGGTGCTCATGACCTTGTTAAATCAGACACAGTTATAATTAAGAAAATATTATTAAATAGTAATAAAATCACATGAGTTAAGCCGTAAAGGTTATGAACATCTCTGTGCTCCCAACCTCCATGATGGACACAGTCCTTGGGCATGGTGATTTCAGGGCCATTGAAAACCGAGGGCTCATTCATATCGTTCCAAATGTGGGTGTCCAGAGTTGTACCAGGGAAGTTATCGAGCGAGAATTTTGATGCCCAATAATCCCGCACAACAGGGTTGAAGAAGTCGAGGTAGCCAGACGATCCAGGCCAACACCAACCTTAATTTAAAAAGTTTAGTTACCGAAAAGTCATTTCTCTTAAATCGTTGTACCTTCGTAATCATTTCCATCTTTGTTTTTAACGTAGTACCCATTGCTGGTCGCATCTTCGTGAACAAAGTAGCCACCCTCTCGTTTAATGTGCGGATCAATAATGACCACCATGTGGTGACCCTTCAGTGAGAGATTTTTCATCATATCACCAGGATGAGGGAACTTGATTCTATCCCAGGTGAAGTACTTCTTGCCTTCGGTGTACTCAATATCGAGCCAAATAACATCGTACGGAATATCGTGTGTGTCAAATCCAGCATCGACACCTTTGACATCATCTTCGTCGTTGTAGTTCCACCTACACTGGTGATAACCCAAGGAGAAGAGCTAAAAACAAATAATTTTATTATAATCTTTCATGTTGGAAGGCTAACTTACAGGAGGCAGTGGGGTGACTCCAGTGATTTCAGCATAATGCTTGGAAACATCTTGCGGATTTGGCCCCAAGAACAAAAATGCGTCAACAACTCCACTCTCAGAAACAAATCTGGCTTCCAGAGGTGGCTGTGGGGTGCCACTACCAGAGACGAAGTTGACAATGGACGAAACTACGTTGCCTTCTTTGTGAGCTCCGCCTTCGATATCAACCCATGTTTCCGCAGCATTCAGCCACAAAACTCCAGCAGTTCCCTCAGTACTGTTATAATTATCATCAGATAAAGACCTTTAAAATGATTATTTATAATTAATACCCATGGGCAATGAGGAAGGGAATTGATCCATAAAGTGCCATCGGGTTATTCAACTCGTACTCAAAAACGTCCAAGTTGTATAGTCTGTACGGATCAGTGGTTCTGAAAATTTAAATTTATATCAATGATCAGGAGTTTTAGAAATAGACTAAAGACAGGTAAAATTTTCAGTAAGCATAAGCAACCTCAATATTTTTATGTTATTAAAATAAAAAATAAAAGTTTTTTAAATCCTTGATCTTTCCTATAAGATATTTCCAAAAATTCTCACCCTGTGTTTTTTAGAGCTAATGTATCTGCATGTTCTGGAATTCCATAAGCATAATCGGCGTTTGGGAAAGAAAAGTCCATGCCAACTGCAGATGGGCCATGGGGCTTTTGGTCATGATGGGACTTGAAATTTTCTTCCCATGCTCCAATGTCCGATTCAACATCGTCAACAGGCTGAGGAGCCTCTACTGCTTCCTCTCCTTCAGCTGGAGCTGGTATACTTGAATACAGTTAAAATTAGATAAATACTGCAGGTTTTTCTCTTCAAATTTTACTTTGTCTTTTGTCTGTAGTGTTCAAATTTGAAAAGACCCTGTGCGTTGAGACTGATGGCGAGTCGCTTGCCGCTGTAGAGATCAATTTTAAATGGTGAAGCGTGAAGAACAGCTTTGTTGGGCCCATTGGCAACAGTGATGCTCTCGGCAGTCCTTTCTGTGACTTCCAATCTAAAACTTGAGTTTTGAACAGCAAATCATTTGTTAGAATTAAAATTTTACTTTCTAGTAGGTGGTTCTCCGTTGAGCGCAAAATCTACTTTGTATCTTTCCTTGATGGGCTGAGCTTCGTCAATTTGCAGCCTGAAATTGTGGTTCTCAAGGGCGGTGAGCTTGAGCGTAAAGTGAATGGCATTTTTGATGTTCATCAAGGAAATTTGGAGATCCGATTCGCCTTCTTTGACTGTGTTCAGCAAAAGTTGATATGGCGATTCACCCTTTTTCATTGCACGATATCGTCTGAATTTGAAGGTTGTGTGAATGAACATCTTTAAAATAAAAATTAAATCAATCATTTACCGGCAAAAGCTGCTTTGATCGCATGATTTAAAATTAGTTCTGTCGACACCTCCAACCTCAATGAAAAGTGCGATCGATATCACAAAGACAGGAATATACCTGGAAAAATATAAGATTTTTTAAAATCATTAATCATCTGAATTTTAATGTATAAAAATGGAATAGGAAAATCGCTTCAAATTTAAAAAATAATCTTGCAAAAAATTTGTTTTCAAATTTTATGAAAATAAATTATTTGTTGCAAAACAGTTTGCGCCAGAAAAGCACAGTGTATAATATTCCTCCCCCTAAAATTATTGAGATTTATCTCTTGATAATTATTGCCTAGAATTGAAAACTAAATTTGGCAAGAAATAAGAAATAGCAAACAAAAAATTAAAAATATGGAAAAATGTCAGAGCCAAAAGAAGGCTGTATAAAGTCTTGGCCTATGAAACCAGCACATTTTCTTGCTATTTTAGAATGGGAAATTTTGAATTATTCGTTCATTCGGAAGAATACGCACCACAGACTTTTCATTTTAAGTAGGCGGAATGGAAACTGCACTAAAAGTTAAAATAATCGCAACCAAAAGAGACTCCAGCTCTCATGCTACAGCTGTACAGCTGAGGGCCCTTTGGTCAACAAAATAATGATGTGGTGCCGGCTCTGACGTAGAAGTCGCTGATTGGTCGAGAGCCCTCGGCCGACCAAAGAGGTTCAGGTCCCAACAAGTCGCAACTTGCAAGCTTCGAAATTTTTTGAGCTTGCCAGTCGCCATTGTAGAGTTGAAAACGCGGAAGCAAAGTCAGGTCGGAAATTCTAGAACCCTCCGTCACTGCATTCGTCCTTTGTAAATTTGCAAATCAGAAAGTCGAATCAGTACCATCTCTGCACGGATTCGCATAATCGATAGGTGAGGAAAATTTTGCGTCTGGCCAGTGTTTTTCTTTGGTCGGCTTTCTAGGCCACCGACTCGGGTTTCAATGTGGACGCCTTTTCGGGTCGGACATCACAGATTAAATTTTACCACGACCAATCAATTTATGCTTTACGAGCAATCGCTACGTATTTTGTGATTTTGATTCATTTTCCTTTCATTACATTCATCAATTATAATAATTAAAACCCAATTACATAAAAACATTGATAAAAATTTAAATAAATAAATAAAAAAGTTTAAACTCGCAATTATGTGTATTGAAGAAATATTTTGGTCGCTTTTTTAAAATCCCCCTAGTAGATAATATGGCACCACCATAACGCCAAGTAAAATATTAAATATGACATCAGTTTATTTTCTGTTCATAAATCATCATAAACATCATTCGCAACTAAATCAAACTCGTATTATTTATACAACATTGGAAACATAATAATATGCATTAATATTTACAATTTATTTATATGTTTGCGTTTGCATGTTGCCTGAAGAGATGGATTGCTCAATAACTATTACTCAGCAAAATTAAAGAGGTTAAAGGTCAGGAGACGTTTGTGTGTACGATTAGTGTGTCCTTATTTCATTAATTTATACGTAGATCCTTAAAATTTTAACTCATGAGCCAATGACTGTACTATTTTAATTCACAGCTAACCAGATTATGAGAATAAAAAACAGCCTTAAAAAGCTATTATGAAAACAACGATGTGCTTTGTTTTATAGAAAAATCCAAAAATGTGAACGATTTGTGCGATATCTCTGGCAATTCATCAGTTCGCCATATATGCCACTTCCTGTTTTCTAACGTCAATAAAAGGGTGTCCTCAATTTTGAGAGGACATTATTATACCCATTTTTATCAAGATTTATTGATCAAGAGTCATATAGAGGTACCCTCATATCTTATGCTCAATAGAAAAACTACTCAACAGGATTGAATTCAACAACCAAATTTAATATTACTTCGTCGTCACCCTTACATAGAATTGAATCAAAAGAAAATATCTTATCGCCGTTTACTTGAATAAATTTTCTTAAAGCCTGTATGAAATTTAAAAAATTTCATCCTCTTTGAAATTTTTAGATTATTTAATGAAAATTTAATATTATAAAGCTGATTAATTTTATTTTCTTGTCTTGTTTGCAGGGATGGCTGAAGAATTTGACATAGAGGCAATGCTTGAGGCGCCATACTCGAAGAAAGTAAGTTTTCGTTGATGAGTTGCACAGAGTCGTCTCTGTGTGCGCTCATTTTGATGATGATGATGTGAACTGTTGTATAGGGTTAAGAGCAGCGAAAGCAAGAAAGACACATAGCAAAATGCAGTCAAGGCAGCTGCTCTGAAAAAGTGGACTATAGTAACTGGGGTTGCATGAATGAAAGATTGAGTTTGGGGGTTTGCAGTACAAGTCATAGATGTGTGATCTATATAACTACACCTGCAGGGACGAGGCCCAAATTAAAAGAAATTAATCAGACTTTCAGTCAAGCAAACTAATTTCTCCGATGAATTGAAAAAAAAATCAGCTCATTGTGCTATCAGTGTACTTTAATGCTTGCTTTTTTAATTTAGATCCCAAGGATTCTACGAACTGTGCCTTTACTCTTTCCCCATGCAACAAGGTTAGTTATTGACGATTTTGAGAATGCAACTGAAGAGCAAGGTCGTCAGAGTCTCAAACTGTTGTGTTGTCGCGGGACGAACTGTAAAGAATGAGCAGAAACTTGGTCAACGTTTTCATCTTGCTCATTTCCTTACAATAAACTCACTGTGGCTCAGTTTCACTTAAATTCTGGACCATATTCATATTTATGTTCGGCTTGGTAAATTGTAAAGGATTGCATTCAAAACTGATCGGATTTACGAGGGTGGGCGGGCAGAGGGTGAGTTCATCACTCCAAAATTCTGCACAAATTTGCTAACATGCAGACAGTGCTAGATAATGATAAAATTTATTTAGGGAGGTTATTCAGTTGCCAACTATTCCTGATCCTTTATTAATTTTTCTGTTACTTCAAGGAGTCAAGCAGCAAGTCTCGAGAGAATGACAATGGCCGATCGTCAAAGTAAGTTCTTAACTAAATAAATAGGTGGCATTATATTTACGGATATTTTTCTTCCAGGAAAAGTAAGAAGCGGTCACGCTCGCGAAGCAGGGAACGGCACAGGGATCGTTCAAGGAGCAGAGATAAGGACAGGAGGCCTAGGGACGAGAAGAAAAGCAAGCGGAAGAGCCGAAGCAGGAGTCGAGATCGGAATCGTAAGAAGATTGGCAATCCTAAGGAAAAACGTAGATCGCCTTCACCCTTGGTTTTGGGACCGCGACGTGATCGTGAAAAGTAATTGGGTTTAAATTGATTTTTTTTTTATTTGCTTAATTAAAAACTAAACATTTCAGGCCGAACATGAACTTCAGACTTGACGACTTAACACCTGAGGAGCGTGACGCTAGGACTGTTTTTTGCATGCAACTCTCACAGAGAGTGAGAGCAAGAGATTTGGAGGAGTTTTTCTCATCGGTCGGAAAGGTAATGTTTGAGAATTAATTTATATATGGTGGTAGAATTTTATTATTTTATGCAGGTGAGGGACGTCCGTTTGATTATGTGCAACAAAACCAGGCGTTTTAAGGGAATATCCTATGTTGAGTTCAGAGATCCAGAATCAGTTGCTTTGGTAAGTTATTAAATCATTTAAGAATATTAATACAGCGGGCTAAAAATATGTATGGTATTGGCATTTTAAGTTCAACATGTTAAACTCGAATCATATTTTTTCACAGGCTATGGGTTTGAGCGGCCAGAGGTTGCTTGGCGTTCCTATCGTAGTTCAGCACACTCAAGCTGAGAAGAACAGACAGGGCAACTCGATGATAAGCATGATGAGTCGTGGTTCTGCTGGTCCTTGCAAACTTTACGTTGGTTCGTTGCACTTCAACATCACAGAGGACATGCTGAAAGGCATCTTCGAGCCCTTTGGAAAGATTGAAAGCATTCAGATGCAGATGGACCCAGAAACTGGCCGATCAAGAGGATATGGATTTGTTACCGTAAGTTTTAAAAATATAAAAAATGTTTAACCCAAGTTTTATAATCATGATTTCTTTGCAGTACAGAGATTCTGAGGATGCAAAGAGAGCCTTGGAGCAGCTGAATGGTTTTGAGTTGGCCGGCAGACCTATGAAAGTGAACACTGTTACTGAGAAGAATGAATTCTTCCAGATGAACCCAGCCTTGTTGGACACTGACGAGACAGACCGAGCTGGAATTGACCTTGGTGCCACTGGCAGGCTGCAGCTCATGGCAAAACTTGCTGAAGGTAAGAGGAAATTTCAATTTTTTTCATGTCAACATTATTACATGCATATACCGTTTGAATTATTACCAAAGTTATTGTTTTATTTAATTTAAAATTTGTGTATTAGGTACAGGGATGCAGATCCCTGTTGCTGCAGCCAACGCACTCAACGCTACAGCTCAACAGCCTCTGATCACTGCTCAGCAAGCAGCCATGGCTCAAGCAACAGCCCCTCCTATAGCAACTCAGTGCTTCATGCTCTCCAACATGTTTGACCCTGCACAGTAAGTTCAAGTTTAGAATTTAGACTAATTAAATTGATTGTTTTGAATTATTTAAAATTGTGCGTTAAATATTTCAAATTGTAATTTCCTTTACAGAGAAACTGCTCCGTTCTGGGACACGGAGATTCGTGATGATGTGATTGAAGAATGCAACAAGCACGGGGGTGTGCTACACGTCTACGTGGACATGGTGTCCCCACAGGGCAACTGCTACGTCAAGTGCCCAACTATAGCAACGGCCGTGGCAGCTGTCAACTCATTGCACGGCCGCTGGTTTGCTGGCCGGGTCATCACTGCTGCGTACGTTCCGGTGGTCAACTACCACAGTTTGTTCCCTGACGCTATGACTGTCACCACCCCGCTGCAACCTAGCAGGAAGTGAATACAATGGAAGATAAAAGAGATTTCCCACTTATTTTGATTTATCCGTTTTCCAACGGCACCATCACTTTGAGTTTGTTCAAATATTTGGCTTGTAATAACGAGCAACACAACTTATGTACAATAAATTTGTAAAATTGAGCTTGGCTGGATTTTAATTTCTTGTTTTACAAAAATGAAGAGATAATTTAACTAGCATTTATTTACAAACTGATTTAAAAAAAACGGAATGATCAAATTGATTATGTCCATTTTATATGTCAAACTTCTCAGCACACACAACGTGTCCGTGTTCTTCATACTCGTGTTTGGAGATGAATTTTTCCTTGATAGCTTTTGGATCTGCAGCCAGCGCTTTTCCACCCTGCCATGCATATCCAAGTGGATCACTGGGCATAGTAACCTTGACCAGGTACTCGCATGGGGCAACAGCACGCAGTTCTTTGGTTAGTCTTTTTTCAAAGCCTGGGAAAAGGGTTGAACCACCAGTAAGGACAATGTTTCTCCACAAGTGAGGCTGCGTCTCTGGTTCACAAAGTCCGATGATGTGCATTATGAGCTCAGGAATACCCATCTGCTGGAGACCAACGTCCGATGGATGGAACAAAATCTCCGGCACTGCAAACCTAAAAGTTTGATTATTTTTCTATTCTATGCTATATACTTAACAATAATTTCACCTTTCATTATTAAGCCGCAGAAGTTGAATGCCTTCATCCTGCGCGGCCTGAACGTCCCTAAGGTAGCCTCTTCGAATGCTGGTGAAGTCAGGAAGGACGTACTCCTTGAGGATAGTGTTTGCTGGACCTTTGGTGGCCGCTTCCTTCATTGACGCCATCAAATCTTCAGCCACAAAGCAGGCATCCTCTTTGACTTGGTTCATTACATATGTTTCGTCCATGACATGTAATTGCCGATAAGAGATGATGTCTTTCAGGTGGTTTGTCAGCAATTTTCCACCAACTTCTATCCTTCGAATAAGATCGGTTCTGCGCTTTCCCATTATATAAGGAACCACATGAGTAAAACTGTAGCCACAATCCACGACCAGGCAGGCTTTTGCATCTGGATGATCACTCAGATACCTGAAATAAAATAATTTCAGAAAATCATTAATAAATCGATAAAATCAAATATAAATAATCTCGGTTTACGCACTTGTGTTGGCTTAAATCTACTGCGTTAATTCTCAGTAGATTGCAGCAGTCGTACTCCTCAAAAAAAATCTCGTTGGCTCCTTCCTGCAGGGGCTGGAAGTTAAACAGCGGTTCCGTGAAAATAAGTGGAGTGTCCGAAAACGAGACCGGACAGCAGTTTTTCGAAAACGCGTGATCCCACACGGTTTTCTCCGTGTCCCAGTTGACGAGATAGCCTTTCTGGAAGGGCAGAATGTAGTAAAGACCCGAGGCGTCGCGGCACTCTTCAATGTCATTGCCCACAAAGAGACGCCGTCGCTCGCTCTTCGCCTTCATGATTGCATTCGGGATCACTTTCGGCTTCGTTTCACTGCTCAGGCCCACTTTCAGTGAAAATGCACCATTGTCGAGGACGTACACGTTTTTTGCAGTCATGGTTAAGTTTTAAAATGTCAATTTTCAGAGTTGTTTGTCGTTCGCTCTTCGGCTCTTGTTGCTGTTGATGTCTGCTAACTCTGCTATGTTGTTTTTTTCAGCCGGCATCAAGTGGGCGTAACCTGACGGTAGATAAAAGCTAAAAAAAAACTTTGATGCAACCTCGACAATTTTTTTGCGGAAAATTTTAGTTTTGTTTTTTTAAATCTCCGTCCGTAAGTAATAGTTGATATAATACGTCACCAATTAAAAGAATAAATTTTTGCTTTTTTAGCTGAACATAAAAAATGTTAGAGCCTTTCAAGTACATTTTGAATGCAAGAAGAATTATCCTTGCCAGTGGTTCCCCTCGAAGAAAAGAAGTCCTCGACAATATTGTAAAATTAATATTTTTATCAATGAAAAACAAATTTCATTTTTGTCATTTTTCAATGTATTTAAATTTATAATTCAATTTTACAGGGTCTTAAATTTGAGGTCATTCCATCTATTTTTGAAGAAAATTTAGACCCAGCAAGTTATCATGACCCATCTGATTTTGTGATTGATACTGCAGCTCACAAAGTAGAGGAAGTTTACGAGAGATTGAAAAATGACGCTAAGAAGCCGGATTTAATTATTGGCGCAGACACTGTGGTCGTTTTTGAAAGTCAAATCTACGGAAAGCCAAAGAGTGAAGATCACGCTTTTGAAATGCTGAAAAAGTATTATTTTCCCCTTAAATATTAATGAGATTTTAAATGAACCCATTCCAGATTTTGTGGAAAATCACAGTTTGTGTACACAGGAATTGTTTTAAAAACAAACAAAGAAACAGTGAAGTTTTTTGAGAAATCAGAAGTCACCTTTGGAGAACTGACCGACGAAATGATCAAGGCATACATAAAAACTGGAGAGCCAATGTACTTAGATATTATAATTTATAATTAAGAATTATTTTCCACATATATAATAATTTGAAATGTTTTAGGGACAAAGCAGGAGGATATGGGATCCAAAGTATAGGAGGAACGCTTGTGAAGAGTGTGAATGGCGATTATTTTAACATTGTCGGCTTTCCAGTGTACCACTTTTGCAAACAACTTGTAGGCTTGGTGGAGCGTTCAAAATTGGAATAAAATCAAGAAAAGTGTGGCCCGAGGTAAATAAACAATTTTATTCGTCGACACTAAATTATATTACACAAGCACTGTCTGTTATGTACATCCTTGCGTCAAATGCTCTCTAGTCAGAAATACAATTAAATGCCTCACTTGCTCTGTGCACAACACCTTAAAATGGAATGATAGAGAGCAGTAGGAATCATTCTTTCTGTCTCGATTCTAAACATTATTAACACAGATCAACAGTAAATTATTATTTTAATTGCTAAAGTACAGAGAGTTACAAGTATTACAAGTTCAAATTCCAGCACATAATAGTAGGTTGTTTGTCTCTTACGAATATAATTATAATTATGCTGTGTCAAGTCAGTGAATGTGTGGTGTGGTGTGTGAGTTTGTGAATGTATAACAATCATAATGTTGTATAATACACACGCTTGAAAATCAAGTACCAAAATGCGGCAATCACAGAATCTATATAATATTATTCAGTATGACAATGACACACCGTTCGAATTGTCACTGTGAACAAAGACAATAGTAATGATTAATATCTTAAGCATGCTTTCTTTGATAGCTTGGAGAGCACAATTTTCTGCAAAACCTCCTCTGCTTCAAAGAGGAAGTACACAAGAAGGAAGTTTTAATGAACAGTGTGGAGGGGAAGCGCTCTTGATATTGAATTTGAAATTTCCATGAAAAAGATTTTTTTATTATATTCTATTCCTTCTGCATCGAGCCACTATATTTGAAATTAAGAAAAATATTTTTTCAAAGTTTAGAGTGCCTTGCTTTTCGTGACAGACGTTGAATTCTCTTAAGATTTCCATAATTGTGACTCATCCGGGAGCACAAATGGTTGAGGGATGAAGCTATAGTCTATTAAACATCAGGAGAAGCAAACATCTCTAGATATTCAGACCACTAGCAATGACATTAAAAAACACTCGAGCAGAATTTCCAATTCAGATTTGAGTGGGCAGCTAGTGGTCTGACAGTATTGACCAGAATTTCCATCTGGCTGCTTTTATCGTTTCAAATTCAACAAACGTCCTATAAATTTGGTGTTTTGTTTTAGGACCAAGCTTTTTGACTAATTAAAATTATAAATGTTCACAATTATAATTATGATAGCGATCGATTCATTTGTCAGTGACTTAAAATGGCTTACACAACCATGCAACAGCAAAAATGTACTCCACGTCTCTCTCTGTTTTGAGTTTGTCATGCCCAATCCACTCTTATATTATCAGTCAGTGTTGGCCCTTGAACAAAACCACTCGCAAATTTTTACAAGACAATGACTGGGGGAGACACAAATTATTTACAGATTGGAAACAAATTTGACGGATTTACAAACGAGATCTTGTAGGAAAGGCCTAAGTTTTGATTCTCAAGAATCCTATCAAAGCAGCCCTATTTTGACGGCTTCTTTTTTTTATCCAGATCTTCAATTTCTACTGGGCCTTGTGGTAGCAGGGCTGGTGGCTGGTTTGCATGGCCAGGCATAGCTCTGTCCATGGTGGACCGTAGGCGGCGCATGCCGTGCAGGCGGCTGCCCCTTCATGGCCGCCCTGCAGCTGCTGTTGGGTGAGACGGGCGTGCAGCGCGAGTCAATCAGCCAGCAGACCTTTGGACACATTCACCAGTTGTTCTTTGAGCACTCTGAACGACGGTCTGTCCTCAGGGTTGTGCGACCAGCATTTGCGCATCACCTGTCGCAAAAAGAAAATTAGAAAAATGCATAAATTATTTGGAATTTGGACGCACATCATAAACTTCCTTGAAGCACGCTTTAGGCTTTTCGAGGAGGATGCCTCGCTGGACACGGTCGACAACTTCAGTGTTTTTCAGACGGCCATAAGGCATTTTACCACAAGTAAAGACTTCCCACATCAAAACACCTAGGAATTTATTTTTATTTTAAATCAAATTTTATCATAAGAAAAATACCATAAGCCCAGATATCAGATTTGCTTGAAAAGCGAGTGTAGTTCAGGACCTCGGGTGGCGCCCACTTGATAGGAAACTTGGTGCCTCCAGAACTAGTGTACTGGTCATCCAGCACATACCTGAAGTGAAACAAAAATTTAATAAGCGCCAACCAAATATTTCGTTTTCTTAATTTTTACCTTGCAAGTCCAAAATCAGCAACTTTCACAACGTTCTCAGAACCAACGAGGCAATTTCTTGCGGCCAAGTCTCGGTGAATGTAATTGTGTCTCTCCAAATAGGCCATACCCTTGCAGACCTGTATGCACATGTCCAACAAAAGGCCGACGTTTCCGCCGAGGGTTTGCTCGTGCCGCCGCAAATAATTGAGTAGAGAGCCGTGTCTCATGTATTCGGTGACAATGTAAATTGGTCTGTGTTTGCTGCAAACACCATACAGCTGCACAAGATTCTGATGCTGCAGCTTTCTACAAAAGCAACCAAAATTTTAGCAAAAAAAAAAAAAAAAAAAAAATTTTATTCTTCCTTACGTCATGACTTTGGCCTCGTCGATGAAATCATCTTCTGACATGGTGCCCTCCTTCATCATTTTGACAGCGACGTCAATGGACCCACGCCACTTCCCTCTGCGGACGACTCCAAACTGTCCAGAGCCTAATTCTTCCAGAAGCATCAGTTCCATTGGATCGATTTCCCATTTGTCTGTGGAAAGTAAATGTCAGTGCTTGAAATAAAATAGTTGCGGCCTGGAAATGTACCATGACTGAGTCCTGCAGTGGCTGGAACCGGTCTGTTGCAAGGAGAAGCTTTGAGTCGCGAGGCCAGGCCTCCTCCGTTGTGCTTGTGGTAGTTGACCAGTTCGGGGATCGAGTTGCAGCAGTGCTTCTCGGACAAGAAAAACTCTCCTCTGACATTTTGCTTTATGTGGTAATGTTTGACATGTGGATGGGGACTAAGGGAGTAAACATTCAAGTATTTGATTGCACAAAAATATAAGAATTCCTAACTTACACTTTTGTATAAAGAGAAAGGGTGTACAGGCCCTTGGTAGAAGAATTGCGGACAACAAAACAGCCTTCTTTGTCTTCCTGTTTCAACAGGCTCTCTGCTCTTTGTCGAGACATGTCACCAACATACCATCTTTAAAATAAAATTTTCTATGATTTCATTAAGTGAAAATTATTTTGTACTTACTCATATCTTTGAAGCCCAAGCAATTCTTTTTCTTTGACATAGTTGCTAGGAATGTATCCAACCGCCCTGGAAAATTAGAAAAAAATTAATACATTGTAATCGAGCCCTCACGTAATAAGTTGGTTTTACTTCTTTATTTTGAACTTCATTACTTCAGTGCAAAACTAAATTTGATGACCAAAAATATTAGAAAACTCCTAATGGCTTTGTATTTATAAATTGATACACGTAAATGAATCTAATCAGAGTATCTATGCAGATTGCGATAAAAAAAATTGAAGGGCAAAATAAAATTGAATCAAGCAAAACTCACCCCTGCTCATTTTTCACTTTCCACCAGTGCTCCTGAGAATCGTCCAGCACCTCATACTCTGCCCCCTAAAAACATACGGAATTTTTCATTATACTTGATTAGTTCAAACAGCAGCAAGAAAAACCAAATCAATTATAATTATAATTATAATATAATTAATTGCAATGTGTTTTCCAGTGGCTTTAAGCTAGCAGAAAATTAAATTTCATTACTTACAATAATTATAATTAATACTTAAATTCAGCTTCAAATAAAATTATGTTCGATGAAGCACTCCTTTCTAACTAGTAAAAATAAAATTATTTTTACGAAATAAATTTTATCATCTTTATTTTTAATTGAACATGAGATATTGATTAAAATTTAGAGGTGAAGAATTGTATTGCTGAGATTGATATGCTTATTGTCTCGCCACTGTCTTTATAATGCTGGGCAAGATCAGGAAATCTTTTTCCAGTTAACAATAACAACAATGAGGTTGAAATATCAACTCACCCTTTCAAGAGATAGATCGTCTCCCTCGATGGCCCTAAAAGGATAGAGGGCGACAACCACCTTTGGCCGGATCATCAACTTTTCCTGCGAAGACAAACTCATTAGATCGCACAGCAGCAAGAAAGAGACAGAGAGATTAATAGGGTCTTTGTGAGCGGAGCACTTTTGTTATCAGCAAATGCGCAACGCTAGCCGTTCCACTAATCTCGATTCAGTCAGATAAAACAGATAAAGAACAATTTTCACCTTGGCCTTTGAGGAGGGCGTCCCTGGTGCTCCTCCAGGCATTATGGGCGTGGAAGGTGCTCCTGTAATTAGAAAAAAAGAACTGAGTTTAGTCAAATGACTCTGCTATGTAGTTCCTTAAACAATTATCAGACCGGAATTGTCGTTATCAAAAACCAACTTGTTTTCCGCCTCTTTATTCAAGATTGACACATTTTTCTGAAAGGAATAAAAAAAGGAATATCTATCTGTCCCTAGAGCTTTCATCTTCCAAGAAAGGCTACTGATAAAATTATACTTGGAAACACACCAGAGGACTCGGTAGGTGTCATAAAAGCAATTAAGTGAAGCGAGGAATACTTAAAATAACTCTTTGGCGACAAGCACGGCTGGCCTGAGCAGATAAGAGCCACTGTCTTGCTTTCAAAATAAGGTCTCTTGAGTAAACTGCACCTTATTCTATCAACTCGCATTGAAATCATTAACACTCTTATTTTTTCACACATATGAAATAAAAATTTTCATGTGAATCATTTAAATAGTGAAATGTGCCACATCATTAATTTTAATGTACAGTGTTCACACATCCTTAACTTGTTATTTAAATAAAATTAAATGACGTCTTTCTAAAGGAAATAAAGAATATAAAGCCAAAACAGCGTTAACGTCAGCAAGCATAAAATTTAAAAGCATGTTCATTTCCTATAAAATTACTGGTGATTTTCAACAAGCTCAAATTGAGCACCATTCGCAACAAATGAAAGCGAAAAGAGGAAATTGCATTTCTTTTGTGCCGAGCGAATTGCGCAGTTCATTCAAATCAATATAGACACAGATAATAGAAAAAAAGAAAAGGGGCGTTTTAAATTAGGATACCATCAGACAGTGGCATTGATAAATAATAGGAACAGTGGATATACAAAAGCCGATGGTCCAGCCAATTCAAATGAGCAACGCCACAGCCGGGCAACCTGCATTAATAATAAAAGGTGGAGCAAAGTAAAATAACTAGTGATCCAGGCAGGGATCCGCCTACTCAAACGCCATGAGAAAGAAAATCGAGAGGCTTGTTACTGGGTTCAATGATCCTCTGTGGACCAAGCCAGCGTCGGCACTGACTACGAAAGTCGTAACTTTTGGCGAAGGAAGCGCATTGTTTAATTGTTTGCCAAAAGTGCAATAAAAGGTAATAATTGCGCAAAGAGAAGCCGCCAGTTGTATTCGGCGTTTTTAGTCGAGGGTTTTTTTTTATTATTTTAAAGTAAATCGTTTGGTTGAAAAAGGATTTAATTGGCGGTTTCGATGCCAAATTAGCGTTGTATAATGTAACAATAATAATCCGATTCCCCACGAGTGAGAAGCATCTTCAGCTGCCGACTTGGGTCAAGGGCAATTTCTCTCTTTGGGCCTATCGCTAGGTGGATCTATCGGCGGCCAGATTAGAGACACGATTCCTTGTTATTATCCTTCAGCTTCTTCTTCACACGAGACCCTGACTGAATTGAGTGAGTGCTGCAGCCAAATAACCAAAGGAGCCAGCAGTCAATGACAAAAGCATCATCACTCATCTCCTGGGCCCATCGAGCCAACATCTAATTAAGCATGTGCTCGTTTGTCCTGTGGTTGATCTTCGGGAGAGAATTTATCGACCAATACATAATAAGGCTCTTTGTCTTGAAAGTGAAACATGGATGAAATTAGAAAACATTTCTCCTCACAGTAAAATGCGTAAAATGTCACAAAATAACAATATACAAGTTTTGGAACAAGGTGAAATACTGAAATAGATAAAAATATGAATCTTCCAACCACAATGACATAAATTTGTGAAAGTTAACTTCTTGCTTTTTATGGCCGTTTTTTTTATAAATATTATAGGCATTTGTTTCATAAAAATTAAAATTAGATTAACATGGACACTTTTAAACAAAGGAAAAATTTAATTTTGTGTATTTCATATAATAATATTAATTTGAAGATATGTAAAATAGCATGTATGGTTTGCACAACCTCAGTACATTTCCATGACCGATTAAAAACGACGTGGCTATAAATTTGCTTTCCGAGCATCAGCCCGCCCAAGTATAAAGATCGAGTGGCGTCGAGGAAAGATGAAGAAGCGACCGACTGCGCTGAGGTCAAGGCAGAGAGCTGGCAGAAACGCGTCGCAGTCACGAGCGACGGACGTGAAATTACCCATGAAGATGCTTCCATACACCGACTGTATATTTATACAGGCAGGCGCAAGAAGTTGGTCTTCCTGCCAAAATAACACCTATGGCTAAGCACGTTTCTGCCAAGGCTAGAGGTGCTCGCGATCATCAACACGGCACTCGCCAGAGTAATTTCCTCATTGTTAGACGCGCATTGTGGAATCTGCAATAATTTCGCCTCATTTTGGCAAGCTCAGCTTTTTGTCCTTGCCGAGATGCGTTGGACGCCGATTTGATATTATCACAGCAAAAAAGTGCACGAAATTTCATGTTTTGCTAAGCGTTGTCTTTTCGATTCGCGTGACAAAATTTACGTCAATTTAGTTCCATCTTTAAAGTAAAACAATAGAAGAGAAATTACTTCTTAGTTATTACAAATGATAATAATAATAATGAAAAAAATATTTGTGGATAAGCGAGCATTCCAGCTGAATTTCTTCATCCTGGGCTCACTTTTTATTCAATTGAAGTTTTAAAAGAATCTTAATCAGCCATGATTTTAATGCACTTTCTTATCTCACAGTTCCCACATCCCATGTTTTTCCAGTTGCTTTTTTAACTTTTATTTAATTTTATAATCTTAAGATAAGAAAGTAGCCTTTGGTGCCCGGTGTGAATTAGACTTTTGGTAAATGATAAACAAAAATAAAAAAGTTGATTATTCGAACTTCAATTCAGTTGTGAAGTATAATAGAATAATACCAATTAAAATTTCATTGTCTCTATTTCATATAATTTAAAAATAGCATTCAAATTATAGCCTTGACACGTTCCAGCAAAATTAGCGGCGAAGCTCGGATCGCCCTCTGTACATACATGGTATGTGAAAAAAAAGAGTCGGTCACGTTTTGTCACTAAACAACGTGGATAGACGTAAGGTAGCCAAAACTGATAAATTTAAGTTCGATAACGTTAAGAAGCGTTGAGATTACTGCAATTGATCGATTGAGAATTAATTAACGATTCCACTATCCTTATCAGTTGAAATGTTAAATCCTTTCGGAATTATTCAGAGCTGAGAGGCGGTTAAAGCTGCACGGTTGGAAAAACTAGATTATGAGATTCTCCCCCAAATATATTTAGGTCCGGACAGTTTGTTCCATTTTTAATTATAAAAAAAAAATTGATTAGTTAATCGAGGAAATATTGAAAGAGGTCCTAGATTTAAGAGAAAAACATGTCTACAAGTTATAATAAAAGTAAATGGGGTCCCATCGAACTGTGGTTGAAAGACCAACCTGAAGAAGAACCGGAGCCAGATAGCGAGGAGCATGAGTTGGAGGCGGCAGAGGAGGCGGTCGATGGCAAGCCCAGGAAGGTCCACAGGGGCCACCCGCAGCGGAGCACCCTGCGCACCATGCCGCCCGAAGGGGCCACCTTTTGGCCGCCGCGAGCCACGTTGGTTGAAAACACCTGTCGCACGATCGAGAGAGAAAAAGGACGTGAGGCGCCTCGTAAGGGCACCTCAGACTGACTGATGGCACCTGCCTGGGACCTGACCGCGGTGCGAGGACCCGACGCGCCACCAACCGGTCGGCTGGAGATGCTGCTGGTTGGCCTTGAAAAGGTGACGACAATGCAGCATCCCAGCGAGTCGATCCTACGCTCGTCGAGCACCAGACAGGGTGAACGAACAACACCTCGTTTGGGCACCGCGCACTGCAGTAAAGAAAAAAACCCGTCTATTATTTTCCTAAACAATTTTTTGTGCCCTTAAATCGTTTTTTCGGCTCTGTAATCTCGCGGTCGGTGAGCGTAAAATGGAACGGAATAAGATGATGCTTGTTTAGAAATGCGTGTCTACGATACGGTTGATTTTGGGTGTGACGTATTTTATTGATTGGGATTTTCCGTAACGAATGAGAAAGGAAACCTTTAATTTTTGGCGACGGAATTTTGCACCAGTTTGAAAGATTTTTCCTGCATAGTACTTAATGCAAAAGGAAATTCAGATAAACGTGATTGTTTTCCGTAAAACTGCACAAAGTGGTGCAGGAAATAAAACTTGACATTATTTTATGTTCATTTACAGTACAAATGCCATTAACCCACTTTCTTTGTTCAGCATAATTAATGAAAAGAATAACTTCTATATTGTATTGTATTTTCCTTCGCATAAAAACTAACATCATCAATTCAATAAAATTTGCAAGATTATATGGAACTATAATTAAAAGTTTTTTTTTTCATTTAGCACCATACAAACCGTAGTCGCTTAGTAGCTTCTGGAGAGAAAAAATAGGGTTAAGCAAGCGTGGATTAGCTTATCTGGGGAAAAAAATGAGGACTCGATTTGTGATAATAATAAACACTGTGAAAACACATTGGCCGACAAGAGCAGTAAAATATTGGTTATAAAAACGTTTTATAGGCATGGGGGTGATGGGTTCACGCAAATATTCAAAACGAGATGCAACAAGTTTCAAAAACTCTTAATTAATTTTATATAAATAAGAAAATAATAAGATAATATCCGAATGTTAGCATCATCCTTATTTTGTCTATTGTAAATATTAAGTTATTATACTTACTATACTTAAAAGTTTTTCAAATCATATTTTTTTTCTTCCTTTGTCAGAAACTAATGGAGGGCAAAAGGAGTGAAAATAAATTATTCTCATGAACAGCAAATGAAAATCCAATCATAATTTTCATAATATGTGATCTTTCCACACCAAGGTTCATAAAACCTTAATATTTATTATTATTTTTTTTTTATTTTGCATCTTAATTTAAACTTAATAAAAAAAACCCGTTTGGGTGTTAAAAAGAAAGAAAACGAAAAAGCCCCACATAATTATTTTATAATTATTAAATTTCCAGCTCACTAACTAAGTTAGAAAAAAAAGTACCAGTAAGTAAGAAAAGTCGAGGAAGTCCTTATATTTTATTGTAGACGTCTCTACTTCCCGGCCAGAGGAAACGAGAGTTCCGCCGACAGACGATAGCACAAGATGGAAACTCAAATAGGAAAACAAATCTTTAGAGCCGGACAAAAGAGAAGCTGATAAAACAAATTATAAAAAAGTTGTTTGAACAAAAAGAAGAGGAAGTAGCAGGTGAGGTGATGTAACCAGGGTCAGGCTCGCAAAGCACGCACCGCGCGATTCATTGGCCATTCCGATCAAAGCCAAGGCCGGAGAACTAATTCATTTCCCGGCCGGGCGCGCTGCCCAGCGAGCACAGAGAAGAAGCTACTTCCGATGTTGACCTGAGGCAATTCCCGGCGAGATTTCGACCGCCGACGTGTCCGTAAAGCGTCCAGCCTTGATTGGCAAACGAGCGCCATTGTCTAGCCAAGTGACGAGCAATCAACGCTGGCCGAGAGTAAAAAGAAAATAAAAGCAAACGGTGACCTCCAAAGAGCACCTAGCTGCAATTTGCAAAGCGCATTAATGCGCATAACACGACATGCTTGTTTTTCACTCTGTTTGTGCTGCAATGAGCGCTGATTATTGTTTCCCTGGATGCAATAAGTCAACCAGAAAACCATGAAAATCACCTTTGACCGTGTAAGGCTTGAAATGCCACAATGATTATTTCTTGGATTAGATTATGATGGGTTTTTTTAAATTCATTTTAAGCTTTTTCAAAATAAATTTTAATTCTATAACAAATTTTGTATCCACGGGAAGAAACGCAAAGCGAGTTAACTAAAGATTTTTATATTGCTAAAAACCCTTCGGGGGCCATCATAATGCTTTTTTTCAATGCGTCAAAAATTATATTATTCAATTATTTTCTCTCAAATTGGATTTTAAACTAGACAGTTGCAATTTGAAGAGAATAACCGCTCTTGCGGAAAATTGAATGTTCCCCGTCTTAAGCCTATATATCTATTTTTTTAAGTTAAATAAAATCAGATTGTACTCACCCAAGCGCGAAGAGGGTTGCTGCTGGTCCTGCTCAGCCACGGCTGCCGGCGGACTGATCACTGCCGGATTGGTCTGCTGGTTGACCGAGTTGCTGCGATTGGACTGCTGAGAGCGCGGGGTCCACGAACTCGAGTCGCACCCGTCTGCCGAACGAGTCGGCACCCTGCAACACGACCACCTCCGACCGTTCCACACACCCACGTGAAATCGTTCACTCAGGTTGGAGTTTTCTGCGCAAACTGAAACCAAAGAACGGCGACGTCAGTCGGACGTAAAATTTTATCTTGCTTTGCGGCTTTTAATGTCGCAGTGGGATTGGATGAATTTTAATCAAACCTTTTGAATAAGAACGTGTCAGTTTTTAATCAATGTGTGTTTGACAAAGGATTAATGAGTGGATTAGGTTAAAATTTTTTATGCTTGCCGCACTGATAATATTAAATTTATAATTTGCAAACAGTTCAAAAATAATTTGAAAATTCCGGCATAGACTCAAGTTTTGTTTTGTTATAAGCAAGAGATAAGGTGCAATGCAATTACTCAATAAATTAATTAAGCAACAATTAGCAATAATCATTTGAGCGTAAGACAGTTTTATTGATTCCAAAGATATAGTTTAAACAAAAAATTATTATTATGGACGGATATTTATAGCGCAATAAGAACATTAATATCAGGAAAGAGTTCTCATAAAAGTGATGCAATGATATTGGAGGTGAAAATTTAGGTTTTTCATTTATTTTTTTTTATAAAAAAATTCAAACACTAAATTCAGTTATGGGGCCTGGCAACATTTAGAGGGTAAAAATTCACAGTTGCTATCCTGATAGGTTTTTGTTTAGTTTCAAAATGCTGATTCAGGGCAAAAATTTATGCATTTAATATCTAAAAAAAAAAAAAAAAAAAAAAAAAAAAAACAAAAAACAAAGAAGACAGCTGCTCAGGAAACTATTAAGGTTAATAACTCCATCAACTCTTAACCTTAACTAATAATCCTACCCACGTGTTGGAGGTTACACAAAGATCCATAAGAAGCATAACTGTGCAATTTTGATTTTCTATAAGTTTTCAACCTCTTCAGTCAAAACAGGTTGGAAAAATTTCCATGTGATCAGCAAAAAGGGGAAAAACGAATACTTGTGCTATTTTTAAATTGAAAAAAAAGTAATACACTCAGCAAATACGCTCAAAATAGACTTGCTAATCAATAGACGCCCCTTGCAGTCCAAATTCAATCGAATTCAACGTCTGTAGCTCTACGGGCATGAATTGAAAGGATGAAAAAAAGCCTTACCGCTTCTGATCGATCTAATCCAGTCAGCCCTGTCCTGCTCCTTGGAGGCGAGCAAGTGGAGGGTGTAGTTTTGGCCTCCCTCGGCGTAGACCACCTGGAAAGCAAATCCCACAGGGGGTGGCGGCTCTCCGTCCCCTGCTAATTGAGCGGTTTCTACGACGCTGACTCTGTTCAGTTCTATGCGACCTCTTTCTCGCCTCCGCTGCAAAATCCATACATGTATGCTTATTAGTGTGGGCGAAATGCACCTCGGCGCAATGAATCAAGACAATAAGTTGCAGGGTTAGAATGTACAGAACAATCAACGCAATCTACTGCAGGAATAGAACAAAATTATTTTACAGCGATTCATTGTCAGAATTCCTAAAGCAAGAAAGCCTCATTTGTTATTTTTCCTCTTTTATCCAGCACCAAAAATATTACACTCCTTCTTTCATCATTTCCTCGTTTATCAGAGGCTCTTTTAGTAGGAAATGAATAATAAGTTCACCGGTTGAAAAGAAGAATGAATAATTTATTCGACCGGATGGTGGGTTCTTTTCTCGCGAAAAAACTTCCCTTTCCTCCCCATTCAAGCGGGCAAACCGCGACCTCTCTCGTGTAATCAACTTTGCTAGCTTGTTTACATGGGCAAAGGAAGAAAAGGGAACCTGCATGAATCAATAAGCAAATATGTGCCGAAAGAGCGCCCTCGGCGCTTCGCTCTTGTTGCGAAAATCTTCTTCGCAACAGGCGTGACAGTTTTTTCGCGCGAGAATAATTTATTTTTCCAGCAGAGAGGCAAAAGTTGCAAAAAGTGGGCAAAGAAGTGAGCAGGTTGACAACAGAGAGCTTGTTAAAAGGATAAAGGGAACACCACGCCCTCCCACACTTGAGTAAACTCGGCGGCTTTTGGCGCTCGGCTGCTGGGATTCCCGGCCACTTTAAGGAAATCTGGTTCGCCGAGCAAAAACTAGTTTTCGGGCCATTGTGGTCGAGTAGCAATTAGGATGGCACCGAGGGTCAAAAAGGTGATGCCACTGGGCCGGAACAGCTGTGGTCTGTTCCGAGACCATTATCGATCGCTCACTCACCTCCCTGCTGCACCCGGCGAACCAAAAGGGACGACCCTTTCAATGGCAAGCGCACAATTTCGGACCACTCGCGGTCAATAGGCCTTCGGGAGGACGAATTAGCGGCGCTCGGAGGACGCGCGGGGGCCAGCGGCCAGCTTGACAGGGGTGGCTGCGACTGCAGTGCCTGCTCTAGCCCTTGGCGGCCACACATGCGCCGACCGGCCGCCTAGGGGCCTGCACCCTGCCCCTCCGCCCACCCCTCCTTCCCCACGGACCGCTTTGCCCGCAAACGCGCTGCTGACTCACTTTGCATTTCACCCCCGAAAAAATGCGGATTTTCTTTTTGTCTCGCCCCCGCCGACGGTTTTGCGCGCAAAAATTAGCCCGGCGCATGATTCATCAGAGGGGAAGGGTTGGAAATTTTAACCGGCGCTAGCACTGGTTGCATCTCATTGAATATTCAATAGCTGCTGTAGGGTTGAGATTTTTAAATTGGCCTGAAGCAGAACAAAATTATACAACTTTTTGGTTAATGAAATGTTGATTGTTAAATTGCTTTAAAAATTTTTTTTTTGTGTGCCTCAATACTATTATTTCTATTTATTTTTATATGTTCCTCTTTATTGGTACAAAAGTCCTGCATAATGAAAAATATTTTTTTTTTTTTGAATTTTGGCTTTTAAATCAGTTTTACTTGATTACTTTAGAAAAATAAGCAGAATAAAAACCCAAGATTTAATTTTTTTAGTTTCCTACAAAATTGGAGAAAGCTTCAATTTAGCAAACTCTAATTCTCCAACAAAAATTTAAAAGTTTGACTACAAAACAAGCCCTATTTTTAGATCTAATTATAACAGTTGATTTCCACGATATTTAATAAGAAACATAAAAACGGCATAATTTAAACAGATTAAAAGAAAGGAAAGAGGAAAAAACCAAAGATTAGAGAAGGAAAAACCACAGTCTCAAGCAAAATGAAGTGTGTTAGTAAATAAGTCTGTTTTTATTTTATTAGATAAGCTTTTTTAAATCACAGATGTTTTTGAAAGTAAAATGTACCAAAATGGAGCAGAAAATTTACAAGAGTTCTATCATGCAGAGCCACCATCTCCAGAGCCTTGTTAGTCTTTCGTTCCCAATGGTTATCATCATCGTACCCGGCTAAGCAGAGAGTGCAATTGCAGACATGGCAGCTCGGAGGCGTACGAGGACTTGGTGGAGCCGTTGACCGTGGCCAGAGCCACAGAGGCTGGCACTTCCTGAAAATTGAGCCAGAAACATTCCTCTCACTCCTCGTTCCAACACACTTATGTATCACACAAACAACATCAACATGCTGGTACAAAATATACACAAAATTTAGTCACATTTGACTTCATAGTTTTTACAAAATGGGTAAATAAATTTATAGGGTGCCAAGCTGTGGGATCAAAATTAATTTGAAGAGTAAACTTGTGAATACCATAATATTTACAGATTTTTTTTTACAAAGAATTGAGGGGTCGTAGTCAGTTATATTTTGTTGCAGTTGCGTACTTTAGTGAGCCTTTTTATTATTTAAAAAAGGAAAAGTAGATAAAAATACTTGTACATGTACATAATACACAGAGCTATAAAAAAATCGTTGAAAGTCTGAAGAACTTCATTAAAAAAAAAATTAAGCAAAAGCATGCAGGTATATATATTTTTAAATAAATTCATAAGAAGGGCTGATTTTGGATACGCACCTCTGAGGAATCTCCATCGTAATAAATCAGGTAGTTCCTGGTGAGAACAAACCAGCGCTGCTTGTAGTTTACAGTGGTGAAGCGCTTCTTGTTCTGTGACCGCTTCACCATCAACCCCTGCTTGAGGACCTCGTCCTTCGTCTGGGCAGTCTGGGCCATCGCTCTGCACGAGGGAAAAATTAATATTAAATCTCAGCGAATTTAGAGAGAGGATTGAGAGCAAGAGGTCTGAAGGCCGCGCGCGAGACACCTGTTCGCGTGTCTGATTTTCGGCAGCAAACTCACCAGCAGCGCCGATCGGCCGACTTTGCGGGCAGGAGCATCACCCCGTGGCCGACCTCCGGATCGGAAATCAGTCGAATGGATAGTCGGACGCCTTAAAATCTAAATTACAGGCGAATTAGGACACTACCGTCTACATTCCACACGTCTGCGAATTTTCCTTCACGGGGCGCCACCAACGTCATCTCTCGCCAAATTTTGGAACTAACACACTCCTGCACATGCTCAGTATCAAAAACACATGTTTGTGCGTACATGTATTTAAAATTTCAAAATTTGTTTTGATTTGGCGTTCAATCTGATTGATGTTGATGTCGGTGGTGAAATAGTCAAATTTCACTACTTGGGATCAATTCCTGCCGCGTTTATTTCGATATTTCTTTCGCCGCAGATTTCACTCGATTCGTTTCATTAGTAATCGTTCCACATTAAGTCGCATTTCGTAGGTTAAGCAGCAATTTAAAATGTCAAAAATTTTCACCCCTACAAATCAAATTCGTCTGACGAACGTCGCCGTCGTTCGAATCAAAAAAGGGGGAAAGCGTTTTGAGATCGCCTGCTACAAGAACAAAGTCCTTTCATGGAGGAGCAAAGTGTAAGCATAATTTTGAAAATTTTGGAATTATTTTTATTTCCAGAACTTTCTTAAAATTTCAGTGAAAAGGACATTGACGAAGTTCTACAAACGCACACTGTATTTGAGAACGTGAGCAAAGGCAAGGCAGCCAAGAAAGAAGATTTGATCAAAGCTTTTGGCAAAGAAGACCAGACAGAAATCTGCAAAGAAATTCTGACTCATGGAGAGCTGCAGGTCTCGGACCGAGAAAGATCATCTCAGCTTGAATCCCTGTTCAAAGATATTGCCAACACTGTTGCTGGTAATTACATACATTTTGAAAAGGATAATAACAGCCTAAATAGTTATAATTGTCAATGTTTTAGATAAATGTGTCAATCCTGAAACAAAGCGACCTTATCCAGTTTCAATGATTGAAAAGGCAATGAAGGATGTTCATTTTTCTGTCAAACCAAACAGAAATGCCAAACAACAGGTAATTTATTAATTTAAAATTTAGTACCTCTCTAAGACTGATTATTTTTATTTTATAAAGGCCCTCGAGGTTATTCCAATGCTGAAAGAAACACTGCCTTTGGAAAGAGCACAGATGAGATTAAAACTGCATCTGCCTCCAAAGGAAGCAAAAAAGTTAAAAGAAAAGGTTGTGTCATTCACAGCCAAGGTTGAAACCGAGGATTGGAGTACTGATGGGTTAACTATGGTATTTCTTAAATCTGTTTTTACTGTTCAAATATGTGTTATTGATATATATTGTTTGTAGATTTGTTTGATTGATCCTGGGCAGTACCGCTCTGTCGACGACCTAATCAGAGCAGAAACCAAAGGTCAGGGCACAATGGAACTTCTCAGCTTGAAGGAAGTCGCCGAAGGAGACGAGGCGCTGAACTGATGAGGTACACAAATCAAAGTCACCGGTTTGTTACCTTTTTGTTTTATTGTTAATTTTATAATCTAAATACAATACTTAAATCAGAATGGTCCGAGTTTCCACTCTTGAACATAAGACAGTCGATTCGGTTTTACTATTGGTTAGGACGAGTCTTTAAAAAAGGGGACGTCAAACAACATAACAATTATTTTTCTTCTCCTTACAAAAGCAAGAACCGAAGGCACATAAAATTTTGGTGGACTCTTCAAGGGCGAACAATCTTTCAATTTTCATAACTTGCTGCTGGACAGATTTTCGTTCTACTCGTTGAGGAACATTCACTTTCAGTATTTTAATATTTTAAGCCAATTTAGAACACAGATACGTTTATGATAGGTAGTTGTGCGTGCTAGGCTAACATTAGTCTGTGCTTTCCTTTAAGTTTGTTAACTTTTGATCTTTCATGGCCATCAACACTCTATCCAGTAAAGTGCACATTTCTTTCTAGTATGGTAGTAAAATAAATTGGCTGAATGTAGAAAAACACTGAACTGAATAATAATTTTCCAGGCTACTGCTATTTTGTTTAAATTTTTCTGTCTAGCAGACTGGACTGGGCTTTGCTATAAAAAATTCACCTGGAAGACACAAATCTCAATTATTATTATCTGGCCACGGATAGAACTAGTAATTGATGTCCATTTCATATTTCTGTTTTGTTCGACACGTTGAAGTGTTTCAGGTCTTTTTGTGCATTCTAACATTACTTCACTTGTCCTTGTAAACACCCATAAAGACGGTTCTTTAGAGAAAAAGAGTCTAGTGCAGCAAAAAACACACCATTATTATGCCACGAAAGATAATATAACAAGAGGAGATTTTTTAATAGAAATGTTTGGCAACAAAATTTTGCATCTTTTTTTCTTTCAAAATAATCAGGATGAAGATTCAGTGGAAATCACATGAGGATTATCAACAAGAATTTTAAATAATTTTGAACATTTTACAGATAGAAAGTCTGAAAGTTACATTAGGAATACAAAAGTCACAGAGATATACATTGGATTGTGTATCATCTTATTAGTTGGGTTTTTACAGCTATAACATGAGAAGTTTTCAATAGAATTTACATAGATTTGTTGGGTGAGATTTTCGATTTCTCCTGGGCTATCATGAGCAAATACATTTTGCAGTGTATCGTTAGTTCTATATTGTCTGTACTGATAAACTCAGTTAATTAACAATTATTACTTCTGGCACTATATAATTTTCAAGCAATTTTGTGGCGTTCCTATATACTTTTAGACAGGGATAAGCGTTATGTAAGAAGAAAGATTAAGCCGAAAAGGAGTTTGTACTGCCAATTGTTTGGGAAAAGCTAAAATCCTACTATAAGGGAAAATTTTAACTTGGCCACTTCGATGACTATGAAATCAATTTAATTCTACACAGAAAAGTCGTTATTTGGAAATTTTGCAAGTATAGCTCAGATAGAAACGTACAAAGAGTCCAGTGAAATAAGTTATTGAATAGAACTGACAGTTATAGTAAACGATGATTTTCATCCTCATACGAGGCGCAGATAAACTTGACTAGATTTTGATCACCAGTCCACTTATGGCTGTCCACGGCCATTATTTGTCCCCATACCACTGTCTTGACTACTCACTGATGGCGAACTGTGCCTGCTCATTTTCTTGCCGCCTATCACTTCCAAGTAAGCGGAAGGCGCCCACCCCTCTTGTTGGCTTCCTAGAATGTCAATCAAAATTATAGGTTGCAAACACAAAAAAAAAAGAATTTTTCCCATCAAAAGCAAAGATTTTGTGCTTATTTTCATGTGTATAGGAAAGCAAGAAAAAAGTGTTTGCCAAAGAATAAATTTTTCAAAAATTTCCGAATCGAATTTAATAAATTCCCTTCAGGGACATGCCTCATCAGGGTATAAAAGGGTTAATTTTGAAAGAGTGAACACACCTAAAACTTTAACGAACCACCAACCAGCGCATCCAACTTTTAATAGCTCTATCACGTCCCCTTCGTGCATCGTCACTTCCGAGCTGCCCATTGCACAGTAGTCGGCAAGAGCCGTGAACTTTTTGGCTGACGTCTAAATTTCATAATTGTAGAGAATTTCATTTACAAATAAAAAACACTCGCTTCTGAAGTCTCTGCACCAAATGGGTCCTGGTTGCTCTCCTCCTCGTCGCTGTTACTGTAGTCGGAGCTCCAACCAGCCTCGTCTTCCTCCCTTTCGGCAGCGCTTCCACCCGAAGCGTCCGAGCTCATGTGGCGGCTACTTCTTCTCTTCATTCCGTTATTGTTATGAACAGGAATGACTACAGTCACATTCGATGTTGGACAGGTAATGGTCTGGCCAGCTTGACTTTCCCACGAGGAAGTTTGACGGAGGGGCCTTTGATAGAAAATACAAATTAGTTTTTATTTAAAGTTATTTAATTTTCAAAAATTTTTACCTTTGGGATGTAAGGGCACTCTGGGACATTCCCCTTTGCAGTTTTTTCTGGGCATCACCCTTGAGTTGCTCCAGCTGGCTGAGCAAGACCTGTTTAATGGCCTTCAAGAAAGCCTCCTTGTGCTGCATGGTTTGCGCCTGGACTGTGTAAACTTCTTGACGGCCTTGCAACCACAATTCTAACTTTCTCTGGTCTCCTTTTGATCCTCTGACATTTTCAGTCAAGCCAACTTGGGACATCTAGTGACAGAAGAATTTTTTTTTATTTATTCCGTTAAATGAAACAATGAATTATATTATTTACCTGCAAAAATGTTTTGAACTGATAGGTTGCAGTTTCAGGATCACGACCGACTCTCTTGCAGAACAAGATAGATTTTTCGTAGAGAAAAATTTGCCTTTGCATAGGCTTCAGCCTTAACTCTCGTAGACGATCTTTTTTGTTCTCAATCCATACGTTGAACTGTCCGTGCATCAGAAGTTCACCTTGTTCCATTAAATTCCCCTTTAAATTAAAAATAGAAAAATCGTGTCAAGTGGGTTAATGAGTGTTTTTTACCCAAAAGCCCGTAATTGCGACTTGGTGCATGCTGTCGTTGACGCACTTCAGCACGACCAGCATGCAGTCGAGTGCACTCTGCAGTTCCTTAAGGCTATTAGGCAGGTCCTCGGAATAGCGCAACAAATCTTTGAGCAGCAGTTGGTACTTGGTGATTCGTTGCACCGGTTTCAACAAATATGCTCCCAGGGGCAATTTGTGGTCTAGTTTCTGTTGGCACTCTTTGAAGAAGGCACACTGCTGCTCGCCGGCAGTTTGCCTCAAAGCCTCAGACCTGGGATTATTTTGACAGTACGTACTGTACATTCGGTGAAAAGACTCCCTCTGCAAATATCAATTGATGCAACTTTTTTTAAATGTTATTCTTTAATTACCCTTTGCACAAAACACAGCCCTACAAGTTCAGGAGTAGTGATACAATTTTCAAGATCCGTTAAAAACACATCTCTGTGAAACCGATGCAAATCTTCTAGATTGCCGAAAAGCACGTCAGACTTTCCGTAAATTTGGACAGGGGCACGACCCTCCTTTTCTGCTACATGCAGTTCGTCTCTGTACCCCTAAGCACCAAAGAGATTTTGAACTTTGTCCGAAATAAACTATGCAACCCACTTACTCTCAAAATACTGGCCATTTCGCTCACATAAGTTCTCTCAGTGTCCAGCAGCTCGGCCAGAACATGACCACGTTTGGTCTTTAAAGCCTCGTGGTCATGGTTCGAAGCTTCACTGTCAGGTGATGATGAATCGGGCCACTCTCCAGTTCTCTGGCTATTAGCCCCTTTTACTGCGCCACTGACATCAGTGGAAGATTCCTTCTAAATTTTTTTTTTATTTATATTTCAATCAAAAATTTTTATTTTTATTTAGCCAACCCTAATTGCTCTTGTTCTCTTGAAGTTTGTCATAGAGGGTGGTTGGTTAGAATCATCTGAGCTTCCACTACTGTAAGACGTGGCCAGAGGCATTGCTGGTTCAGGATTAACCTGCTGGACAGGCTTTGGTGCTGGTTTGACAGCCAGTTTTTTCAACGTCTCTTGCCTTCGGTCGCACATCATCAGAACGTCTTCAACTCTGGTTACCACCTAGGAAAAAGTTATTTTTAAAATACATTATCAGGAAATAATTTTTTAATGTTAAAATATATTATTCACTAATTATGTTAGTCTACCTGTTGAACTAATGCCTTTGTCTCAGGTGTTATAACGTCCTTAAAAGTCTGCTTCAAGTCTATGGATTTGACAGCACCCCATTCCGCTCCCGCAGCTTTGAAAGCTTCCAAGTCTGTTAGCGCCTGTTCGGCCTGCTCTGGGGTTGAGTTTTTCTCCATTGGCTGAGCCAACATTTCAATACCCTCGGCACACCACTTGTTGGCCTGCATTTATTAATTCGTCATTAGCATAATTAATAATTAGCAATTGTGAATTAAAGCAGCGGTCGTTAACAAGTTAATTGATGCTCAGCTTAAAGCGACTCACCCGCTCTATCCGTTCTTGGAGTTCTCTGCATTTGGCCAACAAGGCAGTCCTGTGTTGCAGTCTCTCCCCCAGGTTTTGCGCCATTCGGCAAAGCTCTACACATTTTGGTCTGATTGAATCCATTCCGTAATGTCTACTACTCATCAATTCGGTTCCTATTCCTTGCAACTCCTCTGCTCTCTCCAAATCAAACTAAAAATATTTTTAGTTAAAGTCAAAACATTGAAATTTAAATTTTTGTTTACCAAGCATTTCCTTTCAAATACATTTGCTTCGTTGATGAGGTAGTCAACTCGGTTGACGGACTCTCCAATCTCAGTCATGTGGCTGATGACGCTTAAGTGGTCGTCGAATTTGGTCTGCAGTTCGCGGAAATTTTGCTCAAACTGTCGCAGCTCGAGACATTGACTCATTTTTATATAGTGACTTTGCCAGAAGTCGTCAAAAGTCCTTTCAGTCTCTTCCAGTTGCACCAATAATCTTAAAAAATTTATTATAATTAGCGCTCACCTGACAAAAATTGATGAAAATAATTATAATGAAAATAAAGCACGTTTCAATAAGAGAACAAAAATAAATCGCTGCATATGCATTCGATATACCTTTCAACTGCTGAGACATTAGAAATTCTGTCTGGGAATGTTTGATAAGCATCACTTTGATGAGAGTCAGCTATTATGCTGAGCGTCTGGGGTGATTGTCTTATTTCAGCAAGCAAATTTTCTCCATGCTTGGCAGCATTCAAAATATGTTCTTTAAGCTCTGAGTACTCGTCCTCCTATGAAATAATTTTTGGTCAAATTTGATTAAAAAATTAATATTATTATATTTTTGGCAGCAGTCTGACCTGCTCAATCATCATCTTTGTGGTCGAGGCGACGTCGTTCGGAAAACCGGCGTCTTGTAACCGCTGCGTGAAATCGTGCAATTGTTTTGACACTTGGTGGGTTACGTTCGAGAACTTCTCCAGAGCCTGAAATTTGTAATAAGTCAAACGTCTGTGGCTGACAAACAGGAAGGCGCTAATCTATAATACTCTCACGTTGCTACTAATTTCACGCCGCACATTTTGCATTTTAATTTATGAAATAATACGTGAGTGCAGTTCACAATAATATTTGATTTAAAGATACGTTGGCCCGTGCAATATATCATTTACTGTTATAAATCTTTCTTTCCAGTGTAAACATTTGGTCCTCTTTGTCTAGCTTATATAAAATAAAATAGTACACTCACGAATCTCTGCTGGAGCCACTCTTCATGGCTGTAGGGCAGAGTACCTGAGAGGTCAGGGGTCAATTGATTGACATCGACGTACTCGTGCAGCTCTTCCACACTATTGCATATTTGCATCTAAATAAGGGCAGATTGAGATCATAAACATAAATTGGTCACGCTCTGTATCAATACGAATAGCTCACTTGAAATTTGAATTCATCTTTGAACAGCTTGTTGCTTACTTCAGAAATGGCCTTTTGCAAAAATCCTGCAGGTCGCAGTACATAAGCCACATGAATAAGGCCAGGAAAGAAACCCTTTAAAATTAAAAAAAAAAAAATAATTTTACTTCGTTATTTATAATAATTATTATTTTTATTAAATTTTTTTCATGTTTTAAAATTAAGTACTGACTGAGATTTTAAGAAGAACCGTCTTAATTGAGTTCCACTTGTCGTTTCGCCGGTCTATCACCAATACAAAACCCACATCTGCCTCTTGCATTCTGCAAAAGATCAGAAAAAGCCGTTCGTAATAATTGCCATGCGAAAATCTTTATAAATTTCGCCATAAAAACTGTCGAAAATTTTCTCACAAAGCGTGCATTAAGATCAGTTACTCACGAGGGAACAGAGGTCAGGTACACCATAAGACGTTGGTAATCTTCGTCCTCCAATAAGGAGAAATTGCCAAGGTCCGGAAAAGTAATGAGGGGCCGACCATCTCGGGATTTGCCACCTTATTTTTAACACAAACAAATTAAATTAAACGTTTTAACAAGGAAGTTAATTTTAAGTCATTTTGAGAGCAAAAATTAACTACCGCTAGAAAATTAAGTCGGTCTTATAAGCTTTACCTGTGATGATCGCGTATCTGCCGCGCAGAACATCGGCGACGTCGCAAAGCGTGAGCTCATAATCCACGTCCACCATTCCGTCATCTGCAACATTGATTAATATAGCAATTAACTACTTTTATCTTGAAGACTTCCTTGTTGTTCGCAATAAAAAATATCATTGATTAGTTATCAAATGCTGAAATTATTTGAGATACTTTTTTAAAGGTACATGTTTTCGAAAAAAAAATAATATATAATGTACTAGATCTAAGAAGAACAGGGAAGCTGTATGTGTTGTTGCGACGAATTTTACGCACAGACTAATTAAATTAGCGCGTAGCGACCACAGCACAAAGCACATTTTTATTTCTAGCACCGCTGGAGACACTGAGGGCGGAATTATACGTCATGTGCTTTTAATCTGAATGAACCCATGAGTCACTCTCGTCACTCTTTTAGGCTTTGACTAACCAATACAATATAAAGCCAGGACGTAGGGCTTTGAAAGAATAAAATGACGAGTTGTCGATTTGTTTTGTTCGCTGTCCTCATCCTTTTCCTTTTGAGGTCGTAAAAAACAGCTTGGTGAACACCCGAGGTAAAATGCCTCTTATCTGATAAAAATAACGAAATTGGAATTCCTTGAAAACTGTATATTCCATCACTAAAATTTCCCTTACGTACGCACCGATCTTTTGACGCTTGATAAAATTATTTGTGGGAAAATCTCATAATTTCACGCATTCCTTCCGACCGCATCAAATTGTGGTCTTTCTTCTCTCTCAAGAAAATTTTCAATGCATTTATGTATTGGGTTGAGTTTTTGGGGCAAACATTTTCTCACACACGTCAAAATATGAAAGAAGAGATATACGGAAGAAGATTTGATTAAATATAAACATTTTGCTCTCCAGACTAAATTAGTATACGGCAATTCTGCAAAATCAAGATCGGCGTGGACGAGACGCGTGGGTCGCTGAAAGGACCTCGAAAGAGCGCAAAAGGAATCGAGAGGCGCCAGCAGGTGTCGTTTTATCTCGAATTTTCCAAAGAAAATGAACGACAATTTTTGAAATAATGGCGAAAACGTGTCATTGGCAGAGGTGAAAATTGTCAAGGTTCCGCGTATACGACGATATTTAGAGCGGTGGGGTGCGGTGTGCACGTTGGAAACGCAGTGTTTGTTTGCGCCGGCCGCGCGATAAAAATCGTAAAAATCAAGGAAGCTCAGAAATTATGATAATATGGGAAACAACATCCGACAATATTCAAAATTCATAATTGTAACTGTCTTAAATAATCCAGCATTTAAGTACAATTTAATTAATGTGAGACGCAAATTTAAGCACTCCCAGCAAGAAAATATAGCATTCACAAAAAATAATTAAAAATTAAAATAAATTCTTCTTAAAGAAAATTTAATAGTTTTTTTATTCAATTTATATCATAGACCTTTTTGGGGAATTTTATTTTATTAGTGACCAAATAAATTAAACCATTAATTTGATATTAGGGTGAAGTAAAGAACACACGTCTTTAGCAATGAAAATTTCATGAAAAAGTTATAATGAAAATTACCGAAGTTCAAAAGGGTCTGCGGTAAAAATGTCACTAAGATTAAACGCGCATTTTTTAATTTCGCAAGAGTTGACAGTGGATCGCAGACTTTGTGGCTATACCCACAGCGAAAGGATATGTGCAGCGAGGAGAATATTGAATGTCGCTTGTGACCGCACCGAGAGAGCCAATAAATTTCAAGTCCAACGACTAATTCGCAGCTCACCTTACACATTTGCCATTTTGCGTGCCAAATATCACAAAAGCGACACTTTCGTCGACAATTGACGCCCGTATTCTCAAGAATCCCAGAGAAAAGGCGCGCAGGACGAACGGTAAAGGGCTGAGGTCACAGCAGCAGGTCCATGTGTGCAGGTCAGACGGAGAAGTTATTAGGCCGGAGTGGGTAAAAAAGGCAACACTACCGCTAGCACGGAGCGAGTGAACTGAACTGAATGGATATACCGACCGCGACTGCAGCGATGGAGCGACCGTTGTTGGTGCTCCCGCGGTCCCTCCACACGCGAATACAGGCTGGCTATTATGGTGCTGGCACTCCTTGTCGAGCTTTTTTGTGGCGCTCGGTGGAAAATCACGCGTAGCCCCAAGAGCAGCTTTTGAGGAATTTCAAGTAAAAACTGTTGGCTGGCATTTGAGGCACGTAAACAAACAAAAACCTTTTGCTTTGTTGCTTTTTAAGAGTTAGTTAAAAAAAATTTAAAAACGAAAATTCAACAAAAGAACTTTATAATTTCTTTTCTGGAAATTAAGTCCACCAAATATTTCTTTTTTATTTAGAATGTTTGAGCAAAATTCTTGCAAGTGGTGCCTATTTTTATCTGTTTTTATTTCACGTAATAATATGCGAATATTAGACTAAATATTTTTGGGAGGTAAAATAAATTTAAGTTCCAGCAGATGTAACAATGCTGTTTGGCATAATGTATTCCATTGTGAGTTATTTGCATTCAAGAAGAATGAACGGAGAACTCTGTCATTGAGGCTGCGTGTACAGCGATCCAGAAAATTGAAATTTTATTGCAGAATAGTAACTTGTCAATTATTTAATGTAATATAGATATTCTCTTCTCACGCTATTTATTCACTCTATATAGAAATAAGATCGTATTTCTGCGTGAAGTGCAAGACTATCCGTGGAAAGTTTTCACTGACACTTATAAAAAAACATTATAAAAAAATTTCAACTTCCAGAATGTTCAATATTTGCTTAACAATTAATTTTTTAATTGAAATGAATAATTTTGTGTGGGAAGAATGACCGCGAGATCGAGGGCTACGTCTGCACTCTACAATGATGAAAAGGAACGTCACTCCCACGGCGGCCCTACGCAGCATCCATCAAGGTCGCCCCGTTTATCACTCTCTCGTGAGCTCAATCATTATCATCATTATCCTAGTATTCTTTTTCGCTTTGCCGCGCTCGAACCGAAAACCATCTATTATTTTACTCGAGTGAAAGAAATCTCCGACTGGATGACCACTTATTTTTAGTACATTTCGTGTATGCTCTGATTATTCATTATCTGCAAATGAAACAATGTGCATAGGCGACCAAGCACATTATTCGCGCACACCGTTAAGATTGCTTTTCTCGCCTATTCACTCGCTCGGTGCATCCCACTGGCTTTATTCCCTCTGCTGGCTAGCACCGACCATAGATTAATCAGCTCTCCAACTTTCCATTTGCAGCGATGCAATTTTATTTTATATTGAATGGTTCCTGCTTGGCTCTCACAAGAACATTCTTCACTCCCTTTTTCGTACATTAATGATTTATGACCCGTTTCATGGCTCTTTTTTTGGCAATCGCTTTAGTGTGGTTAAAAAAATAAATTGCCGGTATTAAGGAGAAATCATTTTATATTAAAGATAAATTATTCTGACAAGCAAAAATTTGAAACGAAATTCTTCAAATAGGTATCCGAAGTAAAAGCCGGATTGAAAAAAATATATTCAAAATTAAATTTGGAAAATTATTCAATATTTAGATTAATTAATTTTATGAACAATAGAATTTGTCTTATTATTTATATGAAAATCTCAAGAATATTGCATTTCTTAATCTTCTATTTAAGTATAAATTTATAGCGTGAAATAATAAACGACAAAAATAGGAATACATTTTTTTGTTAATTTTTCCTACTAAGTTCCTAACGGAAAAAAAATTGATTTATTGCAAATGAAACCCAAACCTGACTTGCTTAATTTTTAATAATTATGTAACCCATGTATCTTGTAACCCCCTCCTCTAATTAAGTTGGTAGGTTAGGTTTTTACTAGTTTTGGCAAAATTTGATCCGAGCAGTGTCTTGAAACGTATTTTTTTTAACATTTATGCATATTTAGAATCTTCTTTAGAATGTCAATTAATAGATTTTATAATCCATATGCTTATCTGTTTGGTATTGTAGGTATTTATTATTTATAAAATTTCAAAAAGTCTCACATACTAATAAATTTCACCATAATTATAAACCAACAAGATATGAGATGCCGAACGAGGAGCCGCGCGTGATAGGAAATGTAGGACTAGTAATAAAGATAAACACATAGCAGCAGACTGAGGACTAGCAGGAAGCGTGTGGTAACAGATGATAGCAGAGCAGGCAGTCTTCTTAAGGCAACAAAATTAGATAAAGAAGGAATGTGGACATAAATTTTTTGCGCTGCTTTGCAAAATCATAGCAGGATGTTAAGTAAAATATATAAAAAATTTCCAACGATTTATTAGCCAAAAATTAAATCCAAAATCATGAGATCAAAAAATATGTTTTTTCCACATATGTATATAATAATTTACGAAGTGGTGAAGGTGAAGGTGGTCGGCTGCACCGCCTGATTATCTGCAGAAATGCTCACTGTTTGGAAGGTGGCTGGGACCTGACAAAAGCCTGCTGGCAAAACTTGGGTGATGACGTAGGTGTTTCCAGCAGGCGTTGTAAAAGTCGTGTTGGTGTTTCCGTCCATGATGATGGTTGGATGGACCGCCTGCTGTTGCAAAGTCTGGGTGGTCAGGAGCTGAGTGGTCAAAATTGACTCTTCTTGCTGTGACTGGGCGAGTTCGGAGCCGTTGGAAGAAGTGGCCTGAGAGGTCGGATTTTCTTCAACTTCATGAACTCTTGGCTCGTAAAGCTCAAGGTTTGCTGGTTTTGGGACGCCGACCTCGTTCTTGACAAAGCGAATGTTGGGGAACTGCTCACTGATAAAATGTCGGAAAGAAGAATACCCCATGATCTAAAAAGTAATTTGATTAAAAAAACTTGAAGTATTAATTACGATTATTTTCTTCACCTTAGTATTCACGTTTAATTTGGCACAGTAGTCCTTGTACTCATTGTGCAAAGTCTTCCTGGTAATTTTTGGTGGCAGAGTGATTGTGATTTTCTTCTTGGCGCCTTTTGACTTGCTTTGGTTGTTTGTCTGGGCAGTGTAGGGCTCAATGAAGCTTTCGATGAAGTTGTTGGCGTGCCGATAGATGTCCAGAGAGAAAGTATTGTGAGGTTTTTTGCCTAAAAAATTATATAGAGTAAAAATTTAGATTAAAAACTTTCAAGTTGCACATTTCCCTTATTATTTTTCTTTACCTCTGTAATTAATTATTCAAGATATTTCTAAAAAAAGAAGTTTGAAAATTCAACTAATTTTCAAAAAATTTTGCATTGTTTCAAAATTTAACATTTGACAGTAGATTTAATTAATTAAAAAAAATGTAGTTATTATATTATTTTTAATTTTTTTTTTGTTTACCTAAATTGCCATGCATCCTAGGAACAACTCCGTGTGTCATGACGTGTTTCCGGATTCTCTTGAGTTGGTAATGGGTGCAGTTCTCCAAGTATAGAAAAGCGTCCAAGCAAACTTTCCGTCCCTGGTAGACGTACTGCGCCCTCAGCCTCTGCCGTTCCTTCTGTTTGGTTGTTGTCTCAGGGTTGGTGAGACTGGCCATGGTGACACCCATGAGATACATGTCCTGCTCGGCCTTGGTCAGCTCAGCAATGTTCAGTCTGTGCCGATAAACCAACTCAGCGTTCAGATTTGTGAAGCAGTTTGACTCGACGCACTCGCAACCAAGCTTAAATCTGCTCATCACCTTTTTTATGGAAGTAAATTTTTTAATTTCAAAAATTAGAATTCCTAATTTTTTACTGACCTCATCAGCACTCTCCTCAAGCTTGGTTGGGTCAATGCCTTGGGCAACATAGTCAGAAATTTTGCGTTTTTTTCTCTGTCCCTTTTTCTTTTCATTACGTAATTTCTGGTCGTCCTCACTTTCAGTGTCTTTGGAAGCGGACACGCCAATTTCGTCGTCGTCCGTCTCCATCACGTTCACGTCGTCCTCTTCGTCTTCCTCCAAGAGTTCAATGTTGGTGCTGCTCGAGGCTTCACATTCCAAAGTCAAAACGCGAGGCAGAAGTTGCTGCTCGCGTTTGTTCGTCAGCATCGAGTGCAAAATCAAACTTGCTTCTTTTTCCCTGTTTTCTTCCTCCATCCTAAAAAATTATTTGATTTAATTATAAGAATTAAAAAAAAAAATTTATATATTTAAAATAAAAAAGGGGGGACAATTCAAGAAAGACGTTTTTTAATTCAAAGCAACAGCAAAAGAATGTATGTTAGCCGTTTTAATTGATTATTTTTATAAATTTTCAAATATAAAAAAGATAATTTTAGAAGTGTTTTCACAGCTTAATTATTATTATTTTTTTCCCTTTTATTGCATTTTATGAATACAAATTTTTTCGTTAATTGAAAAGTAGAATAAAAAAAAAATAACAAAGACATTAATTTCAATTTTATTTAATAAACTTCAATGAGCAGTAAAAAAGGTAAAGAAATGAATTTCAATTTGTGTGGTGAGAGAGCAAAACAGTTAATGCGCGCAGCACGTATGTACTTCAGGGTGTCGCCCGCCGAAGCAACGCGAAGGAGCGGCGGAGAAGGCTGAAAATGGCTCGGCCCGCACCGAGGCACACCATTTTGCTCCTTACAGCACACATCAAACAACACAAGCACACGTTTCACTCACCTCAGGCGGCCGATTTTTCACGGATTTCACTGCAGAAAATTTTAGAGATGGATCCAAACGCCTTTTTCACGTCCCTCCGACTTTGTCGCAGCGAAATTTGAGATTTTTCGTGGGATAAATTCGAGAGTAAACCGTCGAGTGGAAGTCCCTTCGAGCGCCGTAGTGCGCATGACTCGAACGTGACAAAATAATGCAATTGCAAGGGGGGGTTTTCGCATTTTGTTTGAAAGTTGTCTAGCTTGAAGGTCTATTTATTTGTTTTATCTTTTAGTATTATATAATAATACTTTAATATTTTATTTTCTTGAATACAGCTGTAGTTTTCGAGAAAGTATAAAAAGCTATATTCTAATTCTACCACCATTTATCTAATTGCGACTTTTTTACATTTCTAAATTACAAATTGAGTATAAACTTTTATCTATTTTTATTGATATGCATACATGCCACTGCTTTTTTACAAGTTTCAGACATAATTTTACTTTTAAATAAATAGATGAGATAGATTAATTTGATATAAGAAATAAAATAAAATTATTGCTTGATGGCCCTAAAAAAGCTGTTATTTTTAAAGCCTTTGAAAAGGTACAAGAACTGGATTTTGGTTTACAAATCTTACGTGAAAACTTGAATGAAGTTGGAATCTTTAGCCTCAAAAGCCATAAAAAAAGGGTAGAAAAATGATTGAGCCATAAATTTACTACAAAAACTTGCACTTTATAAAATAAGGACTGACCTGGGGGGTTGGCAGTGAGGTCTGCGGTGGAGATGCAGCACTTGGAGGAATGGTGCACAGGGCTGGAGGCGCAGGAGGCGGCCCCTGAAGCCTCCAGCAAGCCGGGCAGTGAGCGCCGATGCGGCGCGTGAGCAGCGCTGCGTGACGACGCCAAGGGGCACCGTGGCGCCGTCGAGGACGGGGAGGACGTGTTGTCTGAGGGTGGCGAGTCTTGCTCGGAGCTCAGGGCACTCACGCCGCTGCGACTACGCTTCAAACTCAGGTTGAAGGGCAGCCGACGGGCCGACGGTAGCCGGAACCGCAACAAACGACCTGCAACATAATTAAAAAAATAATTTATAACTACCTTTGTTTAATGATATTTCAATAGATAAAAAAATTAATATATTAAATAACTTCAATAATATTATTTAGTAATTCAAAGAATATAATTAATAAATTTAATAAACTATATTGGAGACAATTTTAAGTAAATTTTAAATTGGATGCATTGTAGGTGCAGATCCGAAAGCCTTTTATTGCTGGATTTGGTTTCTTAAGTACCACAGTTTTGAACTATTGTTGTCAATAAAGTATAATCAAGAAAATTTCAATTGCCTATCTGTGGAATTAATAATGTTGCTCTGTATAAACAAAAGAAGTTTTCTTTTGAATTCAAACTACATAGAAATTAAAAAAGACACGTTTCATATACTTTAAGTTTAAACTATTTATTTATCCTCGGCATCTGCATTCCACTTAAAACCCCGGGAAAAGTGGAGACCACAAGCAAAAAAGTTAACACGGAGAAACAAAACTATTCAAAAGGAATGTTCCCATTAGAGAACACACAACACACCAGTGCGTGAAATGAATTTTGTCCTGTTCCTTTTGAACAACCCCAACAACCTATTTTTAATCCAGTACTCCCGCATCAACAAACTAATGGATTTTAGATCCTGCGCGAGTGGAAATGGAGAATACAAATAAATTTTGTTGGACAAAAAGAGTAAGGAGGAGTTTAAGCTTATTTGATCTTTGATCGCAATAAGCTTATTAAATAAATTTAATTGAAAAATACAATAACTTTCTTTATTTTTTTCCCAGCAAACAAAACTGATGGAAATAAGCAATGGAGTGAATTCACATGGCTTGCATTAGCAAATCCCATAAACTAACGTAGAATGTGAAAATCCCTCAATAATTTGTCAGCTTTCCTTGTTATATTTTCAGTTTTACCATACACTTTAGTTATTTGTATTTAATGGCATAATTTGAATGAAAAATAAACAAAAAAAATAAGAATGAACCACTTTCTGCTGCATTTTTTTTTCTAATAATTTCCTTTTCTGACAAATATAAAATAACAAAATGTGTTAAAACATCACTAAAATAAAGTGAAGTTTGAAGTTAATTTTTTATCAGACCTGGAATGTCGGTGTCGCTGCCCTGATCCTGGGAGGGCGAGGAGGAACTTGAGACGGGGGACTCCATCATGGCCCTGGTGGCGCTTCGCTTGAACGTCTCCAGCAGAGAGTCCAGCTGCGTCTCGAGGGTGCCCGGAGATCCTCGCGGCGACGACGGCCGCGTCGTTGAATCACTCATCTGCCGCAATTAAAGATAAAAATAAATCATCTGCCACCAACTCTATGATGTGGGGAAATATTGGAATATAAATAATTTTGTAAATAAAATTGAAAAGAAACAGAAAATTAATATATTTTAATTTAAAAATTCCAATGCATTTTTTTAGTCATTTTTCAATTATTGAGTTGTTAAAATCTCTTTTACGATTTCTCAATTTCATTCAGAAAGCTTATAAGACGCGCGTAAATGTAAGCTGGTATTTGTCTGCAAAGTGATCTTCGCACCTAGCATGGCTTCTCACGAAATTTCCAGAAGTGTGTCTTAATCGGATTTTCCTTGCGGTTTATTTCGTTTGGCCTTCGCAGAAATTTTCAACGATGAGATAGACTGTTGCGAGAAAAGGAGTCTCTGTTCACGTGCAATTTGAAACGTAAGCGTTTAATTACTCTGGTGCATGCATGAGATGAATAAGAAAAGCCCCACTCAGTTTGCTTACCGAAGCTCGATTAAAGAGAACCCTGTCTCTTGGGGCGTCGAAAAGAGAGCCATCAATTAAACCGCTCGACTTACAAACAAATTTTATGAATGAGATAATTTACATTAGATGTTTGCAGCCTAAAAATATTCAATAATAATTATTACTGTTGCCTTCTCGCTTAAAAAAATCCATAAAAACCAAATTTTCTTGTATCATATATCATTGGAATTTTAATAAAAAAAAAAGGAAAAAATGTGTAGAACAGATATAAATTTACTTCTGTAATGAGAGAGTGTTGGAATTTCCAGCATTAAAATTTGATTTCTAAACATACACGCTAAATTTGCTTTTAAAAATTTTAAAGTTAGAAAATAATCAACAAAAATTATAACCTTCAATTCCATTGAATTTTAAAATTATGAAAATAATATTTGAAGATTTATAGATCTACTTTATTTTATTTTTTGGATGGAACATAACATTGTGAGCAGCCTAGTTTCCCAACTATTGTCACATTTGCAAGTGCCAGCAAGTGCACTTTTTTTTGTGTCGCAATGAAAAAGGGCAAAAGTAGGTCAGCGCATTACCGAATGAAGAGAGAGATGAGACGATTCTTTATGGCCGGGCAGCAAAAATACCTTCAGGCCCTTGTGCAAATTCTGATGTGCACTTTGTGGTCTAGTTTCTCTAACTAGTTTTTATTACTCCGCAGCAGAGGAAAATTAAAAAAAAGTAAATTTTCCGACGTTTTTAAATGGGTAGAAATTTACAGCGGACATGTAATTTTAACAAGAGAGTGCTTGAGAATTTGCAAGTGGCTGTGTTTAACAAAAAGCAGTGCTCTTTTTACTGCAGATTTTTCAACAAGACGGATGATGTGCCCCGTCTGAAAACGAGTGCCAAAATAAAAAAGCACGTCTCTCTCTGCTGGGTTGTATTCTTTTGGCGCCGGAAAAACGTACGAAAACGACTCTATTGCAGCAGAGAGCCTTTGTTTTTCCTCTTTTTTTGCCGCACCGCATCTGACATTAGGAGGCGAATCTCTCCTTTTGCACAGCAAAAGTGCATTTTCATTTCAACAATACGGAGGCGGCGGCACCACCGAGCGCAATCGTTTCTCGGAAGAGATGAGCCGAGGCTGCGGCTCGGAAAATCGATAGGCCTGTGCCCGCCGTGTGTTTTCGCCCATACACGCGGCGGCCAGTCAATACTTAGGCTATACTTTCGAGGGCCGCACTCGGTGTCGCTCACTCTGCCAATATACATAAGTCGGGTGTAAATACATATAAAAAAGCGTGAGTTGCACAAGAGTGGCCCACACCCTTTTTAATTTCATACTCGGCGCTTCCGCTCTGCAATTAGGGGAAATTAGACAAGAGTATAGCAAAGCGTCATTTTCGACGGTGGCTTTCAAAATAAATTTTACAAAAAAGGAGTTGTCTTCATTGGAAATTACAATAAGCCAAGGTTATTTATTTTGGAATAGTTTTTCGCTTCGTTTTCCAAGTTTGTTTACGATCAAAAGTGTGCTTAAAATGAGCTAACAAAAAAATTTACTTGTTATCAATTTAGTATTATAAATTTAACAGTTTAAGAACTTATGAAATTAAATTTAAAGTTTTAAATATTATTTAATGTTGTTTTCATTTTTTTTATGCATAAATAATAATATTTATTTTATTTTAGTTTCCCAATACAATAGAAGAATTATTGCAAAATATTGAATATTTATTTTACTATACTTGTTGTCGTCTGTTTGTAGGGCTTTGTGGCTGAACACGTTTCAACTCTTTTCTCTTGTTTATTTAGCCATTGTCGTCCGTAAAGCACAAAAACATTCGTGCCGAAGAAATAAAACTGTCCGTCTCGTTCAGCCTGTAGCTGCAGTATAGACTTACACGAATTCACAATCTCATAATATACATAAATCGAAGCTGAATAAATTTGTGTTTGACATTTACACCTGAAATGCGAGCAGGTTGAAGAAATAATATCAATTCTGTGCACGTCAAAAATATGTAATGGGTAGCAGCAGCTAGTGCGCGCCGACGAGAGACCCGAGAGAAATAAATAATGTAAACGGAATAAAATATTTTAGCGTGGCTCTGACCGCTTGGGTGTTGCCGTCGCCAATGTGAGAATATTTGCACGTGCGTCGAGAGATTGGAAATAAAGGAAAATTGCATGGTCGCAGATAAAAAAAAAAATGCTCAGAATTATTTATATTTAAAAGAGTTAATTAATTCCGATTCTTCAAAATCCGCCAATTTAAATATTAGAGCAAAAAAAAACTTGTTGCCATTATATTTGAACATCATTATTTAAATTTAATTTATTTTAATAACAGCATTTTTTTTTAGTTCACATTTCCCTAAATCGTTGGATTTTGTGACCTAAATTTTCTGGAAGCAACCGAAATTGGCTGAAGCTTTTTGGGAAAGCAATTATTTTGAACGCGTTTTACGACCCTTGTATCTACACAGTAGAAAAGTGCTCACATGGCTAATGAAAAACGTGACGACGGGATGTAAGTGGATCAAAATAAAAATCAATTTCCAAAAATGAAAAAAAAAAACGAAAGAAATGCCGGATTTTATCCATAATTATTTTGGAGAAAAAAAAAACGAGAGAAAAGATTGTTTCCCTCTTTTGCCGTTTTCTTTCTTTCTCTCTCACCTGGCCTGCGAGGAGTGATTTGGGAATCAATATCGCTGAAGAGGTGAGACTCCCAGTCGAAAGCCCACTTCGGCCCTCTCAAGTGGCCTCTTGGTCTCGGCGCGCATCCTCGGCAGCAAGCCCGGCAGCACCCACGAACAAGGGCCGTCAGCAGGAAGCCCTCCGAGGAGCACCAACGATGCACCGATGCATTTCGCCACTTTCGACGACACGGCCGCTCCTGGTGCTCCTGACAATGCTGCAGCCCACGGCACCACCCCCACCCGCGCGTACTACGCATACTCTCGCGCCCCCAATCGCCCTCTCCCCGCGAATTCTGAACTCTCGACGCAGTTCGAGTAGCCAAAGTACATAAGATAGTGCGCAATTGCGCGAATTTCAAGTACTTTCCATTTCTCGGCCAAGCTCGTCTCTCGAGTAGTAAAAAGGGCAGTGCCACATAATTTAAAACTGACTTATTCGGTGTTATTATTGTTGGTAAAAGAAACTGAGACACCAAATTAGTTTAATTTCATTTTTATTTGCGTCTCGAAAACCGTAGTTTTGAAGTCATTTCTCATTTTCTTTTACAAAATATCAAGTTGGGTCGTTGTTGTGTGTTTTAATAGAAAATTGAAAACTACATACAAATTTTTTAAGTTATTTGCTGCGGCTGCACTTTTTCATCATTGGGCAAATATAATTTAAATAATTCATAAATTCCATGTCATTTATAGCAGTGTTGACTTTAAAAAATTGTGTTTATCAAGAAAATTCAGCTGTAAGCATGGTGTCAATGTCAATCATGGTTTATGTGCAAAAGTTTACTAACAAGTACATACGTTATTACTATTTGTCATGCGAACTATGGCATGCTTTGTGAGAAGGGTTAATAGAGCAAAGCCACCTCAAAATAATATGGCTAGAGAGGTACGTTACATTTTAATACTGACGATGTTTAAACAGAGAGAACTTATTAACACTTTTTACTAAACCTATTGCAAAAATAACCACTGCTTTTGAAAGGAAGAAATAATTGGTCAAATTTTGATTTAAACAGCAGAAATGAAGAAATAAATTCCTCTTTTAACAACAAAAGCTTAACAAATCATATGATTGCACCGACACAAATATTCAATATTTATCTCTTCGAATTTTTAAGGCAGTGGAACGATGAAGATCATTGCACGTGGACATTTTTTGAACACTTGCAAACAGTAAACTAAATACTGCTTCTTTTTCCTAAAAAACAAAACTATAAGCTCTTCCTTCTATTATATTGCTAGAAAAAAAGTCTCTGGACGGAATTGAACTTTGACTGCACCTTCGACACGCACCAAACCTCCTCAAAATTAAGGTTCCCTTTTTGTGCTCAGTTAAAAATTGAATTTTTACAAACAACAAAAGGTTGAAGTATTTTTTGCACTTTTGGAGTCTCTCAAACTTGAGTTTGTGGCACAAGGTCGTGCAGAAGTTGTTGCTGTTGCTTGTGAGGTCTAGGGTACCTGGTGGTGGACGAAGGGGCGAGACTAGGTCTGCTTGCAGTTGTGTATTCATCCCTGAGGGAGGAGGAATCGCCCCTGAGGGAGGAGGCGCTGCCGCCACTCCTCAGGGAAGGGGTGCTCATGGCCTTGGTTGGGCCTGGGCCTCTCGACTGCGGCATCGGGTTCGATTGGACGACTGGCCTAGGTGCGATCGGAACTTGCGGCTTCTCCATTGGCACTGAACTGAACTCGTAGGCGTTCAGGTGGCTCTCGGCGTCCCGGTCGATCAGGTTGCCGCTGCTGTAGATGTCCGTGTCCCTGAAATTAGTAAGGGCTGAAGAGCGCAATTAAAGATTGGTCTCAGGGGACCACTAGACCCGGCAATGCTCTCATCCGTATTGATTTTTTAACGTTAATTCACTAAAACACAAAATTAATTCAGCTCAATTTGGTGTTAAAATTTTGTTACGAAACATTGCTAGGCCCAGGGTTATAAGACTCGGCTTTGTACAAACTCCGTCACCTGGTACCACTCCTAGTCATATTATTGCTGCTTGAAACAGGAAGTTAGTGTTAAGCATGAACTTTTGTACACTTAAAAAAGCTGATGGGTTTTGCTAACGAGTTGCTAAAAGCAATAGAATAGATTAAATGGAAGAAAATTTTCCTTGTTGTGCATCAAATGTCACCTTTAAAACAAGTGCTTGTTTTCAATAAATTAAATTTTATGATTAAAATTGCCTGCTTGTTACCTTTTTGCATTCCTCCACAAGACACAGCAAATGAACACGATGACGATGAGCAGCAAACAAGTGCCAGAGACGCTCCAGAATGCAATCTGGAGAGGTTCATTTGGCTCCCACCAGAACTAAAAGAAAGATATTATAAATATATAGGTGATATTTAAGGATTAAAGTACCTCAGTGGTCGGAGGATAGGTTGGGACAAGCATTCCGATTACACTGGGCAAATAGTTGGTCCAGAAGGCGCATTCCTTTTGATTGTAGTTGAGCATGATGCTGGAATTGTAGGTAGTGTTGATGTTGAGATAATAAAGATGTCCAGTCTTTGCCATATCAAAGTGCAGTCCCAAAATTTGTTCGTGAGAAGGATGACTGTTGGAGATTATTTTATTAGTCATGTGAATTTTTTTGTCTCAACTTTTTATACCCGTATCTTGCGAAATATGTGTAGGCTCTCATGAAGAAGTGACTCATGTTTCGGTCACTGTCTGTCCACCTCACATTTTCCAGTCTCAGCTTTTTAGGGAAAAATTCTGAAAAAGATTACAATTAAAGCACATCTCTCCCATTTTAAGAAATAACTCTAACCGTGATCCATAAAAGGTGCTCCAGTAAGGAAATAATATTCTGTGTCATGTGGCACCCTCCTCCAGTAAGGCGTCCTGAGGGCCTCCACAGATGTATTCAGATGATAAAGAAAAACGGGGACTTTCTGTTGGACAAGCAGTTTTGCCATTTTGTCGCTTGGTGCCCGGTATAGGAAGTCCGAAAGCAACTGTTTAATTAATATAATTAGTAAATTTAGTAAAATACACAAAAATGATACGAGTTCTTACATTTATGTATTGTTCCCTAATGTGAGTGACATTTTGCGGGTCAGGCCAGTATGTGTACATGTATTTGATAGCGTCATAGACGCCCTCGGGGTTCAAAGTGTAGTTGTACTTGAGGACAAACTCTCTCACTTTCTGGTTGAAAAACTCTTCATTGACTTCAAAATCAGGTGCTAGACTGTCATTGTTGTCTGCAGACAAAAGTAAATGAATTGAGCGTTTCAGCAATCAATAAAATTAGATTACAAATGAAGTATGCGGCTTCGTCGTGAGTGATTCCCCCCAAGTAAGAGAGGCCCCTGTTGAATTCGCCTTTGATGATGGACTTTTCAGGCATTTCCTGGAACATGTGCCAGTCTCGTTCTCTCCAGCCGTCATACCAACCGTCTTCGGGCACTTTGAAACTCTTGTCTAGCACAGGACCCCATGGGAATGTTCCAACCTCAGGCTAAATGAGAGATATAATTAATTTTTGAAACAAATTATTGAATAATAAATATAAATACATACCTGAAAATCAGCGTTTCCTAATTCATAGAAGTTCCTGCCTTGTTTAAGGCAACTAACAATCTTCCAAGAAGATTCGATACTGCAGCCGAGCAATCGAGCAAAAACTCTGCTCGTATTTTGAGCTCTGTACACATCCTCAATGATGGCCCAGTCAGCAAGGGCAGAACCACTCTGTTCAAATTATATTCGTTAATTTTTAAGGAGTTTTTTTATGATAAAATCAAACCTGAGCAATGACTCTGGAAACAAGGCCTCTTGTTCTTGGCGCAACCATCAGTAGTCCGGCAGAAGCAGCTCCGGCGCCAGGCCCGAACAGTGTGATGAGATTTCTGTCTCCATTGAAAAACTCAATGTTTTCGTGAACCCAGCGAAGGGCCATTGCTTGATCCAGGATGCCGTAGTTGCCCGGCGAGTTTTCATCTCCAGTGCTGAGAAATCCTAGAGGGAGAAAAAATTTTAATTGGCATAAAATATTTAATTGAGAAATTACCTAGAGCGCCAAGACGGTAGTTGATGGTTACAACCACCACTTCGTAAAAAGATGCCATCACGTGGGCTGGGAAAAGGTTGGAGGCGCCCTTTTGAAAGTCACCGCCGTGAATGTACAGCATTACAGGGTAGGGTTGCGCCAAGCCAGAAGCAGTCTTGAAAATAAATTTTATATTAATGAGCTATTATTTTATTTATTTTACTCACAGTGGGAGAATAGACGTTGAGGTAAAGACAATCTTCATCAACGTCCCTGATTCCTTTTGTAGCCCCAGTGTACTTGACTGGTTGGGGACATGCTGGCCCAAAATCAACGGCTTGCAGCAACTGCCAACCTTTGTGAGCTCTTGGAGGCTATAAAGTTTGCAGGATAAAAGGAAATTAATATTTATAATGTTAAAATTTACAATATATTCATTTGGTAAAAATTTCTTCCCAACTGATCAATGTTTATTTAAACAATATTAGACTTATGAATAAATTGTCGTTACTAGAGTTACTAGATTATATTTAAAAATTAAAAAAAATAACTTATAAAAGTAATACATTAGATATTTATGCTAGAAACTTAAATTTCATATAAATAACAAATACAAAAAATTTAATAGTGTTGAATATAAAAATAGCCAAATAAATAAATTTAATTAAATTCTACATTTGTTTCAATTTAATTTATAATTAATTTTAGTTTTGGTTTTTAAAATAAAGAGAAGTAAAATGAAAGTATCCTATGCAAATTTATATTTTAGGTTTCAAAATTACTATAATATTAAATGATTTTTTAAAAGAATCCAATAAATTTTTATGTTATTAGTTTATAGGATTAAAAGTTACATATGATTTCAATATGACTTTATATCTAATCAATTGAATGTTTATTTTAATTTATTCTTATTCTAATTTTTGACTATCCAGTAAAAAAGTCAAATTTTGTTTCCCCTTGGTTATTATTAAAATTTAAAAATCAGCTTTTCAGCACAAGCTAGAAATTCCGCGTATTTTGATTAAATCTGGTATGACGGCGACAAAATGAACACACGAGGCGCATCATCAGCTTCTCGTAATGATGAAGGTGTTTACTCAAGATAACACGCAATCGCTCACCCAGCTTTTTATCGCGTTTGATTCACGCTCATTTCCTCACCCAACTGCCCTAATTTGGGAAAAATCTCGCACCGCTGCGTGAGTTCATCATGGTCACTTTTGTTTAGGAATAAATTTGAAAATTTATCTCAGAAAGGTCAACACGTTAAACCACTCAGTGTCACTCTGCATTAAATGACTATGAAATGCAATGGCTCGTCCTTAATGCACTGCAGATGCACAAGGAGAGAAATCCAATTTATCTAATGTGTTTCTCGTCTGGGCCTCCCGCAGTAAGCTCAATTAGCATGATAAAGTAAGACGCTTTTGTTCTTCCTCAGCAGCTTTAAAGCGAGACCTGTTGAAAGAAAGCCCTACTTGTTTTCTTTTGGCGGCCTCAATGATTAGGTGCCGAGAATGCTAATGAATTTTAATAACGAAAGCGTTCTTGTTTTATACTCTCAAGGAATTAATTAATTTATCAATTTTTCCTAATCTTCTCATAAAAAATATTCTGAATAAAATTGCAAATTTGGGCTGGGAAAAAGTTGCCAGACAACAATTTTTAAAGAATTGCCACTTGAACTCAATTTAAGGCTCACATTAAGATTATTAAGAAATTTGAATAAAAATTATGCAGTTTTAGGTATAATTTTAAATGGACTTGAGTTATAATTTCTTAATTTTCTAGCATGAATTGTAATCTTTTGACTTCATGATAATTGGTTAACATTGACATTCAAAGAGAGATTTGTGTTTAATTCTCCAAAAATTGTCAAATTAAGATTCAAAAATTAATAAAATTGATTTTTTCACATCAGAATTAATTAAAATTTTTACTTTTAAAACCAAATTTTCCCCCTAGTCTGTCCTAATCTTCAATTATTTGAATATTTTAATGCAACTTACTTTAAAACGTCCCTCTCGCACAGGTGGTTGTGCATAAGGGATGCCGAGGAAGACGCTGCAGTTGCCCTGGACCCTTTCCACAGGTGACTGGCCAGGTCGGAAGTACGAGTGTGGGTCAGGGTTGTCGTACAGGTGCACTTTGAAGCCCTGGATTTGGCCAAAGGGCGTAGTCACGTAGACGTCTCTGTCGTTGACCAAGTTGATCGAGTCGGGGCGCTGCCGACCCTGAAGGTCAGATCGCCACCCGGCCAGGATTCCCGGCTCGGGGAAGGGGGTGCTGTGCAGGGGGTCGTCATACCGGTTGCCGTAAAAGTTTCCACCAATTCCTCCGGCGCCGACGCCACCCCTCAACCTTGTGTTGAAGTAGTAACCGTCCGAATTGGCCACACCAGGCTGCTGGTGTCCATAGCCGCGGTCAGGGTAGCCCCAGTTGCGCTGCTCTTTGTTGTCCAAGTATTCACCAAAACGTCTGCAAAAGATTAAACGAAAATAGTTTTAAGCTTGGGTTAAATTAACATATTTTATAGTCAATTGAAAATTCTTTATTCTTGTAATTTAGTATAGTTTATTGTTATTAAATAAAATGATATGATTTTTTCATTTGTTTATGACCATATAAATTAATAAGTGTAAATAACATTTATTTCATGAAAAAAATAAAATCAAATTAATTTTATTATTAAAGATATTATTTATTTTATTAGTCAATACTTTAATTAGTAAATTAGAGAATGGCAATTAAAAATTGATGGTGCAAATTTTACTTCTAAAATTGACAAAACAATCTGAAAAAATATAATAAAAAACTTGAAGATATTGTTTAAAAATATTTTACTTTATTTCGAAAGCCAAATAATTATTTTAAGGCCTTTCCTTAAAAAAAGATTGCTAAAAAATATTGAGATGAACCCACCTGCTGTTTTCGTAGATGTCTTTTTGCTGTTGCTGGTCGAGGTACGTGCTGCGGGGTGTTTGCGAGTCCCAGGGTCGGCGGCCGCTCTCCTGAGCACCACCGAGCAACCCTTGCAGCACGACGAGCACCAGCACCGCGGCTCGCACGCTCATCTCTCGGCCGTCCAAGTGCAGTCCACACCCAAGTCTTCATGCACGACTAACCGAAAGCGAGTATGGAGCTTTTGAAAAAACGCAGCCAAGGCCAATGCCCCTCGCCTCCTCCGCGCTCGGACCGTGACTCACGCTGCTCCTTCCATCAATTGAACCTCTCGGCGCGCTTTTCGCTTTTCAATTTCCTCGCCGGATCGAATTTCAGTTCGGGCCTCTTAATTCGAAACGCACCACTCGAATTTTGGGCTTTTCGAAAGTCGTTTAACTGCGCTCAGGTGACGCTCCCAACCCGTCACTGTTTGTTGCTCACTCCTCCTCCTCTTTTTTGCACGCAGGTAAAACGCAGGTACGCCGTAATTGCAGGTGCGTCCAGGTGGTGGCGCTCCGCACAGGTAGTTCACGCGAAGAAAAGTGGAAGGGGAGGCACCACAACATCACAGGTACACAGGTGAGACCAACGGTGAGACACAGGTGAATAAATTATTTTTTAAGTAAAGTGCATTCAATTTTATTTTACAATTCTAAAAATAATTTCAAGCATTGATCTCCCTTTTTTTGTCCATTTTAAAAGTTATTTTCATTAAATTTTTTTAACATTAAAAGTTTGTGATTTTTATCCTAATTTTTGGTAGAAGAATTCCGCTTTTCACACGGCGTTATTTTTCTCACGTTTCGAGTTTTGAATAACAGAACAATGTGGGAAATAATGAATGCAAGTCCCGTTTCTAAGGCAACTACCGGCATCACAAAGAGGGTCCTCGCTGTCATTTCAAAATAAATCACCCCTGATGATTGTTTTGTACCGATTAAATCAAGTGCTAATTTCAGGTATAGGATGTAGAAAAAACACTCTGTGAACAATAAAAATTCATACAAGGAAATTTCGAACTTCGTCGTTCAAAAATGTTCCTTTATCTGAGCAAAAAGGTAATTTAATAAAATTAAATAAATTCAGAAAAAAAAATTAATTCTAATATTTTAAAGATTGCGATTCCAAACAACATTAAACTAAAATGCCTGGCGTGGAACAAGGAGCAGGGTTACATTGCGTGCGGAGGAGACGATGGCCTCCTGAAAATCTTAAAACTTGATTCAGGTTTTTAATAATTTCTAAAATATTTTCAATTTTTTTTTTACAAATTAATAATCAGCAAAAGACGGGAAGGCAAAAGGTCTCGCGGCCGCCTCAAATTTATCAATGAACCAAACCCTGGAAGGTCACAACGGTCAAATACAGGTGGTTGCCTGGAACGAAGTGCACCAGAAGTTGACGAGCAGTGACCAGTATGGGCTAATTATAGTGTGGATGTTGTACAAGGTGACCTTAATTAGGCATAATTTTTTTCCTCTCATTATTGAATTTGTAACTAACTCTCAGGGATCATGGTATGAGGAGATGATCAACAACAGGAACAAATCGGTGGTGCGTGGAATGGCGTGGAGCAGCGATGGCCAGAAAATCTGCATTGTCTACGAGGACGGCGCCATAATTATGGGCTCGGTTGACGGAAACCGAATTTGGGGCAAAGAGTTAAAAGGCACGGCCCTTGCTGGAGTGGAGTGGTCACCAGACTCGCAGTTTCTCTTGTTTACCCTCAGAAATGGAGAAATTCACGCCTACGACGCTCAGGGTCTCTTCATGGTGCGGCGTTGAAATTTAAATATTAAATCATGGAAATTTAAGGGGGGAAAATCACTTGTAATATTGAGTTTTTAATTTAGAGATAAAAATATTTTTTTTTTAATATATTCGAAGTCAGCATTAAATTTCATTCAAGTTAAATTCCGCAGATGAAACTGAACATTACAACTCCACCCGAATCTGTGATAGTTGGCATGCAATGGTACGGCGGCAAAAGTGGGTATTACGAACCAAACTGCCCCGTTTTGGCAATTTTATTCAGCAATGGTCATTTGCTTTTACTCAAAGATGCAAATGACGACGGTGTGTATTTTTTTTTTTAATTTAGCTGAAAAATTGACTAAAATTAAATACTTTTAGGCATTCTTGTGAAAACTAACATGAGTGCAACGTGCTGCCAGTGGAATCACAATGGGAGTGTTTTGGCCGTTTCTGGTACAATGACCACTGACGACGAGGAAAATCCTACGTCGAACATGCTGCAACTTTACTCACCCTTCGGAGAGGTGACATAAATTAAAATAATAATTTTATATAAAAATTTAAGCTATTTTTTTCTTTTCAGCACTTAAGGACTTTGAAAGTCCCAGGCACACATATCAGCAGTTGTGTGTGGGAAGGAGGTTCACTTCGACTCGCGCTTGCCGTCGACTCTTATATTTACTTTGCAAATTTGCGACCGAATTATAAATGGGGCTACTATGCAAACACCATTGTCTATTCCATGATCAAGGCAGACCGACCAGAAATTTGCATTACTTTCTGGGATACTAAAAATAATGAAGTACAATTTTTTTTCTTTAATTTAAAATAACTGTATTTTTATATATGAAAAAATTTATTCCATTTTCAAAATTTATATAAGATTAAATTAGATTAATTAAAATGAATTATGTAATTTTTTCCTGTTTTAATTTTTTAAATTATAATTTATATAGTGCTACTCGAAATTTGTGAGCAGACTTTTGGGAATTTCTGCAGCAGGAGACCATTGCGTCTTGGCCACCAAATCCGAGGAAAATACTGCGCAAAGTGGCAAATACGGCCTCATTCTCTGCAATACCATAGGAACTCCGGTTGATAGTGAGTTTTTTATTAAAAGTTTTAAAGAGCCGATCTAGAAATTTAAAATTCAGCCAAATTCATCGAAGTCGAGCCTTTGCACATTGCGATGAACCCCACGCACGTGATAGCTGCCTCAAGAAGCGAGTTTTACGTGTGGAATTTCAGAACGCCAAAATCAAGATCGTCAATCGAGTTTGGTAAAAAAATATAGATTTTTGCTTCTGTAAAATTAATAAATTTACATCATTTTCAAAACAGCCCGAATGGACCGGAAAGAAAGAATTTATCACGTCGACGACAATCCTTCAGGCGCCGCTGACAAAATAATCTCGGACAACGTTTCCTCGAGAAATGTAAATTTGTTCTCACTATTTACAAATAATAATAATGATATGAATTCCATTCAGACCCTGCCAGTGGTCGACCCGATCTGCTGCATCGCCTGCTCAGACAAAATGATCCTTATCGGACGCGAGTCGGGGGTGGTTCAGAGATACACCCTGCCGCAGGTTGCACTCATCAGCAGAATCAACCTTCCAACCAGGCCATATAAAATGGCTATTAACTGCGACTCAACGTAATTATTATTTACGATTATTTATTTAAAGCATGAAAAAACTTTTTTAAACTGCCGTATGATCTATTTCTGGTGGTTCAGAGCGTTTTATTATTATTATTTTTAATTTTCTTTGCTATATAAAAAATTGTTACTCAGACGAGCTGCAATAATTGACGTCAATGGGGTGATGACCTTTATGGAGCTTGAGCCAAGCTCCGTCGAAGGCATTAGCGAAGCGTTGAAGGGATTTGAGAGGCGAGATATCTGGGACGTCAAATGGGCCAGCGACAACGCAGAACTTTTTGCCATAATGGAAAAGACCAGAATGTATGTGTTCCGAAACTTGGACCCTGAGGAGCCCATCCTGAGTTCCGGATACATCTGCAGTTTTCAGGTTTTTATTGAAAATATAAAACTTGACGTTTCGTTAAAAAAAATCATAGTTTAATTTTGGTTAAAAAATTAACCTCAAAATTGTTGATTTAAATTATTTACTAGGTTTTATCTCATTTTAAGTAAGTTTTTGATGATTTATACATAATTTTTTAGGATTTGGAACTAAAAGCTGTCCTTCTGGATGAGGTGATTCAAGACCCAAATCCTCCTGGGCCGCACCATCTACTGCAGCTTGAGGTTAAATCGCTCCGAGACACAAGAGAGCTTTTGGCCAAAGTAGGCCTTTCGGACGCGTCAACCTTCATCGAGGACAATCCTCACCCGAGGCTTTGGTATTTTATAAAAAAAATATCATAAAAGAAATACTGGATTTTTTAAAACAGGAGGTTGTTGGCTGAGGCTGCAGTTGAGCAGTTGAATTTGCAAGTTGCTGAAACGGCGTTCGTCAGGTGCAGGGACTACCCTGGAATTCAGCTCATTAAAAGATTGCAAAGCATGAACAATGACGTTCTAAAGCAAGCCGAGGTGGCTGCTTATTTCAAGAATTTTGATCAGGCAGAAAAACTATACTTGGATGTTGATCGCAGGTGCGCTAAAATGGTCATTAATTTTTCCCTGTATTGATGTTTTGTTTTAAGGGATTTGGCAATTGCCCTGAGAGAAAGGTTGGGCGACTGGTTTCGAGTGATCCAGTTGATAAAAATGGGCCCTGGTGGAACCGACACGCAAATCGAGGTTGCTTGGAATTGCATCGGAGATTTTCTTGCTGACAGATACAAATGGTAATAAAATACTGAAATTAATTATAGAAACTCTTTGACCTAAATTTTTACCGCAAAGGGAGGCGGCCAAAGAATATTATGAAAAAGGAAACAATCACGAAAAACTGGTCCAGTGCTACTACAATTTGGAGGAATACGAAGCTCTCGAGGGTATCGTCAACCAACTTCCAGAGGGTCATTCACTTTTGCCAGTTATTGCTGACAGACTAGCTTCCGTCGGTCTTTGCGCCCAGGCTGTTAAAGCCTATATTAAAGTAAGAATTAAATCAATAATATAATTAATAGATTTTGGTAAAATGCAAAAAATTTAAAGTTAAATTTGGGATTTGCGATACAAATTTTTTTCCATTTTGGAAACCAATTATTTAAGAAGAGAAAAAAAATAGTAAGTGTGGATTTCTCTTTGTCGGGGTCAAAATTTTTTATTCTTCACATTAAAAAAATCGCGACTTTTGATTTTCTCTTGTTGAGATTATTTTAAATAATAATAAAAAAAAAAACAATCAGTGCAACTGCATAAGATTGGCTGTGGACACGTGTGTGGAGCTGCAGCAGTGGAGCCAAGCAGTGGCTCTTGCCGAAGAACACCAAGTTGAAGACATTGATGGCCTTTTGGCGCAATACGCAGAATATTTGCTCAACAAGGGCGACTTGGCGCAGGCGGTGGAACTTTACAGAAAAGCAGGATGCACGGTTGATGCAGTCAAAATTCTCATCAATGTAATTATGAGAAAAAAAATCTTAAAAATATTAAGTTTTGTACTCGAGCGAATTTTTTAGTTGGCGAAATCTGCTCAAGCGAAAAACAGTCCTTTGCTGTATATCAAGAAAATCTATCTTTTGGCGGCTCTTCTTGTGGACAAGTACAAAGAAACGAGGAGGACAAATAATTTCAACCAATCTAACCGGAGGAACATCACGGACCCACTTTTGGGAATTGAAAATCCGTGGAGAGGAGTTGAAGCGTATCATTATCTCATGCTGGCCCAAAGACAACTTTATAGAGGTACGTTTATTTTGAAAATTAAATCAAATTTCTAAAAAAAAAATCCAGGGTTTACTGATGCTGCTCTAAAAACAGCACTTCAGCTGCAGCAATACGAAAACGTGTTAGATCCTGAAACAGTCTACTGTGTAATCGCACTCGCTAGTTGCGGAAATAAAGCTTTTGGCACTTGCTCCAAAGCGTTCATCAGACTTGAAGCATTAGAAGAGGTTAGTTGTTGATTAAAAAACAAGGTGAAAATTTTCACACAAAAATTAAATTTTTGTTATATCTTATTAATCTTTGCGAAACAATTCAAATTTTTAAGAAAACGGTTTTATTTTACAAAAACTAGGGAAATTTCTCCCAAAAGTTGTTTTCTTAGAATTAGGAAATCTCCCCCCCCCCCCCCCAATTTCTGTCCAAAAACATTTTTAAATAGGTTCAAATTAAATCGCAAATACAATCAAAATATTTTTATTTTCTACAAGTTTAATTTTACCCCCTCGAAGTTTGAACAAATTTTCATATTTTCTCTTAATACAAATTCAAATTAGGTGCCGGAAACAAGGCGTCAAAAATACAGCGACCTGGCGATGGAGCTCTTTACCAAATTTGCAGTTCGAGATTCAGGTGGCTCTGGCGCCTCAGGCATGATTGAGTGCCCAAACTGCGAGACCTTGGTGCCTGGAGTGAGCGTCAATTGCCCTTCGTGCGAATCGCCTTTTGTGACCTGCGTGGCCACCGGGTGTCCCATTCCCGACATCCACAGGGCCTGGACGTGTTCGACTTGCAAACACTCGGCACTCGCCTCAGAAATGGCAACGAGAAACACTTGCCCTCTGTGCCACGAGCAAATCCGACGGACACACTGAACAAAAGTCTTATTTTATTACACATTATCTCATTTGACAATACTTTTCCATTTTCTCCAAATTTTGCAAAATTGCACGAATTTATTTTTTTTATTACGTTTTTTATATGTAGCAAGATCTCAATTACATGTTTACAGCATAAAATTTTTCATTTTTTTTCTATGAAAATAATCTAGGAATAAATTAAAATAAGAACATCATTTTTGCTTTTTTATTTTTATTACTCTTTTCCCTGAATTTTTTTATATATAAAATGAAGCTTGGATCGGCTTGCATAATGGATTTTTTAATTATATATTTTACCAATTAAAAAGGCTAGTAAAGATGCTCATTTGTGATTTTTATTAAAAAAAATATCGAGTCTTTCGAGTTGCAATTATTTGCTGTGCGTTTTACACTTCTTGTTGCGCGCCGCTTTGTACCAAACTGGGCGAGTGGAGGGCGTGGTTTTCTATTGACGTCAAAACCTGGCAAACATATGATTGGGGCTGGTAAAACTTTAAAAGCAATCAAAATTTAAAAGTATCAAGTTTTGGAATTTTTTTTGAAAACAAACAGAAGTTCACGAAAATGATTTGAATTTTTTTAAACACTTGCTACAAAAACAAGAAAATACACGGAGTTTTTAAACTTGCAAAGCAAAAAACACCCGGAACTGCAGCAAGCAAAATGGGTTTGTGTTTGTAATTAATTTAGTTGTCAACCGTGTTGCATTGAGATATTCTTTATATTTAATTTTCAGTTGCTTTCGGTGGTCATAAAACGAGCTTCATAGGCTGGACTCTGCTCGGCGTCCTGAGTTTAATGTGCTACTGTGAATTCTTAATTTATTATGTTGTTCTTTTCCAGGTAAAAAATTACTTTTGTTTATAAATAAAACTTATATTCTAATGATTCTTAAATTTTGCAGTGCTCTTGGCCTGAGCTTACTCCTGGGCGCGAAGACGAAAAAATTGCAATAAACCAGAAGGAAGACCCTGTCCGAGCAATGTTCATAGCGGACACACACTTACTCGGCACCCGAAGGGGGCATTGGTTCGACAAATTACGGAGGTATGAGAGAATTTTCTCTTAAAATACTTTGAATTACAGTGAAAAATAAATTTCAGAGAGTGGCAAATGCACCGAGCCTTTCAATCAGCAGTGACGCTGCACCAACCGGACATTGTCTTTGTCCTCGGAGATGTTTTCGACGAAGGTCTTTGGAGCAGCGAAAATGAATTCAACAACTATGTTGCCCGATTTAAGTCACTTTTCAACGTTCCTGGCGATACTGAGCTCCATGTAGTGGTTGGAAATCATGACATTGGTTTTCATTATGGGTAATAATTATTAACTGTAATCATAGAAAAGAATACTTTAAAACCGAAGCAAATTTTGGCAGTTTAAAAAAAAAATCGCTGTAGGACCTTAAAATAGAAAAAATACATAGTTTGGGATGATGGTTTTAAATGAAAAAAATCTTTGGTTGCTTTTTGAAATTAATTATTAATTGATTATTTTTTAGCATTTTATTTTTAAAATGGGTAAAATCAAAATTAATTAATTCCGTAATGAAATTACTCAAACAGGATAAGTCCGTATCTGCAGGAAAGATTTGCCACAGCTATGGACGCACCCTCAGTACAAATTTTGTCGCGCCGAGGTGTTCATTTTGTTCTAGTCAACTCTATGGCCATGGAGGGCGACGGGTGTTTTTTGTGCAGGCCGGCGCAAATTCACCTCCAACAGATCTCAAGTGAGCAGCAAGTTTCAATGATATTTCTATCAAATCAATTTTCATCTTTTATGCTAATTTTCAGACCGGCTCAAGTGTACCAAAGGTACTGCCAAGTGCAAGAAAACGCAAAAATTTACTCAATATAGTAAACCAATTTTACTTCAGGTTTGTCCTATGAAATATTTCCTGTTTTTATTTTAAACACTTTTCTTTTTAGCACTTTCCCATGTACAGAGAGTCGGATATTAACTGCAGTGGGCCGGATCAGGCGCCAGAAGACGAGAAAAAGCAAAAGTTCAGAGAGAGGTGGGAATGTCTGTCACGAGAATCATCAGATATGGTAATAATTTATAAATAATTTCTTTATTGAAGAAATTTTCTATTTAAAATAGTAAATAATTCAAGCTCAATTTTATCTTTCTAAATTGATTTAAATCCACAAAGATCCCTGAACTTCAGCCTTTTTTTAATTTAAGGTGTATAATTACTTAATTATTATTTTTTTTGCACAGCTCATGGAACTTTTGGAGCCGAGGTTGATTACCACTGGACATACCCATCACGGGTGCCACAGGATCCACTCCGACGGCACCCACGAATGGACGGTCCCCTCCTTCAGTTGGAGGAATAAAAACAACCCGAGCTTCCTCCTCGTAAGATTTGATTTTCACAATTTGAATTAATTTAAGATTAAAATTATTCGTCTGCAGGGAACGTTTTCGCCAAACAATTATTCTATCAGCAAATGCTTCATGCCAGCCGAGAGTACTGTAATTTATGTCTACCTGCTTGGCGGAATAGGGCTTTTCGTGGCATTGACCGTTTGCTCCAACCGCAGGAAGTGGACGCGCATTAAAAACAGCTGACTAGGGCTGTCATTAGGTTGCATAGTTCTTTTAATTTTTTCCCTGACTCTCATTTTCTTGAGCTAAAAAATTCACGCGGCGCCGCCATTCCCCAAAAATTTAACAAATTAATTGCAATTTGATGGTCCTATTTTTTGACATTTTTGTGGCAGTTTAATTAATGAATAATCAGCTATTAATTAGTGAAAATGCTTTGCATTTGTCCAATATGAGATTAAAAGAAAAAATGTACGATACTGCACTGCTCCTTCCATGTCACTTAACAATTATATAAGGCAATATAATTATACTACTTGTAAAAATAACCTTTATTGCTGAATTGAGCTTAATGTTTTAAAAAAAATATTGAGTAGTTTGTTAGTAGACGTAGGCTAATTTTAAAAATTTTGCAATATGTTAAGTACTGTAATTATGGATGTGATGTACTTGATGTGTCTTTCAATGTGATAAAGCTATAGTCTTCTGTGACCTAATGATACCTAACCACTTTTAAATGTTGTTCAAATGCCGCATTCCAGAATAATATAATTATTCCCGAACAAAAGAGTAAATATGTGTCCAAATATTGCTGCTAATGCCTTTCGGAAGGCCTAAATTTAAAATTTACTGCAGTATAAAAAAAGATGAAAGTTATAAATAAAACAAGCGTTAATTAACATGCCTGATATTAGTGTATTTTCATTACGGGCAACAAAAAATATATCCTCAATACACGTACCAGAGAAAATAATATTTGATAAAGGAAAAAAAATGGAATGCATCGATGGGTTAAGTCGATCACACAATGTCCACCAACTGACTGTGCACGCTCCACAAATTCTGAAAAGTTACGAACAAATAATGTTAAAAACATGCAGTTATTTAGTCAAGGGCCTTAAGAGTCACCTTGAAGTATTTGACGGTTTTAACCCGCAGCTCAAGAGTGGCATCTTCGTCGCAGATGAAGAGGGTGCTGGGGTGCTGCTGGAAGGCGGACACGGTCCACATGTGGTTCACCCCTTCTTCAATGGCTTTGTACAAGGCAAACGCTTTGTGGTTTCCAGTAATCAGAATCATAACCTGGTAACCAAAAATTAATATGTTAACAATTTTAAATAATTTTTTCGTACTTCTCGAGCGTCCATGACGGTTCCCACTCCGACCGTCAACGCTTGCTTCGGCACTTTGGAAATGTCGTTGTTGAAGAATCGAGCGTTGGCTTCCAGGGTGTCCTGGGCCAACGTTTTCACCCTGGTGCGAGAAACCAGGGAAGACCCTGGCTCGTTAAAGGCAATGTGGCCGTCGGGTCCGATACCTTGTTGATAAATTTAAGCTCAGCTCAGAGATGACATTTTGTTTTCATCAAACCTCCAACAAAAAGCTCCACTCCTCCAGATTGTTTTATTTTCTCCTCAAATTCAAGGCACTCCTTAACCAAATCTGAAGCGTTTCCGTCCAAAATGTGAGCATTTTTGGGATCAATGTCGATGTGCTTGAAGAAGTTCTCGAACATGTAGAAGTGGTAACTCTCAGGGTGGTCTCGAGGCAAGCCTATTTAATATTAATATAAATTATCGAAATATTTTGGTTTAATTTCAAGTTCTTACCAACATACTCGTCCATGTTGAATGTTTTGACATATTTGAATGACACTTTTCCAGCCTTATAGTATTCAATCAATTTTTTGTACATTCCAAGTGGTGTCCCTCCTGAAATTTTGATATGATTTAAATATTAAAATTTAATTACTTTAACGTATACTTAAAAAAACCATTTAGAAAGTAATTTAATATTTTATTTTTATTTTTTACAAATAAATAGAAATGTTTATAAAAAAATTTTTAACCTTGATAAAATATTTGAATAAAATTAAAACTAAATTGGAAGAAAAGTCCTGTGAAGATTAAATAAAATATTTTTTTTTAATTTTTTACCAATTCTAAATGAAAGATCCATTTCAGAATGCTATTTACCTCCAAGCTAAATGAGCAGAAAAAAATTTTATGGGACAACATTATTTTTGCCTAATAGCTATGCTAAAGGACTTGTGATCGAAATGTGCCAAATTTGCAAAGATGAGAGTTATGCGGGATGTGAAAGCTGCTGTCAATCTCTATGCGCTCGGCAAATAATCTCCCATAATTGTCTGGGTCAAATTTCGCAAGTGGAAGGGCAAAGATGCACAAATATACTGACCGGTGGGCAAGCCCAGGACGAAAAAGCGGTCGGCCTTTGGCTTGAAGTCGTTGATTCGCTTCATGACATACTTGGCCGCCCATTCGGAGACCTCGTCCGAAGTGTCCAGGATGACGAGACGCATCTTTGCTTCTTGACGACTGCTCGCAATCTGTTTGTCAGTGTGTGGTGCCGCGGCGGAGGGTCAACGATCTCCCTCTTCGCACACACAGATTTCTCAATGGCCCAAAAGAAAAATAAGTGAGAGAGAAACTTGCAAGGGAAACTTGTTTGTCGCGCCACGCCCCCTTTCGTTTCGCACCCGCCAGGACGACGTATGCACAGCCCAATGTGAACCGCTTTGAAATTAAATTCGCCATTTAATTCATCTTTTTAAATTAAGAACAGAGTGCCCCTATGATGAGTACTGGTGCTTGTACAGAGCTTTATAATATAATACATGCTCTATTTAATTGAAATATATTTAATTATAAAAGCACTCGCAATTTATTACTCTTTATTTTAATTTTATCATAATTGTATTGTTTGATTTTTTTATTATTATTTTGATGATCCAAAAATATTTCAAGGAACATAAAAATAAAATTGGATAAGTGGTTGGAAAGGGAAACTGGAAGATACTCTGAAAAACGCCGCAAACAAACTCTAAAAAAAAAACGCACATTAAAAAGAATCAACAGGGTTTAATAGAAGTTAGGAAAGTTCAGGATTTGATGTGTTTTTAGTGTAAGAAAGAGTTTGCTGAATTTTATGAGCTTGTTTATTTAAATCTGGTTTTTCCATCTTTTTCTTCTCTTTTAATGTTGGCCGTTTTATAGCAGACATCTGAAAACCATTTATTTCTTCTTATATTTTCCAATCTAAAATTTTGGTTTGACTGAGAAGAATAAATATTAATACTAAATAAAAAAGATTTATTCAATAAATCATAAATCACACTGTGACATTAAAAACAGACTCGTCAATTTCAAACAAATTATTATTTTGCACGGCAGGTTTTCAACTATCCGGGCCGCGAGCAACTTGTTATTATTTCCCAAGCTGCTGTGAGTTGGGAATCACGCGTTGATTTTAATTTTTACCTTTTTTGAATTTTGCACACTCGTTTGGGAAATTTTGAATTCAACCAAATGTCAGAATTAATATTGAGCTGGAAAAATAGTTCGAGCGGAAGAGGCCATATGTTGGGATCCTTGCTACATTTCAGCATTTTCAGCGCGTTTCAAACAGCAGTCTTTGCTCTCGTTTCGCGCGGACCTTGAATGCTGCACATCCGTTTTAATTATAAAACATTAAAATATGCTTTTGTTAGTCATATTTTGTAAAATACCGGTATATCATTCAATTTTTAATTCAAAGAAAATTTTTTAATTAAAAAAAATAAATGTTACTCTATAGAGATTATCTGTTTGAATCATATGAATAAAGATAAAGTGCAATAATTACTTTCAGTAAATTTTACTGCCAATAGCTGAAGGAAAGAACTGAGGAATCTATAATTTGTTAAATTATATAACAATTTAAATCATAAATCATGCGATGAAAAAGCAATTTCCTGTGTAGAGTGTGGATGCTTGATGCTTTGAATAAAAAATGACCGTGTTCGTACTCTACTCACTGTGAACCAAACTTTATAGGTGAGCAGTTTTCCCGTTAAAGAGTTTTATTTCATCTCTAAACATTAAGAGCCTTTAGTATTTTAAATCTCTAATTATTGAAAATTTGAATTAAAATGCTTAAAATATATAAGACCAATAATATTTTTCATAGTTTTATAAAATTGCTACGAGCTACAAGTTATTACGTCAACTACAAATTTTTGCAGCTCGAGTGAAAAATAATAATTTAGGCTCCACCAAAACTATCAATGCTTTAATTACTTCAAATAAATTATTAATTATTACTTAAATAATATATGATAAGTTTGTCGATATCAGAAATTGTGTTCTGAAAGATCGCGACGGCTCCATTTTATTAAATATTTTCTATTTTCCTATTCAACTAAAAAAAGGATTGAACGCTCTGCAAAAACTGTTGCTTAGTTTGCCGCACTCTCTGGTTAAATTTGAGTATCTTTACTGACGTATGCATAATTATTTTTTAATTTTTCAGGCATATTTTTTTTGGAGAGAATTGCATAGAAATTTTTGTATCCAAAATATGCGCGGTTATAACATTAATTAATTTATTCCATAAAATTAAAATTTCTATGCAGAGTATTTCAATCTGACCATTTTAGTTGTACATATTAATAATATTATATTTGCAGTTTACAATCAATAAGACTAACAAAATTAATTAGATTATATCATAATAATTATTAAGGTGTATGTATCAGAAGTCCCGATTCAAGTTGTGGAAAAAAATAAATTTAATTTTTTATATTTTGCTTCATGAGAGTTTTTAAAAGCGTCATTGAGCTAGCAGACCCTGTATTAACGCAATTATAGGTGCTGATGCTATTTTTTAAGTGCATGCATTTTTCTTTCATTCGCACATATTTTTGTGAAGTAAATGTTTTCACGGAAATCTTTTTAAACATTGCACAAAAAATGTGGACTACAGCGGAAATAATTCATAGAAGCAAACGTAAAGAGAGATGGGCATATTTCGCAGAAATCCCCAACTCGGCATTTTTCTGTGTGCTGGATTGGTTAAAAAATCGAATAAATATGGCGCATTTCCTAGCACGTTTATTTTCCGGTGAAGACTAGTTTGATATATGGTACCTTTTAGTTTTTTACTGACCCACAAACAAAGAGAAAACTAAATTGAATATAATAATAATAAGATTGCCACGATTAGCTATTATGATATAATATAGGTGCATTCGTTAACGCTAATAAAAATTGGGGTTGAAATTTTATTTATTATATTTATCCTCCAATTAATAATTTAAATACACAACATCTTACGTCAAGTCAACACACAAAAATTTACTGATTAATAATTTTTGAAAAATTTTAAAATTATAATTGAAAAAAAAATACATATAGGCAGCTTGTTTTATGGTTTGGCAGGATGTTTCCGTCCCAGGAAGCTGCACGATGGTAGACAAAAATTGAAAATTGCACGTAAAAAAACGCGTCAGAGATAGTATAAAAGGAGCGTAAAACTTTTGAAAATTCAGCATTCGTTGCAAAATGATGAGGGGAACACTACTAATCTTGGTGCTAGGACACGTAAATATACATCTTATATATTTCTACAAATTTATTTTTCAAAATGAAGAGAAAAATGTAAAAATATTGTTGTATTATTATCGTCAAGATTATAAAAAATTATAATTATAGCACGGGGATTGCTCTAAAGGGTGTGCACAAACTGCGAACACTGATATAATTTAAAAATATAATATCGAAGTTTTCCAATTCATAGGGGTTCCAATTTGAAAGTAACAATCAATTTTTAAAATTCCTCAATTTTGACACCTATTTTGGAAAATAAGCAATTTTTTCCCCCAAATTCTTCAGTGTAGTTAGTTAAGAGAACCGACCGTGCCAAATTTAATTTTAACATGCCAAAGTGTGTTGTCCTGTGAAAGTTAAAGAAATTTAATCAGCCAATGCAAAACAAATACACAATAGATATTATCGAAGGAAGCTTGTTTTGAAAATAGACATACGCTTGTCACTATTGTGTTCTTCAAAAATAAAGAATTCCAGGCTAGTGCTTAAATAAATTGAGTGAGCAAAAAAATTGGGCAATTCTCTAATTTCACTTATTTGATTGAAAGAAATGCAAAGCTCTAATTACGACGCTTAATGAAAAAAAAAATGCTGACTAGTTCAATAAGCTTATGTTTGATTATAATGCATACTCTATGCCTAAATCTGGCCAAATATTGAAATAAATATTTTTTTTATGTTAAAACAGAAGATTTGAGTTAGAGCGATACAAAAAAATAAAAACTCGTTACAGTTGCTGGCATTCTCCTGCGCTGCAGTAAAGAAGCCAGTAGTGCCGAAGAACAAACCTGTCGTGAAGGATGTGGCAAAGATTAATAAGCCAGTGGTGGCCCGTGCTCGTTCTCGTTCTCGTAAAAACCACCATTTAAATCACTTTTTTTCAATTAACTGTTTTTTTCTCTTAAAAGAACCAGGAGGCAAAATCAACAAGCAAATCACAGACGGCTTCAATTTTTATTTCAGCTGGCATGCGCTAATTTCCTACACTGACAATCCCAACATTTGCGGCGGTACATTGCTGACGGAGTATTGGCTTGTGACAGCTGCCCAGTGCCAATCCACCTCGTAAGCTGCTCAATCTGCGAAAGGATTTGAAAAGTCTTCCTAAATAATAGTCTATTTGATTTTCATTCCAGATCTCGTATATATTGAACATAATATAAAATTGCTTTGCAATAATCTGTAGAGGTTCTAACAGTTGTTGCTGAACCCATTTTGGCACTTAAAAATGTTCATATTTTATGAAAAGCTATCCAGCTTGCAGAAGAAATAAATTAATTTGCTCATATCTTCATAAAAAACTTTTGAAATGACATTTAGGAAGATTTCAAATTTTTTTGGCTTATGATTCGCATATGTTTAAAGTACACAGATAGGGCAAAAGATTAATATTCGTATTTGAGGGCATAGTAGGGATAAATTAATAATATCAACAGAGGCACACAGAAAGCTAGATGATTAAAGATGGTAATTATTTTATAGGGTGTCCAACATAAATATTAGAATTGGATCAGCATCGCGCACAGGCACAGGACAAGGATTCCAAGCACCCACAGTGAAAACGCAGGTCGTTCACACTGGCTATGATCCTGTCACTCTAGCCAACGACATAATGCTGATGGAATTCAACGCAAGGACTTTCTTCAGTCGTAACACAAAGTTCGTTTTCACAAAATGAAAACTACCATACATATATATGTAGCCATTGCTTATCCCATCGACCTACCGTACGGCCCAGATTTGACTGTTAATTATGTTGGGAAGTCGGTGCTGATCGGTGGCTTTGGAAAAAATTCATCGACTGGTAAATTGAAAATTTTATTTTAATAAACTGCCACAAAATACAAATACATTATGCTGGAACCAAACCTTTTTAATGTATGATTATGATGGAAACATTTCAAGTTGCTCAAATATGTTCCTCTTGTTATTGTTCGCGTTGTTTAAATACAAAAAACATAGTTTCTTTCCAGAACATACGAACAAAGAATTACGCTCAATTTATGCTTCATTTTAGGTCAATTTTTTGTTTCTTCTTGACCGCCAATGATGGTTTTTCCAGCCTAACCAGTCATGAAATATTCTGGGTTTTTTTTTTATGTAATCTTAAAGAGATACATTTTCCTTTTTGTTGCGGAACTTTTATTGGTCTGTTTTTAGGATGTTTATATCACAAAAGTTTTAGAAAATCGATTGAGGTTTAATTAAAGAATATTGCCCAATTTAACATGAAAAAAATTCAATTTATTGGAGTTGATGAAATTGAAAAAATAAATGGATTGCGCTGTGAATTTAACTGAATCAGAACAAGTTTTTTTAAATTAAAAATAATATTTTACAGATGCCGCATTCAGCGACAAATTTCGTGGTGGTTCTACAAATGTTGTGGATATTAGTGCGTGCGCGTTACAATTTGGAACTGATCGCGTCTTTCCCAACAGTTTGTGCTTGCAATGGAAAACTTTCGTGAGTTGCGAGGTAAGTAAAAAATTTTTATTGAATTAAATCTAAATTAAAATTTTACACCTCTGCGCTGTGTAGGGAGATACCGGTGGTTCTGTGGTGTACAAAAAAGAAAACAACTATCAGATTGAAATGATCCTCGGAGTTATTTCGCAAAGTACATCCACTTGCGATGCCACCAAGCCGTTTGTGGCCACCAATGTGATACCTTATATGGATTGGATTGAGAGCTACATTACACCAACAACAGCGACACCAACATCATCGTCAACATCATCATCTTCATCTTCATCATCAACGTCGTCTTCAGAAAGTTCTTCTTCAGAAAGTTCTTCTTCAACAACAGACACATCGACAACACGTAAAAAACTTCTTTTCAGTTTCAAATTGTTTTATTTTTTATACGATCGATTTATTAATTCATCATCTCTGAATTCTGAATTGAACCGCATTATTCAATAGTGTTAAGTGTAAATGTTAGCGAAAGATACGGAAGCATTTAAAATTAATCTGCGGGGTTTTTCAATAAAATTGTATTAAAATATTTTTTATTTTGCGGCCAATCATGATGTTGTTAGGAGAGTCACCTGACTAGCTCAAAATATGCAGCTTGCTGTAGTTTTAGACGTAATATCTGACGAACCTTACAATTATAGTGCTGGCAGGTTGCTTCTTCACAAAGTTTTTACTTTTTGGCAAAAATTTCATAAGTTACAAAAGAGACGGAAAATTTGAATTGATAAAAATATATTATTGTATTATGTCTTGTAAACAATGACCCCGTTATTAAGAGGGTATTTTTCGTAATTGCCAAATTCACTCTGCTTAATGACGTTCACTCTTTTAAAAACAGTACACACAAAAACGACTTTGAAAGTAATGCCCTGTCATTTTCCAGCCTGCACATCTAATTGTGGAGATGTATGTCCTGAAGACCCAGCGCCAAAGATACCAGCTTCTGCCAAACCTGCACCACAGTGCTCAAACCAAAACTATGAGGTAAATATAGCACGATTCTTTGATGCAATAATTTGGTTGATGGACCGTGCTTGAAAAGGGCTTTGTGAACAAGTGCTGCAACGTCCCAATGATGAATTTCATGTTGCCAAACGGCGCTGACACCACGTGCAAACGCAACCCCTCCGTTGTGAAATACTTCAATGTCTTCATGATGAACAAATTGCAACCTCCCAAGGCGTTGAACCAGTCAGTCAACTACACCGATAGGAACTTGCTAAAAAATAATTCAGATTGGTCCAGAGCTGCAGTAATAATCACTTTATTTATTCTTATTCTCCATAATTAATTCTGGAAGTTTATTTTGTATTAATTAAGTAAGATTAAACTTCAACGTTTTCTATCTAAATTAAAAAAAAAAATATTGTGGAAACTTAAAATTTGGTGAAACAGGTGTTTCCATATTGATATTTTAAATAATTTCTTGTTCATTCACCTCATTAAAAATACAATTATTTCTGATATTTATTATGGGTAACTTCTGATTGATTTTAATTAAGACGTCATTTAATTCCTTCTTTTTAATAGACATTTTTGATAGGATTATTGAAAACTTAACTCTTTTTTATTATTATTTTTTTTGCTAATATTTAATAACAATTAATTTAAATTAATGTTTAATCTCTCTCTTTTTCAAGGCATTCCTGGACTGTCACCTTAATCAAACAAACGTGGTAAATTTATTTGTACCATTTTTGCGATTTATTTAAGCAATGCCAATAAGACTGTCAACGGAACTGTAAACAAGGAAGCTTTGGTCACGTTTTTGTCCAAAACTAACAACAACAGCGCGATTTGGGTGCCCAAGATTGCCTGCGCCGTCTCTCAATGCATTGACATTGTTTCCAGTACGTAATTTTTATTTTTTAAACATGAAAATTAGCCAAAAGCAAAAGCAAGTAAAAAAACCTCAAATTTTAGAAATTAACACCTCAAATAATGTAATCAACGGAAAGGAAAAAAACAACGCCACAGCCTTATACGTTGTCCAATGCGTTCTTTTCAAAATGATCAAAGTACTTAACTTAATTGTTCAATAACATGCCACTTTAATAAATTTCATTGCAATTTTTCTCCAGAATTGTCCTGACAGGAGTATGGATAAATTTAGAATAAGCTATTATTGAAATAATAAAATCCTACTACTTTATTTTAGAAATTACGCCAGCGTGTAACAATTCGTATACAATCTTTGACCAATGCTCGTTCTCTGTTTTACCAACAACAACAACAACAACAACAACCGCTGCACCTTTTGTAGGAAAGTTGCTAGCACGCGCTACACCGAAGCGCAAGAGTGGCTGATTTGCAACTGAACGGACACGACATTTCCTACCAAACAGAAACTAGACCCTTGGCGCGTTATTTGGAATGGAATAATGAAAATAAGATTACTTAAAATACCTCAAACTTAAGCAGAAAATTAATAATTACGCAGATTTCATTTCATTTAAATAATACATTTGGGCATTTAAACACTTTTCTTTGCTTCATTTTCAAATTATGGTAAAAAATTTAAATAAACCCAACAATTTAGCATTGCAAATTGGCTTTTTATTTTTATTATCTAGTTAATACTAATACCTGATCTTGATCAATATTACTAGAAACACAAAAAAATAAAATATAAAATACTACCGTTTTTGATAGAGATTGCTTTAAATAAAGAAGAATTGTCTTTTATATTAAATTATACCAGCATAAGTATAGAGGATAAAATGAAAATAAGAAAAAAAATCCGTTTTTCTTTTTTGCAAATTTAAATTGATTTTTTTTACAAGATTCCTTCAGTGACAATTAACTAAGAACATGTACGCACAAATTTATGCCTTTGTTATTAGTTGAAAATAATTAAAGCGATCAAAATAATTTTTTTTTATCAAATAATTCAGATTCACACTCTTAACAAATCCTTGGTTATTTGATGAAAAAAAAAATAAGAAATACCATTATTGAATCTTTGAAAATTATAATATTTTCTTTCAAATTGAGATAATTTTAAAATTAAATAATGTAATAATCATTCTAACTATCTCGTCTCCTAAAAAAATTATTTCAATCAATGCCTGATGTACAAATACATTGACAACATGTTGTATAATGTTGATGAAAATAGAGAAATCAACGAAGTTGATCAAAAATGGATTGTCTGAAAGCAGTACTGGAGCCCCTTTTAAATAGAAACAAGTGAATTTGGGTGCTAGGATGTTGGAGGACTCAAACTAGAGGCACATGCAGAGCTGGGCGGATCACTCGTTGGAGCGTGCAAAAAAAAAACCCCTAATTGATGGCCATCGGGTCGCGCACCTTCTTTATTCATCTAAATTACAGTGCGGCTATTTGTGTTTTTGAGTCAGGACCATAAAGGTGATAAGCACTGAAATGATTCTTGATTTTAATTAAGATAAACCCAAAAACAAATCAAAATAATAAAAAGACAAAATTTAGTGGCGCCTTCTGCGCCACTAAAAAAGGGCACAGGCCGACAAGACTTTGTCTTGGCCTGACCCCAGAAAAAATGCTTTTTTTTAATAATAATAATAGCAATCAATAATAGCTTTTGCTATATGTATGTATGTTCTATAAAATTTTAGCTTTCGACGTGTGTTCATTTGCACTTACTCTCATAATATAAATTACCACATAAAATATTCCAAAATAACCCACCAAAGAAAACAGTTTTGTATGTCCTAGTCAACTATTTTCTTTTAAATAATACAGGCTGATTACAAAAATATAATAATTATTTTATCAAATAATGATTCATGAATGATCTAGAAGCAATCACCGCAATTAACACCGAGTGCAGACTGGCCGAGTGCAAAAAGCGGTGTGCCGCGCCGTCTAGTGCAAAGTGGCTCTGCACATGGTGAAGCACACGGCTTTTGCACACGTTCCTCTTTCAGTATAAATGAGCGCTCGTCGCCTCAGACTAACATAACGACAACAAGCCCCTTCTCCACAACCAAGAAACCGAAGAACCAAAACAAACCTCAAGATGCCCAAGCCTTGCTGCGACAATTGCGCCCGTGAGTAAAATTACAATTTTTAACATTGATTCAAAATAAGAGTTTCAAATTCATTCAAAGGCACACTTGCAATAATTTGTCCATTGAAATTTTATTGGTCCTCATTTTATCCAAAATACGCTTAATGTGTACAAATTAATTTTTTCTATAATAAGATAAAGCGAATCATTGATGAATTATATTTAATGAATTTTCATAGTACAATTGAAGTTTTTTTAGAATATTCAAAATTTGAAATTTGAAAACGGTTATTTATGAAGAAATAAAATTTAAACCAATGTGTCATTAAATTATGATTATTTTATTTTTATATATTTAACATATATTTTTTTGTGAGTGGTTATTCCAAATTAATTAAATCCCCTTCGACTGCACTTTGATTGAATGGACAATAAAATTTGTGACATTTTTCCAGAGACCTGCCAAGGTGGAGCCGACGGCTGCAAATGCAGTGGCACCTGCGGATGCAAAGGAGGCTGCAAATGCTGTGCTGAGAAGAAATGAAGAATTTACTTCAGAATGATGGCGATTTCAACTTGACTGAATTTTTCTATTGATTTGTATTGATAATGTGTTGAATAAATAATTTCAATATTTAAATAATCTAAATCGTTTCTTTCTCCTTATTTTTAAAATCAGAGGATACGGAAGAGCAAAATTAAATTGATTTTCCTCTTACAAAAGCATCGCACAATCAATGGAGAATAATACATCAATGTACAATGCCATTGAAATTTATAAAACAGAGCTTTAAAAAGGCAAACAAGTACAATTATATTTGAATCATTCATGGACATAAAACCTTTTAAAATCAATAATTGACAGGGGAAAAATGTAATAAAATGGATTTAAAAATCTCGAATTAGAAATATAAATCAATAATTAAGTTTTGGATCAACAAAAGGCAAAGGCTGACAAGACTTTGTCTTAGCCTGAACCTTAAAATTTTGTCTTAGCAAAAGATCAATCAGGACTCAGCTGCGATGCCGATTGGTTAGATCATTAAATTATTCTGGAAGGCGATCTTGAAAGATGTGTATGCAAATCAAAATTAATGGAATTCTAAAATATTAGGAAAAAATTAAATTTGTTTTGCTTGGTCTTCAACCCTCTTTCAACTCATATGAACTTGAACTGCAGTGGACAGTAACTTCTAGTGCATGGTAACAAAGCGCAATATTATGAAATTCAAACTAGAAGTAATAATAAAACTATTGCATTGCAAGTTTGCGGGGAATCTAGAAAAAAAATGTTTTTCAATTGCTTAAAGTAGGGCTTATTGTTGCTTGTGCAATTTTGAAGATAATCATTTGTAAATCAATCATTACTGCTTAGAGCTGTTGCAAAGCACTTATTAAATCTCCAAAATAAAAAGGATATTTTGCTGTACATTTTTTTAAATTATTAATCCCACGATGAAAATTTCTATGAAAATATTCTATTATTCACTAAGCAATTAATCGTGATTTAAAAACTGGTTATTTTATTTTGCATCTAGAAAAATTGCAATATTTAAAATCAGATCAAAGATAAAAATATGATTACGATAAAATTTATTGCGTTTCAAGTTTCATACAAAAATTCTGATTGAATATGTGAGTGCAAAAGGCGGTGTGCTGCACCGTCAGACGCAAAATTGTTCTGCACTTGGTGAAGCACACGGCTTTGCACACGGCCCTATACCATGTATAAAGAAGCGTTCTTTACAGACTTAGACATTACAACAACAAACCGCTTTCTATACATCTGGGAAACCATAGAACCAAAACAAACCTCAAGATGCCCAAGCCTTGCTGCGACAATTGCGCCCGTGAGTATCAAATTTCAGTTATTAGGAATAATCACAAAAAATATTGAATCTAGAGATACAATATTTTTTTCCCAATTTTAGTAGGAAATGTTAAATTCATATTGAAGAAAAAAAAGCATTTTAATTCCAATAATTCCACGAAGACTAATGAAATGTAATTTTTTTACAGAGACCTGCCAGGGCGGAGCTGATGGTTGCAAATGCAGCGGTACCTGCGGTTGCAAGGGAGGCTGCAAATGCTGTGCCGAGAAGAAATGAAGACCAAATATGACTACTTTATTTTTTACCAAATTTATATGTTGTATTTCATACTTTTTATCAATAATGATTAAAAAATAAAAATTACCGTTTTAATTATGGCTTTAACAAAAAATATCAAGAAGCTGCTTGTGAAGGATAATCGAGAAAAATGCAGGTTATTGTTTGAGCTTATACATTCGAGCTCACGCTGCTGCGTTCCCGGTTGCCTATCGTTTTGCTGATCGGCGCTCGCGGCAGGTGGATTTGGTTGCTTATTATATCAATTTTAGAATGGCGCTGATAAGAACAGAGTCGAAAAGAAGAAAATAAACAGTCTGATAGTGAGTCAATAAAATCCAACAAACTTTAAAGATAAATAAAAACCTGTCTATAATATTAACTATCCAAAAAATTGTAGTATTTGTTCATTACTGAAGGAACAAAATTAGATCATGCACCAAAATGCGGAAAATGATTTAAATATAACTACAATCCTAGTTGAGTTAGCTGGACTCTAATATATTATATATCTAATAAAATATATTTTTAATTAAAACAAGAATTAGTTGTGACAAAACCTCAAGTATTTGCAAATTTGATTCAATTTCGAAAATTAAAACTACTTAGAAACTTGATCTGCAATTTTAAATATTTTTTCCTTCAGTTTGCAAATTTGATTATGTTGCACATTTGATGAAAGTTCGGCCTAGAGATGACCCAACAAACTATAGAAATGACGCAGGCGTGCGATTAACAAGAAAATTCCTTTCCGGGCTGGTACGGTAGTCATCCGGACTGATGTTGGTGACAAATCGCCGCCTCACCTCTGGCGTTGCGTCGTCGCTCGCGTTATCTCATGGGAGAGGCGCAGGATAAGGTGTCCGAGATAAGGTCACTCTCGCTCATTTTGTCTTGCTCATCTCGATCTCGAAGCAGCAGCACCGAATTCGTCTGACATGGGCAGGGTGGGGCCGCTGCTTAGGTTGGCCGTTGTGGCCGCCCTGTGTGCAACTTTGGCCGCCGACAACATTGACGAGGACCCGAATCAGGAGGTTGAGATTATTGGCACCGATGTGACCATCGACAGGGGCAATGGTGTCCCCGTGGAGGAGGGCATCAACCTCCAGGGACAAGTGAACTACGACTACAGCAATTATGGTAAAAAGAAGATCTAATTTTATAATATAAGTTAAAATTTATGAAATGTTAAACATAATCTTTTAATGCACACATCTATTTTTTTGTTAATTAAAAATGAAATTTCGCTGAAAAAAGGTTTCAATTAATATTAAAAAAGAGACGAAAAAATTAAAATTTAAATTAGCATTCCTCTTAAAATGAAGGCTAGCCTTTAGCAAAAGAAATTTAGGTCAATGCAATTTTAAAAACTATGCTGGTCTGCGGATTTTATTTTTTAATTGAGTATTTCAAAACTGAAATGAGTTTGATCACTTGAATTTTGTAATAAATTTAAAAAGAAAGATAATCTAGATATTTGGGCATTTATTTTTGACACAAATCGGCGCAACCATTTTGATTAATCGAGAATTTCGAGCGGTGAGCAAGCGCCGAGACGAATTCATATTTCACACAGCGATGCGGTGTTCATCATCATGAGCACGTCATCATGATTGAGATATCGCGGCATTATCTCAGGCAATAGGGATAGATTATCTAGGCACGGTGTGTGTTTTTCATCACGGCTAAGTAAACAAGAGCGCGCCGAGTTAGTTACATTTATCTCGCGCACGCATCTTTTTCTCTCTTCTGAGCTGCAAGCCAAAAACGAGCCACACAGCAGACTCCACCTGCTCTAAAATAATGAAATGTGTCAACCTGAAAGATAAAATACATATTTACGCTTGTGTACTATACACTTCTTTCATAAAGGAAAATTTCACGCCCATCTGAATTAACGCCACATTTTATTTTTTAATTAAGAAGAAATTGCACTGACGAATTTTTTTTAACGAGGGCAAATTTGTAGATTTGCATATTTGCAGAAAATTGCCAATATGTCACTTATTATTGAATTTATTTCAAAATCGCTCCCAAATAGAGCAAGGATCATGGATTGCGATTGATTGTAGTTTTTAATCAAATAATTAAATGATGAAAATCAAACAATGAAAACACCAATGTCTTCTCGGATTTTTTTCCTAATACGCAATGGTTTATTCGGCGCATATTTTTAGGTTGAATAAGAAAGGCTTTTTAGTTTACGCATTACAAAAGTAATCAAAAATGATTACATTTTTGACGATATTTAATTTTAATTTTACGAAATATGGTTGACTGACAAGCAATATTAATCTATAATAATAATTTAAATATATACGAAAGTTTAGATGAAACTTAAAGAAGAATTATAATAAGTCTTAAATACACTAAAAATTAAAGAAAAATATTAAATCTTTAAGAGTTTTGCATATTTTACACCAGAAAATGAAAACTTTGCAAAGATTGCAAGAATGAATTAAAAAAAAACCATCCCTCAAGTCCAAAAATTATTCATTTTGTATAGAAATTGAAACAAATTTTTTAAATAATTAATTACACCCTGCTAGACTCTCTGAAAAGCAGAGTGGCGCCGCCGGACCCTCACAACTCAGGCGGAGTTCCATTCAGGATAACGGAACAAAGGTTGAAGGAAATCAGGTCACAGTTCATGTACTGGTACTTTGACCAGGGAGGCCCTGAGAACAGAGGCGATTACCAGAAGGACATCCACTCTTCCACGCCACAGATTCACAAAAATTTCAACTTCCAACTTCCCTTCTTCGGATTCCGTTTCAACTACACAAGAGTAAATATTTATAGTTTAAATAAAATTCATTAAATAACAAATAAAATTCTAATTGAAACAAATTCAGCTTTCAATGCATGGCTATCTGGAGTTCAGCGACCCTCCTGAGCACTACACCTACCCATTGACATTCCCAGTGAAAGAGTGGCCGAAGAAAGCCGATCCGTCCTTTATTGGAATTTTTTACAGCAAGTGCCGAATCGGCTCGATTCACCCAACTGACATCGATCAGCGCTCGCCCGGCGTTTACTTCCGCCTCGAAAGAGATTTGCAGACGAGGACTGACCAGTTTGGCGTTGAGATGAGGGAGCGCCTCATGTGGGACATTCGCGAGGGTGTGGTCGGCTCGGACACTTTCATCCCCAAGCATGCTGTCATCGTGACGTGGAAGAACATGAGTTTTGCAGGCGGCATTGACAACTCTCTTTACAAGGTTTGAAATTTTAATTTAATTAAAGTGGTGAGAACATTTAAAAAAAAATAATACTAATAATTCCCATAATGAAGCAAAAAATCATCACTTAATTGATAATTTTTACCTACCTTTATCCATAATTACGTTTTCCACATGTTTTATAATACATATACTTTTTTATCACCTATTTTTAATTTCAAAATCGAAAAATTTAAATACACTGTACCCTATCAAATATGGTATAAAAAATTCACCTCAAAATGTAAATTAAAGTGAAATTATTTAACAAAATTTTCGCTAAAAAAACCTCCCACTTTCTAACTGAGCCTTATTTATATCTTGGGTTTTATTATTTGAAATGATATTTAAATAGACCAACACTTTCCAAATGGTTTTGGCCACTGACGAGGTTTACACATACGCTATTTTCAATTACGCCGAGCTGCAATGGACGACGCATACTGAGGCTGGAGGTGATACCACGGGAGGAGAGGGTGGAACTCCGGCTTTTGTAAGAAAACATTTTTCTTTCTAAAATCTTGTATTATTTTTCAAATTTTTAAGGTTGGCTTTAACGCTGGAAACGGAACCCAGAGCTATGAATACCACCCTTATTCACAAGCGTCAACCTTGAGAGATTTGTCCGGCCGAGGCTGGGCGAATAATTTCCCAGGGCGGCACATTTTCCGACTTGACGAGAAAATCATGCTTGGCACGTGTAACAAAGATATCGGTGAGTGGATAAATATTATCATTATTTTTCGCTTACATATTTTTTTTCATTTTTGATTCTAAATAACCATTATTTTTTTAATGTTCATATCTTATGGCCAAGAAAAGACAATTTTAATTTTTATCTTTTTCTCTTCAAGAGATCATCAATTAATGTTGAATGTTAAAATTACTTTTAGCCGGAGCAAACTTGCCGTTGGTGTTTGCACCTGAGAGCGGCAACATGTTAGGCGGCACGATTGTCAACATCACCGGTCCCTGTTTCGAGGAGCACGAAAAAATCATCTGCAGATTCGACACGGAAGACGTGGTCGGCGTCTACGTGGACAGAAATAGGGCGATTTGCGTGCAGCCTTTTGTCATGGCAGAAGGCTACGTGAGATTTGAGGTGGCCATTGGAGATAACAAGTTTAACTGGAAGGGGAAATATTTCGTTGGTAATTTTACAAATCGGTTAGAATTTTACAAAAAAGGTGCGAAATTAAATCATTTTTCTGCAGAAACCCCTGCCACCGCGACCGAAAAGATCTCTTTCGCCACCAACGCCGTGCACGAGAAGAGCCCGTCCAAAGTTAAAATCACCTGGAATGCGTATAACTTGACCTCCAACATGCAAGCGAACGTGCAAATTTCACTTTGGGGCTACAAGGAAACCACCATTAGACCAGAGCTGCTCTACATTACCAGGCTTGTCTCCGTGAGTAAAAAAACAAAGAAAATTCAAGGATCTTAAAAATAAAAAATTAAATGATCTCTGCGAAATTTAAAAAAAAATGTAACTAAGATTAAAATGTTCTTGTAATTTATAATTTATACTTTTTCACATAAAAAAGATGGTGACGTTTAAAAAGCTTGAAAGTTTTTTTTATAAAAGCAGAACTTTTTTGAAAGAACAAAAAGCAAAAACCAAATTTTAACATGTCTTCACGTTTGGTTTTATAAAATTCTCTTGATAATTTTTATTTCCAGTCCGTCACAAACCAAGGCTTTTATGAACTTACGCCTGCTTCCTACAAAGATTTCAACGACTTCATGGTCAACGATCTGAAATTCGGCTTCATTCAGATCAATTTGACTGATCCCATGACATACGGTGAAATGCCAGTAAATCCGTAAGTATTAATTATTACATAAACAACTTTTGTGATGAACAAAATTTATAATTATAGGGTCCTCTGGAGTAAACCGATTCCGCTGGCGTGGTACTTCTGGCCGCAGTGGGAGCGCGAGTACGGCCCTAAGTGGGCTGAAAAACAATGCGACACTTGGACCATGAACGATCGCTACCTGAAGAACTTTGCCGCTGAAATTCCGCTCTGCCCATGCACCCTGGAGCACGCCCTGGCCGACAAAGGTCGCTTCCTGCCCGACTTTGACTGCGACAAGGACGCCAATCCCAACTGCTTTTATCACAAGGGCGCCATCCATTGCGTGAGGACAGGGGCACCAAGGTAATTATTTTAAATTTCTATTAAAATTATAATAATGGTTTTTTCGAGTAAAACATTAGACGCTTTTTCTCTTTCAAATCCATTCTTTTAAAATATTTTGTAATTTAAACTTGGTAAATTTTTGTACTTATTTTTATTTGGTGGATTTTTGCTTTCCTTGCTGGGTGGTTTTATGTAAAAATAAATAATAGTTTTCGTCAATTTTATATTTTATCATTATTTTCTTCTTAATTTAAATTGCTATAGCGTGGTTATTTGATGAACTCAACATTTAAAAGCAGCATTCAAAACGATCAAATAGAATATTGCATTCTTATTAAAAAACTGATATTGTTATACATTTTTTTAGTTTGGAGGGATCAGAACAACAGTGTTGCTACGACAAGAACAACTACTTGATGCTTACGTACGACCAGCAGTGGGGCTCTCGACCTCACAGGTCACACAACCTTGGTTTCCTGCCCTGGAACGAGGCCAACAAAGTTCCGACCCTTTCGCACTGGTTCCACGACATGATTCCGTTCTACTCGTGCTGCCTCTGGCAAAGTGAGCAGTCGGTCGGGTGCGAGACCTACAGGTTCGAAAGACGACCTACGCAGGACTGCGTGGCCTACCAGGCGCCATCAGTTGGTCAGTTTCATTTTTCCATTTAAAGTCTACATTCAGAACATAAAAAAAAACGTTTTTTACCCTTATACATAAATTTAAAGTGAACGGATAAATCTAATTTTTTTTCTTGGCATCTCATTTAATTCCAAAAATCTCCAAACTACTTTGGATTTGCACTTCTTTTCACATATTTTTCATTAGACAAAAAGGAAAAAAATGATAAAAAAAAAATGTTATTAGCGAATTAAAAAATAAGGGGTTATTTTTAAGATGCAAAAAACAGATTATTTGGTCATTTTGTTCATAGTTCTTTGAATACAAAGTCAATTAAAATCTGATTTAAAATTGCAGCCGCTGTTTTCGGTGACCCGCACATCGTGACCTTTGATGACCTGGAGTACACCTTCAACGGCAAAGGCGAGTTCGTCTTGGTGCACGCCGATTCCGAGCGACAGAAATTGGACGTCCAAGGGCGTTTCGAGCAGATGCCTGAAAACTTTTACGGAGAAGTCAAGGCGACTCAGCTGACTTCCATTGTTGGTCAGTATGAAAAATTCAACAATCGGAAAGTAAATAAAAAAATATGAATTCAGCTAGGGACAACAGCTCAGCGACGATCGAGGTGCGGATGAGGCCCCCACAGGCCCAATGGCGCTACCGAATGGACGTTTTTGCCGACGGCAAGCGAGTTTATTTTGACAGATCGTCGTTGAAAATCCAGCACTTCCCTGGTAATATCAATACAAATATGCTTTACTTTTACTGAAATGCAATTCAGGAGTCACTGTCTACACGCCAACGTACATTTTGAACCAATCCGAAGTGGTGATCATGTTCCAATCCGGTGCCGGCGTTGAGGTCGTGGAAAATCAAGGCTACATGACTGGCAGAGTTTACCTTCCGTGGGGTTTTATGGTTTGTATTTTGGCAATTTCAATTCAGTTAATGAAAATAATATTTTCTTATTAGAACCAAACACGAGGGCTTTTTGGAAATTGGAGTTTCGACATAATCGACGAATTCACATTACCAGATGGAAGCGTAAGTGGAGCGACTCAAATCAATAACAACGAGGCCATTCACAGAGACTTTGGATTACGATGTAAAAAAATAGAATTCAAACAAATTTATATAATAATTAATAAATCAACATAATATGATTTTAGGGTTACTAGAGGACAAAGAAGATAGTGAAAAAGGCGGGTCCTTATTTGTGCACGAATATACAAGGACGTCAAGTTATTATGCAAATCGGACGTTTGATCCTGAATATCGAATAAGACCGGAGGATATTCTACCGGCGAATAGGTATTATCGTTATAATGAGAGGAAAATAAATGATAAATGGAAATTTGAAATCAGATCGCATGACATAGACAAAGCGCACGAGTTGTGCGGCGACTCGTATCAGTGCAAATACGACTACGCCATGACGCTGAACCGAGACATGGCACTCATTGGAAAGAATTTCCACGATTCTTTTGCAAACATCAAAGCGGAAAATTTAAGACCAGGTAATTAATTCTTTAAAAATTAAGAGAACTAAATTTTAACTGTAGATATAAAGATCCATAGAATTATTAAAGAATATTATTAATGGAAAATTATAAATTCAACTTAATTTTAAATTAAGCAATAACCATGGAGATTCGAAAATTTTAAACCATTACATTGCGAAATTTTACTGTTATAAAAAATTTATTTTCACTTGTTTTTAATATTTTGATAAAAAATTGTTTATTAAATTCTTATTTCATAATCCTATAAAACATATTCAACCATATACAATATATTTTTTTTTTGTAAAATCACACTAACTTGAACTATCTCAATCAGTAATTTCGTGCGGCGTCTTGGAAACTCCTCGCTTCGGCCGCAAGAGTAACTTTTTCTTCATACCCGGCACCAAAGTGACCTTCGAGTGTGACCAGGACTTTGTGCTCATCGGTGACCAAAGGAGGCAATGCACACCATCCGGACAGTGGGACACGCCTGTGTACGGCTACACAGAATGCCTCCGTAAGTTAAAATTTCACATAAACAATTAACCAGGGATTTTAGCTAAAGCATTTTTTTGGTTTTCCAAAAAAAGCCGCTTTAACTTTAAACCTGGGGACTTTTCATGAGTTTAGGACACGTCGAGTACGAATCGCGGCAGGCGTGGACAACCATAGGCATCATCCTGGGCGTGATGCTGCCCATCCTCATCATCCTGGCCGGCGTCTGGTTGGCGTCGCAGCGAAAGAACAAACAGAGAAGACGCGGAATCACTTCTTGGAATTTCATCAGAGGCCGAAATGACGAGTCGTCGCCGGAAACGCCCTTGAAAGGTCGAAGCGAGTTTGCAGAGGAGGTGGACAGCGGTTTCGCACCGCCGAGCAGCACCAACAGTCCCTCGGCAAACACGGACACCCTTTCGCCCCCTGCGAGCACACCCTCGCCAAAGGTGAACGACGCCGCCTCCTCTTCCCCGCCAACCAGCACCCTGAGCAGCAGGGGCAGCAAATCGAGACGGTCCTACGACAAGGTGTACCGGACAAAAGAACCTCTTCCCGGCAAGCCCATGATCGAGTTCGAGAACAAAGTTTGGGACTTGGACGAGGAGACGGACGCGAGTGCGAGTTGGTCGCCGTCGCCCAAGAACAGCGACGCGGCCAGCACGATCCGCAGCTCGATCCTCAGCACGCCCATGCAGTCGCCTCGCGCCAGCCAAGTACCGCAACCTTTACCTCAACCCTCCACCTCGACCTACGCACCCGTCTACAACGAACCGATCACGCCGACAGCACCCACCGCCACGGCACCGAAACCAAAGAAACAAACTCTCGTTTGACGCGCACAAAAGAGGAATTTAAAATTTCTGCACGGACTGCCAGTTTTTAATTTTTTACTTAATTTTATAGTTATTAGTTTCATACTTTAGGGTGGAATGAGTGTATGATGTGGCCTAGTGCAAAATATGACTTGCAACAATGGCAGTAAAATAGCTCAGACTTGCTTAAATATTTGACTAAAAATTCTCCAGGCTTAAAAATTGTAAAAAAAATATATAAATTTTTCCCTAGGTGTGAAATGTAAAAAAAAATGAAAACAGTGTTAACTATAATTCAGGAGAAAAGTAAAAACCGATGATCTGGGTAGCCACCCTTAACATTTTGTATTGTAGAATTATTTGTATCAACGTTTTGAAACCACGCTCATTCTACTTATATTTAGTCAAGCCATCAAGATTGTTTTCCTGATAGAAAATTTTTGTACCTTTTTCGAGTTTCATACAAATAAACCACTGTCTAAGTTACACTTTAAAACTCGGCGTCTCGGAGTGGAGCAAATTTCTATTCCACACTTTTGTGCGCGTCCAACCGGTGGATAATAACTGTCATGCCGCTTGGCTTCTTTCTGCCATTGCAAAACCCTCTGCTTGGTGTGTGGAATGGAAATTTTTCCAGCTCTTGAAATTTTAACAATGGAAATATTTCCATTCACACCCCTTTTCATGCTTTCAGTTACTAAAAATCCATAAATTTAAATTTTTTTTAAATTATACTTAAAAAAAAAATGAACAAGTGCTTTCACTTGGTTCAGAAAAATGAGAGGAAATCTGCACAGGTCACCAGGAATACGAGTCGCGACAGGCGGGTATCACTTTCGGCATCATCCTCGCCGTGATGGTGCCCTTGATGCTGGTCATTTTGTTTGTCATCTACAAGTGGCTGCGAGGACGGGCCCAAGACGACGACAGTCCTCCTCCTGAGCGTTCTTACAGGTAAAAATCTCAAAATAAATATTATATACGTTATAAATTAATAAAAACAGGGGTAGGAATCCTCTTGAAATGACTCTGGTGAAGAACACCAGGACCTACGAGGTCGAGGAAGCGGAGAGGACGGCCCTGCGTCAAAACGAACCAGCCGCCACTGAAATCAATTGATTGATTTCCAGTCCACAACTTAATACTAAGAGCATTTTACGCTGAATAAGCCTCCGGAAGGTTTTCATTTTCAACATCTCTCATGCTTTGTATTTAATATATAATAATAATATTAATATTTTTTGTTTTAATTGTTGAAATTTTTGAAGTTGATTTTGTAAAATTTGTACTTATATTTAAGAGTTTGCTAAATTTTTGAACGTTTTGATTCGACTTGTATTTAATATAAATAAAAATAATTAAAATCCAAAAAGGGCAGTTTTGTGTTAGAATAGACTGGTGACTGGAGTATAAAAATCGCGTGGATTACGTTTTAGAAATAAACTTAGAGACTCAATTAATTCCAAAATAAAATACGCAAGGTTTTAAGACATTGTAACGACTTCTCAACAATATTGCAGTTCACGCTATTTTTAATTTTGAAGGGCGTAAGAGAAACTCATTAAACTTTTGTCATTAAATATCCTTTGAAGAAGTTACAATGGAATTTTTTGTTTTGACTTTTCTGCAGCGACTATTTCAGATTAAATTCAAGCTTGAAAGATTTAAATTTTTGAGAAGAATAGATTTTGGCACTATTCTAGTGAAAAAAAATAAGGTACGTGTGTGTTTGTTTGTTCGCGTCGAGAGCAGCTAGGGATGTTTGTGTCATCCGGTGCTTGGAGGGCGTCCGGGAAATCAATGAAAAACGGCGTCGCTAGTTTTTCGCCCTCTCGATTTTTGCTGTCACGGCGCTGGGTTGAAATTAAAAGAAAAAGTCAACAAAGTGCGGCAGGAAAATGCCAGCCAGGGTCTTTGTAAATCAAATTAGCGACGATCCTCGGCACGAAAATAAACCCGCTCGCATTCTCTGGCTGCCGCGCCCTCGATATTTTCCACTTCCCCTTAGAGTTTCTTTTTTCTCGCAGCGCGTCGGACTCGGGCAATTAATAATTAGGAGCCGGCGAAGAAGTTTTGCGCGCTGACGTCTTGGGCACCTTTGAATATTTCATCGCCTTCAGGGAAATCAGGGTTGCCGGACAAATAGCCGAGCCGGTGCGGCAGTAATGAGCCGGAGCCTCCAATCTGCTGCAGAACAACAAAACAGCCGCAGCTCATCTACAATTCATGCGCGCGAGAGCCGGAGCGCAATTTCCAGAAATATTGCCCCACGTACCGCATCGATATTTTAATTGGCCCAAATTGGATTACCAACACGACGAAATTGCGCCGCTCAAACGAGCATAATAATTTTTCTTTATTGCTTTTTGCACCAGCGTTTCGCGAAATATAAAAGCCATCCATTGATTCCAATCTGACGTTTATTTGTGTTTACAGAATTTATTAAAAATTCAAAATAATTTCGCGTTTTTTTATGCGGTCGGCAAACGGATCGACTCTCGCGTGGTAAATTTCATTTGCAGTCGGACGAAAATAAAAAAGTCAACGCAAAAATGGCGCCGGCTATACGCCAGAATGATATGTGTGTAATTATGACATGGAAAAGCGGGTGGACGGACGGACGGGTGGGTGGGTGGGTTGCGCGCAAAAAAAAGGCCGGGGGAACGGAAAATGTATTCTCAATTATGTCTGGCTGGCTGAAATAGCTCGGGCATTGTAAACTAATTAAAAAACATCACACAGCAGCCCGATGGCCGTAAATAAATAATAAAAAAAGAAAAATACGCTCGGCCGGCGGCGAAAAATGAAAACGGCGCTCGGAAAAATTATGGCTCATGCAGAATAAAAAAGCGATGCACGTGTGTGAGTGTGGTGGTGTATATTATTATTTTTTGTCGAGTATACACAAGTCATTTATGCCTAACAAACACATTCATATGTCAGCCATTAACACGATTATTTTGTACATACACATTCAGCTGGGAAATCAAAAAATTCCGCTGCGCTTAAGGACTAGAAAATGCTGCTGGGAATCCGCACGGTCGCGCCGCTCTGTTTAGTTTTTTTTTACACAACAAGCACAATCTTGCGTGAGAAATTTTGCTATATTTACAAATCACGCACACAGACAAATTTCAGGTCTCCATTTGAAAATAAAATGTGGTAAAACAAAATAAAAGAATAAATTCTGAAGCTGAGTCTTGATTTTAAATTTAGGAAGGCGTCGTATATATTTTCAGACAAAGCTACCAAAGGGATTCTATTTTACCAGTTCAATCGGAGTAATTTTAAAGGTTATTGAAAATTTTTAATAATTGAATTTAAAATAATTACAGAAAATTCCGAAGCAAAGTAAAATAAATTATTATTAATTAAAAGTATTTTTGGATTTCTCATTAGGAAATAATTTTAATCAGCAGTAATACTGCTGGTACCTTCTTGGTAATAACGTAGCAAAAATATAAAAAAAAAGGTAAAGAAAAAGAAGTAAAACAAAAGGTTGGAGACCTGACCTGCTTTCCCAGAACGGCGGAAGTTCATCTTGCGACTAGTCGGCCTGACTAAAACATGGGAGTAGTTTTTCTCAAACTAACTATTGTATGTACAGGGCTGAAAAGCGGCCGCAGCTTCTCAGGTGGCCGGCAGTTCGAGGAGCAGCGCCTCGGCCAGCAGGGACGAGTCTCAGAAGAGGTGCGGCGCCTGAGCTTGAGGCTGCTTGTGGTGGAGGGGTGCGTGGTGCGGCGCAGAGTGGTGATGCTCGAGCACAAAGGCGGCCGCGGCCGCCGGGCCTGACGCTCCAAGCAAGGAGGAAAAGGGCCCCAGAAGGTGGTTTTGCTGCTGGTTGTGGCCCATGCCGCCCCCGGCGCCACCTGAACCAAGTTTGCCGCCGCACGAGCCACCTCCGAGGCCCCCGGATGGAGACCACTTGTTGTTGTTGTTGCTCACCTCGTCCATTTTGAGCACTAAAACAATTAAACATTCAGGAAATTATAATTATTCAGAATTTCAATTGAATATTAATTTTTTGTAATTAATTCAAAACACTTGATTTGTTCCATATTCCACTTTCTCGGTTTTATAATTCAATAAGAAATGATTTACTTTGCTAGAATATCAACGCATTTTAATCTCAGAAAAAGTTGATGCAACTTTTGTTATCCCTTTTTTATTGAAGCGAGTAGCAGAAATTGTTTGCAAAATTAGATTTGAAAATGTAAAAAATTTACTGTTTTGTTCTGAATCGCATGTTCAATGCAGTTTTAAAATTAGTGATTAAATTATTACTGCCTTTTTTTATACTAATTTATTGTATTAAAATTTCATTTAAAAATTTATTTGAAAACAATGTTTTTTGAAATCTGATTGAAAAAAACTTTGATCAATTCCAAAACATCCATAGAAATAAAATATTAAAAATTTTATCAAAAGAACAAAATGAATGAATAACGACTAACAAGATTCATTTTTCCATATTTTTCCTTTTGTTTGCATAATTTAGTATGTCCTGCGAGACAACGATGCAAATTTGACGAGATTCCCGCATGGAAATCAGTACGGCGGCACAAGTGTGAAACGCCGAGTAAATCAAGCTGGAACTCTCCGGAGGGCGGCGTTACATTCGAATTTATTATTTACAAGTGCATGATTTACGGACTGCGAGCCGTCTGGAGAGCATAATAATAGAGCGAGAGGCATTATTTGCCACTTGTCAGAGCGGCGGCGCTCAACTACTGTTCCCGCCGTTCCGATGGTTGCTGCGAGCAAGGGGCGCCTTCTCGATTGGATCCGCCGCCAAATTGAGTTATGACTTGGGCCTGCTCATGCATTTTTTAGCACATAGACACACGTGTGCTCTGGTCCACAACGAAACGGCAAAATTTGTGAGACCTCAAAAATGTCATTTTGGCCGAAATTACTAAATCCGGCCGTAATAAGTAAAAATAATTGCAGAATTTCCCAGGATAAATTTTTCTTTGAACTAGACAAAATTCATCGGAGGGACACATAATTTTCAACAATTGACTCTTTCGCTACAAGCCATCATGCAGAAAGTCACCATTCCCAGTGAAACGACAAAGTTGATGTAAAAAAAGTTATGGAGGGAACAGTTTAGAAAAGTTCATCCAATTCAGTTACAAACTATTTATTTTTTACCCCCATTTTAACGTTCAGATATGTTGAGCAATGTTCTCTTTTAGAGTTCCTAAAATTGATTTATTAGCAACAACACAATGATGTATTCAGAACTATAATGAATAAATGTCCAAATGTCATTTTGCACTTGAATTTTTTTAATTATTTAATTAATAAAATTAATTTAAAGCTGATTTAAAATCGGTAAAAATCTAAATCTGCAATAGTCGTGAAAAATTTAAAGGAGATGGAATAAAAAAAGATTGATATTTTCTTTTCATACTATTTCCAATAACGTGAGTGTTACTAGAAGGGACAAAGTTTCGCAGTGGAATGGGAAATGAATTTGTTTGTCTGGCGAGAGATATGTATGCTGATTGCAGGCACATTAAAAAGAGAGCGTTCCACAGAGCAGCAGTCTCCATATGTGAAGAAGTTGGAGAGCAGGCAGGGGTTCAGGGGTAGCGGAGAGCGAAAGAGAACAATGGTCTCTCTCGCATCCCTGCTGCTGTGCGCTGGTGCCCTGACGTTTAATCTAGAAAATTGCTGCATGCCGCTCGTTTGTTTCCATTACTGTCAACTCTTTAGGCCTGGCACAGCACAGCGCAGAGAGCGGGCGAGAGAGGCTGCAGCACCAGCGCCTCTGACGAAGACGAACTAGCTCGCAAGAATATGGAGCCCTAATTAAGCTAATAGAACGAGGGTGCAGCAAAATAAAGGGGAAAACACCCTCAAGACGCGCCAACCCAAACACCCGGCGCGCAAGAAAGCAAATCAAGAAATTTTCCCGTTCTCTATTTCCTCGCCGCCTTTTTTTATCTCTCTCATCCTTCTGCGTGAATTTTGACGCCAATCACACCAGGCACGAACGCTGTTGCTCGTTTATGGATGAAATAATTTGGCGAAAATTTAAGGGAAAAACAGGCTTGCTGAAAAATATTCTAAATCAAATAGATTTTTCGCGATTTTTCGTATAAAAAATTAAAACAATATGACTTGAATTTATTTTATAATTTCTAATTATTTTTATCAATTTTAATGTTATTTTGAAATTTTTTGTTTTTATTTTTGTGAGAGTAAAGAAAGGATTGAAAAAAAATAGGGATCACTTCCTATTTGCAACAAAAGATCAATGGAAGTGAAATTATTCATTTTTACATAAAAATCAATAAAAATAGAGAATTTAAAATTACTATAAGTCAAACTAATTAGCCAAGAGAGGCAAGAGATAATTAATTTTACTTGAGTCAGCTTTTTTGAATTATAAAAACTCTAATTTTTTAAACAAAAGAGTTCCCAAAATTTTTCACACCTTACAATTAGTCCATTTTCAAATGAATTTTTATTTTTAAACGAAAAAGTAGAAATAACCTTTGTTTCAATCAAAAAGCACCAGAAATTTTTATACACACCTCCATTATTGATTGGTTTGATGTCGACGGACTGGTTGTTGATGCCGCCACTGGGCTTGGAGCTTTCCTTTCCCTGCGACTTGGGCTCACTTTTGACCCCAGGCGTCGAACTCTGGCTCTGAGGACCGCCAACGTCACTGCCAGGCGTTGAAGCGCCGCCGTTGGCCCCGGAAGAGCCTTGATTGGCCTTTTGCTGCGCTAGCCGCTCCTGCTTCCGGAACTTGGCCCGTCGGTTTTGGAACCAAACCTGAAAATAAACAAACGAAATTTTCAATCAAATAGAATTAATATTTCAATGGGCGGTTTAATCGCACGGGGTGTTAATCCCCGTCAATCAAATCACGTGCGCGCCATTCAAAGCAGTCGACTGTTAAAAAGCTTTAATTGGGCGCAGTGGCGCGTCAAATCGGCGCTAATTAACAGCTCTGAGCCAATTAGCATGTCGCCCGCTTAGCAAGACGTCAGCACGGCACTCTTGGACCAAATATTGACCCTGCGCTGCCGGGCCGGTGTTTGCATTGCTTTGTGTCGGGCCCAGCCGGCCGTAACTGCACTTTGATCCAACGTGCATGTGTTTGAGGATTTGTGTGATGCACGTGTAAATAAACAAGCTCATGCATATGAACATCAAATATGTTTGCACCGGCCGGCTTAAAGCGGACCAAAACAGCGCCCCCTTCCGGCTGCCGCAGCATCTGTCACTGCCCAGGCCAATCGACACTTGCAATACCAAAGGCGATCAATTTTTTTTAGCGGAAAGCGGAAAAGTAGTTGAAAATAATTTGAATTATTTTATTCTACTTGTTGCAAAAAATTTATTATTAACTTAGAGAGAATTTTTATTTTATTTTTTACCATTGCAAAAAAGTATGCGTGTACTTCTGAAGATGAAACCTTTCACAGGATACAATAATTATAATAGAATAAAAAGCGAGGAAATATGTACTTATGTATATTAAAGACAAATTGTCGTCGCTACGAGAAATAGCATATATTATAATAAATAATTTAAGAATGGAATTTTATCAAAGCAACAGAAAATCAACATTCTTTTTATATCGTCTAATGGAGTTTGTATGTTTAAATATTTAAAAATAATCAATTTTCAGTAAAATTAAAAAATTACTATAAATAGCAGTCTATCAGATCAATACAGAATAGTCTCAAAGCAACCTTTAAATAAGAAACAGTAAACAAAACAAGGTATTATATTCTTTAAACAAATTTGATCATAATTCGGTGCAAATGTTCGAGCGCATCTGTTCAAAAACTGCCTTATTTAGGAGTTAAATGCAATACATTTGAAGAGCTATAAAATAAGTGAAATTGAAATTTCTTTTAAGAAAAATTTAATTATTTATCATGTTGGATAACTGTGCGACAGAAGTGATAAAAAAAGCTTTTGTGGTCAGACTTTTATTGGAAAATTTGAATTAAAATTCAATTCAATGGCAGCAGATTTTTTTCAGAAAATAGAACTTTGTATTATTGATTATGGTAGCTCCTCATTAATGGCATAATGGTGAAGACATCAGAAGAAGAAGAACTACTACGTGAGCAGGCTGATGGAATATGGCTATATTTTCTTTATCAAATCAAGAAGACGCTTTATAAAATAAATAAATTTAACTTGGGAACGTGACTCTTTTTATCTAATCAATACGATCCAAATTACCAATCAATCAATTTCCAATTGAGAATGAGTTATCCCCGTCATCAATCATTTATCCAACTTTTTCACAAACCCATTGCATTTCAATCCGTGACACTTTTTGAGAATTTAAAGACCCTTCTGTCGGATGAGCTCATCGTTTTTGTGCATGTTTGATTAAAAGTCGCGACATATGACACAATGACGTAGGCATATAACAAAAGTAAATCGCTTGTAATACAAAGTGTGAAACATCTGCGATTACATCAGCTCAATAAAACGCTATAAAGCAAGGTGGATGCGGATGAAAAAAATAAAATGAGCGCGAGGGTGCGAAAGGCACCGCGGCGAGTTGTGAGCTGGCGTGTAAATGATTTGATATTCATTGAGCCGGGAGGGAGGGGGTGCGGGCAGGCTTTGTGGACGCACCAGCAGACACAACTTAATAGATTTAGAGGAGAGAGAGGATAAATAATAAGCAGTAGCTGGGGGTGTCACAATAAATATACATATAAGAGAGTAGCGCCGCGGCCGCCGCGTTTATGTACATCTGGGATTACAAAGTGTAAATACAGTTTTATCAAATAGTCTGGTGTAAAAGACGCGAGCTTGTTATTCACTTGCCACGGGGGAAATGACGAACAAGCGAGGGAGTTAATTGACTAAGCATGAAGTGTACACAAGTGAAATATCAAAAACTCTCCACTTTGAATCTAGATCAAATATGGTAGAGAAATTTTATCAATTCTTCTAAAATAGCTCACACAGAAAAACTTCAAAGAAAATTTTTGTCAAGTTTAAATAAATTCAAGACCTCCATATTTTCAATGTTCGTTTTTTTTCTTTTCATATTATTATCATATTATATAAAAATCGCAGTTTTAACCAGACCGAAAAGCGTAGCATTAATTTTAAGCACAAAAGTCCAATTAAGAATCACAATATATTAAATTATCTTATCATTTTTTTTACATCCTATACAGCTTCAAATAAATAAATATGTTACTATTAATTAAAATTAGATAAGTTTCCTCAATAAACTGCTGTAAAGTTGTTTAATATAATTTAATTTTGCCAACTTCTAAAATTTTTATGTGATTTTTAAAGTTTTAACACTTCACATTTTTTTAGATTGAAAAATATTTCACAACGATGAAGATTGAAACTTTCTGGATAATGGAAAGAGTTCAGCTTTTGTATTGGAATCCAAGTCACGCTCTCTAGCCGATAGTCTGCCGCCGGAATTTACTTAATAATTTTCCGCACGCGCTCTTGTTTAAATAAATATTTTCGCAAGTAGCGTAAAAAAGCTCAGCTATTTGCGTTGGGCGCGTGTTTGCTTTTTCCGACGGGGCCGCTTTTGCTTTCACAGATAGATGAAGGAGCAGGGGGTGCGGCGGAGGGTTAATCCGCAAGACAAACAGTGACATGCGGCTCGACAAAATGAACCAGCAACAACAATTCCGCTCTCCAATTGATTGAGTCAACACGCCAAAGAGGAACGGAATGGAACCGACGAGTACATAAATAAGAGCGCAGCACTCGCAGCATTAAGATATTCACCATAGCGGGCTTAATGATGTGCATCTCTCTCTCTCCCGCGCGTCTCGCCTTCTGTCGACTCGTAAAAATCTCTCGGCTGATCACCGCCCTTTGACTCAGCATCAATTCGTTATTTATCGCCGGCTATAATTGAGTTATCTGCCAGTCAGGTGCCGCTCCGTTCATTACCCTTAATGGAAAGTTTCATCCTCAATGGCCTCGTTTGCTGCGCGTGCAACAAAGAATAAGGGTCGATTTAATAAATTATTCGGTGGTGATGAGGCGCTTTCTAATAAAATTTTCATTTTTTACCAAAAGGCTCGGTCATTTTCTACCGTCAGGTAAAAAAAATCAACACTGAAAAAATGGTTTTTGTAAAGTATTTTCAATTCATTTTATTTTATATAATCATTAAATTACTTATGAAGTTCAAAAGGAAAAAAATCGATAAATTTTACATCGCATCCATGTGATTATTAAACAATTTAAATAATCAAGTAAGAAGTATTTTTACCATACGAAAAAAATAATGAACTAAAATTTTGAAGCGAAATGTTACCTACTTGGTAAAATTTATAAAAAAAAAACGATTAGAAAGTTTTCAGTTTGAAAATTTAATTTGCCATTTATTATTTTCAAGACAAATTTAAATGCCAAAATTTCAGCTATATATGTATATTTCTATATCAAGTTTTGAAAGAAAATTGCAAGTTAAGAGTAAGTTAATCTTCTTCGCTGTAATTTAAACGGCACTTTAACATGCACATGATGAACTTCAGTGCAATTTAAAATGGTTATTATAAAATTAGAAATTACAACGTGTCTTGCGCATGGTACGATCGCCATAAATTTCTCTGCAACCTCTGAATGAACAGAACATTCATCTGCCTCTCTCGAAAGCAATAAAACGGGCCGAAGGCATAAATAAAAGAGCATGACAAAGAGTCGGAGAGAGATTTGAACTGTCGAACTCGCTGCATTCTCTTAATGGCTCCTAAATAAAGGCAAGTGCGTGTCGCGCCACACTCGAACAAAGCAAACGACTTTTGCATTTGATATTCATTCGATGATTATTGCCGGTGCAGCGTCAGAGCAAGGCAGATGGGCAGGCTGTTCCGCAGGGTGGCCACCAGTGCGCGCGCCACCCCTTTTTCACGCCGTGATTAATAGCACGATCCGCGCAACCACAAGAGAGTCATTCAATCCAAAGCTCTCTCTACTTGACCTAGCCGACTGATAATCGGGCAAATTGAATTTTTCCAGTCCCTCAAGTGGCGGAGAGAGCAGCTGCCATTGTCCGGCGCTATCGCATGCCCCTCCGAGAGATGCAAACTTTGATCTCCAAGCATATTGCTTGCTCTAATTAAAAATAATAATGCATCAACAACAGGGATTAAATAATAAAAATAAAAAAAATCATTAAAAACGATAGCTCAATTTGAGAAGCAATAAATGCAACAACTTTTTTCCAAAAAGGTTTTTTTAGGCTAGGCTATAATTTTATTTTTTTAAATGGGGGGTTGGGGTGATGAAAATTTATTTCCATTTTTTGTATGAATCTAAGAAATAATGCTATTTTTTTTAATTCCCACGAGAATGAAATTTTTAAAAATTGAGCCGTTAAAGTTTGATCAAAGAGCTCTGTTACAAAAAAAAAGTTATTCCTCTCCAAAAGATGAAAAAAAGAGTCTTAAAAATCACTCAGGCCGATTATTAATCAAGAATTTTATTTATTTTACTCTCAATTCTCACTTTTGTATGTATACTTATGTAAAGGTTTATGTTTTTTTAAAAATTATTTTGACATTTTTGCAGTTTATAATTATTATTTTATATTTAAATTTATAATAAATATCACCCAGTTCCATTTTTTTTTTTACTCAAAATTGGAATTATCAGCAGTCAAGCGAGTGACGCGATTTGTAATATCAGGTCCTTCTCAGTTCCATTCTCGCCGGCGCGCAATAAATCATGAGCTCTCTCATTGAAGGATGAGCTGCTGTCAAAGTGCACACAGCCTGACATTATCGGCTTCTGATGGCACCAATCCATCCAAACACCAGGGAGAGCAGCGAGCTTCTCTCAGCGTGTGCATTATTTGTGCGGCCGGGAGTAGATTTGATCGCACGGACGAACGGGGAGGCGAGAATCCTCTCAAGCAGCGTTCCCGTAATTAGATTTCAAAGTGAATGGCCCGAGAACGCACTTCAATTTGACACGACTGTCCGCGCAGAAGATGCGAGGAAGTTTTTTTTTTATCACAGAGGTTGGGATGAAAATAATTTATTGGAGGCCAAAAATATAAGAATTGAAACATAAAATAAATGGGCTTAATTAATTAAGTACTTCAATTCAAGCTACCAAATTATACAAAAACTTAAATATTAATGAAATAAAATTTTCAAAGAACGGAACTTCTCGTCATTTGCTTATATTCAAATATGGAAACCGGCAATTCCCTTGATACAATTTCTATTCCCATGATTTAAAATTAAAACTATAAATAATTTTCCAAAGCATAATTCCAACTTTTGGCTCGGTTAAAACTCAATTTCACAGAATAATTTTTTTTAATAAATTCCTCAAATTGCCAACTTTTTGCCGGAACATATATTTGAAATTGTTATCTCTTACTTTGATTATATTTTAATTACTAATTTACATTCAAAATATTTTGAATGAGGTGTAATTTTGAGTGACGATTCCTTTGTAGCTATCAACAAAAATTAAGATTTCAGAACGTTTTTCGCGCACGCTCAATTGCTGCGCCGTAAAACAAGAGCGTTCTCCCCCCATAATTGAAGGTCGTTTTGTCCACTGTGGCGGGGGCGGCGTTAAAGGCGGGCGGTGCGGCGGTCGGTGGGGCCACAGGGATTTTAAATCTTTGAATACAGCGGCATTAGCAGGCGAGTTTACGGTCCCTGCTCGATCCGGGTGGACACGCGGTCGTAGGGTGCGACTCTTTACGAGCAGCGCCGGTTGCATACCTGGCCCTGGGCTCATGCATTCGCAATGTGCCAACGAGGCCGCATCAAAAATTTAGCCGCCAGCCGCATGAATGATGACTTTGGCAGCGTTTCCGTTGTTTTATTTCCGCGCCGCCGTTCCACTCCACCATTGCCCTTTTTGTTTTCCTCGAGTTGTGCTGATGCTGGGGAATCCCACAACTGGACGAATTTTTAATTTGGAACATTAAGTTCTTTAGTAAATATATCCATAAAATGCAGATGTTAGAAGAAAAAATAAAAATAATTCAATAATCTTGTTAAAATTTAAAATACACCGACTTTTAAAATGTTTAGAACATTTAATTTTTATGTAATATTTAATATTATATCAATAATTTAAATCCTTTTTTTTCGTTTCATAATTATTTTTAAAAAAAATTTATTTATTTGTTAATGTATACATATAAAAACTCTATCATAATATCAGTAATCCCATCATTAAAAAATAAAAATATAACTCATCAAAAAAAGAATAAAATATGTCCATGCAAAGGATTATTCAAAGTTGATGAACTATAGTGAATTTTAATAGTGAGTTTAGTGCTACTTCTTCAATTTAATTGTTTTAATTATACTTTAAAGTAACTTGAAAGAATAATAACTCTAATTTTGGATCTCATGTCAGCAAGAGATTTATTCTTGAGTTCTGATATTTTTATTTCCTTTAGCTGTATGCAAAGCCATTTCATTTAAAAACATTCATCTTTTCCCAGAAATCCAATTTCAATATTTTATATTTTCACGAGTAATAATTAATGAACAAGCATAAATAAATAAACTTGACTGGATTAAATAATATATTTTTGTTGAATAATTTTTCGATACGTGGATAAACAAAAGTGTCAAGTTTTGGTTTCCCCTTTTGCTGGCAGGGCGTTTGGCTCGATTTTCTGCGCTGCGCTGCACTTTCTTTCTCTCTTTCTTTCTTTGGTTCACTCACTTTTAATCACCTTAAGTGCTTGCAGATGTACAGCCAGCCAGCCGGATGAGCAGACGGGCCCGATTAAGTCCCGCAGCTCTTTTCTCTGCTCTCGGCTGCTTTCCCGAATTTTATCTGATGCTGTGGCACAATAACAATAAAAATCTATCTGCATGCTCTTCCCGACACAAAATAAGCCGGCGGGAGCGCCCATTATGACAATTGCAACATAAAGCCTCTCGAGTGCCGCATAAAAGGGATGCGCGCGGCAAGACCAAGATAATTGCGCGACAAAAGAGAGCGACGCGCTTCTCCACTTTTAATAAAGCCGAACGGCCCACCCGATAAACATTTCATAAGAGCGAACGGCATTTTGGGAATTGCTTTGTCCTCGACGCCGCACACACACACACTTTTATTTTTTTATCAACCGAGAGTGCGCCTCGTTTTTCTGCACGTCTCTCCTCCAGGCGAGGAAATTTTATGGCCTCCTAGGGCGGCAATTTAATAAATTGGCTAATCTTTCAAAAGGCACCGTAGATTTTCACTTAATTTTGCAAAAAGGGCTCTGCAGTGCACTTTAATATAACATAAGTCCCATTTCGTGACCAAAATTTTGTCCTGAATCTAAAATTTAGCATAAGGTGTTAATTGCAGCAATTTCTTGCAGCAAGTGGAATTTTAAAATTATCTTTTAAACGCGTTGGTTTGTAGAATTGGATATAAAACTATTAATTTTACTAAGAAAATCAAATTTATTAATTAATGAATAAATGAATCTGTGTTCCTTAAATTATGCTAGTTGAAATTGCATCATAAAAAGAATACAAAATGCACCATTTATTTTTGGTGAATTAAATTATTTGACTCGCATAATTTTCATTTACAAGTTTAGACAAAAATTTATAATTATTCTAATTGTCTAACGTAAGTAACTTTCATTCAATTAAAAAGAATTGCCTTCTACCATTCTGTGTTGTTAAAATAACTTGGTTAATTAGTATATTTTTTCATCAAATTCCCTAAATTGACTCAAAATGTAGCAATTTATAAAAAGCTGGAATAACATTTACAATTAATTATGTTTATAATAACTAATCCTCTCCTTTGTTAAATAAATTGAATAAAAAACATCCAATAGTGATTAAATAAATATTAAAAAAAGCCATTTTCCAGCAGGGAAAACAGTATGTGTTGACACAGCAGTTTATAAATCCTTATCACATGTGAAAAATCACACAGCAACACAACCATATCAAGTTTCCGACCAGAAAAGTTGAATATATGCTGATAAGATTTGACATTGGACACGGAGGAAGTAAGGGGTCTGCTTATTGAGGAAAGGCACGATAAAAGGCATCGTCACGTCGCTAATCCAATCGAGTACTTTTTCGGGCATTCGGCGAAAATTTCACGGCCGATTGAGACATCAAAGAAAACAAGGCTATCGGATGAAGTCGCGTGGCCGCGTGACGAAACTCGAGCCGGCGATTCCCACGCCGAATCGATTTGTCACCCCGTCTGCAGATTAAATAACGGGCGCGAGAGCCAAAATATAAATTCTGCCAGTGTCACAGCAGCATCCCCCGTCCCCATCACGATGGTAATGAGAGCGGGGGGAAATATGCGTGTATATACGCGCTGCACAACACCAAACAACAACTCGCCCGCGCAAACTTTGTTGTTTTGAATAATTAATCGCGAGCCAGCGGGAAACGACGCGCTGCTCCCTTTGCGGGCTTTTTCGGGGTCGCTGCCTCCCTTTTGCATCGCATGCGAAAGGGACACCGGAATAGGCTAACAAAATTAAGAATTTGTGTTCAATTTGAAAAAATATGGTAAATCTTTTGTAATGAAATTATCACCGAATTGTTTTTGTGCAATTGCAGAATTTTTTAAAATCTTATTTTGAACTAATTACATTTCAGTTACTTTCACTTTGGTAAAACTCGATTTTAAAATTAATTTTACTAATTGGAAATAAATTATCAAAATTTAAGAAGGTTTTTAAATTTTATTGATTCTATATTAAATTTATTATAGTAGCAAAATGCAAAAATATACAATGTATAATTTAATATACTTCAACAATGTATTTGTATACTTAAAATTTGGAAGTTAATTTTTTAATGTTATGGAAAAAAGAAATGAAAGTAAAGCCACAAAACAATTGAAAATTTAATCAGTTATTGAGCAAGGCATTTAAAATGGCAAATTATTCTACTTATTTCTTAATAATTTAGTATTACTACTTTCGTAATAATTAATAATTTAAATATAATGATCATAAAATTTAAAATATTATTTTCATTTTGGATAATATCCAAACAGAATTTGCGAGAATTTTTTACTTTACGCTCATATTTGACCATTCACGTTCATGTTACTGCATCTGGGTGAAAAACGCAATTGAAAAACTCTAAACACAGCATGCAGCGTCAATTAAGCCTTGGCAGGCGGGAGGGCGCTCGCATTTTTTTCTCTCTGCGCAAATTTACATTTCGGCTTTTGCAGTTCAAACAGAGGCCTCACTCTCCCCTGCTCTGCTGCTCATAAAAATTTTACATTCCATCGCCAAACAGCGCAGACCGACCAATCAATCCAACCCTGCAAAAAAGCCACTGCTCTTTTTCGTTTTTTGTTTGTCTGCTGCGTTTTGGAGTCAGCATATTAATCATTCGGCGCATTGTGCATTTTTAAATTTAAAAAAAAAAAATGGACTGACCTGGACTCTGGCCTCAGTCAAGTCGATTTTCATGGCGATTTCCTCCCTGGTGTAAATGTCAGGGTAGTGGGTCTCCTGAAAGGCGCGCTCCAGCTCCTTCAGCTGGGCAGAGGTGAAAGTGGTCCTGATCCGTCGCTGCTTCCGTTTCTCAGTCAAAACGCCTTCGTGGCCAGGGTACACTTTGTAGGGAAGGCCGGCTGTGGACAACAAATTGAGAGGTTTAATTTTCGTTTGAAAATATAGCACAAAATATATATAAGATACTATTTCAAGTCAGTTCTTGTTGATTTAGTCGGTTTAAAAATAAGACAATTGTAGCTCATAGTCAGAAGTGGAAAAATGAATCTTTGATAATAAACTATAATTTGTTAATAGAATTAAAATAGATGGTTTTGATCATAAATATTTATTAGAACGCCATTCATTTGTAGATCAATTAAGTCAACTAATTGAAATATTTTTAGATCACCAAGGAAAATTGTGGTCTAATAAGTCTTCGATGAATTTTCCGTTAATCTGGCTGAAATAAATTTAGAGCAAAATAATTACACATTTTTGTCAATTTTGCAACAAAATTAATAATCATTTTGTACCTTAAAATCAATTCATTTTTTGTTTGTATTCAATTTCATGGAGAGCTCATTATTTTGTCAATTAAAATTTTCTAATGATCTGATAATTTTGAATTACTTGTTCACAATTATTCAATAATACATTTAACAATTTTATTCAAGATTAAATTTTTTCACAGATTTCCCAAAAGTTTTACAAAACGAACTATTGTAATAGAACCATTATATTGCATTGAAGTGTTTTAATTTAGAATTATTTGTATATTTCTTCCTTGTTTATTTTACAATTCAATTTAGTGAGTTTGAGAGAAGTGGATTTTTGGACTTTTCGGTTTTTTGCAGCGACTCGTTTCAAAGTGACATGCGGCCGGTGGTGCGGAGCGACTTTCGCAAGGGATGGAGCAGCAGCCATTTTCTCTTTATTGATCGTGTAAGGGGATGTGAGTCACCTCACCCACTAATCACCATAAGACAACTCTCTACTTTCTCTCCTCCCTCATTCCTTGCCGACCGAGGCGCCCCGGCCGCTTCCCTGGCAATGGCCAATCTGTAAAACTTGCAGTTTTTTTCATTCAGTGCAGCGCGAACAGATGAAGGGAATGAAAGTCAAAAGGCGGAAGAGAATGTTGGCCGCATTAGGCGAAAAAAAAACATTTCGCCGCCGATCAAAAGTGGCAGGATGCGCTCGAGCGTGAGAATACGCGCGACGTTTAACCAAAAGCTAACCAACCCCAAAACCAGAAATGCGCGGCGAGCTGTGGAAAATACAAAGAGGGAAAAAATTCACAGTGACAATTGCTGGAAAAATAAAACTTGTTTTTTGGAGCAGCGATCCAGCTTTCCTTGCCATCTTTGCAAAAAGGAAAAAATTTATCTATTTTTTGCTCCAATTTTTTTTTAGAAGTTTGAAAATGTGATATCCAGGATTTTATTTAATAAGTATAAATAAAGGGGAAATCTGAATATGAATACAAATTCTTATGCTTTTTTCACATAATCATAACTAATGAAGTTTTAAATCTATTTATAAGTTTAAAATTAAAAATTAAATAACTTCCGATTTTAATGTTCTGAACTGCTTTGCAGATATAATCAAAATTTTCAAGCGAAATTCTATTTTGATTCTGTTTGATTCCTGATGACTATCGGATGGCTTAAAATAACAGTGGATTTTCCCATATGGGCGGACTTTCATAACCGCCAATTTAAGTTTAGAAGAAATAAAAAGGAAGCAGGAAATATGGTTCAATTTTGGAATTAAAATTTTCTGAGGAAAACCGCAGTTTTCTTTATCCAATTAAAATACTAGTTCTATGTTTTTTCTCCTAAAAACACTTAATTTTTAAATCAGAAAATAATTTTAAATTAAGAAATTAGCCGTTGACTTCAGGTAACATCATAGCTATCTTTATCGCAATACTGACACTTCTGAATTTGATAATTTTTAGGTATTAGTAAAGCAAAAAAATTTCGTATCTTTAATTTTAAGTCGCTTTTTGTGAGAGTATACATAATATTAAAAATATTATACAAATTTTCATAATTTTTGTATTTATTCTGTTAAAATTAATAAAAAACTGACACTTTCAACAATAATTCACATTTTTATTCACGTTTTATAAATTGCATGAAATTAATTCATGTAAAGTATTTCAATTTATAATTAACCAGTTTCATCTTTGCAGAGAAAAGCAGATTTGATTGTAAATTAATAAATTGAAAAAAGAAAAAAACTATTTTGAGTTGTTCGAGTGGAGGAGGCGGCGTTTTGGCGGCGATTGGCTGCTCGTTGGGGGTGCGCACCCTCTTGGAAAAAGCGCGGCGACGTTTGCGCGTTTGCCGGCGAGATTTCGCTCTGCTGCGTAGATTGGCAGTTCGCCGACATTCGCTTGAACCGTGCGAATTAGCACACGCCGATTAATTGCGCGACACGCACGGTTATGAATAAATTAATTAATTCATTAGGGTAATTGATCCGGCTCTGGTGACAAATGCGCGTCCGACTAATGATGCCGATTAGCAGGTGACGGCCCGTAAATTGCGCAAATCCTGTCAAAAGCCGACCCGACAGTTTAACAACAAGCGTCTCTTTAAAGTCAATGACTGCAGCAAAACCTATCTGAACGGTTGTCATTTCAATTCATTATTGTCTACAAAAGGCCTATATAGATATTTCAAATTTAAAAAATTGTGATCTTTAAACATTTCAACGTTTCCATTATTTTTCACGATTATTTTTATTTCGGAGAAATTTATGACAAAAAATTTAGGAAATTCTGGTAGTCAAAACTCTGAGAATGTAGGATTTATATCTGATTTTTTCATGTTTCATTTTGAAGTTTTTTTTTTACAAAATGAAGTTGATATTTTTGTTCAAATATTATTGCTGGTTGCTGGCAATATTTCATAAAATTTCCAAACTTCTTACAAAGGAATTATTAAGAAAAAAAATTGCATTTTTTATAATGACCAGAAGAATATAAAATATAAGAGGTTTACTTCAAACTTAAATTCTTTATATCTTGATAATAAGCGGTCATTATTATTAATGAATATTATCAATTAATTATGTTAAAATATATTAATTATTAATAATAAAAGTGTGAAAGTTTTTGTAAAAAATTACTATCCAGCGACTACGTATATAAAATTAAAATTCTTTTTTCACCAAAAATTTAAAAATATGGATTAAGTTGACTCTACATTTTAAAAAAAGCTTTCGAAAAAATATCTTTACTAGGATATGTTTGTATTTTAATGAATTTAATATTTCTTTCCACACTTTATACAATAAAATATAAATTTTTCCGGAGCAATGATATTTTTCATTTAAAAAATCTTCATTTTCTGACCTAAACTATAAAAAAACCTTTTCATTGTGCGCAGTCAAGTAGATTTTTCCATTACACTGCTTGACTGAGTGAGTTGTTTTCATTTCCAGCGTTTTGCTCTGATGGGCCTTATTCCAGGGGATCGAAACCATTTGGCTTGCTTTTGGTGGTCCGCCCGAAAGTTGGCCAATATGGGGGAAGATGCGCACTCATTTTTTTCTCTCTCCAACGCAAACAAAGGGAAAAGCCAGAGGGAAAAAAAACATATAAAAGTTGGGCCTGAATGACAAATGTGCTGAGTTGTCAGATTGAAATTTTGCCACATTTCACACTTCACGTCATGTAAGCGCGGTGCTCGGTCATCTTGGGGAGAAATATTACTTTTTGGGGTCGGTCTCGTTCGTTCTCTCCGAACAATTTTTCCACTCGGCACTCGCGCGTTTTATTGTTAGTTGTGCGGCAATAATGGAAAAACGAGCCGATGATAAACTTTGATAGTGGAATAAAGTGCTGCTGCAGACCCCACGCCGTCTGCACATCTGCTGATTATTGATTTGGAAAGTTTCTCTTATAGAACAAGAACTGCTCCATAAAAAAATTATCCGACTTCAAAAAGTTATAATTTGTTATTCAAAATTTATATTCTAACTAATTGCCGTTAAAAAATTGATTTTTCGAAGAATAAAAAAAGGACATTTAAAAAATCATTAGGCCAGTGCAAAAGTTAATAGATAAGATACCATAAAAAACCAACAAAGATTAATTTTTTTTTTGCAATAAAATTGTTACAATTTAACTTCCTTGTCAACGCATGGAACTTTCAAGCCCTTAGCAAAGTATGATGGTGAGTAAAATGAAATTTTAGGTGTGAAAATTCATGTCATTTTAAATTAAGATATGGTTATTTTGCCTATACAGTCAACTAAAAATCTTGCTCAGGAATGGTGCAAGCAAAAATTAATTTGACTGTCAAAAAACTTAAATTTTCGCCTTTTTTAACTCTCCGTATTCACCTTGTGGAGGTGAATGCGAAGAGTTATTTTTACGGTTGTCTTCGCCCTAAATGGAGCAGAAGGGATGTGAATGTAAAATAATGCAAATGCGCGTGCATGAGGCATGCGCTGGCTGCGTTGCTACGACGTTTTACTGTTTTATCTTGAGCGCGTGTTGCTCATGCAGAACAAGGAAGAAGAAAAGCAGGCGCGCAATTATTAATTCCAGACGTGTTTCCCGGCTTGTTTGACGCACAAGCCCTTTGCCTTAAATTGTGTATCTGATTGTGCAGACATTTCCGTTAATCCGAAGAAATAACTTTTTTAAACAAATCTATTTTGCAAAAAATGATAAGTCTTTACTATAATGTGTAAAGCAAGGCGTTGAAATTTTTGAAGAAAATAAGTGTATCCATTATAATAACGCAGGAAATATAACAAAATTATAGATTATGATTTCATTATTGCAATCCATATAGGAAGAAAAGAAGTCAAAATTTGTATCATCAGATTTACTTATTGCCAGATTGCATAATTAATTTTTTCTTGTTTATCTAGCCGAATTGACAAAATCTTGATATCAATGTAGCGGGAATTTTTCTAATTCGTGTTTATTTCCTTGAATTTTATCGTTTAACTTCAGTGTTCAAGGGGCCTTTGTGCCGACAAGATGCGGAAGTTAAGGCAGTGGCTTTCAGCTGCAATCATTTTGACCACGGCCTTTAGTGAGTATTTTTTTTTAATTCAAGCAAGAATTCAGTTCTTAACTTGCTATTTAAACATTTTATTGGATATCTAACAAAAAATAATATTTTTTTCAGTACTTTTAGAACAAAATAAGTTGAAGTTGAATGATAGAGTTAAATAAATTTTTCACAGGTGTCAATTTGGCTACTCCCGGCATTGACAAATTATCCAGCACTGAATCGTCATCTGCTGTTTCCCCGTTTCAAAAGGAAGTCTGCCATGAAAAGCTGAGTAAAGACCTCAAAGACGAATTTTCAAAGCTGCCCACATTTGATGGATTGTCGGAAAAATTCAATTCGGCTTTGACAACAAATCTAAGAGATGTAAATTTGCAACTGAATGCCTCTATTGCGAGCAACAGCGACTTATTTAGAACCATGAAAGAGGAACTGAAAAGAAGTTTCTCAAAAGAGGTTACAAATTTAAGCAATTCTTATTCTGATAGAACTAATAAGAACTTTGAGAACTTAAGTATCCAATTTGAGTCATGCAAATCTTTGGAGCGTAAAATCGAAGAAACCAATAAAAAAGTAGTAAATATGACGAAAAGCATCGGGGATTTAATCTTGATGACAAGTGAAACTGGCAAGAATCTTAAAGATTTGAATAATACCTGCAGTGTTATCTGCAAGCAAGAAGCAGAATCACAAAAACTAGAATTGGAAAAACTTCGGCCTGAAATTATTGAAATCCAAACAATGACTAAGAATCTCATCAATTACATTGTCATTCTTCAATCTAACGTGACTCAAATTCTTGCCGAAAAAGCATCAGACGATGAGAACGTCGATGATGAGAAAAAGACGGACATAGCAGAACTGATGACTAACTTGACCAGAGAGTTCATCAATGCCAGCGCACCAAACTTTGAAAAATTGGAAGCAAAGACAAAGGTAGTCGACCACGCATTTTGGTTTATGTTGATAGTAATTGCGAGTCAAGTTATTGTCATGGCGCTTCTGTTGTTGAACATTTTAAGAAAAGCACAAACCTTGAAAATCCAAACGGGAAATACTCAAAATCGGCCAAAGTCAAATGGTTTTAAAGATAGCGTAAAATACAAGGAAAACGACGACATTGAAGTGCAGAATGATATGTACGGTTACATGTAATCTTGTTATTACTAAACAAAGTCTGGAATATTTTCAAAAGACCCAATGAAATTTGAGAACTAAAAAAGCATGAATAGAGAATAAATAATTAACAAAACTCTTTTTGAGCTTTAAAATGTAAACTTATGTACTACATGAAAATAATATCTGTAATATTCTTATACATATTATGCAATAATTTAATCATTTAATGGAAAAATTTGTTACAATAAGTTTTACACAGTCAAGATTATTTAACTTTAACATTTTCTTGTCCTTTTAGTTTGGCTTTCGTCATATAATTTTGTATTTTAACAAAATAATAAATAATTAATGTTTTCTAGGTGTATTTTGATTTTTTTATTTTCTTATGTCATTTTTTTTAAATCTTCAATTTTTTGTGACACTTGTTAATATTTTGAAATTAATGAACCAATAAAATTATAAAAAGTTGCTCAAATATAAAATTAGGAATCAATAAATTCATTATCAATTAAATTATATTACTCAATATTTTCTTACACAATAAATGAAAATGAATTCAAGTAAATAAAGAAATTTTAATTCCTGTTGGTTGTTAAAAGCTCTTAATATTTTTTTTTATACATTAGAGTCAATTTTTGAAGAATAAACAACAATATTTTGGGGCCTCAAATGCTCTCTTCCGAGATTGAAACTTCTAGAGATAAAAACCTTGAACCTTGACTGGACATATGTAATGTTTGAAAGTTCGCATCAATTATAAGTTGGGTGGCACGAAAACTCAAGACCGGGGTTGATCATCCCTTGTGGACATGCTTGTTGGTGTCACGTGCACTCATCTTGTATTCCGAAGGCAATCCGTCAAAGGGAGGAGCGAGAGGGCGGCGGAAAGTCGGTTTGACGTGTTTCTGGCCCGAGGTCAGAAAAGAAAGCTGCGCACGGTGGCTTCTTTTATCCGCCGATTGCGCGCCCCTCGCTCGCAAACTAGATTATTCACAATAAAGTTCGGCGCAGCGGTCGGGTATTAAATTATTTAATTTTCGAGTCGGTCGAGGTGGCGGTAACCTTGTTAGCATCTCGGGCGGCTGAATTATGGTCGGGAAAGGCGGCTGCCGATGAGGAAAAGAAGTAGTCAGGCCGCGGAGGGCGCCGCAAGCACACCTCCGTTCTTTTCTGCAGTTTGTGCGAGTAACAAGTAGTGCCGCCGCGCGAAATTAGCCCCGATATGATTTGTGCGCTACAAGTTAGGCTTTTTGTTGAGCATTAGTGTGCGGCGCGTTGCCTAACTTGTTGTTCTCCGACCGCCCGACTTGGAGAAGTGAGAGCTGCTTTTTGCCAGAAGAAGCAGCTACTTGCTAGAGCTGCCGGCGATTAATTTTCCGCGCCAAATCCTAGCGTGCCGAGGGATTTTATGGCTTTGTTTACTGATTTGCCAGCACGCAGATAGCCAATTACGGCGTGTAAGAGAAATCTTTCATTATATATTATGGGCTTTGTTTCCAGTTCCCCACTTATTTTTATCAATTCCCTGTTAACAAAAGTTGAAACTCGATAAATTTTAAAAATGTAAGCAAATTGATGTGAGGATATTTACACTCAAAAAAATATCTTCAAATAACCATGAAAATTCTGCAAATTATTATTGTTACTTGTTCTACGCATATATTTGTATAATTTTAATCGAACTGCATTTTGATATTAGGATCTACATCGCAATTTAGAGCTCATAAATAATTTAATTAACAGATTTTATAAATAAACAGTCAAAGTGAAACGCTATACAGGAAAAATGTTTTGGAATATTTGTAGATATTGCTGAATATCCACTTTGTGGTGCCCATGAACTTAATATCTAATAATTCAAGATAACTTTAGTCCTGAAATATATTGCAGAGAAAATTTCCAAGAGTTTGTATACAACAACCTTGGATTGTAAAAACTATTATAATAAACAACTAAAAAAATCATCAGGGAAAGCCTGATTTCAATTCAACACCAAAATACTTGACTTTTCAAAGTTCAAATAATTTGTTTTCAATTGATTAATAGGCTTTTTTTAATTAATTCGATTTAGAAAATTTTAGCTAAACAAGTGGTTGGTCTGAATGTTGGCACTTTTGGCTGAATAATATGTATTTTTGTACTCACATTGCAGATTCATTGAGGTCGGGAACATGGCCGCGGCAGCGGCGGCCGCCCGGTGGTGCTCCTGCGGCCCTCCGCGGGCCATGACGGCGCACTGGCCGGGACTGGGGTGGTTGTACCTGCTCATGGCCGCCGAGTAGCGGTACGCCTGGCCCATCTGGCCGCAGGAGGCGAGGTCCGGGTACGAGCAGGCCATGCCGGCCGCCTCCATGCTGGCGAGCGAGCAACTGGCGGCCGAGTTGGCGGCCGCCTCGAAGCCCTGGTTGAGGTACGAGTAATCCATGATTAAAGACGTGTGTACGCCGCTACTTATTAGCTGGAGCAGTGCCGTGCGGCCGGGTAATTGGATTTCGCCCTCGCTGCCGAGAGAGAGGATATTAAATTATGGCGCGATTACCGGATAATAATATCGGCGGCGGCGGCGGCGGGCGAGCAGCTCTCGGCTCAAACTTTCAACTCGTAACAGAGGAGAAAATCAAATGATCAGGCTTAATTCAATAACGAGAGTAAAGCCAAGTCGGCAGCCACCGCGTTTAAAGGCAGCCCGAGGAAGGGGGCGTGGTCTGCCGGCGGGGGAGGCGCCCCGTCCGCCAATTGGGGCGCCCCTCCCGCCACCCTCGCTGCCTGGCCGGGGTGACACGCTACCGCACCTCGTTCCGACTTCATCCCTCGTCTTCTTATCGCGATCATTGTGATTATTATTATTATTATTATAGCTCTCGCTCGGTCCACGGCTTATTACACCTCATCATGTCCGACGGCACGTTCGCCAAATAAAAAAGCCTTATTTCTTCTTCGAACACCCCTACCTATGTGCGCAGCCTGCCCAGTCTCTGATTTTTTACATTCGCCGCAGTTTGATGTTTCGCTTGGACTTTTTTACGGCGGCCGCCGCTCTTTGTTGCTGCACTTAAATCTTGACTTATGACACAAGGAATGCTTTTCAAAATGCCAGCACCTGCTGCTGTTTATTTATTTCTTTAACGGCAAAATAAAAAAGTATACATATTGGTTTATCAGAAATTACCTAATGGCACTTGATTTATGACAAATTTAGGGTAGAAAAATGTAGGTAATATTTACCTGATTGCTATCAAATAAGGTTTCAATTATACATTTTTTCTTAGAAAAATCACTCAAAAAACCCCTGTTACCAAGTGCCTCAAAATTCACTCTTGAGAAATTCAGCCCAATTTCTTCTATTTGATGATTTTAAATTTTCCAGTTAAATCCTCGAATCTCATGCAGCAGAATTATCTTCTTCAGGTATGATTTATAATTCGAAACATGCTTTCAAAAATTTTTCACGTAGATCTGGATTATTTGTTTAAAGTTTTGTTTGCATTATACCTTTTTATTTGCATTATCCTGATTGATTTGATTTAGGGAAACAACAGCAACATATTTCAGCAGACTGGAAAAAGAGCTGCACATTTGCACCGCACGAGCAAATTCCGCTTTGATCTGCCACAATTGCTTTGCCTTTTGCCTGGCTGGGCGCAAAAACACGCCGAATCGTAACGTCAACTGCACAGAGAAAGAGCGCGCGCGTGTGTACCGGGACCAAAGTCAACAAAAGTTGTGTGACGATGTGTCGAGTGTGCAAACGCGAAAAATGCAAAGCGACGAGCGAGAGAGAAGTAACCATGCGAGCATAAATAAAATCGCTGCCCGTGAATATGCATGGATGGGAGCAGCAAAATAAAAGAGCAAAGGGACGATGATGTTGATTATACGCAGCCGTTCTACAACCAGCTAGAGACTCTGCGCCGGTGCGTTGGCGAGCTGGAAAATATTTATACAGAAAATAAGCAAATACGCTCTGTACCCAACTCTTTTCTGTTTGTTTGTCAAATTTGTCGTTTTACTTTTGAAGCTCTACAAATTTACCCCTTTTACTTGAAAATATTGATTCATTTAAAACTTTTTTAAATATAAATCTTTTATTCTAACCGATTCAAACCTAATTTGTTAAAAAAATTAATTAGTTTTTGAAAAATATATTTTCTATTATTGCAGGACTTGGCATTCTTTGTTGGAAAAAAGTTTAGAATTATATTTCATTTAATATATATTGAATATCGCAGCATAATTTTTGGCTAAATTATCCATGATTTCAAATTTCTGTAAAAAAAATTCCCCCTTTAATTATCTTAAATCGGAATTATAATAATGTTGTATATAATTTATTATTGCTAAATTGCTATATATTCATAAATCAAGCAAAAAATGCTAGTTCAGTTTGAATACAGAAATAAATAGTGGCCCATAGGCAAACATTTTACATGTATTTACGCGGCACAAAAAGAGCAGCGAGGAGTGTTTTGTTGGTCGGAGGCGAATGCAAATAAAATAAATGTACGTGTGATGCAGGCGGACAATAAAAGCAGCCATCTGTGCACTGGCTGCCGGTTGCATCTGCCCACTGTGGCAGAGGGTGCGTGCACGTGTCGACACGTGCTCGTCGCGCAGGAAGCGATTACAGGCATTAATGGTCGAGTGCTGGCCGCGTGCATCAGTCAAGTGCCGCGCAGAAATATAAACGTGTACTTTAATTTGATTAGATACCGATCGTAATCGCGGAATCGCTTTTCTGCCTAGTTGGCTAAAAATAGATTGTGGAAAAAGGTCCTCAAGTTTTGACTCAAATCAGTAAGAAGTTAAGAAAAGTGCTAAATAGATTTTGCAATCGAAAAATTTTTAACTAGAAAGAATTTAGTGAAAATATCAAATTTATTGCTGTTATAGAGTTAAATTTACTTCAATTTTTGCATTCCAAATTACTGCCAATATATTTGTTTGATATTTTTTAAGTTATAAAGATGTGATATAAGTTTGTGTGCAATTCTCAAGATGAATCTATCCTAAAATCACCTCTCTCATTGCGCTAAATCCCAAAATGATAAAAAAAAAATGCAGATTTTCACATGAACTTCCATTATATCCTGCAAGTATGTACATAATTTGAGTTTAATTTACAAATTTTAAAAAAGGAAAGTCAAATTTCATGGCACTTTCAATTTTCAAAAATTATCATTTTAACTTACGTGAAGTGCTTCAATTTTTGACAATTTTAAGAAAAATTAAACAACAATTTATTTCGATATAGAAGAAAATATATCATTAGAAAAGCCTATAGAAATTTTTAGACAAAGATTAAGGTTTCTTTATTGGAATTCCGATGATCACTTTCGATCGTTTCTTAACAAGCATTACACGAACAAGAGTCATGAAAATTTTAACAGCTCTCGTAGATTTGCCGTTTAAGCACCGTCGGCGTCAAAGCTATTCGAGCTATAGGCATACTAATGTGCATTGCCGGTGTCAAACTAGTTATTTTTGCTCGAGATGAGAAATCGCAGCGAGCGTCGCGAATTGAGCGATTTTTAAGTGTCGCGCGCAATAAAATAATAATAATTCAAACTGCGCGCGATGCTTTACTTTTTACGGCCGCTCATAAATTAAATTTGAAAAAAAAGTGTCAGCGCAATAAAAGAAGCGACGCATAAAAATCATGTAGCACCTTTGGCAAATTTAATTTACGCCGTCAGGTGTGCGCGCGTGTAATATTGTCGAGAGACGGGAGAATAAAGAGCTTTGCGCCACCGAGCAAAAGAACAAAGGGAGAAGGAATTTCTCAAATTGAAGTAGGCTGATGAGATTGCCAGTTGTGTAGTCAACGCGCTCTTGATTTGGAAAAAGCAAAAACAGCAAACAAAGTTGACGCAAACTCTTCATTAAAAAAACCTATTCATTTTTAATTTGCTGAAATTCCTTTTTTATTTTTGCATTTCATTTATTAGTTCGTCCAGAATTTTAATTTCCTTTAATAATTCAAAGAAAATCTCAATGTTTAGAGCCTACAAAAAATTAGTCTGGTTGTGTACGTTACAATTTTAACCCTTCCATGGAATTATATTTCTGGCAGCAATGAAGGTGCTGGACAAAAAAGAATTTAATTTCTCAATACTTCCTAAATATAAAACATTTAAAGAATTTTAGAACTAGATTGTTCTGAAGTTTCTGTAGAGGTTTGTGTAGTTGTTGATGTGAAACCTTTTGGCACTTGTGTTGTTCATTTTATTTCATCAAAAATTATTGTTGCTGTACCAAATAACTTGCTACGAATTTTCATACAATCGGTTTTTAATGTAAAATTGAACATTTCTGACAATTTAATCCCTGTTAATAAAGAATACTTATTAAACAAATTTGGCAATTTTTATATTTAAAATTAATTATTTTAACCTTACAGTTCAATGAAATTACGTGTTTCAAAATCGCTTACAGCAAATATAAAAGACTAAAATTACAACAATAATATCAAAATTACAAATAACAGAAACCCGTAGTTGCCAGTAAACAAATTTGCTTCAAAAAGCAATTGATACATTTTTTTTGTAGGCTAAATCTAATATAAAATGTACGGTACAATTTTTTAAATTGTATACCCGTCATGCTTGATGTATTCCTTAATAATCTTAATCTTTTAAGATATTATAACAGTAATTAATTTTATGGATGTACTATGAATGTACAATAATTTGAACGCTAAACTTATGAGATGAAAAAATACACACTAATCGACATAAAAAAAATTTGTCTGTAGTAAATTGTGCGATGTTTTGTCTTAAATTTTTATGAGCGATAAACATTCAGCCCCTGGAAATTATTCCAAAATATTTTGTGTTATGCACGGTTAATCTCACAATCAGAAAAATTCATTTCTAGTTTCTAACAAATAAATTAAATATCCGCTGCCATGGCATTTATCTCAAAATTTAATAATCAAAATCACTTTGAATTTGCCCGTTTTACGTCTGAAGCGAAACAAAAATTCAAATTTCGTCGCCAGCGAGACATCTTCAAGTTTCTCCAAGTAAGGTGTACATATTGTTAAGTTGGTTGTTCTCGGGCAGGGTGGAAATTGGCGCACGAAAGAAGAAGCGCGCGGGGGCGCCTGGGGGAATCAGCGCCGCGTGCAGAAAAGTTTTGAGCATCCCCGAGGAATGCAACGAGTTGCTATCCGGCCTCGATTGTTTTTTCTGTGGGAACTCGCGTGCTCGAGGACTCTCACTCACTCACGGAGAAAAGCGAGGCACCCCCGGCTGCATCCCCCGCTCGCCCTCGCTGCTGCAGCAACCCTCGGGAGACTCGCGGCTGACAGATTGGCTGTGGTCCGTCCCACCACTTTTCCGCCCACTCTGCACCCCCTATATGTACCTACACGACGTGTTTTCCTCTCAAGGAGAAGCCAATCCTGCAGGCGTTATTATTTAGTTATCAAAAAGCGAGAGAGAAAATTAACACGCTCTTCATTTAATTCTCAGCGGTGCGTGGCCAACTTTCTGCGGCACATCCGATTTTCTCTGATTAAAAGTAGGCCTCAATTTTAATGTTTGTGAATATCATTGGAAGCTTTAATGCGAGAAAATTTGTTAAAACAACCAAAGAACGCAAAATTAAAAAAAAAATGATATTGGAAAATAATTTTTTATTTGAATTGATAATTTTTCTTATTTTGTTCTATGTTTACGATATTTAAAAATAAATAAATCTAGCATTATTTCTAAATTAACACATTATATTTTGTTAATTTACACCTAGATGATTTTGTTTGTAAGGAAAACAAAAATGTTCCATATAAAACAATCCAATTTCAAAGTTTTTAGCTTGGTGTCTCCATAGTACATTTATCAGCAGCGTTTACCTCCAACTTTTTACTTTACAACTTTGCTCAAAAGGTTAGGAAATAATTCAGAGAGGACCGAAAAAGTCCTCTAAATCGCTTGTTCCTAAAACAAGCACAGCAGATAAAAGTTGAGGATCTTATCATGGCACAGGTGCACTCTTGGTTAAAAAAATTGCCCAGCTATTTAATAAATCATTTAAATTCACTTATATAAAATATAAAATTAAAAATTTTAAAAACAAATGGTGGTAAATTAGTTGCAAATTGTATATTATGTATTGCCGGGCATTAAATTAGATATATGGTTCAGATTAGATATATCTGTTCAGAAGGAATTTAAATAATTATCTGATCAAAAGTTTGAAATTAAAGCCCTTTAACTGGAATTTACAGGTAGAAACATAAGCAACAATGAAAAACTTGAAAAGAGCTTGATCATAAATAAGTATATCCACTTTCTCACGCTCTCCAATTGCAAGAGCATATTGCGCAGTGTTTACAGTTTTTTACGAGTCGACATGTAATAGGCGGGATATGATAGCGTAATGGGAATAGGAGAGAGTTCCGAGGTGATGGCTAAAACTCCCTGAGGAGCAGACATGAATTGTCACTTGTGAATTATTTGTGCCAATTAATGCTGCACTGCAGATGTGTATTCGCCGCATGTTGCGAGAGAGATAGAGAAAGCGCCGACTGCCCCATGCCAGCGAAATTGCTCCCAGTTGGAAAAGATTGTGAAAGCAGAAGCACTTCCCACGGTGGCGGAAAATGGCTTTACGACTGCACAAAGGCCACTTTCCCATTACACAAAATGAGCAACGAAATAAAAGAAAATAAAAAACTTTGGTAAATTGAATGATTTGATGGATTTAACTAAAAAATTAATAATTTCATTGCAAATATATTGGAAAATAAAAATATATTTATTTTTCTTACTTAATTCATTTGTTATACATTGTTATTAAATTGTAAATTTATAATCTCATTTTAATTAGACTAATTATGAAATTTTAGCAAATTTTGAATCAAGTTATTTAAATTTTCATTTTAACAACCCTCTTTGCAATAATTAAATTTGCAAATAAGTATATAGAGAATTACAAGTATCTTTAGTACCTCCAATAAAATTTTAAGATAACTTCATTTTTGGTATAAAACATTAACTTCTTTCACAACAGAGATACAATTTCATATTTATTTATTTAAATATTATTATATTTGTTTGTGTCTTGTTTGTTTTTCATTAGAAATATTATGATATTATTGTTACCCATCTCATTTTAATCTAATGAAACGCACTGCAGCGGAACGATGGGTGGCTTCGCATAATTAAAATCCATTTGCGATAAACAAATACGCGCAAATTAAAACGGTGGCGCTGAAAAATTAATCAAGGCGCTGAAGCTCCTCGCACGCTCAGCAAGAGAAAATTAAATGCGGAAACTTGGCCGGGATTCATTTATCTTTGGGAAAAAGTGAGAGACATTTTACTTCCAGATTAGCCGAGCGAGTTGGCACTTTGCTCGCCTAATTATTCACGCACAGCCGAGCTCAACTCTCGAGGCAACCCTTTGATTGCGATCTGGCCAGCGTTTATGAGACAAGGGATGGGCACTTTTTGCTGAATTATTTATAAGAAAACGGGGCTGTGCGCCTCACACTCGGAGATTTCCCTTAACCTCTTGTTTTCTAAAATAAAATTGTAAAAATCTCTAAAGGAAAATATATATAAAAAGATTTTAGAAAAGTATTAATAAAAAATTTGGTGAATTTTTAGATGTTACTAAAAATATAACTTTTTTACTAAACAAAAACATTAAATTTTCAAGAAAGGGAAAAATTAGACTATTCTTAACTAAAAGTATTTTAGAAATTTTCGCATCAATAGAAAAACCGTTTACGCACTTTCATAGAATTTATTATGATGTTACAGAAATCTAAGAAAGTGGTGCAAGCTCTACGCGTTCTGCCCAGCTCGAGTGACACTTTTGACACGACGGAATGATTAATTACACGCGAGGGCACGACGGAGGAAGGGTGAGTCCCTGCGGAGGACGCAGGTGGACTTTGCGGGCGTCGCACCTGCTACCGTGCTGATGACGCTGCCGAAGATATATTCGCCAGCCCAAGCCGATCGTAGATCTGCCAAGACGCATTTTCTACGACCCACCCACCGACATTTTTATGGATTATATTTTTCGCCTGCAAACTCACCACCCACGCACGAAATTTTTCTCCATGCATGCCCAAGTTTTTTTTTAACTTCCGCCTTAAAATATCACATAAAATCTGTGTGTTAGCTGATAAAATAAAATAATTTGCGAAAAAAGGACTTGATTTTCTGGAACGGAGTGATTTTGGCTACGCAACCGGTCTAGCTTGCATGCTGAGCAGTTTGCATAACTTCCAGGATCTACGTGGCAATAATCTTCCACAATTTATTTTTGACTGCTTAAAAAATGTGGCAAATTTTTTGTGCATAGAAGAAGTTGGGAAACAAGGAAAGAAAAATTGGTTCTTGAGGAGGATAACAATTCATGTTCTTGTTCTTGATGCTATTGAAAAAAAGACAAGTAACGTCATTGCGGCAGAGTGCGGTTTAAAAATTGAGATAATTTTTATCAGTATCCTCACAAATAAATTCACATCCTTCAAGCGTTTAAAAGCATATTGCTCATTTGCACGCCAAACTAAACTGGTGAATCATAATCACTCGCGCGCTTCACGAGACTTTTCAAAAAGTCTCACTTTAATTGTAACTTCGTTTTTCTTATTTTTGCTTTTTATTTCTGAATGCATCATGCATCTGTCTCGTGCAATCATTTGTACCTGCATCGTCACTATACTAGCGATGGTAAGTTAATTAATTATTACAATCATCTTTTATAAACCGAATGTTTGTATTAAAATTTTGACTAGCAAATTTTTTAATATTGTTTATGGGTATTGGAAACGTGGATCGGACAAAACATCGACGTCAGAAATTAACATTGATTCTTGTGGGCCACAGAAATTTATTTTCCAATCCACCTCTTAATATACATAATATTCTTGGAGTCTTAAGCAATGGGGGCCGGATGCAACAATGGAATCAATTTTCATTGTTTAAGGGCCAATCAGAAATGGTGTCATAAAACTGTTGCTACTTCTGATTGGCTTACAACAATGCGAATGAAATTTCGTTGTTGCATCGGGCCCCTGTGGATCTAAAAAAATGTGATGGTCATCTTTACAGATTTTCTTTGGCATCGATTTTCGTATCCTTTTTAAAAAATGTCCTCACTCGGAGCAAATTGTAGACAGTGAGTTTTGGTTAATTAGAATCTTGTTTTTAGTACTTATGATTGAAAATTTCTTCCCAACAGATGTGTATTGCACTACTTCCGGTTTGACTACCATCAGCAGAATGATCGTTATTTGCATTCTCCAAGCAGTTTTATATTGCGGAATAAGATCTGTAGTTTATTTTTATTATATTTTTTATGATTATTTATGCAGGATTGTTTATTTCAGAGATCTTCGAGATTGCTGAAAATTTGGCTGGGCACTATGATCCTTGTGGTTATACCCATAACTGCTGGCATAATTTTATACCATAGCAAACACGGAGATGGATATTTCATCACAACCAATATTATCCTTTTAGGTGAGGCTATCTGAACATTTTCCGAGAAAGAAAACTACAATTGCGTATTTGTTTCAGTGCTTTTTGTATGTGATATAGTAAATATTGGTGCTTACCGGGCTTCCTTGAGAGATCAAAATTACATTCAATTTTCAAATTATTAAGTACATAAAAATTTAATATTATGTTAGATTATGTTATAATTATATGAAAATTACTTAAATAGAAATGCATTTAAAAAATTATTTTTAATAAAATCCTACAAAGATATCATTTAAATCTATTTGTATTTTTTCCTTATTACATTTTTGGATTTAATAATAAATAATAATTGAGGACTATTGTGGTCTAGATCCGAGTCGAAAACATGAGCGAGTGTTCTGCAAAGAACTTTGCATATCTTGATGTATTTAAATTGGTGAGAGGGGGAGGAGAAATTGAAAACTGCTCAAAAATTTAAATCAAAATCAAATTTTCCTTGGTATGATTAACTTTTTTGAGTACTAACAAGGGTTTCAAGTAGAAGATATTATGTTATTTAACGAAAAAAGAGTTATCTTTTGTTGTTTTCAGTGAAAGTGAAAATTGTTTAAATTTCTGAGCAAAGCATCAGCCATCAAAATCTTTATATGTCTGCTGAAGAACATAACAAAAATATTGATAGTATCAATAATATGCAAATGATAAGTTGGTGATGAATTTTATCACACAAGCCTGTACCACCACATCCGTTAAAGTTTATCTTTATTCACTACCACAGTAATCATTTGTCCTTGCGCCAGCCAACAACGTATACAGCCTAATAAGACCACTTCACAAAGTTGATTTTGGCCTCCCAAAATTAAATAGCTCAAGTTAATAATACTTAAAGGTAGGAAACTTAAATCTGAAGTTTAAATGGTTCCTTTGAATTATATGTTTAAATCATGTATGTATTTTTTGTTGTTAATTTGTTAGTGTGAATGTGTGTGTTTTTTTATACCTTCTTATGGTGTTAAAATGAAATGAATTAAAAAATTCATATTCGCTTTTTTAAGGGCTTTCAAACAAGAGAATAATTGGTCCTTTATTTCAAGATGTCTTACACGATTACTTTCACCATATTCGTCTCAATGGCAATGGCGGTAAGTCTATAGCAGAATATTACTGTATATTTAACGAAATAATGGAACGATTTGTTTGATTTCAAAACTCAAATCCTTTGTATGAAATTAAAAGTCAAAACAATGTGGTTTTAAACGGATAAAAGATTAATATTAATATTAAAAAATTGCGTTCTGAAGTTATCAAAATATTATTATCAAAAATATTTCTGAACCTGTATTATCCACTCTTTAGTCCATCTTCATTGTCGACATGAGGTACATTGTCTGGGGTTGTCAAGGTTAATTTAAATTTTATTAAAAATAATGTAAATTAAACTAATGCATGTGAAATTTTCAGATTCTTACACTATCACTTGTGACGTTTACGCCCGTAATTCTGGAATTTTTATTGGAAGACTGATCATTTATAGCATTATTCAAGGACTTTTACTTTACGGATTGAGAATTGTAATTCTAAATGAAATTTTAAATATGATGAAGTTAAGTTTTTTAATAGAAATCTCCAAGGATAATGACATACTGGTTGGGTCTCATGGTCTTTTTGATTGTGCCATACACGATGTTTATAGTTATTTTGCATTTTAATGGATCAGCCCTTGAGTATTTAACTCTGGCAAATTTCTTTATTTTGAGTAAGTTTTTATATGAACGATATTTAACAGTGAAATTGTTTAAATTTCATTTTAGTTCCTTTGCAACTGGATATCATCAATATTTCTACATACCGAGCTAATCTACCTTCTCAACACAAACAATGTATTTTATTTTAAATTATGAGTATTTATTTCCAAAATAAATAGTAATATCAATCAAAATAATAATAAATAAATGATTCTTATCCAAATTCCCACTTTTGATTTGAATAAACCAAACTTATTATTGATATAAATTTAATTCTATAATTATTTAATATTTCATTTAACCAGTAACTTACTATGAAATAAAAAAATGAACATTTAAAATAAAAAATCTCAGTGGAAAACCAAATTGTCCCACACTAAATTTGTGAACCAAAAAAGAATTTTGCTAATTGTAAGTACTTTCTGTGTTAATCTCATCAATTTGATTATTATACCAATTCTTTCGAAAAGTTAGAAGCTCATGATTGCTAAGCTGGGCTCGTTATTTGCAGCCAGAAAGGAATCTCTCTTCAAAGCAGAAAACTTTAGGCAATTTTCATCAATCACCAGAGGAGAAAAATACGTCTGCTGATATCAACAAGGGTGGAAAATTCGGAGCAGAATGAAAAGCTAAATTTCGTTTTGGTGGGGGCGAAACGGCATCAGCGAGCAGCAGGACCAAAGTACACATAAAAGAGCTGCCGGTGCTCAAGTTAGTGCTCATTAGCTCTTCAAACAGAGTCGGGCCGACTACTCAATATGTACGCAGCATCTCGGGCTCTCCCCAGCGCAGCGCACGAAATTCATCTCTCTCTCGACTCATCCGCTGGAATTCACAAAAGCGACCCGGCGACTTCTGCTTGACGAAACTGCTGCTGTGTGTGTTTTGGCAAATTGTCCAAATATTTTGCCACTCACGCAGCCATCTGGGCAAATGAATGAAATGGCCCGCGGCGCCAATAAAAGAGAAAACACGTCGCGCGTCCCCTGCTCTCTTTTTCTAACATCCCCTTGGATTATAAACAAATATCTCATCTAGCCAGCAGCCGAAAGGGAGTATTTACGTGCTCTGCCATCAACGGCAGCTTTTCCTTTTACATTTATCACAATATATCAGAGCAATGCAGTTATTCTCTTTGCTACTCAACCCGGCCCGCTGGAAAAATTTTGGCAAACGTTTTAACAAAAATGGAATAGTGGCTTGAATTATTTTTGTAGCTTAATTTCAATAAAACGTTTAAGGGGTTGTAGCTGATGAATTGATTTAAAAAATAAATATGAACAATCACATGATAAACTTTTGGATGAATAACATTTTTTGTAACATTTTTTTCAATCTTCAATAACATAACAAAAACTCATTATAAATTACTGTATTTTAAATTTTTATGGTCTTTTGTATTCAACTAATTTATTCTCCATTCATAAATCAATGGTGTTACAGCAAAAAAATTTAAGAAGAATTAATTAAACAAATTTTGAAACTTTAGATGATTATTAGAAACCGTAAGGCCAAATTTTAATTGAAAAGTGTGCTTATTTTTTTTTATTTACCAGCGTTTTAAAATTTATTGTGGTAATCTACATTTCCTAAGAAGTTTTATTTAGTTAAAAAGGTTTTTTCGAGAGAAACGATTAATATTTTAAATTTGTTTTAAAATAAATTATATTAGAGGTTATTAGATTTTTCTGAATTTTCAGGATACTTAATTACAAAGTTTCCCTCAGTTTCAACCCAATAAACAAACTTCTGAAACTAATTATGTGAATTAATATTTTAAGAGAAAGTTTTAGTTGCAAAAAAGCCATGACCCTGCATTTGAACTAGGGTGGAAAATATGCAACCCCCCCTCCCAGTGGAGAGCTGCAGGGTTGCAAATAGTTACTTTGACAAACCGACGTGGGCGCTCGAGAGCAGACACCGCTTCCGAGTTCGCTCTCCGATTTATGGTTGGTGGCGCTCTCGTGTTGTGAGAGCTCGAATGAAACTTAATTTTATTATCGTGAGCCACAGAGTTGAATAAATATATACAACTCTGTGTCGTGAGCCAACTCGACACAAGAAAGATATAAACAGCATTTTTTTTTTTTTAGACGACAATAATATTGAGATAAAAGTTGGATTAGCTTATAAGTGGAATTTCTGCTACAACTGCAGAAACAAACTGTGAACTTTTTGTAAAATATTTAACATTCCATGCTAATTCTAAGACTTCAATTAAATTGCCAAATTTTTCCAATTAGATAATTAAAATTAAAATATCTTTCCAAAAAACTCAATTTATTTTTATGAAATAATTAATTATAATTGTATTCAATTTCAAATATTAAAAAAATGGCACAATAAAATTCTTTATATTCCATACTTTTTATTTGGTTATTGTTGTAAAATGAGTGCAAAAAATAATTACTGGAAAATTCTTAAATTTGTTTCCTTCACTTTCAGGCATCCTTAATTTATTTTTTTTTCTACTCCGTTATTTAAAATCAATTATTTAGAAATTTAGTTTAATTATGAGCAAGAAACACAAATTAACTCAGTTTATTTATAAAATTTGAAAGAAATTTAAAAATTCATAATATGTTTAATATAAAAATATTAGCATTTGATAGGAATTTATCTAGCGGTGATTGCTGCTTTCCTATAAGCTACTAGGTGGAGCAGGGATCTGCGAGTGGTCCAGCGCGAGGAATTCTCATCTTTCACAATGCGCGATTGCCAGAGAGGATAAATAGCTCCAGATCTGGAGGTTTGCATGGCTGAAATGCGCCGTTTTTTTTGTCTGACCTATGCTTTCTATTCCAAGGTTGCAGACTCAATTTGCCACACAAGAAGGAACCAGCGGCATTATTCGGCCGATCAAATCCTTTTCACCTTGACGGCGGCATCTCGCGCGCGCGTTTCATGTAGGTATTGTTGCGGCCAGATTTATGACACGCACGCAATTTAATTCAACTAGGCAATTTTACGACCGACTCAAACGTATACAAATGCTATGCGCGCGAGATGAGAAAAGGAGTTAGCAGTGCTTTAAAGTTTATTGCACAGGATATTGCATGTCTGTTTCGACAGAATCTTAATTGGCAAATATAAAACTCAATTTGCGTAAAGTGTAGAGCGTTTACACTGAAATCCAATCTACTTAAAATAAGCTATGATAGAAAATTCTTAACTTTTGCATTAACAGTCTAAATGAAATGATAGACAATTTTGATCGATAAAACTTTGCCTAATATGGTGAAAAATAAATAATTAAAATTAAGCTTGAAATTAAAAATTTCAACAATAGGAAATAACCGAAATTTTAAATTTTTATAAGCTACTAAAAATTTAAACCAAGATAATTTAGGCTAATCAAGAGTTAAGATAAAAACCTAGTTTGAATTTCTGAATAGAATTACTTTTGCAATATATGTATAATTTTCGCGTTTTTCTCATGAACACTTTCATTAAAATTTTAAATTTTTTTAAACCAAAAAAACCGGTTAGCTTAAACCTTTCTTTGAAAAGAGCTCTTGGCTTTATGAAGTTTTGTCAACAATTTGTCCGACACATCAAATAATGCGAGTTTAATCCGCTTGCTGGAGAGATTTGCCTTTGTTATACAAAATTCTAGTTGAGAGACGTCAAAGTCAAAGCACGTTGATATTGTGCTCCTAGCTGATGCCGCTCTCTTGTTTGCTGTTTTGATTGTTGAGTCAATCATTACTCCAGGCGCGCTGGCGAGACGCGGCATTCGTTTTTATATTTCTTTCTCTCTGCGGAGCATTTTATTTTTGTGACGCATTTTCCAGCAGCAGCAGCGGTGGCGGCGGCGGCAATAAGAATAAGTACATCGGGGCCGTGGGAACAAAAAGGACCCCTAAGAGGGTAGCGAAAGCAGCTGAAACCATTGTCAAGCCGAGATCTTGGGGCTGGTCCAGCTCGCAGAATCACACCACGCTCGCTCCGTTTCGTCTCGCCTCTGCACCTGACCGACACACGATTTGCATTTCAATGGCCAATCAGACCAACATCCAACCCTCCGAGTGTATAAATATGGCACATATATGGAAAACACAAGCGAATATTTACCGTAACCTAGGGGAAATCTGAATAGAGAAAAAGCTTCAAATTTAAAACGTCTTGCCTAATCAATTCTTAAACTCTTAAAGAATAACGAAATTATAGAACAAATAAAAGTGATTTTAATTTCATTAATTTCTAAATACATAACAAAATTAGATCAAAAATTTACAAACAAAACCTTTAATTTAATTTTATTTATTAAAATTTACTAATAGATTACATACAAATAAAACAACAATAATTCATAATATAAAAAAAATCTTAATTCTGATTTCCTTGTTCAATACAGGATTAATACAAATTTGATTCTGCGTGCACCCTTCACTCTGGTATTTAAACACAGGAAGCCGGAAATTTTCAGCGTTGGCGAATCTCTCTATTTTGAAACAATAATTGCTGCCCGCTCTCCCTCTTTGATTTTGAGACTTTTTACGCAGCGTATAATTCCTATGTGCATTGTGCGTGAATTCCGATCTGGCTCGGCAGCTGCTCTTTACTGCATTGCATATATATCTGCATTTTGTTTTGCCACCAGGGGGTTGCGACCAAATCGAAACTTTTTGTCACTGCACGCGGAGACGGTCATTACGGCCAGGAAATTACTATCGCTTCATTTGTCACAATAAAAACACGCTGCGTCCGAACTACTAATTAGTCCGTCTCAGCTGCATGTTCTGATTGCATCTCCCACTCACGCTGTGAAAGTGACAATGAATTCTATAATTGTTGCATTTCTGTAAATTTAAAAATTCAAGAGATTGAAATCAATTTGTTTAAATAAATAATTAGACTTGGAATTTTGGAGAAAGAAAAAAACGCAAAATGTATTTCCATTTTAAATAGTCTATGTAAATCTCTCTCCTTTAAAAACTTTAATTCATTTGGCGCAGTACTTAGTTAGAGAGCTTGATTAATTGTATTTATTTATATAATATTTTTTATAAAGACACTTTATTTATGACAAAACTCTGTGAGAACTTTTCATGTAAGGGTTAATGTAAACCAGACTGAGAAAAATGAAATTTTAAGAACGACCAAAAATGGAAATTCAGATATCATAGCTTTGAATGACAGCTTAATCTGCTGTGCGAATAAAAAAACAACTCGGACACCTCAAGGATTAATGGATGTTTTTACATC